CTTCTTCTTCTTCTCCTTCTTCTTCTTCTCCTTCTTCTTCTTCTCCTTCTTCTTCTTCTCCTTCTTCTTCTTCTCCTTCTTCTTCTTCTCCTTCTTCTCCTCCTCCTCCTCCTCCTCCTCACTCAACATCTCCCCACCCTCCACCACCACCCACAAAGTCAAGCTTTGTATTCATTACAGCGACGACTAGCGTTCCTTTTGTCTCACACTACACAACGACTGATAATGCGGAATCTCGGACAACGGAGCTATCCACACCTTCGGCAACCGTGTCTAGATCTGCTTACCTAGCCCCAAGCCAGTTCAAGCCAACACCGGCTTCATCGTCCGAAAAAACAGATGCCACGGTGTCTATGCTGCCCGTCGGCGACGCCATCCCCAGTGAGTTAATGCCAGGGTTCAAGTGGCCTTATGCTGCTCCCTCTACATCACCCACCAATTCTATCCCACACAATAACGACAACGGCAATGGACATGAGGATAGGAATGATGATGAGGTCGCTTGGGCAGGCGCAGACAACGCCATACCCGGCCAAATGCACGATCGCTCACTCCCGCATTTGTCCCCTCCACCGCTGCAGAGGCGAAGCGCGGCTTTGCGGCGGGTGCGGAGGGTATGGGCGAGGAACGAAACTCCTTTGAGTCCACAGAAGGAAGGCGGTGGGCAAGGGGATACGGGCGAGAGCAAGCCAGAGAAGAGGAAATGTCGACCATGCACAGAGGAAGGAAGGGTGTTATGTAGGGGAGATGTGGCGGTTGGGATCTGTAGAGGGGGATGTGAAGAGTTGCAGTTTCTAGGCAGGGGCCAGGGTAATGGCTGCGAGGATGACTGAGCGACGGAGCGGAGCGGGGAGTTATTTGTTAACTTGATAGAAGGAACCAGACCGGAGCTGCTGTGGACATAGCGAAGTCGGTCTTACATTTGGTTTCTATTGCTTGATGTAGTGATAGTTCAAGAGCCTCATGGTTGGTAATATCTAAGCTAAACCGGGCCAGCCTGCGAAGAGTCAGTACAGAATTTCTGATTGAACAGTGCGGAAACTTACTCCAGATCGTCAACCCTTCGTTCACCTTTGTGACATTGACCTTATCTCCCACCTTGATAGTCTGGCTCTTCGGCGCATCTGGCGCCCAGAACGTATACCGTCCAAACACTGGACTCCACTTCGCGCCAATGTCAATACGCCTATCCTTCTGCAGCCTCTTGAGGACCTCTCCACTTGGACCAACACTAGGTTTACCCGTGTTGTAGTCAATGTTGATACTCTTGCACCGCACACAGTTATGCGCCAGGATCATCTCGGTCTTCTGATTGATCTTAATCTTACCCCAGTAATCCTCTTGCCATGGCTCGTTGGCGCCCTCGATGACAATGTTAGGGCGGAACTTGACCATATCCATTTTTTCGCCGTCGAGGCGCGAGGACACGTCGTCAAGAGAAGTTTTGGAGGTGATGAGGAAGGGCGCACAATCCTGAAATTTGATGCGCCATTGCTCGGTTTGGCGGATGCCCATGAGCTTCTCCACCTGGCGGCCAAGGAACGGGATGTTCTTCTTGAAGAAAGCGGTCAAAGGGTCCGGGGTGAGGGGCTGCATGTCTTCGAATATAACGGGGCGCCTGTTGTCGGAGCCGATGTAGACGAGGATGACTTCGTAGCCGAAACACGAGGTGAACCATTGGCTGTACTTTTCGCCCATGTTGAAGGCATCGGTGGGACTGCTGTGCATGTTTACGTGGAAAATCTCAAGCTTCTCGGTGTCAGGCACGAGCGGTATCCGGATGGTCTTGGCCTTGTCCGCATCTCCATATGCGCGGTAGGTGATTTTGATGGTAGCGTCATTTGTGCCGTAATTCTCAAACTCTTGAATGAACTGCGACATGTCCGAAAAGTGGCCGATAGTCATGTTCTCCCAAGTTCCGTCATCTTTCTTCTTCAGAAGCATGAATGTCCCTGCGACTATTAGCAGGTGACGCACGGACTGTAACTGGGGTGCACACGATCATGTTCGAAGCCGTATTTGGTGGCGACTGCTTCTTTGAGAGGTACTGCGCGAAGTGACTTGATCGGGTACACATATATCTGTCAATCGAATCAGCATGTATGCACAGGCTCCGGTATCGTAAGGCCAACCTCGGATATGCGCATAGCTGTCAGGTTGTGGATCAGAGGGCTAAGGAACCCCAGCAACTGGTAGATCAAGAACGGGAAGACGACAATGCCGGTGAGCAGCCATACTGTTGGTATGTGATCAAGCTCCGAGGCTGGAGGATGAGCTGTATTCGCCATGTCGATTGATTGTTGTTCATGTGCAAAAGTTCTGAATGTTTGAAAAGAGGTCGTCTTGGAACCCCACGTGCACGCCCTTCCAAGACGTTAGCGACAAGCGGAGGAAAGCACGTTTGCCGCTTCCGCGGGTTCGGAGTAGGGCATCCGAGATGATAAAATATACGCAGCCTGTAGCATATTGATATCTTCAAGCAGGTACTGCCTGATACCCATACTGCTGTTCGGAAATACAGTGTTCATCAACAGAGGTGAATGTCTATTCCTGGTTTACGGATTTTTAGAATCGTTAGCCTGGTCAAGCCTGACTTTGATCTCTGCTCGGTTGTGAAGGGACTCTGAGAGCAGAGAAGATGCGCGACTTTTCAATCCACCTTTGATCCTCGAGTACCTCCAGCAGTCTCATTCGTTCGGCCGACGCGAAGCCTTCTCGAAGCATGACCTGCCGAAACATAGCGAACGCAGAGTGATTGGACAAGGGAAGACTCGCTAAGAAACGGTGGAAGGAGGTTCCTGAGCACGAAAGCGGGCCAGCAGGTAGCCGCTGCAGGCACGCGCCGATCTGTCTGCGAACGCGAGTGGCAGAAGGAAAAAAGTTGGTTTTGACAGCTTCACGATGGCGGTACTTGCATGGGTGAAGCTTGGAACAGGCTGTAAGTGGGCTGTGGTTGGCTCTGGTGGCGGCAGAGAGGTGGTAGCGTGTGGCTGTGCGTTCTCCAGGGCTCCATTACAGAGGGGTTGGCACTATCCAAGTGACGTTGAATGACTTTGGTGAATGCCCAAAGACTATCAGGTTTCAAGCTCTCTCACAACCACGTGCGCGCTGCCTTTTGACAGCACTACTCCTCCTGTGACTCAGTACGCTCCTTAAACATCTACTAGAAACATCAGGCGTCTTCTAGGCACCTGCCACATTCGTTGAGCGCTCCCAGGCGCGCGCCGAGGCCAAGATTCTTACCACTTGCCCCAAGATCACAGCTACAGTTCAGCTTTCAAACCGCTGCGCATACTACGACTCTGACAAACGCTCGGCGAACCTCCTTCTTCCTAAGCTTGCCGAATCCGCAGTCCTCTGAACGTGATCCGCTCTCACGGAAACCGGCATCTTCGGACGCGCATCGCGCACAAGTTGAGCTTCGCGCCTGCTCTGTAAGGCTACCACTTGCGCGCAAAACCTACATCCACCATGGCAAACACACACATCCGGCGGAAAGACACCACCAAGGGGCCGCCTCTACGCATTCTATCCCTTGGTACGTCATTCTGATTTCCATGATGCTCGACGCGCAATCGCTGACAAGGGTCCCAGATGGCGGCGGCGTGCGGGGGTACTCGATGCTTATCATCCTCCAGGAACTAATGCACAGGGCCTTTGTCGAGACTGAAGGGAGAGCACCAAAGCGACACGAAATTCCGAAACCATGCGATCACTTCGATCTCATTGCGGGAACAGGCACCGGTGGGCTGATTGCGATTATGCTCGGGCGGTTGAGGATGGACGTTGAGACCTGCAAGGATGTATACGTGCGCATGACAAGGAAGGTCTTCGAGACAGACAAGACATTTGCTGGAATTCCCTACCGTTCGACACTATTCAAGGCCTCAAAGCTGGAGGAGGCTATCATGGAATGCGTGCGGGAACACACTATCTACGATGACGAAGGCAACGACAACCATGACGGCGTCGCATCCTCGGCAGACCTCAACTCTCCCATGACGCCCGGCAGCGCGCTGCAGCAAGGACGTGTGAATCGAAGCGCCAGCAGCGCCAGCAGATACAGCCAGATTGGCATGACGCCAGTCAACATGCGCATAGCCGCCATGAAGTGGGGCAATCCACATGCGCTGCTGTACGACAATCGCGAGGAGCGCACAAAGACGTAAGTGAGATTTGGTCGGAAAACTATGTGTGTATGCTGACACCGAACAGAGCTGTCACAGCCGTCTACAAAGGCACAAAGAAAGCCGGTACTGGCCAGATCTGGCTTCGATCCTACGACTCGCGCAAAGAACCCGCAGTAGCACCTAATGCGACCATCTGGCAAGCCGGACGTGCAACAGCCGCGACGGCCCTCGCATTCAAGCCAATCCAGATTGGTCAATCCGTCTTCCTGGACGAAGGAACAGGTAAATACAACCCTGCACCTATGGTACTCGATGAAGCGGTCTGCAACGAATGGCCTGGTCGCGACATCGGTGTCTTCATTAGTATCGGCACAGGAAAGCGGCCTGATGGGACAAACAGTCAAGAACATCTTTGGTGGGAGGGCTTTGTCTCTGGCGGCATAGGCGATTTCGCCGAGGCACGACGCAGACTTATCGCGAAAATCGAAGGCTGCGAGAAGACACACAAGGAGATGAAGGACCACCTGGCAAAGCGCCAAGTCAACCCAGAGAACTATTACCGGCTCAACGTCAACGTTGGCGTAGGCGAGTTTGGCATGAACGAGTGGAACGCACTGTCCGAGATCAGCACAAACACCCGCATGTACCTGGCCGAAAAAGAGGTACAAGCCATGTCCCTCGATGCCGCCGCGAAGATTGCCCGTATTCATCGCGCAAAGTTGCGATGGGAGCGTGCAGAGAAGGGCCAAGATCCTCTCGCTGCAGCAGCTTCACCACCACCCAACAAACCTCTCCCGACCATTCCAGACCCAATCGGTTTCGCAGTCGAACTTCCGGCCGAAGAGCTCACACCCGAATATATATCAACGATGCAACAATCCGACCTGCGACCTGCACCCTTACAACCTCATCGACCGCAACACTCAGATAGTAACAAATACCTAGTTGTATCCTCCGACGAGTTCCCACAACCCGTAGGAAGCATCAATGACATGCCACACCGGCACTCTGGCGAACTGGTCTCGCCAGGACGAACGTCAGAAGAGCAGTTCTCAACAGATCGCCCAGTATCGTTCGCGGGCTCTCCAAGGATAAGTTTCGAGCCACCACCTCGACCGCCAAAAACGCCTCTGAACGATGGTAGGGTTCCGCCGCCACTGTCTGGACACCCGGCATTCAGAACGTCACCATCGTCGCCCGCACATAGGACATCACCGCCTCCTGGTACAGGGTTCGCGCGACCACCGCCTGGTGCGCCGTTACCATACCCAGACGATGATGGGCCACCACCGGTGGTGAACAAAGCGAGCAAACCAGACTACATGCGATGATCAGATCATGTCAGCATATTGGAAACGAGGAAGAAGATATAGAAGTTATGAGAGGATGAGGAGGCATGTAATGATGATAATGACCACGTTCTTTTGGCATCTGTGTATATCCTTGTGAGGAGTTGGAGTCATCTTGGATAGCAAGATTGATCGTTGGAGCCTTTTGTACTTTAGATACCCTTTGAATTCTTACGACTTTTTGAACTCAACAAAACCCAATCTCACAACATAGGTTCCTGCTTGCATGCTCAGTCTTGTATTGCGGTGTAGGCATCGTTTTGTCCATGTCGCGCCAACTCGTGTTATGCCCTACATGCTCAAACCCTCTTGCCGAAGACGCGGAACCTCTTGACACCGCCATCAGGAAGAATGACCAACTTGGCATGCGTATACTTCTTCCCCTGCACATTGCTCAGTTCACTCTGATACTTGATCTCCACATCCGGCCCGCTCTTTTGCGGGCTCAGCACCTCCGTCCAGCCAGGCTCATCATGGCTCGGATCCGTCTCAAAGGCACCGGCAAAGACCTGCACCTTTTGCGGGAAGTTCCCGCGAAAATGCGCCGTGTCAATCACAACATGGTCAATCTCGCCGGCTGCACCTAAGCGAACGATGGTCCAGTCAACATGCTCACCGCGTGTACGTTTGGTTTCCCACCCATCGCCCATGTCCTTTCCGCGACCAGGCAGGAGGAGGTTGTCCTTGGTGCCGAAGTGCTGGTCCGAGCAGGCTGTGGCGACGCCGCCCATGACGGTCGCGCTGAGCTCGAAGATGGCGGATGTGTCGGCCGGGAAGACGGGGACCGCGTTGCCGTACAGTCTGAAGCGCGCGATGCCGCCGTCGGGGTACATGAGCAGACGGACGTGTGTGTATGCTTTCTCGGTGATCTGGTCGAGCAGCCATCCGTGGCGCTGGCTGGGTCCGCACTCCTGCTTGCTCAGCACCGTCTCCCAACCACTGTACCCTGGCTTCGCGACCTCCTCATCAGACTCGGCGAACGCGCCTTCAACGGCGATCTCGGGCGCGTGGTTCCCGTTGAAGAAGGCGGTGTCGATTTCCACGCCCGCGACTTTTCCGGAGGCCGTGCCGAGGCGGATCACGACCCAGTCAGCGGGCTCGGTGTTGTGGCGCCGCGTCTCCCAGCCGTCGTACCAGGCGCCCGAGTGCACGAAGACGCCAGGACGGCTGATGGGTGCGGTTTTGGTGATGAGGTTTGAGGCGGCGGCGAACCATTCGTCGCTGAAGGAGACGATTTTCGAGCCGAGGGGGGCAGAGATGAGGTCTGGAGATGTGTTGGTAGGGGTGAGTGAGGCATGAAAGGGGAAGAAGGGGAAGAAGGTGCCCGGGGTGGTGTGGAGGAGGGAACATACCAGTGTAGTTCGACTTGAATGTCGAGTCGATCTGGTCGGCGGGAATGCTATGGGCTGATGTGGCTGCCATGATGGGCTGTTGTATGAGGTAGTAGTGATTGAAGTTTCAAGGTCTCAATTCAAGGCTTCAATTGAAGTTGTGTACAGAAAGCGTATGGAGCACACGAGCAACCAGCGGGGTGGCCTCATTCTATATCGTTACCTTTACCCCACCAAGGGTCCTTAGATCGCGCAACATCTTCAAGACATCTCGGAACCGGCCGCGGGCCTGCATTTTCCGAGGTGATTGACCGAATGCGGAGATAGTGGTTCTGACACCTGAGGGAATCGATAACTATCAGGTAAGCTCGGACGCATATGAGAGGGATTGCGGTGGTTGTTGGTGTTTTGACACCTGAGAGGATCGAGTAATTATCGTGTAACGCTAACGATACCCCGCCGGTGACTGACACGATTCCACACCTGATAGCGTGACGAGAACTACTGTGTGCCAACTAAGGGTCTTGCCCACATGAACCAAACAAACACTTGATGCTTCTGGTGAGGGAAGATTGCTGATAAGTCGTGCATATGTATATATTCAACAGCAAGCTACCTAAGCCGTTGCTCACGTCAAAAGAGACAATGGATGGTGCGGAGGGTATTGTTTGTTTTGAAATCTACGCAAATGCACAGGTAGTCATTTGAGAAGCGCTGATGCCGTAGTCCCCTATCCAACATGCAAGGCTTTTTCTCCCTCCGATCCAATGCTTCCTTTCCCTAGGTCTGACGTCCAGGCCTTCGATTGAAGACTATGCTTCTCTCTCACAATCGATGGCTCCATCTCGATGCAGGTCTGTTCCTGATCCAGTGCGAATGGAAGAGCCTACACCACGTCCTCTGTCAGCTCGATCACTACTAGAGGGCAGCGGATTATCTTCACCCATAGCTCGGGTCGTTCCACTGGCTCTCGTCATAGTATCCGCCATTTTTGTTCCCTCCGCTCAGGTCCAACTTGGTCATGAACTCGGGTGGCACAGTCGGGATGTACTTTCTCTCGCGCTCCCTGTCAACACCACCGAAACCGGCACCATAGCTGATGAGCATGTCGGTCGATGTTGGTAATGAGAAGGGGAGCATGTATGATGGGTCGAGGAGGAGCTCGCTCGGGGCATCGTCTTCCTCCCTTTCCAGCTCCCCTGAAATCCGGGAGGGTGCTGGTGATGGGGCTGGCGCAAGTTGTGCTCCTGAGGTCGGCTTGACGGGTGTTGTTGGTTCTGCGTCGGTGCCTCTTTGTGGTGGGTTCGGTGACTTCGCCCGGGTCTTGCGTTCTGCTGCAGCTTGTTGTAGGTGGACGACGTATTTAGATGCGCTCTTGGGCAGCCCCTTCTCTCCCACTTCTGGTCTGTAGTACTTTGCAGTGTGCAGAAGTTGTTGTGGCGATAGCCTCGTCAGCTGTTGTATTGTACCAACGAGCGACTCCAGGTCTTCTCCGATCGACGTGAAGCACTGCAACCATTGCAACAGTTGAATGAGCGGTTCGATGTGTTTTCTTGTAGACTCGACAGTGTTGTCACCCGTTGAGGTCATCGATCCGTTCTCGTAGTGTTCAGGTTGCCGGTTGTTGGAGCGCGCCCAGTCCTCCAGCGTCGATACGTTCATGCGGATTTGCATAGCTTTTGTTCGCGCCAAGTACTTCCGGTTCGACATGATGCGATTGAACATCTCTGCAGAGAGCCAGTATATCAGCTGCGACAGCACTTGAGCAGTGATGACTGAATGTACATCGTACAGGTCGAGGACGAAGAGCGTGGAGGATAAGAGGGAGGTGATGTTTCGAGGCGACGGCTTGGCCCTGGCTTTGGGTGATGGAGGCCGAAATCGCTTCTCGAGAGGTTCTAGGGGCTTCGCTTTTGGTTTCGAGCGGAAGATGTTCCATTCGTGTTGGAACTGCACGTCTTCGAAGCCTGGCATGGGTTCGTGCTCGAGCATAGATGAGTCCAGGTTCTTATCCATTCTTCGCTCCGCATCCCGGATGATCAGGATGAAAATCTCGTTGATGAGCTCTGCCATTTGAAGTTGAAACTCGGTGGCGGCCGTCGCGAGTCCTGTGTCTTTCTTCATGTAGTGTAACAACAACGTAGCGTTCGACATCCAGAAGGCTAGCACTGTCATGTCCCACTGGTGTTTCTCTACCACGTCGTTGATCTTGCCCATCGCCGATACGAGGAGCGTCTTCAACAGGTCTGCGCTGGCGTGATAGTGTGCGTACCGGGCCGCCAAGAAGAGGATGTTTGCAGGGACCGGCTTCTGGGATGGTGACCGCTGCGGAGTCATGGTCGTGATGATTATGTCGAGGATACGCTCGAGCTCGCTTTCTTGGAAGACGAACATCTGGTCGTTGAGACATCTGTCCCAGATGAACTCCTGGCCTTCCTCAGGCTCTTCAGGAGACTACAGCCGTTAGCAGGTGTTCGGACCGACCAGATGCGTGTAGTGGTTTACCTCTGGCTGTTCGTCGAGGCCCAGGTTGCCAATGTCGACCTCCAGATTGAAGGCGCTCTCCATCATCATCCGGCGCTTCATGTCGTTTTCCTGCATTTCTTGCTCGAACCGGTCGTTCTCCAGTCCCGAGTTGTAAAAGTCATCCACCCCTGCGTTACCGATCGCGTACCCGCTCTCATGCAGGTAGTCCGAGATCTCGCTGTTGGGCTCGACGAAATCAAACGCTGTCCTACCGCCCGATGACTTGACGTCGGTCGAGGCACCGTGGTCCAGTAGAAGCTTCACGATCCCCTTGTGCCTGTTGGTCATGGCCCACATGAGAGGTGTCCAGCGATTCTTGTCTTGTATGTCCACTTTGGCGCCCTCCTCGATGAGGACGCCTGCAACGTCCTCGTGCCCGAAGCAGCTCGCATACACCAGCGGTGGTGTTCCTTCAGCGTCGACGCCATCGATGTTGATGTACTCCCTCGCCTTCCCCTCCAGCAACCGTTTGACTCGCTCGAGCTCGCCGTTGGACGTCGCCAGTGTGAACAGTCCCTGGAGTGCCTCCCTCTTTTCTCCGCGTGAAAGCTTGTCGTCGGCGACCACCTTGGCTTCGTCACCAGCATTGTCGTTCTTGAGCCGGGCTTGGTGTGCGAGCATCTGCACCAGTCGACTGTCGCTGTCCTCGAGCTGCTGCATGTCCTCGTCGCCGAAGCTGGGGTCGTCGAGGGAGAGGTTGAAGCTGAGGGGTCGCGCGGGCATGGGTGTGGTCAGGAACGACTGCCCTGTACTTCGAATCAGCGTTCCGCCTTCCGCCTTGCACATGGCCCCTGCCCTGCTACTCACCCTGCCATGCATCGTACATCTCCGTCTCTTCAGGCATGTATGCGCTCACGGGCCGCCTGTCGTTCAGCGAGGTGGGCAGGTCGGAGGGGAGCTGCCGCGCTGGTGCAGCGCGCGGGTCGTCCTGGAAGCCATGGTCTCGGTCGGTCATGTCCATCGTGCACCATTGGCGGCCTGGCCGGTGTGCAGCTGTGCGGACAGAGCGGACAGAGCGGACAGAGCGGACAGAGCGGACAGTGCGGACAGTTGGCTACCCGAGGAGTGAATGCATGTGTCTGGCAATCAGAGCCCTCGAGCGATTCGCGGTCGATGAGACGGTGGGGCGGAGGTGGGACAACGGCACGCTGGCTACGTAAGGATGGAGGCCGAGGGCGATGCTGCAGGGCCGAGGGCGAGGCTGTAGGGTGCAGGTGTTGCAGTGAGTGCCTAGTGCGAACCGGGGCGCTCGTGCGGCGTCGCTGGGGATAGACGTGTTTCCGTACGGCTGGAGTCTCCAACACACCCTTTGGGGCCTGACGCAGTGTCGCGGACGTTCCCGATCGCCGGCCAGGGCTGCCCAGCTGCAATTCGGCGGCCGCGTTGTGGTGGGGCGCTGCCGCCGACGACGACACGCCACACGCAGCCCTGGGAGCCCGCGTCTGCACCGCTGGGAGCTTAGCACCACTCGAGCTTAGCACCACTCGAGCTTAGCACCCATCGTGGAGCTCTTGTGGCTGGACCTGACCAACGCGCTCAGTCAGCATCACCGGTCCCGCATTTGCTGTTTAGACTGTACGGCCACGATGCTCGGCTGCTCTCGCTCCTGAAGCGTCCAGTGCGCACCTGCTATCTATCCAACACCATGAACACCGCCATGGCCGCTAACCCGTGAACCGGCGATCATTACATCAGACGGCCTGCGCCCAGCACGGCCCAGCACGACCCCAGCACGACTCAGCGAAGAAACATGTCTCGCGCTTCGACCGTCTGAACACGTCCAGCGTCCAGCGTCCAGCGTCCAGCGCCCAGCACCATGCCGTTGACAGAGGGCACGTCGCCGCGGGGCACGCGCTTCGCCGCCGTCCTTGCGCGTCTGTCAGAGCTCCCCGGCTACGTCTGGGACTCGGACATCAAGCCATTCCACTCGGTAAGCGTTCTGAAGCACGGCAAGCGCGCCAAAGCTCACAGCACACAGTCCTACGACAACTGGCACTTTTTTGGCCACCAGAAGGCCTCGGCTGCGCAGGAACGACCACCCTCTCGAGGACGCAGCGCTGTGGCCTCGCCGACCGCCTCGCACTCGCCAGACTCGCACCGTCCGCCAAACGTACTCAGGCACAAATCATCTGGCAGCGATGCCAGTGCGGCAACTGCACAAACGCAGGCCACTGCCACCACCGTACACAGGGAGGGCCGCGCAGTGGTATGTCGAGTATCGAACCACACACTGCGACTCGAGCGAGAATATCAGCTGTCCAAGGTCATCGTCAACAAGTCAGATCCAGGGTGCAGACACTTCGTGCGCCCCATCGAGTTTGTCAGACTGCCCACGAAAGCTGGCGAGGAGGCCCTCGTTGCTAGTATCTTCGAGGCTCCCGGGCAGAACTATCTGAAGGACCTGGTTACTTTTGGTCCCAACTGGTACAACTTCACAAATCGCGACAACATGTGGCAGTCGGCCAATCCTCGCCCCAGCACAGGCGTACCTCTACTCACCTTCCTCGACTTCGCAGTCGGAGCAACAGAGTGTCTGGAGATTCTGCACCATGGCCACGAAATGGTCCATGGCGAACTGCGAGGAGACGCCTTCCACTTCGCTGAGAACGGCCATGTCAAGATGATCAATTTTGGAAGCGGGGCCAGGTCTTTCGAGAACGGACTCACCTCTGCCGGCTGGAACACGCTGAGCCGGGAAACGGGGATTGAGTTGAAGCTTGCCTTCATTGCGCCAGAGCAGACGGGCCGTATGCCTGCTGAGCCAGACAGCCGGACCGACATCTACAGTCTGGGAATCCTGTTCTACACGATGCTCTGTGGAAACACGCCTTTTGACGGCCCTACAGCCTTGGACGTCATGCAGAATGTGTTGAGCAAGAGAATACCTCCTGTTTCCTCCGGGCGCATCGACATTCCGGAAGCACTATCTATGGTCATCCAACGAATGACGCAACGGAACATCGAAGAGCGCTATCACTCAACCTCAGGTCTCAAGTTCGATCTCATCAGAATCCGCGAGCTCCTCTCTGAAGGCGACGGCGAGGGACTGAAAGCATTCAAGATTGGCTCAAAAGACATCAGCTGCTTCTTCAATCTCCCACTCCAGCAAATCGGTCGCGACAAGGAGCGTCAGACGATCATTGATGTGATTGAGCGCGTGTCCAAGCGCCGGCGAGGTGGTGTAAAAGTCCTGAACAGCTTGAGCTCCAACTCATCGTTCTCGGATGGGCAACTCAACTTTCAATACGATGACGTCATATCTGACACTTCTAGCTCGCGAGGCTCAGAAAGTCGGCTGAACAGCGTTTCCTCGACGGCGCCTGGGTTCCTTGATCAAGCAGGACGCACTCAACGATCGCAGGACAGCGTGACCCAAGCGAGGGACTCGGTCGCTGAGGAGAGCCCTGGCCGACCACCCCTGGTGACAACGAGTCGAGGCCACTCCAATAATAGCATGGAAGGTTCATCCTCCTTATCGAGATCTGCTCCGTCGAGCGATAGCACAGTCATGCGCAATTTGTCCAGCGCTCGATCAGCGAGCCGCAAAGGTCGCTGCGAGGTAATTGCTGTCGGTGGAGCCACTGGTCTCGGCAAGTCACGTCTTGTCCAAAGCGTACAGAGCACGGCAAGAAGTAATGGTTACTTTGCGTCCGCCAAGTTCGACAAAACAAAAAAGGCCCCTTTCGACCCTGTTTTGAAAGTCATGTCTTCGATGTTCCGACAGGTCTTCAGTGAAGCAGACGTGTCGTCCGAGTTTCACAACAGCTTACGCAACTTCCTCAAGAGCACAGGCGTATGGACGGCACTGCGAAGCTACCTGGATCTGCCGGATTGGCTGCTCAGCACGGGTGGAGCGCCGAAGACGCCTCAGCAACGCGATACGGATCCCACGATTGCTTTAAGGCGCGCATCCTCGCCGGCTATACATTGTGGAAGTTCTGGATACACAGCTGAAGCATGGCTGCGAAGCGGGGGTGCATCGAAATCAACAAAGTTTATGAGCGTGTTTATTGATGTTCTTCGGCTCTTCGCTGTGCAGAAGCTATGCATATGGACCCTCGAAGACGTACAGAACGCCGATTCGGAAAGTGCGGGTATGTGTTGCAACATATTTTTGCCTTTGAGATCATCAGTGCGCTGACAAGAATCAGAACTCATACACCACACTATTCAAGCTAAGATTCCGCTTGTGCTGATACTCACCTACACTGATGAGGAAGGCATACCCCGAGAGCTCCGACCCTCGATCCAGTCGGCCACCAAGGTGCAGTTGTTCCCGTTCACCGAAGCCCAAATCGCTGATTACGTCGCCGAAACCCTTCATCGTGATCATCAATACATCCTTCCTCTGGTCGCCGTGATTCAGGAAAAGAGTAGGGGCAATCTGTTTTACATCAGAGAGATACTAGACACATGCTATCGCAAGCAATGCGTCTACTACTCTTGGCGCGAGAATAACTGGCTTTTTGATCTCGACAAGGTCTTTGAGGTATTCGAGAGCACGGAGTATGGTTCCTCTATGACCAACGACTTCATCACGAAGAGGCTGCTCGAGTTACCTGCTGATACTCGCAAGCTGTTGGCATGGGCTTCATTATTAGGCGGCGCTTTCTCATATGATCTGGTCTCAAGTCTGTTAAATCCGAAGAATGCGCCCGCAGATGCAGAGAGATTGCCGCTCTTTGGAGAAAAGGAGTGCATTGTGACAGCACTGAATGGAGCGCTCAACGCTTACATTCTTATGCCTGCTGAAAGCGAGTCTCGATTCCGCTTCAGCCACGACAGATATCTGTTTGCAGCCGCCAGTCTGCTTGAGAAAGATTGGAATACTTCGATGATGCACTACGAGATTGCCCGGATTGTGAGCTCGAGCGGCGAGTGGTATGACGATGCAATGGGTGACTCCAGGGCCCTGTACATGCGAAGCCGTCACATTTGCCTCGCTGTTGACTTGATCAAGGCCAGAGAAGCAAGCCGCGCTCGTTTCCGGGATGTCCTGTATCAAGCTGGAGAAACAGCGGCCGAGTCAGGAGCACGATCTACCGCGATCTATTACTTCGCGCACTGTCTGATGCTCCTGCAGGACGATCCATGGGACGACTCGAAACACGATGTCTCGTACCAGGAAACGTTGCAACTCTTCATTCGCTCAGCCGAATGCTACTGGCATCAGAACATGCTTGATGAAGCACTCAGCCTTATTCGGACAACCTTCCAACATGCTCGCGATCCCTGCGACATGGCAAGCTCGTTCATATTACAGTCGCGAGTTCATGCCGTACGTGGAGACAGCTTCGGCGCCTTCCAAGCCTTGAAAGACTGTTTGTCTCTGCTGGGATCTCCAATACCTCCTACAACCTGGGAGGAATGTGATGCCGAGTTCCAGAAGGTGTACTCTCGTCTACAAAACATCGACAAACAGGAATTACTGGCACGCCAACCACCTCAAGACGATCGCGTACTTTTGACGTTGGGCCCCGTATTCGTCGAACTCCTTAGCGCAGCCTTTTGGTCAAATAGTCTGTTGTTCTACCAGGCCACACTGAAATTGGTCAACATCCATCTTGAGCAAGGGGCTATGTCTCAGGTCGCACTCGCTTATGTCTACCTCGGCAGCATCGCCGGTGGCCGCTTTGCGATGTTGACCTTTGCTGCAGATATGGGAACGATAGCTAAGAGACTCTTCAAGATGTTCCCCGACGATAGCTACACCCTTGGTCGTGGCCAGACTCTGCACCCGTTGTTCCTAGGGCATCTAGAGGCGCCAGCTGCGGATCTAATCCCTCATCTTCATGGTCAGTGGCCCAACATCCTTTTTGCCACATCCGGGTGCTTCTTGGCAATGCACGTCCTGATCTTGAGTAGGAAGCTAACACACTGTAAACAGTTGCACTAGAGACGGCTTTGACCGCAGGCGATCGCTTACTTACTCTGCTGAACCTTGGTACCCAGGCTCACTTTAGGGTCATGGCCTGCTATGATTGTGTGGAGATAGAAGCTTACGTCGATGAAACACCTCTGAATTTGAAGAATTGGCAACAAGATCTTCGAGGAGGTGTACTTCTGGTGGCGTCTCGCCAGTATGCCAGGGCTCTTCAAGGCAAGACAAATATCGCCGATGCATCAACGGTCTTCACCGACGAAGAACACGACTCCGCTGCCTACATCGAGTGGGTCGAAAAGACAGCAAGCAACCCAAAACGGCCGAAAACTTACTACTTTGCTAGCAAGCTGCCAGTATTGGTATTATACGGCTACTACGAAGAGGCGTGCGCTCTAGGCGAGCTTCTCCTGCCGATGCTGGGCAGTCTTTGGTGTCAGCGTGTCAACTACTCTGTCATGTACCATCTCTCGTTGGCTTACTTGGCAGTGCTGCGCGACAACAAGGAGCATCCAAAGAAAGAGCAGATATTCAAACATGTGCTCACCACCATCAACCAACTGGAGGCTTGTTGTGCCATCACAGATGTCAACTATCGGTCTTGGATCCACACACTCGCCGCTGTGCTTGCAGAAGTCAATGACGATCCTCAGACAGCGTTAACGAACTACGAGGCAGCAATGGACCACAGTGAGATTCACGGTTTCACCTTGGACGAAGCCCATGCCCTGGAATTGTATGCCGAATGGCTGGTTCGGAAGAAAGCCAACAGACCAGCTCGCCATGCTCTCAACGACTGCATCTCCGTGTACCGAAGAGTATCCGCATATGGAAAGGCGAACCATGTCATCGACAAGTACGAGTTTCTCCTGCGCGGCACGGTATCCCTTACAACAGTGGATGTCGCGGTACAAACCACAATCATTGACACAGGGAATACGACGTTCAGGCTCGAGCAAAATGAGGACCATGAACAGCTTCTTGGAGCTGAGACGGCAGTTGACCGGACACAGAACTGGATCGTTCCCGAGAATGGACGACGTCATGATTCATCCAACGACCTTCGCAACGGCTTCTCTGCCGTCGGTCTTGATATGCTTGATCTGTCCTCGATCCTGGAGTCCTCCCAGGTCCTTTCGAGCGAACTCAAGGTTGATAAGCTGATGGCTAAGATGGCTTCCATCATCCTTGAGTCGACAGGAGGTACGCTCTGTGGTATTGTCATCGAAGATGCACAGATCGAATGGAGCATCGCTTGCGTAGCGGCCAGCGAGTCCAACAATGACCCAGGGATCTCTTCTGGTGTCACGTCATATCCAGCAGGCCAGCCACTGGACACTGTAGACGACATGGTCGCTCGACAAGTGACACTATACACTTTGCGTTTTCGAGAGAACGTGTTCGTTCAGAACCTGCTGGAAGACGACCGCTTTTCAAACGTGTCGGACTCATACCTGAAGCGGAATCCAGAGGGCAAAGCGGTGATTTGCATACCGATCATTCACTCCGACCACCTTCTCGGTAGCATATACGTCGAAGGTCCACCGAACTCGTTTACAGAACGCAATACACAAGTACTACGTCTTCTTGTTAACCAGATCTCTATCTCTCTGGCAAATGCTCTGCTCTTCAAGGAGATCGAACGAGTCAGCGCCAGCAACGAAGCAATGTTAGAGATGCAGAAGCGGGCGCTAGCGCAGGCAAGAGCGGCTGAGATCAAGGCCAAAGAAGCCGAGGCCATTGCGATCAGGAACATGAAGCTCAAAGAGGAGGCTGCCAAGGCTAAGAGCCTCTTCCTTGCTAACGTTTCTCACGAACTGCGAACCCCCCTCAACGGAGTGATCGGCATGTCTGAGCTCCTCAAGGCTAGTCTGCTGAATCCGGAACAGCAAGGTTATGCCGACTCCATTCGAGTATGTGGTGACACGCTTCTGTCGATCATCAACGACCTTCTCGACTACTCCAAGCTCGAAGCTGGTAAGATGAACGTCCAAGAGATGCCTCTGTCTCTGAACGAGACCATTACTGAGGTTGTTCGTGCCCTGGCGTATACGAACGCTGAACGCGGCCTAAAGACCATTGAGCAGCTCGAGCTGAACCCCGAGATGCTGGTCATGGGTGACCCTGTCCGACTCCATCAGATCTTAATGAACTTGTTGTCCAACAGCTATAAGTTCACCCCACGAGGATCCGTTACCGTACGTGCCGTGGTCGACCAAGAAGGACCGGACTGGGCCGATGTTACGTGCAGCGTCATCGACACCGGCATCGGTATTCCAGAAGAGCAGAAGAAGAAATTGTTCTTACCCTTCTCTCAAGTCGAGTCCTCATCAGCACGCAGCTACGGCGGCACAGGTCTCGGCTTGAGCATTGTCAAAGCGCTGATCGAGAACGTCATGCACGGCTCAGTCCGTCTTGACTCGACACCCGGCGTAGGAACGACAGTCTCCTTCTCCCTCCGCTTCGCAAAGGTGAATATGGCCGGACCTCTGGCACAGAACTACACGCGCGACGTAGATCCAATGGCCAAGTTCTCTAGTCAGGAGAACAACGGCCACGAGCAGTCTGCTGGCACCTGCATCGATCTCTCCACCATTCCTCGCGCAGATCTGCGCATCTGTATTGCCGAGGATAACTTGATCAACCAGCGCATTGCGATCTCATTCGTGCAAAAGCTAGGCTTCAAGTGCGATGCCTATCTCGACGGCTTCAAAACTATCGATGCACTCGAGCGCGCAAGCGATAACGGCCGCCCCTTCCACCTCGTGCTTATGGACGTCCAGATGCCTCACTGCGATGGCTATAAAGGTAAGCCACTGCTGGAATTCATCGTATTTAGCTACTTACTGAACTTTGCCCCCAGCCACAAGACTCATCCGCAAGCACCCCAACCCCGAAGTCCGCAACGTCCTTATCATCGCGATGACCGCCTCCGCCATCCAAGGCGACCGCGAGAAATGCCTCGACTCGGGCATGAACAACTACCTCGCGAAGCCCGTGCGCGCGCAGACCCTCAAGGCGCTGCTCGAAAGCTATCTGAATAAGGATGAGCGGCCGAAGGAGATTCCGAATCTGCAGACTGAGGTTAAGAAATTGGTTAAGGAGGCTTTGAGCGAGGCGGGGGCGGATCAGCCGCTTAATGTAGTGAAGAACAAGGTCAATGAGAAGAAGGATGGGGAGGGCACAGAGACGGAGACGGAGACGAAGACGGAGACGGAGACGAAGACGGAGACGGAGAGACCGGAACGGCCGAGGAGTGTGCGGATGAGTACGACGGTTAGGTGGCATGATAGGGCGCCTGAGAAGGAGAAGGAGAAGGAGGAGGAGGAGGAGGAGGAGGAGGAGGAGGAGAGGAAGAAGGATGGGGTGTAGCTGACTGCTCTGACAGAGCGGTTGTTGCATTTGGCTTAGTTTGATTTGTGCTTGTTTCTTCTGGAAGATACCCTGGGCAACTGGGGCTCGTTAGCTTTGCAGGCTGTTGCATAGCAAGGCGTTTGGTTGTATTCATCTACGACTTGAACGACTGCAAAAATGGAGTTGTGATTTTTGCATGTATACACAAGGAATTTTTTCGACATTCAATCTGTTCATTCCTTCCCTGCCCAAGAACTCTGCGCGAGAACTCTGCTCCAGATGGCATGTGGCAGAAGAAGTGCATCGACGCTCGTACGACCGTAAGTATGCTCCTGGAGGCAGTCACACTCGCGTTCGCAACGCAGGTCTTTCCTTTTCCGACAATCTCAATCCATCACACGCAACCCATCATCAGAACGTCCACACCACCTTCCATCCCCCTCGTCAAACCTCCTCACCCTCACCCTCACCCTCCTCCTTAACCTCACCCTTGATCATCTCCTCATCCTCCCCACCCTCCTCACCTTGGTATCACTGACGGGTATGCTATTCTTTAGCGCATCCACGTCGTTCTTGAGCGACTCCTTCAGTCGATTGACGCGCTGGGCGCAACCGACTGGTACAGGAGCATTCTGGAGGTTGTCAGCGTACTTGCAGATGTTGGTGTGATGGTGATGATGCCGCATGGAGGGAAACATGAATGCTGTAAGAATACTTACGATGTAGTCGAGCTTGACGCCGGAGTGCTCCGTTGCTGCTGTGAGGACGTAGACGAGCTGGATGTTGTCAGTGAACTAGAGTAGATGACGATGCATCTATACCTACAAGCTCGCGCTCTGTCTAGTTGGAGTTACTCTCAACGTCAGACATGTTGGGTGATGCACGTATTGATGTGTAAGGAAGGGTGTTGTGGAAACGATGGACGAAAGGAATGGATTTAGCGTTTTGAGCTTCACGACTCGAAAGGCGCGCTAGACTTGAGAACGCAGGTTCGCCTTCATCTCATCGCCCTTGGAGAGCAGTGAGATTGGTGAGAGTAAGGCCAGACAGCAGAAGTGAGTGCGACTTCTGGGAGACCGCGATGTTGATTTGCGTCTACCAGTATCAACTTCGTTGACCTTGTCCGACTTTGTCCAGCTTTGTCAGGCTCATATGCAGAGGACGACTGTGACATAACGGAGATCATGGTCGAACTGTTTGCTTGACGTTCCGAACAACTGAATGCTTCCCAGGTGAACAATGGCTATCGCATTGAATCGAAATGCACGAGGTCTGTGGAAAAGGAAACTACCACCCAAGCCACTCAGACACGGAAAGCATGAATATGTAAACATCGACAGCCCTGCTCAGAGCTCACGGCGCTTCTTTTCCTTATGGAAGTGCTGCACTTCCGCGACACATATCCTCGGCTTCAACTCTAGCACCGAGCACAGGAGGCCTTCAGCACATGCACACCTTCAGAATGAAAGCGAAGAAATAGAACAATCAAGACTTTGGGAAAGCTAACTCACCGTCAAAGTCATCGACTATCACGGAGCATCAACATCATAGTCCTCACCCAGCCACAGCCACTAAGATGCTCTTCGCCGGAAACACCTACCAACCTCGGCACAGCCCTTCACACCAACATCCACATCCGCATACACCCACATCCCAGCACTCTCCGCTCCGCTCCCTCTATGACCCCTAGCTCCCGCTCGCATGTGAAGGACTGGTGAGTCAAAGCTCAGGACCTGACGATCCGATCCGCCGCACCGTCCTGCCACGCATGCAGCATGTGAAGCTCTCGGGTGGGTCCCGGGTAGCGGACCTCGCGGCTCGCCTAACCCCAGTCCCGGATTTCTGGACGGGAGGCTTAACTCAACCGACCTGCATGTGTAAGCTAGCGAGCTGTGCAGACCTGGCTCCCGCTGCCGTGGCTGCCGCGGAATGTTTATCTTGTCTTGCCGCGGGAGTGATGCAGTGATACGGGATCACGATGACTCCCGCATATCGCAAGTCTGCCCGTATTGAGGACGAGCTAGATAATGCTGATATCGATGTCGGAGGTACACCGTGAGTTGTAGGGTTAGGCTGCGTTGAGTGTTGACATGCGGAGCCGAGGCCGGTGGTGGGGAGTTTGAGCTCAATGGGGTATTGCGAACGAGGGCAAGGCTGACAGTCAAATCTTGTGATGGTCTGAAGAATGCAAGCATGTATGGCATGGTTTAGGGTTACATGATCTCGAACTGAGTGTTCGTGTTGGAAGTCAGTAAAGATCGCAGCAAGTGCACATGGTAACATTCAAGATAGAGATGATTGTGTTTGAACTTCCATCGTATTATATCTCCAATTCTAACTAAGTGCCAGTGCAACCACTGTCGCACCGCTCAACAAGTATCTACCTATGCATATGCGAGAAGGGAGGACGTGTAACAGGGTATCGAATCATCCATCCCAAAAGTCCATAGCTGAGTCCATTTTGTAGCCGAAAAGTGTGGTGGCCGAACGTGAGGACTTTGTCCTAGAAACAACCCAAGCGCCGAAAATGAGGTTCATGAACAGAAAGCTCTTACAAGTGCGAATGAGCAACACCGTTGGTGATGCCGTTGACATCGTTTGACTGGTTTGTCTGAGCAACGAGGTTTGCGACCTCCTCGCCAAGCTGCTCGCCATCCTTGAAGGGGTCGTACATGCTCTCGACGATGTAGGCGTCAAGCTCCTCGTCGGAGAGGTTGCGGAGCTCAGAAGCGCGGTCGACACCGTTCTGCTGAGCTGCGCGGATGACACCACGGGTGACAACAACGGAGACGTCGCGGATGCGGCGGATGTCGGGGTACAGCCAGCCATCTGCGACCTCCTGCTTGTTCAGGGATGTGGAGAGGGACTCGGCGGAGGCGTAGATCATGTCTTGTGTAACGGAAGTGGCCTTGGAAAGGATGGCACCGAGACCAATACCAGGGAACACGTACATGTTGTTGCCCTGACCGGGGGTGAGGAGCTTGCCGTTGTACTCCATGGAGGGAAATGGCGAGCCGGAGGCGAACAGGCAGCGGCCCTCAGTGTTGAGAACTGCCTCCTCGAATGTGCACTCAGACTTGCTGGAGGGGTTGGACAAGGGAAAGATGACGGGGTGGTTGTTCAGCTTGGCCATCTTCTGGAGAATCTCCTTGTTGAAAGCACCACCAATGGTAGACAGACCCATAAGGATGGTGGGCTGGACGTAGTCGATCAGGCGGGCGAGGGACTGGTACTGGCGGCCGTTGTTGTCGTCGCGGGCGAAGTAGACCTTATGGTCGGCGAGCTTGTCACCACGGTCCAGGGTAACGAGACCGTTCGAGTCGACGAACCAGAACTTGCGGCGAGCCTCCTCTTCTGTCAGACCCTCCTTCTTGAAGAACTCAACGATCTGCTTGGCAACACCGACACCAGCACTGCCGGCACCGAGGAAGATAGCCTTGTGGTCCTTGACAGGGACACCAGACGCCTTAACGGCGTTGATGAATCCACCAACAATGACGGCACCAGTTCCCTGAACGTCGTCGTTGAACATGCTGTAGGTGTTCTGGTAGCGCTCGAGGGCGGGGAAGGGGTTCTTGAAGTCCTCGAATTGGATAACGATACTGTCACACGATCAGTTACTGCATTTGGCAATCGTGGTGTTGTACTCACTTGGGCCACTTGTCGGTCAGGGCAACCATGAGCTCGTCGAGGAACTCCTTCTCCTCCTCGGGAGTGACCTTAGGCACCCTTGAGCCCATGTACAGGGGATCCTCGCGGAGAGCCTTGTTGTTTGTGCCCAAGTCGAGGGTAAGAGGAAGGGTGGCCTCGGGACGGATACCAGCGCAGGCAGTGTACAGAGACAGCTTGCCAACGGGGATACCCATACCGTTCACACCGAGATCTCCGAGACCCAGAATACGAGAGCCGTCTGTGAGGACGGTGATCTCGACCTCGTGGGGCCAGTTGTCGAGGATCTGGCGGAGGTTGCCACGGTCGCTGAAGGAGAGGTACATGCCCTCAGGCTGTGTCCAGATCTCGTGCCATCTTACGCAGGCCTCGCCGACAGTCGGGGTGTAGATGAGGGGAGTCAATTCCTGTGATACTGTCAGCTGAATGCTCCTCTGATGTTCGGCGGGCAACTCATACCTTGATGTTCTGCGAGAGCAGCCTGTAGAACAGGTGCACGTTTGTGGCCTTGAGGTGGACAAGGTACTGGAACTTCTCAATTGGGGTGGTCTTCGTGGCAAGGAGCCTGAGGCCTGTGGTGATTGTCAGGACATGCCAATGGCAGAACTAGAGGAACAATTGCATGACGTACATCGCTGGGCTTGCACGTCGAAGCTCTCGACGGCAGGAGGAGTCAGACCGTATGTTCCAAGGTGCTTGCGAACATCTGGTGAGTTTGACAAGCAGAAGTCACCGCTCCTGTGAGACTAATCAGTTGCTGCGACTGCTGCATGTGCTGCAATGGTAGCGTACGTTGTGGTCAATTGCCTGGTAGGCATGGTAGGCCTTTGTGTGGGGGAGTCTGATTGAGCCATTTCTGAAGCTACTGAGGCCATACACCGGAACTGTGAGAGTCTGGGGAAACGGAATGCAGTTTTGGCGCCTCGCGAGGGAAGGGCGCCTTTTAAGAGCGAAGTAACACGCACGGTATGCATTGACGTCCGAAGCTGACAGGATCCTACAACCGCGGCATATAAAAAGAGAAAGAGAAAGACGGTCCGCCTGGGAACGGTGTTTGAGGATGGTAGTAACGACCTATCGGATGCTCTCAATTCTTCTCACAGAGGAGAGCCGGCGACCTTCATCATTCCGCCTGGCAACTTTTGTGAGCACAGGCCAGGGCCCAGGGCGCGAGCGCCCGCTGTTAGCGAGTCATAAGTTCTGCGGACTCCTTAGGGCCACGATATATCGGGAAGACTCGGGAGTCCGTTACTGAGCGCAGTCAAGAGGAATGTTCCGCGGTGGGAGAGTCCACAATTCCATGGCTTCTCGCCCCTACGAATGACACATGAAGCTGTCGCGTTGGTGCTGAGCTTCGAGACGAGTCCGCAAACCCCTGGCGGCGGATCGACTAACTTCAGACTGCCCATTCACAGGGCTGCCGAAGGATTTCATCAGGCATCAAGAGGCATTTTTTGGTTTGTCCAAGCGCTACGGCGGCGTAAACATACGATGCGGATCTTGTTGCTGGCTGCGCCTTGTGCGTGCTCTCCTAGTGTCACGGATGCTGTCTCGGAGTGTTCAGCGAGTTCCCAAAAAAGTCTTGAATACGCAAGCAGGAGCAAGTCACGATTAAACCATGAGGAAGTCAATCCATAGTCATAAGCATTCAAGAGCACAGTCCGTCCAACTTGAAACACGATTGCTCTGCTGTTCACGATGCGCCCTGCGAGCACGAGACGCGCATGCATTATTGCGTGAAGTTTCTGGACGGTGGACCAACCCTTGCAGCACCCGCTAGGGGACCGATGATCCGAAGGAAGAGCCTTACAACCCTGTGCTGTGCGACAAAAAATGGGGGATGCATTTGTAACATCTGTGGAAAGGGGTCAATGGCACCGCGTTTCCGTCCGTAAACTCCGAAACAACCTGGTGCACATTTTCCCATGCTCTCACCGTTATGCCGCACAGCAGCGCGGATTCTCTACAAATGATGTCTGTTCTGGCGCACCGGAAGCAGACGAAGCTAAAAATCCTGGAGAGCGGTAGGGTCCCCGCTCCGACAGTCGCTGATCTCCCTAAGCTCCTCTGGGTCTATGGGGGGAGTTTTAGCTGTATCCACTTGACAACGAAAAAATAAGCCGGAAACCAGCAAACGTACGATGCAATTCAATCGTTGAACGACAGCTGAACGACAGGAGCACGCGAGCAACTGTCCGTCCTTGTGCATGCGTTCACGATGTTCGTTGTAGCATTCCAAGAAGATCGTAGTGTGTAACTCTGGAGTTCTCGCCGTTCCCCACAGTCTGAGGACCCTTCTGGAAGATGGGAATTTGAAGTGGACCAGAGGCTGAAAATACGATATCGGGTCCGATCGCGGCAGTTGAAGAGCAGTTGCTACGCAAGAGTCCAAGTCGGAGTCCGACGAGGCTAGAATGTCGGAGGAATGTCACTAGATCCTGCAGAGTGAAGTCGTCAGAGTGAGCGCTGTCGCCAGCGGAGGAAGACGCAATACTCAAATCCTGCGCGATGCTGAGGACCTCCAGGCTCAGCGAGATACTTTCTCGGTTTTGAAGATCGCATGGTTTGTCGATCAGAACTGCTGCGAACTGCTGTCAACTGTCATGATGCTGCGACGTTTTGTTGACTTGCTTGGCCTGGGGAAGGCCGTCTGGGCATGGAGGAGACGCGTGGGGACTGCGCTTGACCTCTAGAGGTTTGACTTCCTCCAGAGCTCCAGCTTCAAATCTTGGCACACCAGCCACAGCAGCCACACAATGACGTCTAGGGTAGCTCCTGCTTGGCTCGCTTAAGCTTGTATTTACAAGCTCCAGGAGCGTCATGATGATCGTGTGCACGCGCTTGGCAGTTGCCTTGATGTCGTGTAATTGAGTTTGATGAGCAGCTTTCACGCCTCAACACCATCAATTCCACCAAAATGTCATCTTGTCTTGGGTTCCGTAAACGCGGCGATGACCAGCAGCCGCTGCTGCCCCAGTACCGCGATGACACGGTCCTACAGGTGCGCGTGCTGCATACCGTACCGTGAATAGCTTCTGACATGTGAACAGAGGGAGCTCCACCAGAAGCTGCACTCGTACCAGATGATCCGTGCTCTTGGGAAGGGATTCATGCCCTCCAATGAGCAAGCGATCATCAACCTTCGAACCCTCCTCGCCGCCGACATCCTTAACCCCGACAACCCAGAACTCAGCGACTCCGGACGCCTACTTGTCAAGTTCACCAAGCAATGGCTTCACCAGTTCATCGAGCTGTTACAACACAAGAACAGCAAAGATCAGATCCAGGACTTCCTCTGGTACTTGTCCAAGGCCCGCGTCGAGGTGGATGTAGCAGACATCGCACGTAGTGCTACTCGATCTAAGGCTAAGGCCGACACATTCGCAGGTTAGTTCAGGTGATTCGTTGTGGCCAACATTACTGATATCATACAGCCTACCAAAGCCTCCAAACCGTCGGCTCGCTACTGCTCACGAACTCGGACTTCCGCATCTTCTTGTCAGACCTTAACACTGTTGGCCGGGAAGTGTTCAAGGACACTGCATTCACAATTTCAGACGTTGCGAAGGAAGTTGGTAAGAAGGTCGAGCCTTCTGAAGCAGAGCAGAAGGCACTGAAAGAGCCGGGTGCAGATGCTGGAAACGGCAAGGCTGCGTCGTCTGAGGAGTTGAATGGCGAGGTTCAAGAGGTCGCTAAAGTTGTTGCGTCAGGTGCCGTCGAGGTAGCTCAAGAGGCCGGCAGTAGCATTGCCGACAAGCTCCAAGGTGCCGAAGGTGATTCGCTGCTGTACAGGCTAAAGAAGACCGTCACAAACCTACGACAGAAGCGCGACTACTCCGACTCGGTCTCGACGCTGTCCTTGCTCCTCCAGAGATATGCCAGGACATACTCCCGCATGGCTGAGGAGGCCGTGGGCACCGTCCAAAATGATGTCGACACGAATCGTGAAATGGACAAGGCTGTGAAGAACTTCTGGTTGCTTATGAGTTCGTTCGGTGATCGCAACGATTGGAAGGAGCTCGAGACTCGTTTCCACAAGCTCCTGGAGCACTCGAAGAGGGACCCAGCATTCGAAGACCTACTCATGGACGTTGGCAACTCACTACAGAAACTCTTGACCGACCCAGACTTCTTCGACCATGTTGACGAGAAGTTCCAGGAGCTCCGTAAGAAGTCGAGCGGTGTCGGCAATGACTCTTCACTGCGCAAAGACGTAGATGCTTTCTTCGAGCAGACTCAGAGGACATTTGCAGCAGTAGCGCGCGATGAGGATGTTGCAAAGCTCATCCAGTCAACGTTCAGAATCTGGAGCATTCTGTCACCTCAGCACAGCTACACCAACACTGAACTGATCCAGGACGCTATAAACGTTTTCGTTCCCTTGATCATCTCGGCAATCCAGTACGTTCCCATTCCGCGTCTCGAGGTGTCCACCCCAGAAGTCGATCTTCTCTTGGAGAACCTCATTATCGAGCCTGGAAAGACCATCAATCACACATCCTTCCTGCCCTTCCGCTTCAAAGTCGAGACATACAACGACTTCGAGCTACGAAAGGCTCGATTCCGCGTTGCTTCCAAGGCGACATCCAAGTTCACAATCAAGATCGATGGGCTCTCTTTCCGTGCCGATGAGATTGGTTTCCTCCTACGAGCTCACTCCGGCCTGCTCCGCTTAGCAGATGAAGGTATTGCCTCATTCCAGATGGACGAGCGTGGCCTTGACATTCACCTCGACGTCGAAATTGGCAAGGAGAAGCAAGAGCAGATGCTCACTCTACGCGCTGTCCGCGTCAACATCCACAAGCTGAGCTACACATTGCGCAAGTCCAAGTTTAGTTTCTTCGGCTGGATCATGAAACCTCTCCTTCGCCCAGTCATCCGCAAAGTGATGGAGATGCAGTTGGCGAAGGGTATCGCCGATGCCATTCACTCCGCCAACCGCGAGCTTCTATTCGCGAGAGAGAGGTTGAGGGCTACACGCATCTCGGACCCTGACGACCTGAGGACATTCTTTAAGGCTGTTCTTACTCGCCTGACACCAGAGGACGATCCCGATCTGTACACTCGTGTCGGTGTTGCCGCACCAGGCAAGGGTGTCTTCGCTGGCAAGTACGCACCTGGCAGTGTTGTCAAGCTGTGGGAAGAGGAAGGTCGCCGGGCGACCGAGAGAATCGATGACTGGGACGAGGGTGGCTGGAGGAACGATGTGTTCGATCTTCACACACAGATGCTTTCTTGAACGTAGGCTTCCACATTCGTCTTCCTTGAGTGCACCTAGGGTTATGGAGTTTTGAGGCTGCCAAAACACAGGTCTGCTTTCGTCACGCCGTTACACGATACCTCAGATTGTAGTATATCTAGCAAGCGTACATGTACACAATGATCATGATTTATGAAGTTCCGAGTTCTCGAGCTTTGTTTTCAAGTGTAGCTCCTGATCACCCACTACAAAATCGTATCCAAGTTCAGCAGACTAATGACAATGTTTTGGATGGATCGAAAGGAACAACTCAATGAGACGAAGACGAAAGAAGATAAATTGGATGCCAATATGTGCCAATACTCCAAACCAAACCAATACAACGCTCTATGCCAAAATGAGGATCCAGACACCACTAAAGTCTCAAACCTCATTTCAGTATACTATCCCCCGCCCGTCTCCTATCCTTCTTCAACGGACTAAATGTAAATGCCTCCTCACTCAACATCCCGAACCCGCCACTAATCGGCCTGCTCCCCTTACTCAGAACGCTCTTCCCCAGCGCCCGTGCCGCAAACAAGCCCTTCCCACTTCCCACTCCCAGGCCAACGGGCTTCGGCTGCGACCCATCCTCGTCGTCCTCATCAGCATCGAATAACGTTTTCCCTGCTGTGGCGCCGAGTTTGCGCTTCTTCTTCTTCTCAGCTGCCGGCTCGTCGGTGAAATTCGCAAAGGACATTAGGGATTTGCGGGGTTTGGGTGCAGAGGATTTTTTTGCCTTGAGGGTTGGGGCAGTGCTGTCGTCGGCGTCTTTGAGGGGGATCTTGGTGGGTGCGTTTTCTGAGAGTTCTTTGGTGGTGTTGTGCGAGGTTTCGGAGGTTTCTTCATCAACGGCGGCGAGGACGGACGATAGCGCTGTCTTCTTGCGTGGCTTGGGGTTTGCTTTTACGGAGGCGGTGGGGGCGAGGGGTTTGCTTGACTTCAGTTTCGGTGCTTTGATGGGGGCGGCTTCTTCTTCGGCGTCTTCGTCCTCTTCGGCGATGGGCGAACCTGGAGCGGCGCTTGTGCGGTTCAAGAAGGGTGTGAGGGAGAAGGTCGATGTGTCGCCCATGGCGGACACGGAGGTGCCGCGCTTGAAGCGCTTTGCTGGCGCGTCTCCGGGGGTTCCTAGGTTTGTCTCTGGTTCGACGGATGCTGCGGTGCGCTTGCGGATGTTCTTAACAGCCTTTGTGGCTTCGGTAGCGATCTTGGTGGGTGGTGCGGTTTGGGCACGCTCTACGCGCTCGAGCTGGGCTTCCTTCTCCTTCAGCTTTTCTTTTGTTGTTCGTAGCTTCTCCCGGAAGGCATTGAGTTTGTCGTCCAGAACGGTGTTACGGCCCTGGAGTTCGGCTAGCGTTTTGGTGTATTCCTTCTCTTGCTTCTTACGCTCGCGTTTCTCCTCGTCAAGCTCCCTCTGTGCATCGCCAGCCTGATCCGTCTGCTGAGAGCTCTTCTTCGCTGCCTTTTCTGCCTTTTCTGCCTTTTGACGCGCTTGCTTCTCCAGCTCGAGTTCCTCTCGGAGCTGCTCAACCTCTGCGTTCTCAGAGACAGCTTTCTTGAGCGCCTTCTCAGCCTTGGCGCGTAGAGCCTTTTCTTGCTCCAGCTCCTGGCGAAGCTCTTCATGCGCAGCGTCGTTCGCCTCGTCGCGCTTGCTCGCCTTCGAGTCCTTCTTAGCAAGCTTCTCGAGCCTGGCCTCCAGCTTTTCGGTCACTCTTTGCTGAGACTCCAGGTCCGCCTGTACCTTCTCGACCGCCTTCTCAGCCTTTGCGACGGCAGCTTCTGCTTTTATACGATCTTTCTTCTCAGTAGCAAGCTCTTTGCGGACCTCCTCCAGCTCATTACGCAGCTCATCGTCTTGCTCCATTTTCTTTCCCTGCTTCGAGATGGTACGGGCAGAAGTTCGCTTCTCGTTCTCAAGTTCGACTTGTAGTGTGGTAAGCTGGCGCTGTAGGGATAGCTTCTCAGACAGAAGACCTTGGTTCGATTCGACTTGTGCGCGCAGGTGCTCGACTTCTGGGCGCAGCGATGAGATCTCGCGGGACAGGGCGAGTTTTTCGGAAAGGATCTTGTTCGAGTCGGATGTGACGTTTTCCATAGCCTTGAGTTCGGCCTACTTGGGGTGAGTAAGGACCGCATGGTGGCTAAGGCAAGTGCGCATACCTTGAGATTCGCGATCTCGCGCGACTGAGTGCGAATCTGGTTCTGCGCCGCTTCGCCTGCAGCTTTCTGTTCGTCTAGGGTCAGAAGCGCATCGTCCAGCGCGTTTTCGAGCTCGTCTGAGCGGGCTTGTTCTTCCTCCAGCTGTTCGTGGAGGTCGCTGTTGTCGCTCTCCAGGAGACACTGGCTGACTCGCAGCTTCCGGATTTCCTCGTCCTTTGCAACGACTTCGACTGAGTGTTTGCTTCTTGCAAGGCTTATTTCAAGCGTTGCGCTGCGCAGCGAATGTTGGAGCTGGAAGGTGGCGGTGTCAGTGTTTGTGTATAAAGGTGCAACAACAAGCCAGACAGGGTCCCGCTAGGCTCCACTGGACGTGCGTTCACTCACATCTTTGATCTCATAGCTATGATCTATATCTGAGTCCACGGCGACGGCCATGGTGTTATTACTGCTGAATGATGCGCGGATGTTGTAGGTTTAGGGTGCGAGTACTGGAGGGGTGGTGACGCGACTTGACATGGTAAACAAAACACCCGTGGATGCGCGAGAGCCGTCAGAACACCAACACTCAATAAACCCCTGTATCAGAGATGCTAAGAGGCCGAACTCGTTGACTGGCTCAGCACCTTCTAGCTGACTACGGTTGGGATTTGCACACACTTCTGATACCTACATATGTCCTGCTGCTGCTTGGAGGCATGCCCTCCATAGTCGCTCTACAGATCCCTGTAGTCTTGGCGCATTACGCATGCCGGAGGCCACGTTAAGCATCGTCGACCTCACCAGCAGCTCTCCTTCAAGCTTCGCCCCGCCGCAACCACATTTCCTACCGACACAATGCGGTGGTTCCAGGTTCTTACAGCTTCGCTGCTACCCTTTACAGCTCTTGCAGCCAAGAAGACTGGCGACAAGTTCGCCGATGCCCGTGCCAAATCGCTTGAGATCGGTCGTCCGCTGAAGCTCGATGACGGCGGTTACGGCTCGTTGACCAAGGGCCAGCGGGACTACTCGGTTGTCGTGTTGCTTACTGCTCTGGAAACAAGATTTGGGTGTGTACTTTGCAGAGAGTTCCAGCCAGAGTGGGATCTGCTGGGTAAGAGCTGGATCAAGGGCGACAAGGCTGGGCAGTCGAGGACACTCTTTGGAACATTGGACTTTGTAGATGGAAAGAACACCTTCCAATCGGTATGACAGACTCTTCAAGAGTGTGAGCATGGATTTGGCCGGCTAACATTGTCCAGCTCCAACTCCAAACCGCACCTGTCCTTCTGTTCTTCCCTCCCACCGTCGGCCCCAACGCAAAGATCGATGCGCAGCCTGTCCGCTACGACTTCACATCTGGGTAAGATGCCCCTTTGACGCTACCCAGCTCTTCCGCTGACACCACACAGCCCGCAAGCCGCCGAGCAGATCCACGCCTGGGTCTCCCGCCAGCTCCCCGCCGACGTCCCCAAGCCCAAGATCTCGCGCCCCATTAACTGGGTCAAGATCATCTCGGTCACCACCGCCGTCGTCGGAGGCATCACCGCTCTCGCCGTTGCCTCGCCCTACGTCCTTCCCCTCCTCCAGAACCGCAACCTCTGGGCTGCCTTCTCTCTGATCACCGTCCTGCTCTTCACTTCTGGACACATGTTCAACCATATCCGCAAGACTCCCTACGTACAAGGTGACGGCAAGGGCGGTATCAGCTACTTTGCCGGTGGATTCAGCAACCAGTTCGGTCTCGAGTCGCAGATCATCGCTGCGATTTACGGTGTTCTGGCGTTCGCGACAATCTCGCTTGCGCTCAAGGTTCCTAGGATTGCGGATTCGCGGGCCCAGCAATTTGCTGTGTTCCTGTGGAGCGGTGTTTTGCTGTGCATGTACAGCTTCCTGCTCAGTGTGTTCAGACAGAAGAACGGCGGGTACCAGTTCTGGCTGCCTCCGTTCTAGACGATGGAGATAGCTTGGGAGAGAAAAGCAGTAGTAACCAGGTAGACTCGATGTCAGAGGAAGAAGATTTGCGTATGCGCGCCACATCAGATGCGGCATGCTCGGTGTACCATCTGCGAGGCAGACTTGCACCACTAGGCGTTTTGGGTGCATCTCAGGAATAGGCCGAAGCGCCAAATCCATCATGTTGCCATATCATCAATTCATACTTTTTTCCAGCTCTCATGAACACCCTCAGTGCCTCATCTTCACAGCAGGCCAGCACAAGCCTCACTGCTTGTCCTCATAATCCCTGGCCCACACACTCTTGAACTTCTCCTTGTCCACCGCAAACTCCAACAAGAAATCCCTCTCCAAATCATGCGTCCTCCGTCCCAGCAGCACCAGACTATGCAACGGCTTGCCCAAATCAGCATCACACAGCTCCCCCAGCGTGCCAGCAACAATCTTCTCATCCTGCGCACCCACCCGCGCAACACCGACCGCCAGACTCTCCCGGCTGTAAACACCCTCCTTCTTAACATCCTCCTCGACCTCCAGCATCTGCTGCGCACACTGCGCCACCGTCATGTAGCGCGGCGGCTCGTAGATCTTGCGCCCGCGCGCCATGTTCTCGAGGCTCTGTTCCTTGACCTTGATGTCGAGCAGGACGAGCGTGTGCAGCCCGATGCGGGCGTTCTCGGCGATCCGGTCGTAGAAGGAGGCCGGCTTCCAGTTGTCGAGGAAGAACACCATGGAGACTGTTTGCCCGAAGTTGTAGAGTTGCAGGCCGGTCGTGCCGATCGAGGTGAGGATTGAGGCGTTGGGTACGCTGCGTGTGGGGATGGAGAGTTCGCGCGCGCGCAGGACGAGGTCGGTATGTGTTGTTGCTCTGGAGGGTGTCAGACGCTTGCTCAACATGTGTATGTGTGTGTATGTGTATGTGTGTGTATGTGTATGTGTGTGTGTATGGGTATGTGTGTGGGTATGTGTATGTGTATGGGTATGGGTATGGGTATGGGTATGTGCATGTATGCGTGTGTCTGGGAGTGTGTGAAGGGATGGGGAACGTACCCAAATGGATCTCCCACAACGAGGAACGCGACGTCGACTTTGTCTGCGTCGGCGAGGATGTCGTCGCTGGACGATTCGACCATCTCACGGTCGGCGATGATTACTTCGCGGCCGTAGAAGGACTCCTACTGCGTGCTGATTAGCAGCCTCCTATACCATAACATGTCCAACTCACAAGCACTTCCTTGTCCACAAGCAAGACAGCCGTGTACGCTTCAAGGTACACGCGCTCGGCCTTCTTGACGATCTCGAGGCCGCGGACGGTGATGTCCTTCTCATCTGCGAGACCGAGTCCTACGAGGTACAACATGGTGGCGGTTTGTCGTGTGATATGTTGTAGGTAGAGTCAACTTTGGGTGGGGAACTGGACGATTTTCAAAAGTTCGCGGGGCTGTTGCGCTCGTAGGGCTGAGCCGAGCAGGGGTCTGTCGCGCTAGTGACCCTCAAACCGCGTGCCCTGTGTGCGACTTCCATCAGTTGCGCCGGGCTTGCGCATCGATTGACACTCCGTGGGCGCTGCTTGGGGAAGCCAGTGAAGTGCGGTAGCGAGCGGCCGTACGTTTCCCTGGGTTTTTACTCTCTTGACGACTCCACGACCACACCTTCATACATCAACATCCACGTGAACTTCCACCATGGCGGACAAGGACAAGATGGCGAAGTACCGGACGGAGATCCAACAGGTTGGTCACTTTCTTGGTCATTCAGTGTTGTCTGCCTCTTCGTCTACTTTCTCTGCTTTTCTGATTCCTTGCGCTCGTTTCTCTTTCCGTTACCTCGTGCAAACCGACACGAGCGTACATGTCGTATCTTCCTCGAATCTTTGAACTAGAGCTTTAGTCCAGACATGTATCATGATCTGTCGTTCTAAGATTCCTCTGTCTCTCAAGACCTTCACTCTTTCGATCTTACGTTTATCACGCGCTATCCACCATATTCTCTGCTGCCCTGTACCTCGTGTCCTTATATACATTCTTGCTTTCTTTCCACAACCACATTCAGTATCCAAATAGTCTCAAAACGACCATCTAACGTTACCCAGATGATGTTCGTCTCCGGCGAAACCGGCGAGCCCTCACCCGAAACCACCACCCTAATCGAATCCATCGTGCAAGACCAAGTCCAACACATGCTGCGCGAATGCACATCCCTCGCCACCCGACGGGGCTCCAAATCCATCTCCACCGACGATCTATTCATGCTAATCCGGCACGACCGGGCCAAAATCTCTCGTCTACGGCACTTCCTGCAATGGAAAGATGTGCGGCGCTCCGTTAAAGACTCCGACGATAAGGGCGGCGACGCAGGCGCCGACGTCGGCACGGGCGACGCTGACCTGGCCGCGGGCGTCATGGGCGGTGGCCCAGTCGGGCCGGGACCCGAAGCAGGTAAGAAGGCGAAGAGGGCGAAGGTGGATTTGGTGTGGGATGTGCATAGTTTCTTCACCGAGTTTCCGCCGCAGAAAGACGATGTCGAGGACGAGGAAGAGGAGGAGATGAACTTTGCTACCTTACAGAGATTGAAGAACGCCGATGAGCGCACCAAGAATATGACGCGTGAGGAGTATGTGCACTGGTCTGATTGTCGTCAGGCATCATTCACCTACCGCAAGGGCAAGCGATTCAAGGAGTGGGCGGGCTTTGGGCTCATCACAGACTCCAAACCCTCCGACGACATCATCGATATCCTAGGGTTCTTGACGTTTGAGATTGTGCAGACGCTCACAGAGGAGGCACTCAAGGTCAAGGATGCAGAGGATGCATATAAGAAGAGCACGGGCGGCGAGCAGAATAGGCTGAAGAGGAAGAGGGAGAGGGGCCTGTTTGACCCACCGGAGGAGGCGAGAGAGCCTGTGCAGCCAGGGCATGTGCAAGAAGGGTATAGGAGACTGCAGAGAGGGAATAATAAAAGCAGGGCGATGTTGAATTTTACGAGGAATACGCATCGTGCGGCGTTGAAGCTGGTAAGTATCTATTTTTACTTGTGAATGGCAGGTTGCTAACAACGAACAGATCTAAAAGCCCGACTTTGCTGTTCTTTGATGCGGGAGGATGGCGTTAGGGACTTCTTTGAGATCCATCAGCTGGCGGTACGGTGTTTGGCGTTACATGATGGCATATCCATATACGTCTATCTCCATTACAGCAACTCGTCGTTTGTGCTTAGGGTCAATCAGGGTAGGACAGATGTCATGGTCAAGCTAGTGGCGAACATAGTTGAACAAGACATCAATTCATCATGGACCTGGGGACAATAAGAAAGAAGATTAACTCCAAGATTGACCACTCGTTTCTAATGTGCCGATGCATCCTATCCCTTTTTCATGGACATTCATAAGCATCGGGAGTTCAGAAGAGGCAGCCTTGTCAGTCGGGTATGCAGCATGGAGAAAAGTGCTCGTTTGCAACCCAGACGTACATGAAACATGACCGCATATGCCGAGATAGAAAGGAGATTTACGCCCTCCTTTAACCCTGAAAAGACCCACGCCGGTTGTTTATCATGTCGTCCATCTACTGCTCGTCGCCCAGCTGAGCAACACGCTTCTGCTGCACGCGCTCCTGCCTCCTCTCCCTCGCGGCCTTGGTCTTCGCACGCTTGGCGTCCATCTCCTCCTTGATAGCCCGGTCGCGGGCCTTCTCGGCCTTAGCCTTGTGGATCTGCGCTGTATGTCAGTAGCCGGACTCTGAGCGAGGGTGACAGAATTATGATGTCATGTCAGGGTGGACGTACGTGCTCAACGAGGGCACGCTTGTGCTTGAAGGTGTTACCCTTGGAGAGGTGGTACAACTCGTGGTAGAGGTGCTTGTCGATCTTGCCGGCGGCGCGGTACTTGACCAATAGACGGCGGAGGACACGGAGACGGCGCATCCAGAGGACTTGGCTGTGATTCCGTGTCAGCAACTGTTCCATGTGCGTCTGCTCACCGCACTCTGCTATGTCGTGTCCTTCATATCGCGTGCAGTGGCGGTGTCGGTGTTGCATACCTGGGCATACGAGCGTCGGCGGTACCCTTCCTCTTACCGAAACCACGGTGACGACCGATACGGCGGGCGGCGGTCAGCTCACGGGCACGGGCGCGCGAGTGCATGGTGACGGGCTTGCGGATGATGAGGCCATCCTGAACGAGCTTGCGGATGGTCTGGCGAGAGTTGGCGTTGGCGATCTCGCTGGTCTCGTTGGGGTCGAGCCAGATCTTGCGCTTGCCGCAGCCGACAACGGAGGCCGCAAGGCGCTTCTGCGTGCGGAGGTTGACCCTGTTAGACATTTCCGTCAGTACTCTGCTCTCGTGGTGTGGTGTAGGCGGCGTGTAGGAAGATTGTGCAAAGAGGGGCTCGCCACTTCTCGAGTCGCTCTGGGAGCAGCATCGCGAGTCGGGGAGGTCGTAGGACAGTCGCAATTGCTTCTCGATCGATGGATATTGTGTCTGCGGCCGGGTTCCTTACATTTTCGATGATGTTGTCGACGGTGGTCGTTGGTGAGCTGCGGGTTAGTACGGAGAGTCGCTGAAAGGACGTTGTGCGTTGTGGGAGCTCGCTTACAAAATTGAGGAGCCAAGCCGCGCTAGTCGGGCAGCTTCCCCTCACGTGCATCATTCATTACGCTCCGAAACACAATTGTTTCACGGAGCATTGGTCATGTTCATCGTTCAGACTGCGAGTCGCTTGCAGTTGTTAGTTGCTGTCTGCAAATTCTGAAGATATTCACGCAATTGCTTCGCACCAGGCTTCCACGCATTGTTTCTAACATCACAACCACTGTTCGCTTGACATCTCGACATGCACTTTTGGCAGATCTCATGTTACGCAGTGCACTTTCCGATCTCTCGCAGTGCACTTAATCCTGACTGGAGATACATCGTGGTCGTGGTCTCACACGTTGGCCAGCATGCACTCAAAGTGACTCATCCCAGATCGTCATAAGCTAGGCTTGTAACCAGAGGCGCCGCGGAGGCTGCTCGCAGCAGTGGCGAGGTCGTCAGCTTAGGTACACTCCTAACTCACGATGAAAGCAAGCAGGAAACTGTTCTTGAGGTGTTATGGTAAGAATGCATTCATATCTTCTCCTTTCTACTGCAACTTAAGGTCTTCTTCACTCAGTACGCCATACAACTTTTCGATCTCCTGCCCAATGATACCAAGGTCATGCGCCAGCTGTCCAGTCACCAAAGCTGTGTGGTACGTCAGTACAATGTCTCAGTCTGCAGGCACGACAATGGGGGGACTCACCATAAGCATACAACAGCTCGTAGTCCTCATCCTTGGCTATGACCTTGCCAAGCCCAGTCTGCCTGAACTCGAACACCTTCGCAAGCAATCGGTCTCTGGTGTGCTCAACGTTCGGCAGGACATCGTTCAGCGGGTACGCCAACTTCATGGAGGATGCCATGACTGCAATCGGTCAGTCATTACAGCGTAGTGCATATGTAGTGGGTTGACTTACCAGAGAACAAATGACTAATTCGCCAACTGAGTTCGGTCCATTCCTTCTTTGTGTACTTGAGCACTTCCTTTTCTCCTTCAGACGCCTTGAGATCCTTCAGTATGATGACATTCATAGCGTGCATGCTATCCAGTATGCGACTCGTTGCACCTAGGATGACCTTGAAGCTCTTAGCAGGGAACGGGCCTCTGAGCTCGAACTCGAATGTTGCAGCGGTACAGAGCGTTTCTAGATGGTTCAGGAAGCGACGTAACTCAAACTCCTCCCGCTCACTCATGTAAGAGTACGGTTTGTGGGTGTCGCCCAAGTTGGCTTCCAGGATTGTCTTGAGCGGACCGCGCTTCCAGATCAACCCCATCTTGAGCCATAGCAGGGAGGTACCCTTCTTCAACTTCCGTCGTGCAGAGATGGGCCAGATGAGCCTAGTGACCACGATACCCCAGATGCATCCAACCATGACGGCTACGACACGGTGCAGCACAATCTCCCAGATCTCAGGGGAAATACCACCTTCGTCGCTGTCGTCTTCGTCCTCGTCTTTGACCGACAGTGAGTAGGCGTACAGAGCTGACAGATTGTAGGTAAGCAAGATGAACCGACCCATGGGCCCCTTGCCTTTGCCAACAATGATGTAAAAGCAAAGCAGGGAGACAAGCCAGCCAAAGAAACCGAGCAAGTAGGGGCTTTCGTCAGCCACGATCCAAGCAATGATGGCATAGCCAGCTCCAAGGCAGGTACCGAAGAATCGCTGGAAGCCAGTTGTGTTAGATGCGCCAATGGTCATGGAGCACACCAACATGTAGGACAAGAGACCCCACTCGCCGCGCCAATGCCCGTACAGCTCGCGTGTTGGCTTGATAAATGACCACATGGCGTACAAAACAGCACCGATGCCGACTTTGACAGCATACTTCAAATCATCTCTTCTGAAAACTGACAGGGCAACCCAGGTGCGGTACGATAGTGGTTGTTCTTTCTCGGACTTGTAAGGATCGCCGCGTGTGGACCTGCGGTAGATCGGGTTGTGGATCTCATGTGAGCCACCTGGCGTCTGATTCGTGCCTTCGTCGATCAAGCTCGAGTTCTCTGTATGCTGTTAGTGTTTGGTCTAGATGGTATAGCAGGTCCGTACCAGAATCGTCGCTATCTGAGCGCTTGCTCTTGCGCCCTCTCTGCCAAAACCTGAGCCACCTCCAACTTCTGCGACGCGGGTAGAGATTGACGTTTGTCTTCAATTCTTCCAGTACATCCAAAAAGATTACCATGTCTTCGGCAAAGTCTTCCAGTGAAGAACTGAAATATCCGCAGCTTGCAGCCACCTCTTCAAAGTCAGCAGCGATGGCTGCTGATCCGGTCTTGGTGGGTATCTTGGTCTTATAGACGACATCGAGTGCTTCACGTTTAGCGTTGGAAAAAAGCGCCTTTGCGTCCACAAGACTGTGTCGGAAGTGTTCGTTGATAGTCATGTCGTAATCCGGCCCTGGTCCAAACGGGAGCTCTGAGAGCACTTCGCGTAGTGTGTACGTCAGAGATTTCTGTTGAATCAGTAGTCTGCCTGATTCTAGGAATGAGATCTTACCATGGGCGGCCCCAAGTGTGCAATGAAGACAGAGAACATGTCTGCAGGTGTGAGGTTGGATTGCACGAAGCCAGGTAGTCTGGAAGAGTAGTCGCGATTACTGGACTCGTCGTCTGAAGCATCGGCTGAAGGTTGCACGGACGGTTCGCCTGTGGTAGGCTCAGGAAGTTCATCGATAGAAGCAAGGATGCTTGTGCGTCTTTCTGTGTGACTAAGACTTGGGGAGAGTAGCTGAGGTGGACTTTGCGACAAGTTGTTCTCAGAGAAGATGGACGAAGTGACTATGCCGTTTGCAGGCATACCGTCTAGTGGCGTGCCAACGCTCGTGTTTGACTGGGCGAGCAGTGTGAACTGCGTCTCTGCCGCACTCCTTAAGCCACCGATGCTCTGAATCAGCTTCTCGAGGCACTTGACGAGCCGAGCACTGATCTTGTATTCCTCTTCAGTGCCAAGTACATAGTGTTCGAACTTGGCTTCTCCCAGATTCTTTACGAGTGTTTTGTATGCCGACTGGCTTTTATTCGAAGCTTTGACGAAAGACTCGTTCCTCAAGTCCTGCTCGGCGCCAGAGAGAAAGCTGCGGGCGATGGCATTAAGGTTCTCAGCCATTGCATCAGTAGACTGGATGAACGTATCTCGGTATTCGGTTCGCGCTGATGTCGGTCGTACCAGAAGAGCCACTGCTGCTGATGCCGTACACCCCATGATAACCATCTTTAGCACTTGCCAAATCTTGACGTACGAAAAGGTTGCATTCTGTACAGCCCCTTCTTTAGTCAGCACCGTGATCAACGCAAGTGATGTCAAAGAGCAGGCCACGTTGACCAGCGGATTGCCCAACTTGTGCTTGGTCCAACCCACAAGGCCTAGGCCAGCTCCACAGAATACAACGAGGACAATGGCATGCCCAACGACAAGTAGATGCTGGTGTCCAAACCAGGCAGATACGGCCATGCTGGAGAAGGACACGAAAGCAGCGTACATGAAGGCGGCGAACGCCAATATGACAGCTTCGATCATGCTACCAGCTGAGCGCGCAGGATGGAAGTAGACCGTAACTGTAGCGACCATGTGCTTTCCATCGTTCTTGCCGAGCAACCCAGCGATTTGGGGAACAAAGGTAGCCAAAGAACCCAATATATATGCGAGCGAGCACTTCAGTATGCCAATACCGGTCGGGGAGGTCGCGTATGCGTAGGCTTGTCGTAGTCGAAACTTGAAGTCCTCCCAAAGCCTCTCAAACTTTCCCATCTCCTCATGTCGTGCTGGATCGAACTGGCCAGGCGCAAGCAGGAATTCGGAAGATTCGGTATTGCGGTGAGAGGATCGCCGAAGGGTAAAGTTTCTTCTGACACGCTCGCCAGTCTTCGGTTGTATCATCGTCACCGAACGTAGCTACGGCAAGGCGTGAGCTCATTGTCTATTGAGAGTGCTCCTTCAAGCATGTATGGCGCTTACACTAGGCCGCAGGTAGCGGCGCTCCGCTGGAGTCTGTAGAGACTCAGTCATCGTGATGTCTCGGTGCTATCAGGGCCTAGATTGCTGCTTCGGACATGGTGGGTAGGTTGAAGGACGAAGTCCAATGCGGCGCTGCTGTGAAGCCCAGTCGAACTAGACGCGATCGTGCTGAGCACATGTCAAGGCTGACAACTGACGTCAATCCCGCCTCAGCCACCTTCTTTTCCATTTTGTAAAAGTTGTTTCATATACACTCCTTGTCATGACAGACTAATTTCCGAACGATTTGAATCATATCCATTTTATTGAAAGCTCAAGCAGGCACATGCCTGTCGCGCAGAGCAATGCTTGACTTTCAAAGTCGCGAGCGCGGTACCCTTGCTGGTGGGTCAGGGCGCTCATTCGTCGACTAGCGTTGCCCATCACAGAACATCTTTCGAGCTCCACATTATCTTCCTTCACCGTACCAACAACATCCGGTGAAGCCAGTTGAAGGGCCCACGATGGAGGACTTTGACGAGAATGACGAAATGGCAGCCATGATGGGCTTCTCGTCATTTGGCGGCACTAAAAAGCGAAAGTTCGACCAAGCACACTCACCAGCCAAAGATGAGTACAGTGCCAGCGGTGCGAACTCGACCGAACTAGGAGTGCGGACCAAAGCTTCAAGCAACGAAAACCCAAGTGGTGAAGAGCCTCTCAGTGCTGCTCCCCTTGCAAAAGCACCGCCACCAGCCAGTGGACTTGCAAGCTTCCTAGCTCGTGGTCAAGCACTCCCAGAAAAGCCTCCTAATGCTGCACCTGTTCGCCAGGACGGAACAACTCAAGCGGGCCCTTCAGCATCTGAATTGATCTCATTCGGTGGACCATCCATACCTCGAGCTGAATTGAACGCTCTCCGGTTTGGAGTCAAGAACGCCGACGGAGATACAGCCTACTTCCTGCCCAGTTTCGTCGAAGATCCGTGGGGAAAACTGCTCTCGAGCCGAACTTGAAGGTAACTTCCATGGAGTACTGTCGCCCACAAGTGCTGACATTCAGAAGGTTCACCAAGGAGTGAGGAAATCCCAAGATAGCATTGCTACCGTTCTACATCCCAGGTTACAGCCCAAAAATGGCAGTAACGACAGTCCTGCAACAACCTGTGCTCGACGGGTTCGATCCCAGTTGTACTTCTAAGCGTGAGGGCATTGAGAGCCCCTTCCTCACAGTAAAGTGAGGATCTGACGTTGAGCATCGTGGAGGTTGACGGAAGATTTAATACAGATCTGCGACCGAGGTGCCGGTTACTCGGTATATTTGAACGACAGAAGTACCACTGTGATATTCCGGATCGAAGATAGTAGTCATGCCGGTTGCAATATTCATCAACAAAGCCGACTCTCGGTAATGCCACAGATCGAGCATGCGTTGGTACTTGTAGAGATAGATCCGGAATTCTCAACGTACTTCCACAGACGGTCGCAGCCCCAATCGTTTCCGCTGTCAAGAAGCAACCTTATCCACATTCAGAGAGCCTAGGCGAGTATCAGCTTTACAGCCCACGCCTTGGTCGCCGAAGTCTCGGGATATTGTTCACTGGCTGACCGCATGCATTTGGTTTTCTGTGATCTCCATCATCCCGGAAACACATCTGTAGCACAGATGCATCAGCCTCGCACAGCTCGATCGGCGCGTAGTTCCTGCGTGCATTTGCTAGAACGACCGCCATGAATTACCGTTGGAAAAATTCAGTGGTTCCATTTCAACCATTGGTACGACAATGGCTCATGTGGCTTACCATGTGCAGCTCACATGGCTTCTGGTGACAGCTGTGACACCGGATCGGCTCGAAAGCACCCGTATCGATGCCGAAGCAATGGTTCTATACATGTTCTCGGTCAACACTATACTGAGTATTACTTTGGGTCTGAGAGCAGTCACAGAGCAGGATACGCAATACATGTAATCGACGATACCGTGCTGAGTGTCATCTCTACCAATGAGGCAAGGGTCGGGGCAATCGTCTTAGAGCAAAGAACGGTTCAGTGCATGCCAGGGGACTGCGTCGACTGACGGTCACATGGAGCTAAACAAGTACCGTTCAACGCCACTAATGTTGTTTTCGTTGATGCAATTGGAACGCGTATAAAAGCCTAGTGAAGCGTCGTGCGATGGTAACGCAGGACAGGGATTAATATCGTTCAGCGATCGAAGCGCCAAGTTCAACCTGCATCGAGGCGTTGTACTCGCCAGTGTAGCCAATTGATTGCAACTTGCCCCCGTCCCAATTGCTGCCCAGCGAATGACGCACTGGGCAAATGGAGGGGCAGAATGGCAGCGGGGCACTCGCTGGACCAAAACATTTCTCGACGTCTTTCCATGACCACGACTCCAGGCGCAACATGTCGTCCGCTCCTGAGGTTGCACATCCGGCACGCGCAGTCCCTCGAATTTTCAGGCGAACTGGACCCCACTATCGGTCTCCTTGCCTAAGCCGGAAATGTTGCTACTCCACATGCCTCTTCCAGATTACATGCTCGAAGGCGTTGGCGTGCTGTCGAGCCAACGCATCAACATGACAACGCTTAGCTTGTCCATCAGGCAGACTACCCATGCACATACAGCATTCCGCAGGCGCAGCTTGTGCCGTGACACTGGCGTTCGCGTCTGCTGCGCTTACTATGCCCTGCTACCCTTACCGGCGGGTTGATGCCGCTCTTCGAGCAACGGCTCCCTTTGCCATCACACGCCAGTTCGCCCCATGAAAGTTTTCTGTTGATACTGGCTGAGCATTTTCCGCACTAGTCTTCCTCTTCAGCCAATTGACTTCACCATGAACTCAACGTCCCGCCGCGGCATCATGATCGGCTCTGGTCTGCGGCCTGGAGGATCATTCCAGCCCAGTCTAAATGACGCTCCACAACCGGCTTCACCGGCAAAGAACCTCAGTGGACGTAAGAATATGCACCTCCATCACCACACGGGTGGGGTCACAAAGCATGAGCTGGCATGAGGGCTCAAGACCATGTCCCGTTGACCAACAGGGTCGGATAGTAAGTATAAAAGGAGGCCATTATGCAAGGAAAGCGGGTTTATTTTCTGATTCTCTTTCAGTCGCACATTCTAGACCCATCATTCACTTGTCTCCCCAAGTGCAAGTCGTTTGAGCACCTCAAATCAGCTATACCTACAAACGCACTTGAGCACCCGAGCCAACCATCTTCCACACTTTATCATCTTCCACAAGCGTTCCACCTCACCGTAGCACCATCACATTACGCCGCCATCATGTCTACCACACATGCCTACTACCCGTCTTATCCCTCCACATCGTACCCTATCAGCGTTCCACAGAAGCCCGGTTACTACTACCCACCTCAACAACATTACGGTCGCATATCAGCATCGCCACCAGAAGCCCCAGACAGCACAACGACTTCAGGCGTGCCTTCCTACGAAGTTTCCGCAAGTTCCAGTCAATATGCCGGCAGCCACAGCGACTATGACTCGAGCAGCGGCGCCGCCAGTGTGGATCTACTTGACTACATGGGCAACCGCTTGAACGGATCATTTGACCCTCTGCCGTTAGATCGAAGTTTGGCAAAGCAAGCACAAACGTGAGTTTGATGTCCGGCGGATCTGGTGAACGACAAAATTTTCTAATGAATACACAGATCCGGAGAATTGAACGCCAAGCACCGCGAACTGCTCGAACTGCAAGCATTGGCTCAGCGAAGATTAGCTGGCGCACAAGCGAGCTTCGCATCTGGTATGCGGGCAGCGAAAGAGGTGCAGAAAGATCTGCAGTGGACGCAGAAGCGCGTTGAGTGAGCGATCTTCATCATACTTTTTCATTTGCTCAATACTGATATCGAAGCAGTTCACTCAACGACCGCGCAGCAAGAAAATACCCGGACCAATACCGAGCTGCTCAAAGACGATACCCAGCACCTGTCGACTACTAGCTCCCTTCCTTAAAACCGCCGCACAACGCGGCACTGTTGATGACTCTCGTACATACATATTTCGGTTCTCCATACAAAGCACAAAAGTTGTCGGCGGCACAGTGTCATTTCACGATTCCCAGACACATCCTGTCACATATTCCCACTTTTTGACTTCTACAATAGCTTGTTCCGCGCATTCTGTTATGAGCACTGGACGGTTGTCGTTCACCATCTCCGCTCTCTCCGCTCTACCCCTGCTTTAGCGCACACCACTATGTTGCTTTTTAGGCCCATACTATGTGATTCGGTACGGGCCGCTGCAGCGCCAGGCGCGAGCTGGTTTCTAGCGAGCGAATAGCGGCAGTTTGCTGCGAGCATGCTCCATAAGCCTGGTCGAGCAGCTGAACGCTTCCTGTGAGCCGGTGCGTGTCTGGTCGTTAGCTGCGTAGCTGCAGGAAGAGGGTGTGAGGGAGGTGTGGCTTGGTGACCTCTGGGCTCGTTTTCTGCTTCACTAGGGCTGGCGTCATGGGTTGAGCGTTCGCACGGCCACATAATTCTTACTCTCTGTCGATGTAACGGCCTACATAGCCTCTCAGACGGTATCGTTGGTACGCAGGTACTCGCCTAGCGTCCCAGCAAGGGGCGCGATATACACGCGTAATGTGAACGTTCTGGCTCCACTACGGCGTGAACTACCATGTGCCTCACATCAGCGCCTAACCGGTTCCCATGTAGTCTCATGTAATGTGCCTCGGTCGGCCGGCCTTGGAAGTGGGTCAATACTTGCGCCTGGGTGGGTGTAGGATGGTCAGGTGACTTTACGTTCTACATAGAGTCGCTATCTGAACGTTCTTGCAGTCCTTAATCTCTTGAACCGTACTCGTCGACTGGCTTACCCTAACACGATGTACTCATCAAATGCAAATGCAAACACAACACCGCGCTCATCGATCTTACAACCAAAGGACCCGCCATCGCGGCTCTTTCCCCAAACACTCTATAGCCCCCGATGCCAGGCACAACATAAAACAAAGTTTCACGTAGCGAGACGTCTGCAAGGCATCTCACGCTCACTCGCCATCCCTCTATTCCAGCCCCTCCCTTCTGATGCAGTAAAACATAAGCATCCCGGCCCGTGTAACCTCCTGCACCTCGCTTCCACAACAGCCTCTAGGGTGCTGAAGGTTCGGGATGATCCAAGCATTGAGGCCCAAGTACTACACTCACCGCCAGATTATCTGTACACGAAGCTGGAATCATGACCGGTGGTTCCGAGGTGACATTGTATTGTCTTACGGGTTGGACTGCTTGCGCGCGCCGAACTATGGTTCCCTACGGTTCGGAAGCCACGACTTACGGGGGTGTGACGGGCGGTGTAACGGTGACGTGGAGCGGTGGAGGTGTCAATGTGAGGTTATCAAAAAGTTGTCTGACATTGACAGTTGGCGGCGGAAGCAGAGAATCAAGGGTGAGCGAGCCCACACCCACCAGTGGCGTGACGTTTATCTTCGAAGACTAACAGCAGTAGAGGGATTAAGGCCTTGGACAGGTCGTGAAGTTTTGAGTCTTGAGGCTTATATTGTGGTTGTCTACAACGCGACAAAGGTCTAAAGCTACGATGATCCCCTGTTCGCGGCAATAGCCCTCGACATGACCCTCGCAAAGCGGCCAGGCACATCCTGATCCTGCTTGGCCGTCTCAATACCCGTGAGGATCTTCTTGATGCCGACGCCAATCTCTGTGCTGCCAGTGATCTCTTGGATCTCGCTGATGGCACGTTGTTGGTCGCGGTCCGAGAACGCACCAGACTCCCGGAGGATGTGTGCGAGCTCGGGTTGTGTGTTGACGTTCGGCACCGCGATCTCGGCGTCGAAGCGACTAAAGAGATCGAGCTGAGTGAGTACCGAACGCTCGGTTGTCGTTGCGAAGATGAGTAGGCGACGATCCTGGTCGCGGTTAGCAGCTGCAGTGTTTGAATCCAATCGTTGCTGGCTTACCTTGGGTGGCTGCTTCTCCAACAAGACCTTCAGCGCAACCAAAACAGTGTTGCTGAATCGTGGTCCAATCGGCACCCAATCAACCAGCATTTCAATGTTGTCGATCACAATGACGCTGAGTGTACTCTTGTACGCGTCTCGGAAGGTCTTGTCGAGCTGCTGTACCTTCTGCATCTCGCTAAAGCCTACCATGTCCTCGGGTGACACGAGCTTAATGAATGGAAAACCAGAGTCAATGGCCATTCTCGCGGCCATCGCTGTCTTACCACTTCCAGGCGGGCCATGCAGCGCGACGGAGAGAACAGGTGTCGAATCTGGTTTCCTAACTTGATTGATGTACAAGCGCCCCTCATCCAAGATGTCCTTGATGAATGGCGAGTAGTGAATGACACCACCACGGATGCGCTTTCCAAGCTCTTCTTCAGCAGCACCGAAGAGTGGCTTGACTTCTTCCAGCGCCTGTAGGAAATCTTGTCTGTTGACTTTCATGTTCTCAACGTCAGGGTTGATGGCTGCCATTGTGCCAACCTTGATGTGTCGACTGAAAGCGAACGAAGACGCTGCCTTTACCAGACCGTTGAGTTCAGCACCTGAGAAGTTCTTGGTAAGCTTAGCCAGCTCTTCAACATTGACGTCCGATTCAAGCACGTCGTTCTTGCGCATCTTGGTGGTGTGAATCTTGAGAATCTGTGCTCGTCCCGACTCGTCTGGTAGCGAAATTTCCATGTGCACTTCAAGACGACCAGCTCGCAGAAGCGCTTCATCAATCATGTCCATTCGGTTGGTCATACCGATGAGCAGAATATTGTTCAGCTGGTCGACACCATCCAGTTTCGAGAGCAACTGGTTGACAACGCTGTCGCCCACACCGGTACCGCCACCACTGGAACCTCTCTGCTTGCACACAGCATCAAGTTCGTCGAAAATGATGATGTGCAGACCACTCTCATCGCCCTTCTCCTTGTACTCTTTCTCGGCATCGGCGAAGAGCTTACGAATGTTCTCCTCAGACTGACCCACGTACTTGTTCAATACTTCAGGACCGTTGATGACCTTGGGTTCTCTGGCATTCAGCATCTTCCCAATCTGACGCGCAATCAAAGTCTTTCCGGTTCCCGGAGGACCGTAGAGGAGGATACCTCGGACGTGCTGAATACCCAGCTTATCCACCAGACCAGGAGGGAAGATTCGAGATGCAAAAGCTCTTCGGAAGATGGCGCTGAACTCTGTATCCAAGCCACCGATGCCCATATCTTCGAACTTGAACCCTGGTTGAATAATTGAGTTGGCAGCAGGTCGCCTGTTTGACGCCTTCAGCTTAATGTCTGTTCGGGCATCCTTGAAGAAGTCAACTTGGGTGTGCCTGGTGAGGATACCTCGAGCCCTGGTGTCTGTCAATGGAGGAGCAGAAGTATCTGACTTCTCCATGGAGAGATCCACGAGCTGCACTGTCCGTATCGACATGCGCAGAGGAACGTTCTTGACGTCCAACAGAAGCTGCTGCCCAGGCGCAAGTATCTGGTTCTCGAAGTTCTTCTTGAACTGCGTCGCAAGCTCGTCTTGATCATACGGAGTGTCTGTTGTCTTCCTGGCAGCAAAGCCAACCTCTACTTCAACGCCGCCCAAGTATGACTGCCCACCGCCCTGACTGAAGGCATCGTAGGGCTGTACAGCAACCATATCTTGAGGACCAAGCGTGATTCCGGCCCAAGTTCTCTGCGCATCCGTTAGACCGATCTCGCCAGGCTGGCAGCCTTGTGTAGGTCTCGCAGACAAAACATAGTTGCCGTTCACGAGGATGTAGATGTCGCTGCCGTCGGGCATTGGTGGGAAATCTTGGGGTGAGACTGCGACCCTTCATGAAATCAATCAAAGCTACAAAATGAAGTTCGTTATACATACAAGTTGCCAAAGGCGTATGCGTTGCCTCCAGGGCTCTTAATGGGTCGCAATTGTCTAGCAGATCCACCGCCACCTGGAGGTTTTCGTTCAGGCATGCGCTGTTGAGGGGCGCCATAGCCCGGCTGTTGGCGATCATCGTAGCCTCCCATCCTCGTGTCGTAGCCAGGCTGTGGTGGGGGTTGTCGAGATTGTTGTGGTGGAGGTTGCCCGTAGCCGTCGTTGCGTGGTGGAGGCCTTGGAGAGCTTCCAGAAAGACCTGAGGGTCTGTCGCGGTTGAACATGCTGCTTGTCTCAGTACTGGAGAAGGAGGTGCACTCTAGTTATAAGTTCTGGAGGTAGCCGTGTACGTATGCGACAGAGAAAGGCAGCAGCACTAGACGTTCTGCCCCACTAACGCAGTTGGTGTCGTGTCGTTAAGGAAAGAGGTGGAGGGCGTGTCCCCAGATCAAGATATAGAAACTGAAGCCTGGAGGTATCCAAGACACGTACACGTTTGCAAAGCTGGCTTCAAGAAGTGAGGGTGTTGCTGTGTCAGAGCTGTTCCATAGGGTGGAGCTTCGGCGATGGCTGAGCACCCCGGCCCAAGCGGAGTGCCACATCACCTCCGTCTCCCCGCAAAAGAGCGCCACACGTCATTCTCTACATCCCCCTCGAGGACAATAATGCCACCGCAATTACCTGAGAGCAGGATCTTACAGACGTGTGACCATGATCATACATCAGAGATGACCAGTTTATAGTATTTGAGGTACGTAGCCACCCCCGCTTGCCAGGCTGCCACAATCCACACCCGTCTTCCCATCACTCGTACCTAGAAGCCCTTTCCGCGATGGACAGACTCGCCACCTCCGTACCATAATGTTCCCATGCGATAGTCCAACCCTGTCTCTTCTCCAAGATTGAACTCGCCTCCGTCAGGAACCTGGCCATCGTTGTGCTCTGGCCAAAACTCCTTCTCCAGCCAGCTGTTGATCTCCTCAATCTTCCTGATGAATGTGGCTATCTTTGCAGGGTCTGGCGAGCCCTGGTCATCAGCGAGATCTTTGGTATTGATGAAACGGCCGATCGTCAGATGACTTGAAGGCACGACGTATCTTGAGTCGACTGTGACGCCAGTGTCTTTGCAGAGATCGAACAGATCGTGGCGGAGGTGATGGTATGTGAACTTGTCATCCTCTAGGGTTCGACCAGAACGAAGTCCTTCACCGGCAGCAGGCACAAAGCTCAATGCGAGAGCTGAAGCGTCGTAGCCGATTGTTGGTTTGATGAGTCGCACACGGTGTTGGGAAGTATAGTCGGTGATCGCCGGTGCTTTGTCGCGCATCTGTTCAACCAGCTTCTGGATTTCCTCTACTGTCTTGGAGTGTGTGACTTCTAAAGCAGTGATGTGTTGGCAGTCCCGAGGCATGAGCCATAGGTCTACCCCAAGTCAGCCACTTGAAGCAGGAAAGTAGTCGACTCCCTTACTCGGCGCAACAGCCAACAGCTCTTGCTGGACTCGTTGAATAAGATCTTTGACCTTCTGCGTAGGGCGGCCCCAGAAGACGAGACAATGTCTTGGATCTACGTAGCCAGGTTCGATGGTTGGGTCGCTCAACCTGAGCAGGATGGGGTCGATGTTGACTCCTGGGAAACTGACGTCTAGCATCTTGGCTTTTTGTTGGGAATTTCTTGTTGCTCGATGAAGAGCGTACTTTTTCTGGATTTGCGCCTTCATTGATCGTCAGTTGGGATACTGATCACATCTTTCGGCTTTCGACATACTGGATCATCTTCGCAGGCTGCTATCAACGCTTGGTATGGGTTGCTGAAGGACGAGGTTGAGATCCCACTGAGATCTTCAAAGACGTTGTTGTTAGACATGGTTGGCGAGAGTTTCAGTTCGACTTGAAAAGCTCTCGCAACGGTCTGGTGAGCTCTTGTATACGGCTGGAGAGAGTCAAGGTGATTGACCAGCCACACTTGCTATTGAGCGTGCGTGTACCTTCGTATACAGGTTGCAGTTACCTTGTTAGGCATGCGCCTTTCCTATCGCGGTAGCACTTCCGCTTGCTTTCTAAACAACCACCACCCCACTCTTGCTTATACATGCAATGCTCGACACATGCCCTGCTATTCCTAGTTTCACTGTTTGCTCGTCATCCACATTTGGAGTTGCAAAGTTGCGGGGTTGCTGCATTGGCAGCATGTGACCGTTCGCTTAAGCGCGTACCCAGACGCGTCGCGTAAACCAGCCACCCGACAAACACCTCCACTAGCTAGCTGCGACAGCACGCAACTTCACCTCCATCACCCTACGCAATTGAAAACCACAGTGTCTCAATCGTCAATTGCGCAAAATGGATCTTGATCCGATCCAGACATCGTTACGCCGATCCTCATGCAAACGCGTGCGACCCACGAGTAGTACGGGTCCTGAAGCAGAAAAGAATGGAATACGATTCTGGCCACGCGTGGTCATTCCACGAAAGCGCCGAGCTGTCGAACATTCGGACACAGGTACACCAGTGAGAGAAGAAAGCGCAAGAAGGAACGCAGCACAGTCGAGAGGCAGCTCAGCACATATCCAAGGTAAGCCATTCCCGCGAAATGTGTTTCCGAAGCTGATGTATCATGACCAGAAAGCTCCAACCCTTCTCCGGTCATACAAAGGTCAACTGACACAGCAACGCTATCCCACGAGGACCCAGTACCGGCAGACTGCTGTTACGTCTGCCGCAGACGCGGCGGCAATTATGCGTACACGTGCGTGTACGAAGTCGGATCTGAGATCTGTAAGCGCTGTACTAAAGAGAAGTACAAGTGCAGGCCAGCGACCGCTGCAGAAATGGCCAAAGCCGAAGCACGATGTCCGCAATGCAAGAGGAGGGGTCTTACCAATTGTTGGTACGAAGATGGTAAGGCTTCATGCGAGCCTTGCATCAAATGGAAGAAGCCATGTGGTGCTTCCACCAAGCGGAAGCTCATCACGCAGACCCGATCCTTCCTGGGAACACCTACGTCGGAGCCTGAACAGCACGCGGCTATTACAGCTGATCAAGAGGTTGTGGATGACAACGAGCTCCGTGGACCAACGAACGAAGTCTCTCGCCATGCTTCCTCGCCTGCGCCTCCAAGGACTACTCTACCCTCTCGCTCAAGAAGAACTAACAGACAGAGCACCGCCACAACCGCGACCCCTTTCGAAAGCGACGCCGAACAGGCGTCGATCACACCTGAGCAGATCACGTCCACCAAAGGCCAGGAGCCCGGTCATGATGGCTCCAAGCGCAAGAGCATAACAAGCACTCGCCCCTCCCATACTGTGATCACGAAGGATGGGCAGGACGACAACAGGACAACATCAAAGCGTGTGGCAGCACTTCTCAATAGTGGCCTAGTACGCGGCTCTCGGAGGACTTCCATACGTAACAATACTGCAACTTTGCGTCACGCTGCACAAGAAGCTACTCCGGATGATTCAGCTGAAGAAGGGACTGATCTACCCATCGTCGATGTTGAAATGGAAGATGAAGAATCAGCTGATTTGCAACTCATCACTGAGAGTAACAATGTTGCACCACTGTCTCCTCATGCAATCGTTGAGTCCGAGGCAGGGGACATGGATACAGTGCATGCCTTGTTGTCGGACATAGAGGACTCGGACGCTGAGGTTATAGACCCACCGCGACGTCGCGTCCCCGCAGCAGATACACAGACATCACGCCCACGCCGCAGCCGTGGCAGACCTTCGTATGTCGAACTCATTCCCAGCGATGTTTCCGACCAGGAGCCTGAAGAGGAGGATGATGATGATGAGGAGATGTGGAACCCTGAAGCAGATGAAGAAAGCGAAGTCGATGATGATGAAGAAAGCGAAGTCGACGATGCCGAAGAATTCGATGCAGCTGCTGAGACATCGGCGGATGAAGATGGAGACGAAGAAGACATCGAACCAGAATTGGCGACTACATCGCGACGAAGGTCACAACCTAGTTCGACATCAGCTCCAAAGCAGGGAAAAGGCATCGATCTTAGCCTTCCGCCGTTGAACGACATCCACGATATCACTGCAGACATGGCATCCAGGGCCGTAGGGCTTGGCCTGTGTGACGCGATACGAAAGCTGGAAGGGCGACCGATTAACGTCGCCACGATGTGCTCAGGCACAGAGTCTCCGCTTCTTTTTCTGCAGATGTTGTCAGAAGCGCTCGACTCAACGGGCGAGATACCTTTGCACGTCAAGCACCATTTCAGCGCCGAAATCGATGCAACCAAACAAGCATACATTGAACGCAACTTTCACCCACCCATCCTCTTCCGAGACGTTCGACAACTAGGTGACGAAGCTGCTACGACAGCAACCACAGCCTATGGTGCAGAAGAGCCAATTCCAGGCCTTTTAGACATTCTCATTGCTGGATTCGTGTGCAAAGATCTGTCTTCTTTGAATAGCAGGAAGAAGACTGTAGACGATCAAGGCGAGACCGGCGATACCTGGAGGGCGATCTATTACTACGTCAAGCGCTTCCAGCCCAGTATCGTTCTGTTGGAGAATGTCAGGAGCGACAAGAACCTTTGGAACGACGTAGTTTCTAGGTGGTCAAGAATTGGCTACGAGGCCGCTTGGGTGTATTGCGACACCAAGAACTACTATCTGCCACAGACTCGCGAAAGGATGTACATGATTGCTATTAACCGCAAATTATACGGCCAAAACGTCAGCGAGGCTGTCACACAGTGGCAGTCAACCATGGAAAAGCTCCAGCGTCAGTGTAGCAGTCCCTACGAAGCCTTCCTTGTCGACCTACCAGTCAGCGTGATTGACCACTCTACAATGTCCTCTGAACCAGACTGGAGCCTCTGCAAATTGAGGTACGATCAGATCCGCTCCGAACAAGGGCTAGGAACTCGGCGTCCGATCACACAATGGAGCGAGAATGGAACTCTACAGTAAGTGGCGAAGTCCGACACACATAACCTCAGGACTGACAGCCCACAGCCCACCCGACTACGCCAATCGCAGGTGGTATGACTCTCAATCGTCAAGGGTTTACGACGCCATAGATGTTGCTCACCTACAGGCTGCACAGGAGGGCCATGATTCCATGTACAAGATGAAAATTTGGGACGTAAGCCAGAATGTCGACCGCTTCAAGGCGGGTATGGGTCTGATGCCTTGCATTACTCCAGGCGGCTGCGATTTTGGCAGCAACCGTCAAGACGCATTGAATGGCAGTCAAACTCTGGTGCTGCAAGGCATGCCCCTTGACAAACTCCACTTCGCGGGCGAGACTCAAAGGGAATGCCAGGACCTTGCAGGAAACGCAATGTCTACAACTGTCATCGGAGCATCCCTTATTTCGGCGATCATTCACGGTTACAAGGCATTCCGAACAGACACTTCTGCAGACGCCCTGGACTCGAGTTCCCAAACGAAGCCTCCAACGCAAAACCGTCTTGTTCGAGCCAGTGCAATGGCGGAGCACAAGCCTCATCCGACAGATCCTGAAGACCTTGATATTGTACAGCTCCTCGATGAAGCAAGGCTTGCCTCACGGCTGTGCCATTGTGAGGGTGATCAGCAGATATCCGAGATGGTCATTAAAATCTGTTCAGGGTGCGGACACACTGCTTGCTCCTTGTGCGCATCGAACCCAAGGCACCAATATGTTGACAGTATCCCGAAAGATGTTCGAAAACAGACACCGAACGAGTTTGAGAGATTTTGGAAAGCACGACTACCCTCACGCCTACAATTGAGGGACGTCCCAAACCTGAACAGATTCGTCTCTCAATTGCAAGAGGAGAGCAACAACAACAATGCGTACGTCAAGAGGATCATCGAAGTAGACATTGGCTCGCGACAGTTCAGCCTGAGTGACTTCGTGCGGTGCGATAATGCGTGGAAGGTCGTGTACCGTTCCAACGATGCAAGGATGGAGCTCTCAGTCGGAGACAAAGCGCAATGGCTACTATTCGTTGATTGTTCGCCCGAAGTATCCGGCAACTCTAACGTACGCAAAGCGCTTGAGACCCCGGTCGCACGCGCCGTTATTGATGATTCACTCTTGGACGTTGAGTGGGAATGGTTCGTCCCGTCCAACCAGGAACATTCCTTGCATATTCGTGGGTCTACTGAGCGCTCAAAGTCTTGGAGAAATCGCCTTGGTCTGCCAGATCATCAGACGGAGACTGTACCGGCGCAAATCCACGTGCACAGCAACGGCGAAGACACCAAACTTCTCGACGGTGATTATCAGCATTTACCACAATGCGGAACTGCCGAATTCAGCCTGTACAAGAGGTCTGCTGAGCCCGTGCTCTATTTGTTCCTTGACCCAAATCCCATCGGTGAGGCAAGGGAGGACAGTTTCGTCTTCAGCCGTGATTGTAGCAGGAAGCAGTGGGGCGAGTCGCGAATCATCGTTGCACGATTGAATTCAGCCTGGCGACCATGGCAGATGAGCGATGAAGACGAAGAACACGTCATCGACGCAGTGCGTACCGGATCGTGGATGGCTGTGTCAACGAAACTGGCAACATCGTTGCTTGCTCCTACAGCGAGCGTGCTGATGCCTGGAACGCCTCTTACTGGTCTCAAAGACGAGTGCACCAACGCGGTGACTGTACTTGATGTACGCGTCCCCGAACAACTGCCGATTCAGAAGTTTTCCGAATTTTCTTGGGCTCTAGAGCAGGTCAGAACCGCACCTTCGCTGGGAGACTGGCAATCAATCGAAGTCGACGCTCACAGCTGTTGCGCGTGTGCCCCGGCTTACCCTGATCTCTTGTGGAGCGTGGATAATGCAGGAAAGGCTACGCCACACGAAGACCGCAAGGCAGCGGCTACGTTCGAGCGTGGAATCAAAACTCGATGTCCGGTGTTCCATGTACAGCCAACGGTCAACAAAAACCAGACGCATATCGAAATTGGCATCAACATCTTCTCGCTGGCGCATCGTGCAAGAGGACGACTCGCTCGATCTATGGACAGCAGCGAGTCTATAAGCACTGCCTGGAGACTCTTGACTGATCATGCAGACGTAGGGGCCGTGCGATTTCCCAAATTCCATTTGCGTAGCAACGCAGCCGATACCCCTTACTCGGGACCACTACGCCTCAAGAATAAGTTACGTGGAGCCCAACCGCGATCTCTAGCTTGGATGCGAGCTCAGGAGACCGGCGCCTCGCTAATCATCACCGAGATCGAAGAAGCCGTGGACCCTGGTCTTGGATGGAGAGCAGAAGCTCTTGCCCAGACATCGATCGAGGTCCGGGGTGGTGTCCTCGCAGATTTGCCATCCTTTGGCAAGACGGTCACAACTATTGCGTTAATACAGAGCGAATTCGAAGAGTTCTCGCCCAAAATGATACTCGACGAGAATCGATCAGCTACTGAACAGTTGCCGCAACTTATCAACACTGCTGCTACGCTCATCGTGTGTCCACCACATATCGCCATACAGTGGCAGACAGAACTAGAGCTCTTCCTAGGCGATGAGCAATACGGAGAATTTGACGTCCGCATCATCAGAGATTTTGCGGAGCTCAAGCGTCTCACCGTCGATGATCTACAGCAAAGTCGAGTGGTCGTTGTATCCTGGACTGTCCTCTCGGACGACGATTACATCTCGGAATTAGCATGGGCAACGGCTATGCCTGAGCCCGCCAATTCAAGTTGTCGAGCATTTGATGCATGGATGGATGGCGTAAGCAGAGAGCTACCAAGTCAAGTCTCGAAGCTTCAGAGCATGGATCTATCCGACTTCAAGCAAGCCACACGAGGCCTCCTCGAGCAACGTTTGCAACAACCTGAGTTTCAGGCGACACTACCACTGAGATTGCAACACGGTAGCAACTATCAGTCGTACGAGGCCATGCAAGCTGCTGGTGGTCAGAAAAAGAGCAGCAAGCCTAAGCCTTCGCTGAAGCGGAAGTCGTCGGACTCGAATAGCAAGATTGTGCCTCTTCTGCATATGTTTCGATTCAACCGTATCGTGGTCGACGAGTACCACTACCTCAACGATTACAAGAAGATCAGGAATATGTTCACCGCAATTAGCGTCAAGAAGATTGCTGCCCACAAACGCTGGATCCTCTCTGGAACCCCTGCCTTGGCGAACTTTACAGACATCGACAACATTGCATCTTTCCTCGGCGTCAGGTTAGGCAGGTTTGCAGTAGGGTCTGGCAAACTGACTCCATTGGAAGACTTTCTGGTCGATGATCAGACTGCTGTGGAACGCTTCTTATCCAAGACTGAAGTCATGTCACGTCAATGGCACCAGGCTCGGCATGAGCGGGCGCAAGAGTTCTTGGACCTTTTCGTCAGACAGAACGAAGCTTCGCTGGAGCACATTCCCTGTCATGAGGAACTACGAGCAGTCGATCTTGACGTCGCACACCACGCAGTATACCTGGAACTATCACAGCATTTAATCTCTCAGCGAATGCAAGTCAAGAGGCTCAGGAACAAAGCCGACTCCGATAGAACCAGCAGACTGAACGCCAGCCTGAATAATTCCAAGACCGCAGAAGACGCTCTGCTGAAAGCAGCCCTGCTCTACGAGACTAGTGAAGGGGAGTCAGGTCTGGAGACGCTCGTCCAAAAACGATCAGAGCAGCGTCGTGAGACCCAAGACGAGATTTTGCGACTGATGCGCGCATTCGAAGGGCACAAGCGCACTGGCTTCAAGGGCCTCAAGCCTACTGATCCGAAGAAGGCAGAAAAGGAGGAGAACACCGTTCCAAAGCTGTACGCTAGCTTTGTGCAAGATATCAAGAAGAACACCTGGCTTGGTGATGGCGATGCAACGATGAATGCAAGACGCCTGCTGAAGAGCGCGGAAGCGGATCCTACCTCTGGAGGATTGGAAGAGCTGAAGGAAGTTCCGAAAGAGAAAAAGATCAAAGAGGCTAAGACAATCATGTCGCACCTGCGCGAATCCTGTGTCGAGCTCGCATTGCGAACAAGGTCGGAACGCTTCATCACAACCGTTCAACAACTCCTGCAGCCGCTGTGCGAAGGCTCGGGGGAACCGATCAAATGCGATGCTGAGGTGTGTCAGGGAGAAGCCACCGTCTCCGAGATGTATCTGGCCTCACAGTGCGGTCACCTCACCTGCGAACCCTGCATCCTGGCGCGTGGCGACGACGAGAACTGCGTCGTGCCTGGGTGTAGTTGTACCGTTCAAGCCGTTAACTTGATCAAAGCCACTGATCTAGGCTCGACTAGGGAGAAGGTGGCTGGGCACAGCTTTGGCTGGAAGATGAACAATATCGCAAAGCTGATCACAAAACTTCCAAGTGGCGATCAAGGCCTCGTCTTTGCGCCAAACGACGAAACGATAGCGATGCTAGGTGGGGTTCTTGAATATCACGACGTTCCGTATTACACACCAAGCGGCTGCAACTCCCGCCAAGCGGCCAAGATTATCGAAGAGTTCAAAGCCAGCGCGAATGAGGATCTAGAAGACCGTCCGAAGGTCCTCTTGCTCAACTTGACTAGCGAGACCGCTGCAGGAGTGTAAGTCCACCAAGTATTACTTGTCATCGACCGTACTAACCACATACAGCAACCTTACCAACGCGAATCACATAATTTTCATTTCGCCCTTGCTCGTCGAGAGTCAATACAAGTATGACTCGGCTATGACCCAGGCCATCGCACGAAGTCGACGATACGGCCAAGAGAAGCAAGTGCACATTTACCACTTCGCTGCGCTACGCACTATCGATGTCGACATCTTCGAGCATCGACACAAGCGCACCAACGGCATTACAGCTGGCAAATCGACCATCCGCATGCCATCGAAGCCCCTACCAACGCGGGAGAAGACAAAGCTGGTGAAGAACAAGCAGGGCTCCATGGCTCTGGTGCCTATCTCATGGCTTGCTGACGAGGAGGTGCGGAAGGAATTGGGGGTGAAGGAGGAGCCGGAGAAGTTCACATCGCTGATCAACTTCTCTGAGACGTTTGAGGATGGTGAGTAGTTGCTGCGCACAGTTAGGTTTTACACCTCGTTCTGCATAATGTGAGCTGGAACGGCACTCAGCGGTGCATCCATTTCTACTATCACCATCTTGGTCTTAATTATGTATAATAATCTTACACCCAAAATGCACTGTCTATTTCTTCTTCAGACGCGATCTGAATGAACAAGTTTATGAATCTTGTTTGCTACATCGAAACGCAACAATGCCATCCTCTCGATCGGTATCCGGTGTCTAAATCCCAGGAACATTTGATGTGACATGCCGGTCGTCAGGATTAATCTCTAGTGGGATTTGATACGTAATGAACTTTCGGGAGAAGCCCACGTCATACCAACTGAAAGAGATCATACAACCTGCGCAACGCGCTGAACTACTCTCAAAATCGATAACCTTCTCAAAAATACCACTCCCAAGCTACAGCCAGCCGCAATATTCTCCTAGGTCAAGATCGGCAGGTTTCTTCAACTTGCCTGACAGTCATATCTCACCCAACACCACAACACCCCAATCTCCGTTCACAGGACATTCTAACTCCCAGCTGAATTCCCAAGATACACGAAACAAACCCACAAGCCACCTCATGCACCCATAACCCATCCCAGAGACGCACAACACAACGTTCGTCCCTCGCAACGCCCACCGGAAGCCTGGCTCCACAGTCTCCTCCAATCGTACAGCGCATCATCTTTCACATACCCTGATGGGATGATCGATGCACTATGTTCATGGGTGGTAAGATGGCTTATGGATGCGTCGAAAGTGGATCATGATGAAGTGGCGGGTAGGGATCAGGGTTGTAGGTGTTGGCTTTGAGGAGTGGAAGGACGAATGGAAGGGTGGTGAAAGTCGTGAGGGGAGCACAGGCTGTGCTGAAAGAGGAGTTGGTGATGTGTTGGCGTGGTGAAAGTGGCATGGCAAAGCGAGGTGAGGTTATGGTTAGGAAAGCAGCTGAGAACAGGGCGGCATCGATATGCTGTGTGTTATTGCAGCGCTCATATCGATTGTGGACGAATGATATTTGGACGGAGTTGAGGTTGGAGAACGGGATAGTCAGTTCGTGTTCAGCCGCGATCAAAGAGGCAAGGTTCACCAAAAAGCAAACATGAAATTGGGCTGAAGTGAGAATGTAGGGCAGTAACTGAATTTCGTCTGTCTGTAGTCGAGATGATGCCGGCTAGCAGCACCGTACCTTTCCAGACTGACTTCCTTCTGTTTCCAGCTCTAACTAAAGCAACGCTACGTGATCATCATGTCCTACATGCCATCATCAAGTCATCAGTCCATCATCGCCATCATGTGACTTCATCCCCCTTTTGGTGACCAAAGAAACAATTTCGCCGAACAAAAAGGGTATTAAATCCATCCAGAAACCGAAGAACCTCCCAGCGCGAGCCAGGAGCAGGTATAGAACGAAAACGAAATGTAAAGATGCTCTCGAAGAAATAGGAAATAGAGAAGCGCAGTAGATCGCCCAGTAGATGGTGCCACAGTGGCCAAGATGCCATCATACAATCTGAGTCCAACAGATGAGTCCAGCTCCCACACATGCATCGTGTCCGTGTGCGTGAGCGTTCCAGTCTAGCAAACAATAACAATGTGACCTGCACTGTCGCAAAGGAACGCAGCAAACAAACTAAAATGCAATAGGGGAATCGTACCAAAATGTGCAGAAAGAAAAGAGCCAAACCAAACTTTTGTAGCAGACCGTTCTACCGTGAGGCAGCGATGTCCGCCTGAAACTTTTGGTGCAGACTTGAGCGTTCTGCTAGGAAGCAAGAAAGAGAAAGCCAGACAAACGCTGCAACATGTGCTACCGACCGTGTACGCGCGAAGAAACGAACAAGAGACAGTTTCCCGTTACTGTATGAAGGGCATGGGGCGCTTCAGTATTGGTACTCGGGCCCTTTTCGCTCCCCCCTGCGCGTTTGTCGATGAAGAACACGTCGCGGTTCATCTTGCTCACCTCGTGTCTCCCGTCTCCTGCGGTTGCTCTGCGAGCTCCGTTCTGTCATTTCCTCAGCGTCTCTCCGTGCCTGACTAGCGGACGTAATAGTCTTTCTGTCGCCCCGAGTGCTTCCTCTCTCGCTTCGGTAGGTGCTCTCGCCACTGCGAGAATTACTGCTGATGACCAGTTCGTTCATCCCGTTCTCAATAGGAACAAGCTGTAGGGTACGCCCCTCCATGTCGCCGTTGAGACTGAGGGTAACCGGAGCATCGTTTCCAATTCGAAGACGGATCTCGCCGTTGTTGTCGCTGCCCTTGCTGCGGGAAGACTCAGCCTCAGAAGGTCCTCCAGAAGCCCGTGACGACCGTCTCTTGGCAATCTCGTAGGTCTGATCGGCATACGTGTCGCGCTCACCACGTCTCGCATTAATGTAGTCCTCAGCATCAGCAGCCTGCCTAACTTCAACGGACCGTTGAGGTCTTCGACGAGGCTCAGTGTCGGTATCACGGCGACGAAGTGGGGCACGCGTAACAAGCGCTGCTTCCTCGTCATCGTCGTGATAATCTCGCTCGTAGTCATGGCCAAGGACTACGTTGTCGTAGGCTCTTGAAGATCGCTTCGGGAGTTTTTGCTCGTACTCCTGTTGCCGTGCCCTGCGGTGCTCCTTAAAGGTCTTGTCGTAGGCCTGTAAAGACTCGCGACGAGAAGACTGCGGGTTCTCTACAATAACACGAGCTCGCGGAGTATCATAAGTTGACTCAGACTTGATAGACGGTACGAGCGGTGGTCTACTCATCGAGGTACGGCGGGTAGGTCGAGGGTCGAGGTTGCGGTCGCGTCGAGAGACACGTCGCTCAGGGATGACGACTGTCTGTGGACGTCTTGGCTCAGGCGCCGGAGGAGCAGGTGTTGTCTTTGCATGGCGTAGGCTCGGGCGCCGTTGGGGTGCACCTTTCTGAAGTCGAGACTGGGGCTGGTACTCTGGCTCATAGTCTTCTTCGGACTCAGTCTCAGACTCGGATTCAGACTGGGAATCGTAATCCTCCTGGTCGGGATACTCAATGCGTGGCTGTCGACGTTGGGCCGGAAGTTGATGCGGAGCGTTGGAATGGTATCTTGCTGAGGGCATATTTCGATCACTACGCTCTACATGCACGACCGGGGGCGGTATGGGGTATCCATAAGCAGACGTCTGAGAGACGCGCGCCTGTAGAGGTGGCCTCTGTTGGTTGTGCGTAGGCTGCATTTGTTGCGCTTGGTAGAATGCAGCTGGCGATGGGCCCTGCGGTTGATACTGCTGTATGTATGGGGCGTTCATTTGAGGTTGAGTATAGGGCAGGTTGCCATACGCTGACCTCGAGAGAGGTGGACCATGCTCGTGAGACAGATTCGGGTGGGACGAATGCATGCCGGGCTGTTGCCAGTTGAAATTGGGATCTCCGTGGTAGCTGGTGGGCCGAGCTTGGCGACTGTTGACTGACAATCGGCGTGAGATGCCGGGCTGAATGACAGGTCCACCTTGCGGTGTGTGGTACGTTCGGGGCTGCTGAGCCTCCCTTGGAGAGGAAGCTTGATACTGCGTAGGGTCTGAGACCTGCGAGCGTGTGTCGTATGGATGAGGGTAGGAAACATCGGGGGCAGACTCGGCTGGCTGGGTCTGCAGCATTGATTGGCGGCGTGACTGTCGTGGTCGAGTTTCGATGGCATCAGGTCCACACCCGGTGCAGCCAGGTACCGTGCATTCGTCTACATTTCGGCTGTCCCTACGTTTGGGTGCCGGCTCCCTCGTGATGGTAGGTCGTCGTTCAGTAGTAGGGGGTCGCCGTGAGGCCTGTGAGTCTCTGCGCGACAAGGGATGACGGGAAGCACTCTGAGAGCTTTGGGCACTCTGAGTACTTTGTTGGCGTGAGGGAGGGGGTCTGGGAGCTCTTTGCGCGGGAGTTGGGGAAGGAGCTGCCGGGACAGTGTTGACGACGGGCGGGCTTCGTTGGGACGTAGCACTTGCGGCCGAATCAGCGCTACTCATGCCGGCGACAGATTGGCTGGAATACCCAGAGTCGCTCTTTACGTCGAATGTTGGTACTCGACCGGTAGGGGTCTTTTCGGTCCCCAAGTCTTCGGGGTTGGAGCGTTTGGTACGGACGTTTGCCTTGCCTGGCGACGCATCTGGCGTGAAGGCCCCGATAGGGACGCCATTGTTGTTTTTGTTTTGGCCGTCGTCAGAGAAGTAATCCTCTGCATAGGGCTGCCGGTGATTGCTCGCCATGGTGGGCTCAGAGCCCGCGGTCAGTTGCAGCATCAGGCTGAGCGGAGGGCTGGTCGGCAAAATGTCTAGCGGCGGGAGGCTATCGATAAATGATGGTCGCGGGGCAATCGACTGCGACAACAATTAGGCGACAGGCAGCTGTCGCAGGGTGCGCATGTTTGCACAGGCGGACGATGTTTCTTTGCTATCGTCTCATGTCGAGTGGGCTGGGTGAGGAGAAAGGAGTGAGGAAGCGAGAGTGAGAAAGAAGTCTGGGGTGTCTGGGCGACCGAGTGTGCTGCAGGCATGCATGCAGGCGTACTCGGGCATCGACTGCTGCAACGCAAAAGAATCCCCGCCAGCAAAATTTCAAAACGGCCCAGCCGCCTTGTCGTGCTAAAAAGCCCAGTTAGTAGCTAGCCTCTCATGCGCGCTGCGTCCAAACGTCGTTGGGCGCGCACTGCAGCCTGCTTTGATGCCCACCGGCGTGCGGAGGGCCGCTCCTGCCCTTGCCCTCGATGCACACTCCGTCACAAGACTGCTTTCTTCCGCCCTCTGCCTCTGGAGGCCCTTGGTGCGCCGTGGTGACGCAGCATTCACCAAGCTTTGCAGATTGTGAGCGCCTCGTTGCTGCGGAAAAGTGCACAGCTGCACTTGTGTCGCCATCTCTGCCTCGTCCAGCATTCCTCAGGGAACTGCGAGTGTCATCACGCAGTCCGCTCGTCCACGGAGCCTCCTGACATCTGAAGCAATTGACACACGGCCGGCACTTGCGACGCGGTCGCTCCCTCACCAGGCGATACCTTGTAACGATCAACGTCTTCCATGTGCGTAATAATAGCCAACTTCTGCCCTACCAAACGAGCCCTCGCTATTGGGCATCCCCAGATGTGCAGACGTCTCAGACAGACCTGCATCATCAACTCAACTGGTCAGAGAGTGCCGCGGGTGACGAACAGAAACCGGGATCGCCCGCCCCTCTTCATGCGAGCTGCTATCCACTCCTTCTGCTTGCAGGCGCCCTCACCGCTTCGTGGGTGCATTTCAATTCATGACCACTTCCATGGCCAGCACACAAGAGGTCTGGTAGCTTACACTATGTGCGGGAGCCAAACCTATACTGTCACTAGTGCCGCTGATCCGTGCCCTTCCAGCTTCATCGCCCGTTATCTTTCCATTAGCTTGCACTTTTTCCGCATCTTCAACAATTCTCCCCCACGTTCCACATGGTGAACGATGGCAGGACCACTTGTTCCTAGCTTCATCTGCTTTTCCTCTCGATCCTCTGCAATCCGCTATGCACACTTTTGTGCAGGCTATGCTTCTTTCCCTCGGGCTAGCCACGTCAGTTGGCGTCTGCCATGCAGGAACAACACAGCACTCTCAATTTCGCGACACTTCATTAATGTCGCAACGACACGGAAGATGTGTCCTTCGCCACGCGGGTTTCCTCGATCGTTCAGCGTCAAGGCTGACTGGCAAGTGCCCGTCTGCTCGCCGCGAATCATGGCCTTCCAGAAACTGCCACCCACTAGCGTACGACATCCGGCTGTTGGACCAACGACATGGAGACAGCTGTACCCGGTGTAACCATCTCGCCTCGTTCCGAGAGTTCCCCTCATCACGCGCGCTGACGAAGCTCTGCGTTTGATACCCCGCTACCGCTAAGGATTCCGGTGAAGAGACGCATGGCATCGAGTGGTGTTTATGCCTTCTGATAGCATCAGACCTGATCAAGAAGATCAAAACACTTCGGCATCACCCCTCAGCTTCTATCAGTACGCAGCTTGCGTTGTGGCACTCTCGATGACCGTTGTCGTGTTCAAGGCACTCACAGCCCTCTGGCCGAGTTTGTTCCACATTCTCTGGACGTAGTGACCGCCACTAAGGAAGTACAACATACAAACGTTCCGTTTCATCTTGATTTAGGCACTCACATCCCTTTCAATGACACACGATGCTGCTTACGACTCGGAGCATGCTAGCCTTTCCTTCGATTTGCTGGTCGACCTGCCGTGGGAGGATGTCGTGGCCCAGCCAGGCCCTGTGAAAGCGTGCACTCATAGCCAATAGACCCCCACCCTCTTTTACGACAGCTGTGGCGTTTGATCTCTATACAACCACACCTATCGTACACGGTTGACTTTTCGGGCAAATGGCACAGCTAAGCTGCTCTTCCATACCGTGCTGCGCATCATCAGAGAACCGACTACCATGTTACAGAAGGAATCTACGCACGTCTAGGGACGGAAGGTCGACTACACCTTCGTCTATGGATGCCAGCGTTCAGCGATTCGAAAGAAGATTGGAGCATCCTATTTGAATATGACCAAAGCGCAACTAGTTAATCGATGTCAACTCAAGCCTGCGTCGTCTGGACGGTTGGGCGATCTGAGGCGTGAAACCTGAGAGAAACAGTCTCATATGATATCGCACCACTCAAATCCTAGAGAGCTTCAAGTTCTAAGGCAGGACCGCACCGCAAACATTGACTCACCCTTCATTCGCTCGTCTGCAATCGACCAGTCACTGATATACATTCGGATGAAGCTCAAAGGACGCCATATTCGCTTTTGCCAGTGCGCTCTGGGCAGGACTTACTTCTCATTACAACGAGAATGATATTTCGAATTGTAGGATTCAGCGCCTCGAAGACTTCCACCCCGCTCCGTTCGAGCTTGAGGTCACTCATGCAGTGGCGTTTGGGAGTTTGGGAACACTAGCGTGCTCGCCTAGCGCAACCCACAACACCACCACCAAAAAGTAAGAACGTGTGGGACGCCCACGCAATTCTGCCTTCCTTCCAGCATGCCTCAAGAACTACACTACGGGTTTGTTAGTCTGTTGAGCATATCACAATCGCCGACTAGCCAGCTTTAACACTGTAAAGCAATTCCCACAATGCTCGCACTGGGCTCCACTCCTATCAGCATAGTGAGTCACTGCTCACATTCCTCCCAACTTCGAATCCTTTGCTGCCCGAAGAAACCCTGATTGGGTTCCGAGCGAGCGGTAGCCCACCATGCTGTTCGCATGGCTGCCCAGCGGGTCCACTTTTGGCGTTAGTGTCAGATTTGCGGTGCATTCAGCCCAATGGGCGACCCACCCGGCGGCTGTTTGGGGCTTTGGACATCTTCAACACTACTTTTCGGCTCTCGCGAGTGTCACACAAAGAGGAAGAGATATTCGTGGCAGTGATATGTGGTCGTTGGTTTAGAAAAATTAGGGTCAGCAGTCGACCAGGGCACACGGCTACGGCCGCGGCCGGGTGTCAAATTCGCCTCGTGCCGTTCCGTGCTGGAAAGGGCAATCCGATGATGAAGACTTCGGATGATCTCTCAACGAGTGGACAGTATAATTCGGAGCAATTTGAGTTGGTGTGGTGTATCATCCAGGCCGTGATTGATGCTTCGGCGCATTTTGCCTGACCCAGCCAGACGGTCCGGTCATCCCCCTCATCAGCCTCCTCTCAGTATATAACCTACGCAACATGAGCCTCAGTCGAACTGCACAACAAACCGTTCATCAACTTCGCGCGAGGGATACCTACCATACTATGCTATCAGCACTTCTAACATGATTTTCCACGCGCTCGACAATTACAATAGCAACTACGCCGATACGTGTGAAGTACACTGTCGATTCTTACTGACTGTGCCGTCTTCAACAGCCTTCAGCTTGAACATCACTCCTTCCAACAGAACACCATGGCTTTACAGTGTCCCCACCTTACCAGCAGTCTACGAGGTCCCCACTACCGTACACTGACTCACAGCCCCACCGAATGTTCATTCGCTTACCAAAAACTCCACCGCACAACACCACTGTCTTCAAGCTTCATTCCAGCCCGCGAATTGCCCACAATATATATTAGCAACTGTATTGCCTGCTTATCTAATCAATAACTCAATTCCTGAGTTAGGTCTCCTTGGTGTAGTTGGGTAAGCCTCCTTCATCTTTACAACTCCGCCTTCCACATCTAACATTCAACCAGTTATCACGTGGGTCTCATAGTCATCACGCTGTGACTGCTCTAGAGCAGATATCCCAAGGCCGCCAGTTCGAGTCTGGCAGGGGACACGCTTTCTTTTTTGTCCAGCCGGCACAAGTGTAAGTTAAGCTGAGGTTGGAGGGAGTATCGGGTGATGGTTTGATGTTAATGATGGACAGAGTTAGCGCGTGGGACTTTTGATTCCAAGGCTGTGAGTTTTCGAGTCTCGCGTTGGGCGAGGCAATTTTTGGCATTCGCTTGCGCCTCTACGGCGTTGAGTAATCGCTTTTGCTGGTGTACAGATGGTGGTTTGAATTGTTTCACTGTCCAAGACTTCATATTGTGGTCTATCTATGCCAAATTAAGCCTAGATGTCCACTGTTAGCTCTTGGGACATCCGCGGACATGTTCAAACGCGGTTGTAAACTACATGGTGATGCGACGCAGCTACAAATCCGTCCATGCTCTGCAAGCCTCCCTTTCACAGATATGCCGCTGGCACGCGACTTCCGACAATGAACACATCAACACCTGATGTGTCAAGTGTCTTTCTCCGTTCTAGAGAAGTACAAAAACAATAGGGAAACAGCTCGATGTTCTGCGCCTTCTAATGTTCATCAGAAATCCGATTCGAATTCCTGAATGTCCACCGAGACTTCCACAAATGAATATAAGATCGTTATTATATGGAGATGTCTTGGCTTGGCTGAAGTGACAACAATCATGGCAAAAGATTGGGAAAGTGCGACACTCTGTAATGAACAGAGCAAAGCAATCATAAATGCAAAGACAAGCCAAACATGTTAAGTGTGAGAAGAGGTTAGTTAGTTCATTTATTCATTGTACTATCCGACATCCAATCCAAAGTAGGGTATCATCCTCCCAAAACGTCTTCATCCATCATACAACAAGCGACACTCAAGGCCTGATAGCCATCTGCACCATCGTCTCCCTCCCCTCACTGACCCTCATCGCCTTGCCCTTCAGAACACGCCGGTTCTCCTTATCACTCTCGCCACTGCTACTCGTATTCAGTGGGCTCAAGTCAAGTCTACTTCTCCTTGTCGACGATCCAGAACTAAAGGCTGACCGCATGTCCACTGCCGAATCATGACTATCCACGATACCCAGGCCCTGAACAGCAGACTCAAGCTCTCCTATAGCGGTGGAGTCTCTGACAGCCTTCTTTTGACCTTGTTGCTGCCTGATGAAAGCTCTTTGTTCATCTGAACCAGGCAGATAGATTCGCTTGGCACCCAAAGTACGCTTGATGTCTTCGAGCAGGACTTCCATAGGGCAGATGTATGCGATGTGGTTCCTCTGGCACCAGGCTAGCACATGCCCGACAACGCGGTGTGAGTTGTTCTGGATGACCCAAGCTCCCGAGTCACCACCAACGCCAAACCCACCAGCAACGTGCCAGCTGCGGGAGAACGACTTGCGGCGGTAGATGCGCACAGAGCTCATCGCTTGTCCAACCATACCGCCCTGTAGACCGGTAGTGCGGCCGAAGCAGTGCACGTTCAGGCCACCGAGTGAGTCGGCGCTGGCAACGCCGTTGGGGTACTCGTCTTCACCAGGTTGATAGTGGCGGCGATTGACGGGTTCCTCAAGCTTCGATGAGATCTCGCGTTGATCTGGCTTCATAGAGCCGAAAGCGAAGCGGCGACCGCCCTGGCAGACGTTGTAGGGCTGCACACGATCATCGTTGAGCTTCAGCAGAGCCCAATCGATCTCATGCAGAATACCATCGCGCTTCCAGCGGCGAATGCCAGAGGATGCGTGGACGTATCCGAGCTCATGGGAGTCGAGGTGGTCTTCGTCTTTGTCTTCCTCGTTTGGGAAGAAGTCTCCGTCGACGTCGTCAATGGCGGGTTGTGTGACTTTGATCTCTTCGCCCTCGCCGAGTTCGATACCGTCGATGTCGCCAACGGTGACGCGCGACATTGCCGAGTCTGTCATGGCTTCCTCGTCGGACTCTTCTTCTGAGTCGAACTCTGAACCAGAGAAGTCGAAGGACTCAGTTTCGTCGTCATCTTCGCTCCCAATATCTTCATCGTCAGACAGCTCGAGGTCCCACATGGGTACCGGTGCGTCATTTGCAAGTTCAAGACCGGGTTGAGCGCCCATGCCCATCAGCCAAGGGTTGCTGTTGCTGGTTGCGCTCGACAAAACCGCATCATACGGGTAGGGGCTAGCAACTTCGTCTTCAGCATCACTCTCATCATCTGATGGCGCATCGAGTAGGTGGTGGACACTCATACCGAGCGGCTCATCATCGACTAACACGACCCCGCCATATGAAACCGGAGGAAGATGTTGCTTGCCGTTGAAGGCACCAATAGAAGCACCACAGAGTGGTCGTTGTTGATGAAAAGGGTTCATGACAGCCATGTCCGCGTTGTAGTTCTCGGTGTTCATCATAGATCGATGAGGTGGCCGGACGCGACCTGAAGAGCGGCTCATCTTGGATCGCCGAACCTTTCCGCGGCGGACCTTAAGATCGAACACGTTCTCATCGTAGCGGAAGCGGCGTGAGAGGATCGCCTTGATCTTGGCGATACTGCTACATGTAATGAAGATGGTAGGTCGAGCCTTCTCCTGAGTCTCGCCAATTGCGACGAGATCAATGCTGACGGTCTCGTCCGAGTCCCGGAGAGCGCGCTCGATGAGGCGCTCGAGTCTAGGGAGCATGATAGTATGCCACTCATCAACGATCGCAGGTGTGAACTTCACAGGGTGCAGTCGCAATTTTGAGCGAGGGGCCGGCTCGATATCGGTCTGAATGTGAATGGAGGATGTGATGCACCTGTCGTTTTGCTCCACGACACCAGCGTCCTGCACCTCAGGCTCAAGAGTTGGGTAGCCAAGGGTGGCTTGAGGCCAATGGCGGATGCCATCGGTGAAGAGAGCTTCCACAGAGTGCGTCCGCTTCTGCTTCCTTTGTCTCCAGGCTGTCTGGATGATGGTGATCTTCTCCTTGTAGTCGTTGAAGGGAGTGGCATTGGACGGCTGCGAACGTGAGGCCCGCCAGGCACGCTGGATGATCGATGCAGCGGTGGTAATCTGCTCTCTGTATAACGACGACACATCGCTTCGATCCTGTGAACTGTGTGGAGTAGGGACCAGTGTACCGGATGTCTCGAGTGACCTTTGGTCTTGCTGCTCCCAATCCATAGACTCTATTGACTCTTCTCTCGGGCTGGTAAGACCCATGGTCTCTGAGATCGATTTGCGGATAGAGTGTTGCGAGTGCTGTGATGGATTGCGTGACAGAGCATTAGGGTCGGGAGACTTCTTGGTGCTCGACTTGGTCAGAGACTTCGTCCGTTCAAGTGCCTGGGAGCCCTTCTCTAGGGCCCAGCGTTTCGCACTTCTGTAGGAAGGGCTGGTCGGCGTCTCCAAAAGTTGAGGCTGGCTGACGCTCTTACGCTTAAGATGGGTCGGACCCATCAGCGGTGAAGGCCCTGGTCGTGCATCGTGCAGATCGAACCCTGGTTCAGACTCGTCGAGCATGCAGCATCTTTGCAGTCTGATGATAATGCGGTTGTAAAGCTGCATGAAGTCGTGCAGACTCTCAGCGCCGCTATTACTGCGGTCAACAGCCCAGAAGCAGTCGCGCACGACTTGCATGTATGCAGTGCCGCACTTCGATGCCAGGCGACGGATGTACACATCTTCGACTCGCTGCTTGAAGTCGGCGAGGGTGTACTTCGGCTTCCACAGATCAGCAAGCGGCTGCCACAGTCCGATCTCTAAAAGGATCAAGCCGAGACTGTACAGGTCGAACTGGGGACCATGATGTCTGTCCCTAGATCCGGTGAACTTCGGGTCCTCCGGATGGCGGTAGATGTTGAGAGTCGGCATCGTGTTGGTGGCCTCGATATCGTATTCGGAGAAGAGGTCGAACGAGCAGACAACAGGAGCCCGAAGAGCGTACTGCAGTGCCCTTGTGTTTGCCGATTGTCGTCTGTTCTTTCGAAAAACCAGAACGTTGCTGCTGTTGATGTCTTTGTGAACGAAGTTGTCTCCATGGATCTTGCTGAACGTGATGGCAAGTGAGTATGCTAGGCGAAAGCGGTCCTCAAGTGGAGGTGTGGCACTGTTTGAGTTGTTGAGTGACTTGGATCCTGTCTGCAGAACACTGAGAAGTGTAACAGGTCGCAGTTCATCTATTGTCTTGTGCGCGTCCGATGCACCGGAGTATGTTGATGATGGAAGCTCGAACACTAGTCCGAATCGTGGTTGCCTAGGATCTTCGAAGTACCCCAAGCATCTGAGGGTAGCCAGATGAGGCTGATCGTTTGACAGCTTGGTCAATATGTACAAGAGGGTGTCCAGCCGATCTGTGGGTGGAGAGACCTCAGTGTAGCGATATGTTGGGTCGAACGTCGCGTACTCAATCAAGACAGGCTGCTCGACAATGCGCGATCCGTCGGTTTTCCAGGGATTTGTCGAACTGTTTCGCGAGCGCAGTCGGCCTATTACGCGAATGGAGGAAGCACCAACACTTTCGTATGGCGGTGGTTCTTCTTCTGGGAGGACCAGATCTGAAGGGTTCAACTTTGGTGGCAAGTGCGAGCGGGAAGCAGCATGCAGCGCATGTGCATTTAGCGGGAATGTCGCTGGGTTGACGAGCGTAAGATCCGACGCGCTATACTCTGGCTTTGAGAAGATAGCTGGAGTGGATGGTCTTAGAGGCTCAAGAGCAACCTTGACGTCCGGACCGGGATCGCGCTGTGCACGTCGACTTCTTGAGAGGTCATAGAGGATGTCGATAGAGGTAGTAAGGTCCTTGATGAGGTCCTCATAACGTGACCTTTCGGCGGCTGCCCACGCGGACGTATCAGATGTTGGCAGCCTGCTCTTCTCCTCTGACAATGTCTTGCCCGCTGGAGGTGCAGCGCCCGGGTGCATGTGCTCAGCCTCGTCTAAGATCTCCTTGATGGTCCCAAGCACGCTAGTCACTGTCTCTGTGAGGCCCGCCTGCTCCACGCTCTCGTCGATGTCGCCATTCTTGCCCTTCGCATTGTCGCTCCAGTCGACACCCCACGTTATTAACCTGTCCTTCTGTATTCGGAGTTTGCGGTGAAGGACGTTCGATTGCGTGTCTTGGTTATCTTGCTCGACGACGGCGTCGCAGTGTATCTTGGTGTCGGAGTATAGCTGAGTTAACCGCCGCGGAATCCTGCTGATTGTCTCCATATTGAGCGGTACCATGGAATGTAGTGTTGTCGCAGTGAGCTGTAGCAGCGTAACTGCGTTATGTGAGGTGAGTATACGATAACATAGAATAAAGCGACGCAGCGACTGCCTTGAAGGTCGTCGTCATGGCTGGCGGCGTCGTCGATATACATTGGGGTGCAATCGTGGTTGCCTTGCACTGTGGCGCAGGCGCGACCGATTGGTCAACGCGGGGGTTACACGCGACTGCGCCTGAGAAATGGGGCTGTGAGACAGGACCATCCACACTTCGGAAAGGCCGCTGACATGTGTCATCTGTGACCTGTTCACATGATCGCAGGCTGTGATATTTGCTCTACGATCCGGGGTCAGCCTGGAGGTCAGCCTGAAAGCTGTCACTAATGCACAAGTTTCACCGTCACTTCGTTCATAAAGCGCATGTTCCAAAATGTAGGCAGAAATGAATCGATTCCATGCTTTTCCAACCTGTTGTCCATACATGCAATATCCTACAAATGCCTGCGCATTACTTTTAGCGCTAAGCTGAGCGATACATCTAGTCATCCTCGGTCAAATCACCGTACTCCCACTGACCTCTCCTCTCCACCTTAGCGACGTCCTGCTTCTGCTTCAGAGCACCGAGAATGTCCGAGGCACTCCTCTCCCAAGCCTTGAGCTTCTTGGGAACCATAGCAAGACCTTCCTCGATGACATCGGCGTTGACGCTCTCGTCACCAGACTTGCTCTCCTTGGGGTCGAACAGAGTGACCCACAGAAGGCCGTCCTTGTCAACCTGGTCAACGTTGGCAACCAGCGAGCGACCAGCGGTCTCCTGGGAGATGAACTGGACGGCGTCGTTGAGGTACTCGGGGTTTCCAGGAAGCTGAATGAAAGCAAGTTGCGCGTCGACAGCCTGGGGTTTCAGCTTGGTGTTAGAGAACTCAGCGCTGAGAGGACGCAGGCGAGTCCAGGGAATAATCTCAGAGTTTCCGTAGTCAATATAGACGACCTCAGCCTTCTTGGCATCGCGGTCGTTGCGGCGGACACGGGCACGGTACCATGTGTCGTCCTCGGTGAACTTAGCTGAGACAAATTCGCCGGCCTTGGGAGGGCCATCAAGACCCTTGTTGTTTGCGGGGTTCAGGTGGAACTTGCTGAAAGCGCTCATCAACGACGTGAGTGCTGATGTACCGGAGCCGATCTGCTGGAGCTTCAGCCTACCATCATCGGCAACGTGGGTGACCATGACATCGCGGTAGTCCTTCTGTCTCGAGGCCGCTGGTGCCTCTCCGTTCGATGTCTGGGTCGTAGCTGCGGTGGTGTCGTCGTACTCGTCATCTTGCGATGGGTCGTAGTTTTCCCAAAGGTTCTTTCGTGCATCCTTGGCCTTCTGTTCAGCGGCGAAAAGCTCGTTTGCGTTACCGGACTTTTCGGCCGAGTATGCGTGTACAGATGCAAGACCCTCCTCAACAAGAGTCTTCGCAAAGTTCTCGCGGTTGATGTAGAGGGTGCCAATAAAGCCACCAACCTTATCACAGTCCTCGACATCGATCTCGACGTCTCGCTGCTGGCAGCGCTTGCTGGCGAACTCGTGTGCCTCCTTGCCGAAAGGCTCGCCCTTATCTTGGTCGTTCCTGGCGGATCGAGGTGCGCGGATACCGGAGAGGACGAGTGTGATCTTGGCGTTCTCGCGGGGGATCAGGACGGTGAAACGGGAAGCAGACTTGACGAAGTCAACAACGGCAGGGACTCTGCGCTGCCTCGAGAGCAGAGTGAGCTGACGCTTGGCCTTCTCGAGCGATTCGGAGTAGTCGACGTATTGCTTAGCGGAAGGTGCCTTGGGACACCAGAGGCCCCTCTGCTCCTCCTGCGCGGTAGCCTCAGCAAGCAAAAGGTCGTCGTAGATAGGGCTCCTGTCGGTGTCGTCCTGGCGGTGGCGAATAACCGTAGCCATACCGTTCTCAACGAGGAGGAGACCGATATTCTTGCCCTGGAAGCTGACTGTAGCCATTTCGCGCTCATCGTAACCCTCGGTTGCCGGGCGCTTTCCATCGATATGAAACTTGACGTGTTTGCCAATCAACTTCTTGCGCAGGAATTCCTTGGCCTCTGCTACCCAGGGTGACTGCTTGGGGTCGGAAGGCTTGGGCTGACGAACACTGCTGAGGTTGATGCGCTTCTCAGCACCAGCCTTGTTTCGCAGGAAGAGGGTGTCTGCGCTCTGTACTCTGCTAACAACTGCCTCGAGCTCTCCAGGAGCGTTGGCCTTGGGCGCGACGTGACCCTGGTAAACACCCTGCCCCCTGTCCCTCGCGAACTTCTCGGCCTGCCTCAGCGAAGCCATCTGCGCTCCAAGAAGCGTGGTGTGGTGGTCGGTGCACTTGGCCAGACCGGCCTTGAGAACGTGAGGTGTGATGCTACCCTGAGTAGGGTGCTTGACGTCGGCTACGATCTGTCCGTTCGGTGTCAGTCCGAGGACGTTGACGGCCGTATTACGCTGAAGCAGCCTGGTCTCGACGAAAAGCTGCGCATCATCACCGAAAGGCTCGGCAGCCTGTACTTCTTGGGTCGAGGGGTTCGTCCGCTGCGTCGATGGTGCTCGGATACCGGCGAGGAGGATCATAGTCTGGACGTGCTCGGTGGGCGAGAGGATGAAGCGAACGATAAGGCGGTCACCAGACAGGACCTTTTCGACGATAGCTGCTGGGGTTAGCTCTATTCTCAAACACTTTGGACATTTACACACCATCGAGCTCCTTGCCCTTGTTCTCCTCAACGAACTGCTGGGGGTTGCTGAGCTCATTCGACGACGTGATTCTACCACCAGTCTCGGCCCAGAGACCCTTCGACTCTGCCCTAGCTCGCGCCTCAAGGACCTGCAGCTTCTCCAAGATCTGTGCATCCTCATCGGAGTCGCCCTTGCGACCGGCGTCATCCCGCAGCTTCAACCAGCCCTCGGCAACAGCTTGTTCGGGGAGTACTGTGCGGTCCGGCAGAGCAACGATACCGTATTCGCGGTTGGCACCAGTGGGAATCTTGTAGAGAACCTGGAAGCGTACGACCTTGCCAACAAGAAGACGGCGGAGATAGTCGCGTGACTCGAAGGCAAATTGCTCGTCGCCCTCGCGCTTCAATCGTGGTGCGGTGACGAAGGCTAGGCTGAGGATGCGTTCTTGTCTTGGGTTGCTGATGTTGTGAAGAATAATGGTGTCGCCAGAGAGGACGCTCTTGACTTTCGCTTCGAAGTGGGAGGCAGCCATGGTGGAGGATGAAGCGTGACACTACAGACGTGGCTGTTAGCTATCGTGGTCACAAGAGCTCCAGACTTGAGCGTGGAAGTATACAGCGCATTCACTGCACTTACCTTGTCAAACCAGCGGAGAACCTAGAAGGAAATGGAAGGAGAGACTGCAATTGGTACCAAAACTCAATTGCAGAAGGGGAAGTTGTGATGTTGCTGAAGTGACAACGTGGTGCTTAGCGGTGTACCCGAAATCTCGCCATCCTAGCTCCAGGGACCGATTGTGGGGTCTTCCAGTCTAGGCGAAGCTAGAACGTCACTTGCAGATCTCATGCACACCTTGTACCATTTCGAGAACCATCTATGACAGTCACAAGTTTATGCTCATCGATTGCTCAGGACTGCAATAGCGAAAGGTGATAGCGTCCGTGTCAGTTAGTGGATTACTACTAGCCAATACTCCATCTCCAGTCCTTCAGCTATGTAACAATAGCTTGGGTATACGCCAAAAAGCTGGTATGCCAGTCGCGAGGCTATCTGTGCACCGTTCTCTTCTCCTAGATATACAACGCAAGGGCAAAACCCCTTACCCTATCCTGTCTCCACTCCCCAAAATGCGTGGCCAATTCCTCTCTTACTATACTCTTACACAGTTGCACTACAATACAATAATCCCAATGAAACTTTTGCTCCCACCCAAATAACCGAACCAAATAGCAAGTGCTGATCAACAAAGCAAATGTACAAACGACAGACAAAGGAACAAAGCTCAAAGAGGGAACGCCGTCGTAATGCATAAGTCATTAGGTGTCGCTGGACTTCATGTCCTAAGCAACGTAAGCAGGGGGTGCCTCTAGCTCGTCTTCCGAAGCCCAGATGCCTCCAGTGGGGCCTTTGGAGCTTCGAGCTAGTGGTGACCTATCTCGAGAAAAGCCTTGGCGGTCCTTCTCTTGCTGCACCTTCCTTGCGATTTCTTGTGCCATCTTCGTCATCCAAGCTTGTTCGAGGATGCCACCGGAGCTTTCGGCCTCATTTGGTGGTGATGCGAGCGCAATCTTGTCGAAGGACAGGGAGCGGAGGAGCGGTGATGTCGATTGCTGGGCCTGGCGAATCTGGTTGTGAGAGAGCGGCGGTCGTCTTGAGGAAGGGCGGGCCTTGATAGTCTCGCCGTTGTAGATATCGCGCTGCTTCGACTTTGATCTCGACTTCCTTGGCGGTTCTGAGAGAAGGGGTGCGGCGGGGGTAAGCGTCTCGGTGGATGCTGTGTTATCGGCGAGCATGCTGGGCTCGCCATAGTCGAGGATACCATGAGGTTCGTCATGCTGTAGGTCAGGACGGGCTGGGCTTCGAGGTGGCGTAGCAACTTCTCCAGCTTCTCTCTCTTCATACACGACACTCGATGTCTCCGAAGCGTAGGCGCTCGCCATCTCGCTCTGCCCGTTAACTGATCCAGTATCAGCGCCGGTCTCAGTTGTCTTCTTGCGAAGGTCCACAACGCGCTTCTTGCGCTTTCGCATGCCTCCAGTGCGTGATCGTCCAGCACCTAGAGTCAGACCTGACATGGAGTAGGTAGTGGAGGAGACAGTCGGGCGTGAGTCGTGCGTATCGTGGGTGTCGTGGGTGCCTTGGCTTCCAGATGCAATAGATGAGGCGCCCGATCTCATGGTACCAAAGGTAGATTGTATCCTAGACAAGCTGCCTCTTGTGAGTGCTGGTGTGGCGGTGCCGGACGCATCTCGATCTGGGCCCGCCCAGGCACGGAACACAGCATCTCGAATACCAGGTGTGAAGAGCGATAGGGTGCGTTGCGATTCCGAAAGCGCGGCGAGGCGAAGGATGTTCTTTTGCGAGAAGGACGCGTGGATCTCGCCAACAGGATCGAGTGCGATTTCTGAGATCTGAGATTCGTCGAGAGGGTTGCCGAACGCATCGACTGCGTCTTGCGGAGGTGTTGCCAATGGGTCTACAGTGGCGACGCCGTCCTTAGTGCCATCTAACCGTTCTTCTTCGATCTCCTGGAACTCAGGCGAGCACAAACGTAGTGACAATCGATGGATGATAGCTGGCAGATCCTCCATGAACAACACTCGTAGTTGCCCCTCGATTTCCTTTTGCAGGTAATCGCGGACGAACGGTATCGAGTCAAATGTCGAAGAAACCTTTAGCGATTCCAGGGGGTCGTTCCTGAAGACCAGGGTCAAGCCCTTCTGTTTCGAAAACACTAAGATGACGAAGCCTGACAACCGGAAGTTCGATAATGTGATTGACAGCGGTATTGTCAGGCCGGATGCTGCTGCCAGAGGTTGTGGTGATGCGAAGTCCGGTCTTGTCGATAAGTGCGTCTTCAGCGGGTTGACCTGAACTTTCGTTTTTAGCGTCAAGAATGCATCGCCGGCGTATGACATTTTGAAGATGCCTCTAAATCGATCTTCTGCCAGGTCGCCAACTTCCAAGATCTCCAGTTCTGGTGGTGTTGATCCAAGGTTGAGTTCGGTGACGATGATGTCGTCAACGATGATAGGCGGCTTCGGCGACTTGTTCAGCGCCGTTGTGAGCATGTCTCGCGCGCGCGAAGTGTCCGCCAGGAGTGGCGACCAGTTGAAGTTGAACGCCATGGCTGGTGGTTGTGCTCAGATGCGGAGGAAGCGTTGAAGCTCCTAGCGACGAGAGGCACCGATGCGTGGGTTGGTGGGTAGCAGCTGGGGTGTCGCGTGCATGCCTTTGATCTTGGTCGCCGCGTGAACGGATTCTGGGCAAACGGCGGGTCTGGGGCTGTGTATGGGTGGAAAAATGCGTCACCCGGGCGAAGGATGGTAAGCGACGTGCTGCAGTGATGCTCGCTGGCCGTGCAGGTGATGGTGGAGTGAGCTGCGAGGGTACAGCAGGAATTTCTCGGATATGGAGAAGGTTCGGGAGCCTTAGGGATGCTATGAGCTCAGCGCACAGGGAACCAACTTTTGCGCAGCAACCGTGCACCACTCGCTAATACAGGGCTGAACTCCGGACGAACCGCGGCAGGCTTGTGAAACACAACAGACGGTTGACAGTAAACAGTATTGATAGGTAGTGAAAGGCCCAGGAAAGAAGAGGGGCGTTTGGTTGTTTATCAAGGGCTTGGAGAGGCAAGCACGACCTGTCGAAGCTGTCTCGCACCAGCCAGCCGAGCAAGCATCCTTAATTTCATGTGACGCGTATCCATGTCAAAACATCGTGCCTCAGCCCTCACGAGCCACATAACCCTTCCAAAAGACCACCAACTCAGCCGGCGACCCCAGTTTCACAGGCACATCGCTCCAAAAGCAGCCAATCGAAGAAAAGGGGTCGTCAATCTATCGATAATAAGTCACTTGGGCCACCAGATTGCCTGTCGATAACGCGGGGAAGTATTGCGGGCGCGTTGTTTTGTAGTGTACTTTGACGTGATTCTTGTTGTGATACTTGAAGCACATATAGCCTTGCGTTGGGGATTCGGCAGCAGCTTCATGCTATCGAATGCTTGAGGGCTCAGTTATCGTCCTTCAACAGCTTCTCAACAGCTTCGACCTTGTCTTTGAAGCCTTGCTTCTTGTCCGTTCTGGTACCAATTCTGATGTCACTCTGGATCCTCACAACACCGTTCTGATGAAGCAGAGCATGGCACTGTCCAATGACTCGCATGCAGTCATCCCATGAGCCCTCTACAGACAGTCAGTAACGCGACAGTCTGCGCTCGATATTGCATACCAAGTGTAGTCCCTGCCGAATGCATAGAGTAGTTCAGTCCACTCCTCTTCAAGATCCTCTGCACCTCCGCAACTTCCTTCGACACACTCGCTGTCGGTGTACCTAGTGGGATGAGGCAAAAGTCTGCCGTGCAGGACGGCGGTGTCTTGATGTCTGAGATGTCGTTGCTCGCCATGTTTGGTTGGTTGATGTTTCTCAAGAGCTCAAGCTTAAGCCGCGAGATGCGGGTTGAGGGGATGCCCCACTCTGGTCTACAAACCTCACCGCGAGAGTGCAGAACAACGCACAACATCTTTCTTGATAAAGATGGAAGTCTAGAGCGTAGACCCTACTCGCAATCTTGAAGAGTCATTATTTCTGAGGTAACAACGTTTTGCAAACTGTGAAGCTTGATGTTGAATTGGCGGTGGTAGACGTTGTACCAAGTGCGCGGAGCACGAGACAAATTTGCACAAACCAAGTGGGGTAAGTCTATTCGCACGCTTTGCTGACCATCGTGTTTGATGTCTTGTAGTTGACAAATGGCCCAATGGAATGTTAGAGTAGATGTTCACAAAGAAAGCTGTTTTGAACTTTATACAATCAATATATATTTTATAATGATTGATTTTGATTCATCAAATCATTCAATTGTCAATTGGTTCGATGGTGTAGTTGGTTATCACGTCAGTCTAACATCAGTTAGTTCACTGAAGGTCTCCAGTTCAAGTCTGGGTCGAATCATTTTTTTCTTGACCATGAAGGTCGCGCTCAACTTATTTGGCCGCCTCGGGGACGTTCCTTCTCCAAAATCAGTGAAGCCTCGCTCATCTTTTTGTCGCCAAGCTGTGATCGTGGTAAATATCTAGCAGTCAAAGTCAAAAGCAAGATGATCTCTTGATTCTGGAACCGCTGGACTTATCTATAGAGAACGGGTCCTGGCAACTCTTCCGAAAGCACGTAAAAGCGTTGAAAATAACTGCCGTATTCGAGGAAGGAATGGGGAACCAGGGCCCTTATGAAGAGTGAATTCGCGAGCTTCTCGAATACCGTAATACGGTTGAGACATGCGTCATTACCGACAACTTTTGGTAGACAGAAACGATCGCGGGCCGGATTTTTTCGACGAACCTTCGCTCGCTCACTATCCAACGTGCTAGTTTCACTCAGGGAGGAGATGGAGAGTTTCCTTTTGAATCGTGGAGATACACTGGAAGAGTTCGTTTGAATATGTACGGTTGGAGAGTCATCCCACGCCTGGAAATTGGATTCCAGTGTTCCAGGAGATGATGGAGTTGCCCAACTTGACGCACGTTTGATTCTCCGATTTATAACAAGATGCTCGATGGAAGCCGTGGAGGACACAGTGGACGGGAGTACGGCGATGCATGCTACTGCTGCAGAGGTTTAGGAGAAAGTGGAAGGGGGGGGGGGGCAATTAGCCATGACTTATGATTGACGATGAGAATTTCGAAACGAGGGAGGTGGATAAGGGGCATGAACGATCTGTTGTTGTATGGTTTCCTGATCAGGACGAGTAAGAGCAATTGGTGGCTTATGCTTCAGAGCAAGCCGATTATGAGCATGCAGTCAAGGCAGCGCGTGCTGATGTTTATCAACTGTTGAGCAGTCCAAAGATTTCAGTCCATCGTTCCACGTGGAGGATTGTGTGGCGATGGACCTTCACAAGTGCGCAGATCCTGCATTCCCCAGAGGCAGTCAGTACGGCTCCTTTTAAAGTTTGAATTGTATAGGAAGCCTGAGGAATACAACTTACTACAGTGATGCTGCACTTCTGCCTCGTGATTGGCAGTGACCTTTGGATGATGCGAGATGCAGGAGTCGACAACGGCGTCTTTATAAGGAGACGCCGGCTACAGGCGCGTGTTTCCTACAATTTTGGGACGTAGTCACGCCAGCTCTTGGCCATATCTGTAAGTTTATAATTAGTCCGAATATCTGCCTTCGAGCCGTAGTTCAATGGATTTGCGAGGAATCCAGATAAGAAACGTAACTTCGCCGAACACAAGTGCAAGCAGGCGATAGCGGGTGATTGTGGCTTTTTGTGGGCGAAGGCACGGGCGATACTTGTAGTTGAAAGTGATTTTAGTCACCCTTGACTCCTCTTTTTCCACCTTCTTTAGTTTGCTTGCGTGTGGAACTGATGTCAAACTCAGCGGAAGCGGAGGGCAAGTATTTGCAGACCAGGTCTCGATCGTGCCTGTATTTATCGATGCTGTCATCAAAAAATATGCCTTTCTGGACGGCTGCAGGATATGAGCCAAGATATCGAGCAGACCCGATGATCATCCCTTGGATTTGCCGGTGCATTTTCGGATCAAGCATGCACAACGCCCCGTATATTGCGTTCCTTTCGATTTCTACGTCAAATGCAGCTCCATCTTTGAGTTTAATGAAAGGTGTTCGTCAAATAGTCTGGTACTATGCACAGCCTCTCCGCTAATATCTTCTCTGCTTTGCCAACTTTATTTGCTGTGTTCTTGGCTCAATCCGCTGAATCCTTGAACATGTTCCTCGAAGAGCTCTTCGTGGTTGCTAGCTTCATTGACCCACTCATCCAGCCCGACTTGCTCTTCATCTTCTTTTTAATCACCGTGTTACCGGTGTGCACCATCCTTCTGGCAGTTATCTTCTGCAGAGTTGTCGATGTTAACGAACTCATTGTCCTCAACTTCCTTTCTTCCGGATCTCGGAGCCGACACATCTTGCTCCTCATCTAGGACATCCTGCTCTTCCCCTAGGAGGTCTTGTTCTTCTTCATATTGTTCCTCGTGAACGATGATGTCACCAGGCGCTAGAATGCTCGTGTCGATACATGCGCCTACTAGTTCTCATCATGGGAATGCATTGGCTTGTAGTTCAGGAACTGAGCTGTTCGCATGACACCCTGACTGTTCTTGATGTAAAACCCGAGCGGAGGTCGCCTTTCCTTCAAGTCACCCTCAACAATCTTTCTGGCAACATAGTTCGCACCTGCAATCTTGAATCACGCAGCCTTCTCCTGGGGAGGCAAGCTCGGGGTTTTCTAGGGTGAAGTTGTGTGTGCACTTTCTCTTTGGTGTGAATGGAGAGTGCAAGTCATTCTCCTTGCGCTTGTGGGTCTCGAAGCCTTTTCGCTGATCGATTACTCGCGCTACGCGTACTTCGGTTCCTTGAATAACACGACTTTCGACCTAGCATCCTTTTCAAGCTTTTAGCCAATCTCGCAGACCTTCCATTCCGCACTCTAGTTGCTCATCGATGACTCTGCATTGATCTTTTGTTGCCCAATAAGCTTCTCGATTGCTCCTTCAACCGTGTAGAATGTGTTGAGGTTGATGTCCCAATCTTGGATGACGTCGATGCGAATCTCGGTGCCAACCCTTACACCAGTTGCCAGAGATCTCTGAAAACCTTCTGGCTCTGGCATAAGACGTGGGAGTAGTCGGACTGCTTGGGCGGCAATTCGAGACAAGACATCGCCTTGTGATCCCGGGATCAGGCATCATGTCTCTACTCAGTGAGATTTGGAGCCCCGTAGCAGAGCCTCCACAATCGGAGTAGGCCGAATATAGGTATACCGGAGTTGAAAGTATCAAGCGGCAGACTTGAGTGGATAAGTCAGAACTGACGAGGCCTAGCGTACCTAGATCCGACTCTGGGGGCTGGAAGTGATGCAGCAGGCGCCAAAATACGTTGGAATGCGATCGGTAACTCGAGCAAACGTGCTCGCACGTTGCTTGATATGCTCCGGTAAGTGGTTGGACTGCCACGTTTAGAAAGTTAACTTGTGCTTCTAAAATGCCACCAGATGATTCTATTTCTTGGAAGACGGAGACAGCGGGGTGGGATTCGGGACCGACTTTGGCCGGTGGACCCTGATGATTGTTGAGCTTCGTGACCTGCTTGGCACAGTTCAAAGATTCAGTTGGAATGAAAAGTAGACGAAGAGGCTGACCGCCGAGAGTTCTTCATGTTCATAAAAATGCCTTGGGTAAGTTCGCTGACAACCTTTCAACGTCGGGCTGGATGTCGGGTGTGCAACTGGGAGAAAGGTGTGGAGCACCGTATGGACGCCACTGTGGGCCATGGTAGTCTGGCCCTTGGCGAGAAGGCTACATGCGGCCTCAGGATTTAATTGGCAGTTCCTCGGTGTTGAATGAAGGTGGTTTTGGAGAGTAAGGAGGAAGGCAACGTCATTCACAGCTGTGAGCACGGACCATGACACGGATATCGGCAAAAATCTGGTGCTTCTTGAACAAAGCCAAGATGATGGAGGAATTGGCGTGGATTGGCAGGCGTTAGAGCGGAATTCTTGGCCACCCAGGCCTCGCCTTTACAACCAATTCACCATCAATTTGGACCCTGCAATACGTCATCATCCGACAACTCTACGTCGAAAAAGTGTCTGAAATCGCCTCATGAACGCGTCTGAGTTTTGTGGCTGTGATTGAAGCGTGGGCGAACGATTCCCATTGGTTCCGCCGTGCCCAAGCGGGGCATCGCTGCATGCATACAGATGCTAAACACCTTCCAACAGTGACGTCTTGGATCAGTTCCCACCCGCCAAGGGCTCAATATCTGGTGCGCTTGGCTGTCGCCGTGGTCTGCCATACCATGTCCCGCCTGCATTTCCAGGTGGGGGGGTTTTAAAGGGCTTCAATTCCCCAGATCTAGATTGCTTGTCAACTCCAAACTCCTTAGCATTTGAATGAACCAACATCATTCGCTATGGGAGGGAAGCAGCCATCACTCGAAGGCCACAAGTCTGGCCAGTCCAACGAGCCTCTATCTGCACCGGCCCACGCACTCTCATTCCAGAAGGTGATTGAGGAAACAAAGTGCAACCCCGACGACGGTCTCAGCACATCGGAAGCAAAGTCTCGACTCGAAAAGTTTGGAAGCAACGATCTCGGTGATGATGGCGGAGTCCAACCTGCAAAGATCCTGCTTCGACAGGTCGCTAACTCTATGACTTTGGTAAGTTCGAACATTGGGGATATGAAGCTCCAGCTCTAACATTAATTCAGGTGCTTATTGCAGCCATGGCCGTCAGTTTTGCCATTGAGTCGTGGATTGAAGGTGGTGTAGTAACTGTCATCATTCTGCTTAACGTTGTTATTGGTTTCTTCCAAGAGTTCAACGCCGAGAAGACTATGGATTCCTTACGATCTCTCAGTTCTCCAACTGCCACCGCTATCCGAGACGGAAAGACTGTTACCGTCCCTACCATCGAAGTCGTCGTTGGCGACTTGGTCGAACTCAAGACCGGTGACACCATCCCCGCTGACATTCGGTAAGCCTCCCGAGGATATCTTTTGGATAATTTTTTTCCTGACAATTCACAGTATTATCGAAGCTGTCAATTTCGAGACCGATGAGGCTCTGCTGACTGGTGAATCGCTCCCAGTCAACAAGGATGCCGAAGCCACGTTCTCCGAGGACACCGGCCCCGGTGATCGCCTGAACGTTGCATTTAGCTCAGCCACCGTCACCAAAGGCCGTGCTCGTGGCGTTGTCTTCGCGACCGGAATGTACACTGAAATTGGTTCTATCGCTATGTCTCTTCGCCAGAAAAATTCCCGCGTACGTCCAGTGAAGCGCAAGGAGGATGGTAGCCGACCAAAGCCTCACCGCTACGCCCAGGCTTGGGGTTTGACTGCTGGTGACGTTGTTGGTGCTTTCCTTGGTGTCAACGTTGGTACTCCCCTCCAAAAGAAGCTTGCCCGCCTTGCTATTCTGCTGTTCGGTACTGCCATCGTCTGCGCTATCATCGTCCTGGGTGCCAACTCTTTCTCCAACAACCGCGAAGTCATCATCTACGCTGTTGCGACTGGTCTATCCATGATTCCCGCTTCGCTCACTGTCGTCTTGACCATAACCATGGCCGCTGGTACGAAGCGCATGGTTCAGCGTCACGTTATTGTTCGCAACCTGAAGTCTCTCGAGGCTCTTGGTGGTGTTACCGATATTTGCTCCGACAAGACCGGTACTCTTACCCAGGGTAAGATGGTCGCAAAGAGGGCTTGGATTCCCGCCAAGGGCACATACTCCGTCGGTGTCACTGATGAGCCTCACAACCCTACCGTCGGCTCATTGAGCTTCACTCCTAAGGAACCCCGCCACATCGATCCCGACCAAGATGAGAAGACACAGACTTACCAGGAACTCATGGAGGACAACCCTCATCTGATCGAATATCTCAAGGTCGCATCTCTCGCCAACTTAGCCAACGTCCACCAAACTGATGGCCAATGGAACGCTCGTGGTGACCCAACCGAAATTGCCATCCAGGTTTTCGCATCCCGCTTCGACTGGAACCGTCTGCAATTCACTCAGGGTGAATCGCCCAAGTGGAAACAGCTCGCTGAGTTCCCATTCGACTCCGACGTCAAGAAGATGTCCGTTATCTTCGAAGAAGTTGCCAGTTCCAAGAAGATGGTCTTCACCAAGGGAGCCGTTGAGCGTGTTATCTACTCTTGCGATACTTTCTATAACGCGGAGAGGGACGATGTCGTCAACATGGATGATGACTACTGTGAGGATATTATCGCCAACATGGAAGCGCTCGCATCCTACGGTCTCCGCGTCCTGGCCCTTGCCAGCAAGGACTACGACGGCCCACTCCCTACCAAGGGCGAAGAGCTTGACAGGAAGAACATCGAGGAGAAGCTCGTCTTCCGTGGTCTTGTCGGTCTCTATGACCCTCCCCGCCCCGAAACCGCTGGATCTGTTCGTCAGTGCCAGAAGGCTGGTATCGAAGTTCACATGCTTACTGGTGATCATCCCGGGACCGCCCGCGCCATCGCCGCCGAAGTTGGTATCTTGCCTTCGAACATGTCCACTCTTGCCAAGGACGTTACCGACGCCATGGTCATGACCGCTACCCAATTTGACAAGCTCTCTGACGACGAAGTCGACGCCCTTCCGCTGCTTCCTCTTGTTATCGCTCGTTGCGCTCCTAACACCAAGGTCCGCATGATCGACGCACTACACCGAAGAAAGGCTTTCGCAGCCATGACTGGTGATGGTGTCAACGATTCGCCATCTCTCAAGCGCTCCGACGTTGGTATTGGTATGGGTACTGGATCTGATGTTGCCAAGGACGCCTCCGACATTGTTTTGACCGACGACAACTTTGCCTCTATCCTCAACGCTATCGAAGAGGGTCGCCGCATGTTCGACAACATCCAGAAGTTCATCCTGCATTTGCTCGCCCAGAACATTGCTCAGGCTTGCGTCTTGCTTATCGGTCTTGCATTCAAGGATGAGACTGGTCTTTCCGTATTTCCTGTCTCTCCCGTCGAGGTCATGTGGATTATCATGGTCACCTCCTCGCTTCCTGATATGGGTCTCGGTTTCGAGATCGCGGCTCCCGATATTCTGGACCGTCCTCCCCAGAGTGTAAGTTCGCTTCCCACCCCTTTCTTGGAATCAGAATGTTAACGAATACTAGCTCAAGCGTGGTGTCTTCACCATCGAAGTCATGGTCGACATGCTGTTCTACGGTCTCTGGATTGCCGCTCTCTGTCTCGCCTCCTTCTCGATCGTCATGTTCGGCTTTGGTGACGGCAACCTTGGTACCGGCTGTAACGAAGGTTTCAACGAAACCTGCACAACCGTCTTCCGTGCTCGTGCTACCACCTTCGCCTGCCTTACCTGGTTCTCGCTCTTCCTCGCATGGCAGATGATCGACATGCGCCGCTCATTCTTCATGATGCAGCCCGGTTCCAAGAAGTACTTCACCCAGTGGTTCCACGATGTGTGGCGCAACAAGTTTCTGTTCTTCTCTATCATGGGCGGGTTCATCACCATCTTCCCGGTCCTGTACATTCCCGTGATCAATACTGTTGTGTTCAGGCACTCTGGCATCAGCTGGGAGTGGGGCGTAGTCTTCATCGCTACATTCCTCTTTTTCCTCGGTGTTGAGGCGTGGAAGTTCGCCAAGCGCACCTACTTCAAGAGGAAGGACCCCCAAGGTGGAAGGAGGGGCTCGGTTGACCTTGAGGCTCGCGTCTTCGAGCGCTACCTCAGCACAGCGATCAGCACGGACGACGACAACGAGAAGAAATAGATGGGGACGGTGAATTTTCTCAGCGTATGTGTATGAACATCGTATGAGTGGCTTTTTGATTCAGTGCTCTCAGTTGAGAGTATGCTCTATTGATGATGGTTCATCTTAGAGAAAAGGCGTTTTTGTTATGCATGGCTTGCGATACCTTTATGCCTGTTACGGCTGTCTCCTCTAGAAGGGGTTGAACGTTTTTCTTTGCCTGTTAGATGTCACTCTGCTATAATATCAAGATCATAACTTCACAACTTGTTCTCTCCTTATCATTTGACCCCTGACGTCTCCATCAACCGTCTTCTTCAGCGCTGCACAATTCATAAGATGCCTTGTAGAACCGGCCTCCATCTTTTGCAAGAATGCAGTCTTACTCCAAAAAGCTTTGACTTTGTAATCAGGTTTGTAATCATGATCCTCCGAGGGTTCAGTTTGAGCCTCAGATCTGTAGTGGTCCGCATAGTTGTCAACAATCAATTAAGTGGGGCTCAAAGAGCTCAGCTTGACTTGAATGTTTCCCTGTTCGAGCCTAGCAGCTACTTGTATAGGTTTAACTCCTACTGTCTTGGGTAAGCGCGTGAAGATAAGGTTCGACTTGATTTGATTGTTGACAACTATGGTGGTCCGGCTCTCAAGACTCGAGATACAAGTACCTTCGTATGTTGCACCACAACACCAAGATCCACAAAATCTACCCCGCCGGAGAAACCTTATCACCTGCCATATCTGACCCAGGCATCTTGCAATTCCTGCCCTCAAACGCCGGAGGCCACACAAGCACGCATTGACGCTAACCCAATACCCACTTGATAGCCCCGCTCCTCTCCGCTCCTCTGCCGCCGAGGCTGGGCACACCAAGCCCGACAGAACCGAGACTTCTGGGCGCCAAACGTTCGTTTCTGCGCCAAGTGGCTCCGTCACCTCAACTCTTTGTCGGCGAATGCGTCAGCCGAGACAACTCGTTGCTCTTGGACGCGACTTTGGAGTCTTAGATGCAGTCTCGTGCAGCTTTGGTATGTGCTTGGAATGGCGTGATACCGACCAATGTCTGCTTGCGTTTGAGGTGTTAGCGTATCAGCGTGCGCGGAGGGTAGCCTTTCCAGAGCCAAGTGTGCCGGCAACGTGGTGGAAAAGCGTGGCTGTGGAGGCTGAGTGCTTGGGATGAGGTGGAGGGACTTGTGTGTGGGGAGAGGCGTCTTGGATAAGAGGATCCATTGTCTTTGTCCTCGCGACTCCGTATACGGCCACGGAATTTCTATTCTCGTCGAATTTGAGAGTTGAGACACACATTCAATGTGGGGTGAAACTGTTTACTGATCCCAGATCATCACTTGGGGGATCAACTATCGTTCGGCTATATGCGTACTTGTTGTGCCGACTTTACCCATTACACCTTCGAACATATCACGCCCGAGTTTGCCCCTCGGAGTTGCAAGGCAGACTGCAGGAGCACGGCTGTAAGAGCAAGGATGCCCGCAGTCGTCAGAGAAGCAGGGCTGAGAGGTCTGGTGACGCTTGAAGCACGGCGATGGGATCAGCATGACAATCGATCGATCGTATCACCCACGGCATTGGCCTTCTTGATTCCGGTATTGGCTGTGTTCTTTTTTGCGCCTTTGTGAGTCCAAATCGTTGCTTGTAGAGTTGTGATGTGAGTAACTGATATCCAATACAGCCTTTGCGGGTTTTGTATTCGAAAGCGACGACGAGATACACCGGTTAGACGGCATGGCCCGGTAAAGCTGCTCACCTTACAACGATCGGAAGCAAGGGAACGGCTGCGGTCGGTAGTAGAAGTCTCGAACGTGACCGGAGACCAAAAGGCAGCATGTGTAGACAGACGTAAGGAGAAGGTTGGCTCAGACAGCGAATCTATCCCAGAGGAGGAATGGTAAGTATCCAGTCGCCAGATGATAGCGTAAGACTGACAAGATAGCGCAATTTGTCTCTCGACGTTACGTGCACCATCACCACCTGAGCCCGCGAAGTTGAGCAACGAGAACGGAGTGGTCGACGAGGCCGCGATAGCGCCACCCAAATCTGTGTTCGAACAAGAAGAGAATCTGAGACTGAAAGATTGCGGCCACAAGTTCCATGCCGAGTGTCTCATCTCTTGGGCGGTGCTGCACAAAAATAGTTGTCCAATTTGTCGAACAGTCTACTACCACGAGGAGCCAGAGAAACCGACAGATATCGAAGCCCAAGCGTCAAGCGCTGGTCAGGAACCTGCAGCCGTTGAGTCAGTCACACCTGCGCAGCCGCCTGTGTCCAACTGGCACTACTTCTGGACGGGCCGTGATGCAAGGCAGAATCACACGCAACCTGGTGTCCGGTCGAGCTGGCAGCAATTCCGCAGGTTTCGCTCCTGAATGATGGCCGATTGCTGCAGTGAATAACCTGTTTGCTCAGATCGAATATCTGGTTTCTAATGATTAGCTCCATGGCTGCTGGAACAAAACAAAGCACCCAGGCTCTCGACCACATAACTTGGATCGAGCCAGGACAGCCAGGCTCTCGTAGATACCCAAACGTATTCAACACTCCGGGAAATCGGCTGCCATCCCATCTTAACCGTCGATGAATCCCAAGAGCGTGGAAGGCTGACAGTTCTGGCACGCCATTTGTTTTGGAACCGACCTGACAGAAAGGTCCACAACCGAGGAAAGAAGGTATAGAGAAAAATTGAAGAGGCTCGCGTTTGATGTAGAGGCTAGACCTGCTGTGTTCCGATAGAAAGCCGTGTGCAGGTCATGAGAGAGGAAGAGGAAGCCTGCAACGAATGGCGACCACATGTAAGCTAGGAATGTGTGTCGATGCGTGTGAAATTTGGAGAGTTACTATTCTCATTATCATACAACGGTATCGAGGTTGAGGGAGGAGAGGCATAGGGACCCATCCTAAGACATTGGTTAGCAGAGCCAATTGGCTAAACAATATATCGTCCCACATCGTAAATTGAGGCAGCACATGAGCGCGATTTCAAAGACATTTCAATGAAGTGACTCATAGAAAGATACGAAGCGATTTTTGTAATTGTGGTTCGAAAGTGTGAAAGATGGTTGCCGTCGCAACGTGTCGAAAGACGAATGTTGTACAGTGAGAGGTGGAAAAAGTTCCTGGTGAATAAGAGGTCTAGTATCTTGCAGAAGTCAACCCAGCTTCATTGCGATGCTGAATTTACGAACTGACGAAGGCTTTCCAAATGTCCCTGAGATCTTGTAAATGCTCTCGTCTGGCATCCATCGTACACTGACATCACTGCCGGTAATAACGAGAACGTTATGTCGAACTTTGCCTTTTGGACGGCCAACAGTGTTGTGAAAATCGGAAACCGACATCTTGAACTTTTTCTTGTTGTGACCAGATGGAAGACCGAGCACCAATTTGTAGATGTATGGGCTCGATACTTGACACTCATACGTGAAGCGAGCTGTGCCAGTCTTGCAAGAAGGCGTCCACTGACCATGTCAAAAATACGTTGTAAAGCACTCAAAATAACACACCTTCATCATAAGCCTTTCAATGCCCTCTACTAGCATTTTTCTTGCCTGTTTCATCATGTCATCTAAGTCCTCCGGTGAGTATGCCTTTGGCCCAGGCGCATTGTCCCTCTGAAGCACAGCATCATCACGCTGCCTCTGCACAGTGAGAGCATGCTGGATAAGCTCAGCCTTCGTGAATTTGGTGAGTTCGTCCTCTGTCAGCGAGGCAGTAGAGGGAGATGGAGGGCTGGCGCCAGCGCGTTTCGAGCGCACCGCAACGGGACCGGACGCTTTGCGCTTCGTTCCAATCATTGCAGTTGTTTGGACTGTTTTGGGTATGACCTTTGCGTAAGATGCTTGTGAGCGGTCTGTTTGACTGAGGTGAAGCTGAAGAGTGTTGTGTTGAGTTGTGTGGCGAAGGGACGCGTTTGAGGCACGACTTCTTGGCGCGTTTCAAACGCGTCCCCCAATGTGCAGCACTCGCCCTACCTCGCCACAATCACTGAGCAACGTACGGCGAGAAAAGAATACGTAGTGCATTCCGTCGCTATTTCTACTCCCATGTCATATCCTGTACCAAATTCCACTACTGTCACTCTACTTCGTGACTTTCCATTCTCTGTCCCCACCTCAAAGTTATTCAACTTCAAGTCATTCAATTCGACGCTGGCTCGTACCTGTATAAGTTGGAGCAACAGTCTTCTGCAGTTTCAAAGCTCCTGCGCAGCTTCACCTACGTTCTTACACCTGTGTATCTAGGAACCAAACATGAGCTCCACTGCTCCGAGATTCTTCGACTCACCAGTCATCTCGCAAATCCAAGATACGGGTTACCTACACAGGCAGTCCCGAGAACTTCGGGATGACGATGAAGATTTCAAAAGATGGTGTTGTGGAGAAGGTGCCGTGGTCCCTGCATTAGCTGGATCATCATGACGTGCGATGCAATGAAGCGCGTCGGAACGCGATATTTAATTAAGTGGATGCGGGGTCGCAAACAACGAACAAGTATAGAGAAGTGCTGCTACCATTGTCATTTACGGAGGCACAATCGAAAGATTGAAGAAACAGAATCACACAACCGAAACATACCAGCAAAACATCATGTCAGAAGTCAAGCCATTCAACCCAAACATCTCTCAAGAGGAGATTGATCGCCTGTTCAGGAAGCTCAAAGACACACGCCTTCCAGAGATCCCAGTCGTACCAGATGCAGGAGACGACTATGATGAGTTCCAATGCTCAAACCTAACCGCAACCCTCCATACTCACCTGCTGTAGGCCCATCGCTGGAGTGGATCAACAAATTGAAGAACTTCTGGCAAGACAAGTACTCCTGGCCGGATGCACAGAAGCAAGTCTCCGAATGGCACCACTTCACCACCGAGATCAAGAATCTGAAGGTCCACTTTATCCAACACGAGAAGAATAGGATGAGACAGAAGGAGGCAATTCCTCTATTGCTGGTACATGGCTGGCCAGGGGCTTTTTTGAGTATGCAACCAACCCGTCTTGGGCCCAGGCATGACTGGCCACCCCAGATTCCAGACTGTAATGCACCCGCTTCTCGACCCAAGGACCCCAAAGCACCCGTGTTCGACCTGGTAGTACCCTCACTCCCCGGTTTCTGCTGATCACAAGGTCCATCACGAGGCTGGACTCTCCAAGACACAGCGCGCATCTTCGACGTCCTGATGAAGCGTCTCGGGTACACCTCTTACACCGCACAAGCCGGCGACTGGGGTCATTGGGTCGTCCGGAAGCTCGGATCCGGGCGCTACAACGCCTGCAAAGCAGTGCACACCAACATGTGTCCCGGCGCTCCACACAAGGGCTCCAAGATGAACGAGAAAGAGGAGGCAGCCATGGACCGCGCGAAGTGGTGGATGGGCGAGCATCTGTATGAAAGGCCACACGGGTTATGCAATCGAGATGCGCACACGACCGCAGACTATCTGCATAGCGTTCGACGACAATTCCGTTGGTATAATGATGTTCATCGGCGGAAAGTACGATGAGCTTGCTGATCCAACGATTAGGACGGCGACGCTAGATAAGGAAGAATACGTGAAGGATGTGTGTACGACGCTGTTGTTATGCTTCTTTACGCCGCCAAGTATCATGACGAGTATTGTGCTACTACCATAACGTGCGCCACGAGGTGTACACCGAGTTCAATGCGAAGGAGGAGAATCTGATTAGGGTGCCGTTGGGTGCTAGCACGTTTGTTCTTTGGCGAGTTCTACAAGGTTTAGTTGCTCGAATGAAGTGTTGTCAATGCCCATACAAGACGTTGGACATGTTGCAATACAAGACGGTCGAGCGAGGTTCTCATTCCTCTACAGCCGGCTTGATAAACCGTGTTGTTGTCGTGCGACTTGTCGTGCAAGTGGAGACGCAATGTGCTCCACGTTTGCAGAGCTTCCTCTTAGCTGTTGTTGAGCAACCAGTCGCACAAGCTGCAAGGGGAGGCGCAGCTGAAGCACCTTCCTCATATGTGTCGCCGGCCTTTTCAGCGGTTTAGCAGGGTAAGGGGTACAAGCGTGGCCATCGGCGTGGCAACCACATGTGTTGGTGTTGCAATCGGTAGTCGTGGGGACGCCCTGCCACAATCCACCATGCTCTTTCTCAAAGCGCAACGCTCTGGCCTACTTGGACAACCAAGATGCTGTGGTTGCAGGCAAGGAGATCAGCAGCGACGTGACGTTCAACATACAAGACCATTGCGTTAGGCAGTCGCTGGCGGGTGCACTAAGAGTATTGGTCAGTGGGACCATGGTTGATGGCTGTCTGGACGTTTGTCTCGCTGAATCCGGCAGTTGTATACTAGAGCCCGTCAGCACGCAGTTTGCACAAGCTGAAGGTTAGAGTGAGGTGAGAAGTAAGACAGCGATGACAGTCAAGACGAGTTGTGGTGAAGCGAGTGGGCAGTCGCAATCAGGTCAAGTGAGCAGGCATTGGGCCTACTGCATGCAATTCGGAGATTACCCGCAAGCGCGAACTGCATTTGCACGGGGAAGGCGCGATGCCCCCTTAACTGTTCCCCATATTCAGGGTCCTTAAACGTCCTTTACGACTCAATGCTCTTCCTCTCTCCACCCGCTTTGCTTCTTAGCAACTGGAGACGCCGCACTGCCCATACGCACGACGTTTGCTTACCCGCCCGTTGATTGCGCGCCGCAGTCTCAGATACCCGCCTCCTTGCGCCCTTTCATTTCGCGGGGGCCGCCATCATCTCCGAGAACCACCAGAATCACCTGATGAGAGCTAGTTGCGCCTCTCATCGCTATGAGGGATGATGCTGCTGCAGACCTCTCTGGCGGCGCCCTAGTTGCGACGACATCAGACCCCAGCGCGTATCACACGCCCTCTACAGGCGCGCCCTCGAATGCAGCAAATCCCTTGTTGAAAGGCCCCGCAACGCGCGGATGGCTCAGCAATGTGCGCCGACCGCGAACGAGCCCAGGGCCCAAAGCTTCAGCCCTGAGAAGGACGCAGGTGCTGGCCGACGACGATGATCGCAGAGACTCAGCCTTGGCGTCCTCGAATTGCACCGCGAGAAGCAACGAGCCCTCCTCGCCCACCAGTCTGCGCAGGACTCCCAGTCTCCCTGCCATTGTTGTCCAGGATGAGCATGTAGTGGGGTCGGGCAACCAGTCGCCGCACTGTTCACTGGACTCGAGCGGTGCAGGTGAATCACCCTTTCAGGGCATTGATATGGTTATACCGACCGGCAGCTTCGACGACTTCACCTCACCCACCCAGATATCCTTCTCGAAGCGGGGCAGCATGATGTTGGGTGGAAAGAAGGCAAACAGGCGCAGTAAACAAATCAACTTGATTTTGGAAAGCGCGGATGCGCCTACGCCTGCACCCAGCACACCACCTCGACCAGAAAGGCAAGAGCCACCGAAAGAACGACAAGAGCTCTCACCTCCTGCTGCGATACCCAATGCGACCCATTTGTCCCCCACACCGCGCTCACCTTCGCGGTTTTCTGCGCGCGGCAGGGCTGGCCACCGAGTGCTCTCTGCGGACGAGATGATGTTATCGCGCAAAGTGCGCTCCATGTACAAACACGGGAACGAGAGTGACGTGAATTGGGATGCAGATACAAGCAGCTTACCAGACACTTCGGTCGATAACAGCATTGCTTCTAATAACCCAGCGAACGAATCAAACCTGACCGTAAACCGCAAACGAGACGACTCAAGCTCTTTTGTGAGCTCAAGAGGAGACGACACCATACCCAAAGAACCTACAGAGAGAGCAGGAGGGCTTGAGGATTGGGCTGATCTTGAGGGCGCTGAGGTTGACAGATATGGCTTCATCGTCGCGAAGAAGCCAGGTTCTCGTGACAGTGCGAACGGAGGATTGGATGGACCTGACGAACCGCGCATTCAACGAGTTTCAACAGCTCTACAACTTGTATCGGAAGAACCACGACGAAGAGGAATTGGACGCAGCGTATCTCGAGCGCGGTCATCTAAGTCTGCCGACCCTCGAGGATCCCCACCGAAACGACGTGTGTCGCAGAAGTCATCGAAGCAGACCAGGTCCATCTTTTCCAACAGAACTTCAGGCACACGGACGTCACATCATCCACTGCGCTCGACTACAAACAGATTACCTCATAACAGAGAACGTCGAATGTTGGACGAGGCGAGTGACATGCTGAAGTTGCCACCAGGACTTGCACAGGTTGCCGAACAGCGAGAAGGCGGTAGGATGGCCCGATCGATGAAGGCGAAAGAGATCAAAAGAGATGAGAAGTGGCGAGCAATGGCTAAAGTGGTGAAGACTGGCGCAGAAAAGGGTGGTGGCATGCTTTTCGAGTTCGACACCAAAGACCCAAAACTGGTCACTCGCACATGGAAAGGCATACCAGACCGCTGGAGAGCAACTGCCTGGTACTCTTTTCTCGCAGAAAGCGCGAAGAAAAAGCAAGACAGTCCTCCAGAGGAGGAGTTGATCGACTGCTTCTATGAACTCCAGGCAGAGAGCTCAGCCGAAGACGTGCAGATCGATGTGGATGTTCCTCGAACCATCAACAGACATATTATGTTCAGGAGGCGTTATCGTGGAGGGTGCGTGATTATCCCAGACGGGATGAGAATGAAGCTGACATGCAGCAGGCAACGATTATTGTTCCGCGTACTCCATGCCATGTCTCTGTACTTGCCGGAGACAGGCTACGTCCAAGGCATGGCGCCTCTTGCTGCAACCTTGCTCTGTTACTACGAGGAAGACAGAGCGTTCGTAATGTTGGTCCGTCTGTGGATGCTTCGAGGCCTGGAGCGACTCTACGAGTCTGGGTTCTCTGGCCTGATGGACGCTCTGGACGACTTCGAAAAGAATTGGCTGCGTGGTGGAGATGTAGCCAAAAAGCTGGTGAGTAGAGTCTCGCCCATACTGTGGCTGAACGCTAGCTGATTAGTCTACACAGGACGAAATGGGCATTACCTCGACCGCCTGGGGTACTCGTTGGTACCTGACTTTGTTCAACTATTCTCTGCCGTTCCAGGCCCAGCTGCGTGTCTGGGACGTTTTCATGCTCTTGGGCGACGCCTCCCATTCTAACTCCTCAACGTCCAAATTCAGCGGTGATCTGGATGTGTTACATGCAACATCTGCAGCGCTAATCGATGCAACGAGGGAGATCCTGCTGGATTCAGACTTCGAGAACGCCATGAAGGTGTTGACATCCTGGATCCCAATCAAAGACGAAGACCTTCTCATGCGCGTGGCAAAGACTGAATACAAGTTGCGAAAGAAACGAGCGAGTGCTTGAAGAAGGATGGCGTTCCGATCCTTTGGACTTGACCAAATTGATGGGAAGCGGGATCGGGAAGTTCAGTGGGGTCTCAGCCCACCATCCCCGCGCATCCTTACTTCTTCGAGCAACATTTAACGGGTCAACGTCGATCTTCTGAGATCAGTGGCTTGACGGCGTCGCGTGCATCCAACGTGGCTGTCACGTTTTCGAACTTGGAGATCCGCGTAACCTTGCTTTTCTGGCATCGTAGGTTCACTCCGCACTCACAACCACACTATCTTTAACTCTGCGTTGGCAGCGCAACATCATCCTTGCGTCTGTCAAACTTTCCTTACTCTTCCATCGTGCTGCATCTCCGGGTGTCTTCCGGCTGCTTATGCGCGGCATCTCCTTTCTCCAAGGCGCATATGGGTGGATCAGGTCTCACGGCAGCTTCACAAGATACCACTTGCTTTTCCAACGCATTCTATACATTTACAGTACAGTCACGGTTGATGAACACGGCACATGTAATCAGAACTGTAGTTATAATTGATAATCGCAATCAAAAGATCACTTCTAGATCGCACTCGTACTCGCACCAAGTTGCGGTTGTAGATGAAGTGACCTAACTCCGTGCAGAACTGCTTGCGAATCGTGAAATCTCGCAACAAACCACGATGCCGCACGGAACGGCATATCAGGCCTCCAACTTGTGGAAATGGTCGGCCTGGCACTGCCTGGCACAGACTGGCGTCGCCTTGGGCGCAGCCGCGATGGTCTGGCGTTGACATGATCGACAACGCCTGACGCACTTGCGGTTAAACGCCCGCCGGAGGCGGCGGGTGCTCCAGCAATTTGGGCCTTCTCCGTTGTGCCGCCCAGGTGTCTGCTGCTTGGAGGCGTAACCGAATTCATGGTCGATCGGCACGATCGACAGCGAAAGTGCAGCGAAAGGACGAGTCGCTCAACCTTGCAAGATAGCAAGGTAGATGAACAGGCGAGTACGAGGGCCACGTTGCAATCGCGTGAAGGAAAGCCTTTTCTGCGTGAGAGGTAAGTATAGAAAGGCTGGATATGGTAGGGATGGACGGTGGCTTTGCGTGGTTTATGCTGGGCTTCTTGATGGGTGACGGAACGTGGCTGCTGGGATGCAGTATCTGGAGGCGCTGGTAGTGAGAGTGATGGTACAAGTTGGAGATGCTGCGACCTAAACAAGTCAAAGAGCAACTCGGCTCAGCACCCTCAGAGATTGTTTGCGTAGACTAGAGGTGCAGATCCCAATACTTCACATCATTGTTTAGAAGCGTTGATGTGTCGATGATATATATCAGGGGTGCTAGTTGCAAGTCTACATGTAACACACAGGAGACGCCTCGGCTGAGGAGATCGCAATGGATACCTCAAGTGTGCTGCTACAGCTTTAAACACACTTTGAGTTATGGAATGCGAAACAAGTTTTCGGGGTATGCCCCGCGTGTCTTGTACATCGTCATCCAATTGAGTGCCTACCAGTGAATGTACCTACCACGTGAAGGAGTTCTGGTATTAACTAATGGCAGATGTAGAGTGACTTCCCTCGAGGTCATAGGCCTCTTAAACATCTTCCACACCGGACGGAACTCCATGTGCTGGAACGTTTTGGGGCACCTGAGGCTTCGTTGAGTGGACGCCATTATTCTGGGTCGTGATCTGGGTCTGGTCTCTCCTGGGGTGAACGTATGAATATTCTTTAGAAGATGCTCAAGTACGAGGGCGGTGAACACGGCTATCCGGAGGCGTCGCAATGCAATATGAGCATTTTCGACATCTTCCATACGATGTTGACGAGGCACGGTTAGACGGGGAAGGAGCGTTGCTGCCGAAATGGGTAATCACAGATTGAGATGACGCTGGAGGTGGCGAGCTCGCGTCTTCCTGCCTCACCAACATTTGCCTCCCTCAGCACACCACGCCTCATCAAAATCTTTTCTTGCGGGTCCCAATTCAGACAGTTTCGCAGTGGATTGAGTAACGCTCGGCTACACCGATGGCAACATGCGCGAAGGTGTTGTGTCGTCGTGGGTCAAACAACCGACCAAAGCAAGTCAACGCTGATCTATGGTCTGACTTTTCAAGGTGAGGCGGGCGATCAACAACGCGATGTCTCGATGGAGAGATGAAGGGAGGATATTGCCGAAGGATCCGCGAGGTGACACGCAGGACTGGAGTGGAAAGACGAGACGGACTGCAAGGTGAAGGCGGAGCCGAAGGTACATTCACAGGTGGGCCCAGTTCGGTACACGCTTTGTCTGCCCTGCATCGGTGCGCTAACCGTTGCTGGTAGACCACTACGATTACGAAGACGCCAAATCGCCAACCGTAGTCGAGCTTACGTACTCTGTGCGCGTATACCTTACACCCACGGCGGTAGCATCGCCTCTGTAGGATCGTATGGGTATCGGCTCCTCTTTTCCATCGTCAGCGTAAGCAGACCATTCTCAGCTTCGCGGATGACTCTACTCCGATACCCCGATCTCACGATGCCATCCACAACACTAAGGCACGGCGGATCCAATATGCATGGCTGCTTCCGCTTCACGCATGGCTACTGCAAGCCGCATCGATTCTATACTATGGAGTCCTTGGCAACCAAGCAGTAATAAGGCACTCAGGCAGCCAACTCGTCTGGCCGTGTTGTCACGGAGACAGTCCGTTATATTCAAGCAGGACGCCTTCAGCCACAGGGTTCTTGAAAGCCTCATCTGTGCTCGCTTGAGTTCAAACTGTATTGTGGCTGCAACAAGCACATGCATTCAGCCGCAGATCAGATACGAGGCAGGAGGCCCTGGACGCTTTGGAAGCGCTTCCTTCCAATCAGCCGTGCTCGACTAAATACCTTGCAGCTGAGGATGGGTATCGATGTCCTGTTATGAATTGCTGCCCCCAGATGGGGAATTTCCACACTTATGCTTAAGACCAGCATATTCGTTGTTATTGCACGTATTTGCTGATTGGCCGGTGCTTTGGATACGGCGACCGAAATCTCTCTGCAAAATCCTTCTTCTTGTTCCAAGTTGATCCGCCGCAAGGTCAGATCAGGGAAGGCTCAAGCGCCGACGGAAATTTACTGCTTAGTCAATTTCTGATGCCAGGTGCTCGGTGATTGCGCAACGTGTCTCTTCGAACGGGCCTAACAAAGGTCTGCAAGCCGGCGCAATACCTGCAGCGGACAACACAAACTATCGGCCCTGGCGCACGCCTTCTGCGCAACGACCACCACGAGGAGGACCGCGCAGAGTGAAGATCATCAAGGCTGCTCGTCGCCCGCACAACACCTGGCCCGATGTAACACGTCGCGGTCCATGGAGTCGGTTCTTGATCGGTGGTGCTCTTATCGATTGGCCATGCTACCTGCCACGCTACGTCGATCCGGAGACAGTTCTTCCAAGGCGGTCGATGACAGGTTCTCGGCAAGGTTTCTTGCTTTGCTCTGCTCCCCGTGCTTTTTACGAACTCACGGCCAGCCGTTTAACCCATGACGGCATGTGGATTACCTGATCAGGCACTACACTAGAGCGCAGAACAGGTCTTGCAAATGCGCGAGCCACAACGCTACATTTCCACCCAATTCCGTAGTTTCGTGTTGATACACACAACACGCAGACTTCATTTCGTCCAACCGCATTCGGTCCTCACACGGCTGAGTTCTGACGATGGCCATGCCCCTTCATTTCCCTTTGGGCAGCCTCATGCGACGTCGACAGTCAACAGCGTCCGTGCACGAAGCGACAATCTCTCCAAAAGAGTCGCGCTTCGCTTCCTCCCGGACGTTTGGCCCTGCCTGGCGCGTGCGCACGGTTAAGACTTCCAGACCATAGCCGATCAGTCCGCTCCTCAATCTCTGATGAGCCTTGTCTCCAGCCATGATGTCTGGCTGAACCGTCCAGCGCCGGCTTCTCGAAAACTGAAGCGGACGCAGTGGGAATGTTTGACCACGACAAGCTCACTCGTGGTATTCAATCCACTTTTAATCGACTGTGACAGCTTGAAGCCTCGTCAAAGGGCGTCTTTCTACGTGATCTTGAATCTGTGCACCAAAAGACCATGCTTTGTTACTAGGATGCACCCATGCTCTTATCAATTCGACACTTGATCAGCTTAACCGTTTCCAAGATCTTTGCATGTTCAAAATTTTGACGTTCAGTCTGCATCCAACACACAACTTAAATGATGTGACAGAGTGCAGACGATTACGACACGTCCGTTCAGTTTCAGGCCTCAGGCATCATTAAACTATGCCTGTAGCTGCTGCAGGCTCTCTTCGCTTGGCTCACATGGCGGTTGAGTAGCTTGCGGCGAATCTTAGCGCCACACAGTGGGAACCACAGCCAGAGTTTGCAGGAGCCGGAAGTTATCTCCAGGGACGTCGGATGGCGGGAACACAAGAACACAGACCGCGGACGTTGCTCAGTTCTTACTTGTTGTCAGCAGCTTCGACGCTCATGCATATCCTTGCAACTCTTCTTCCACTACCGCCCGCTTGACGCCACACATCGGCTGTCCTCGACCTGCGGCGAGTCGTTTCGTCTTGCTGTTGTCAAGCATTGCAACCATTATCCTCCCTGGTTGGTCCAACTCTAGCCGGCCGTCTTCCCTTCTTGTACATTCGTTCCTACGCTTCCCCACTGCTGCCCACTCGATTTTGCCTTCTTTATCAACCTTACCGACCTGGACCTGATCGCCACGCCAGCCCACGCGAGCTCTACTTGGCCGCGATCGTCGTTGCAGCAGCTCTCCTTGTCACCCTTCCATTGTCCTTCGTCGCCCTACTTTAGGCACGAATCACAATCGAGCTTTCTGCCTGCATACGTTAAGCCTAGAACTTGGAGCAGCGGCCGCTGAGCTCTGGGCCATAAGTGGACGTTGCTCCTGTGAACACGCTTCTTGAATAAGTATGTACATTGTTCCACCTCTTTCGGGGACTTCGAAATTTGACGCCTCATAACCGCTCATTTCGATGTCGAGTATTTTTCAAGGCCTTTTCCGTTTGGGCTCCACTCTTCATGATGCTCACACTCTCTAAGCCAGCGAAGTGGGATTTCGACGTCAAAACCCATGACTACCCCCCACCATTCACAACTTCCACCACCACTCGACATTCACCAAAACTCAACGGCGGGCCATCGCCTCCCCATACGGCTGGGCCCAACTACGCCATGAACACATCTCATCGCGGATTACCTCCGCCATCGGCAATGACATTGCCAGATCCAGGACGTGGTCCTCCACCAATACAGTCTTCCATGGGATCATCTTCCTTGGGCGCATTACCACCGGCACCGACTCAATGGCAAGGCTCTGAAGACGGCATGAAGAATTGGTTAACGGCCAAGGCTGAAGAGGAGAAGAGAAAGCAGGAGGAGGAAAAGACTCGTCAGGAGAATCTGAAGTTGGAACAGCGAAAGATTGAGCACTCAATGCTTCGTGAGTCTATGCAGGGCGGTATTCCACCACATCTTGTCCCAATCATTTTTGCTGGTATCGGTGGAGGGAATCTTGCCAACATCAGTGCCGAATGGATTCAGCAATACACTGCACAGGTGCAAGCCGCGCATCAGCAGGCTCAGGCTCAGGCGCAAGCACAGCTATCTCCCGAACTTCGACGAGAAACGAGATTACTGGGTCAACAGCCGCAGACAGTGTACGCTGGACAGCCTCCAGTATCACAAACCATCCTTCCGCCAACTGCAGTGCTGCCAGGGCAGCCTCTTCCAGCACAGTCACAGCAGTATGCTAGCGAAAGAGCACTACCAGGTCCTAGCCACGCTGGTCCGCCTACGTCTGCTCCTCGTCCTCTCCACCGGTCGCAGCTACCGAAGCTCACCACGAATGAGATGCATATTCAACAACCAGCATCGGCGCAACCGGGCGTGCAGCAACTGCAACAAACTCAGAACGCGCAGGAACAATCTTCGCCTTCGATTTACTTCCACCATTGGGTGCCCCCAACATCACAACAGGAGAAAAACACAAGCGGAAATCCGCCAGCGACGCCCTCAGGTAAATACAAATCTTCGCCCTCTACCTCATACCAATCCCGTCAACGTGCGACGTCTCATGCGTCTGACCGTGAGTACATCAGCTCCCCCAAAAAGCGGAAGGCCCAAGGCCCTCACGCAGCGCCACCGCCCCCAACATCGGCACCCCAATCCTATACATCACCATCCTTCTCGTATGTATCGACGTCATCGACATCAACGCCCGGACGACGAGGACATGCACGAGCCCGTTCAGATGCATCTGCACGAGGTGCAGAGGGTACTATGAGCCGTCGTAGTACGGTATCTGGTCTGGCAAATGAGACACGGCAGAGTTACATTCAAGATCCCCCAAGAGCACCAGAGGGAAGGCATCCACACAACCCAGATGCGCCATATGGCACTCCACCACAGCGGAGTGAATCGCGAGGCTACGTTCAGCAGTCTCCAGCACCAAATGCTGGATCGGGCCAACCTGAAACACCGAAGTACGGGACGCATCAGCAATGGAGTCGTGGATATCACCCATCTCCCAAACGGGAAGCTGATCGTTAGGCCAAAAATTAGAGCTCAGCATTACATTCGCAGCCCGTTTCCGCAACCATTACCGTCCCGCTTTTTGATGGACGAAGAAATCAAGATCACGCGAGTTGCGGTAGGAACGGTATTTGTCGCACGTCATCTGGAGGGAAGGACGCCACAATCAATCTCATGTTTGCAGTCTCGAACTTGCAAGCATGTCAAGCGAAATGAGCTCCACAAACACCCAAAGTCCCCTCATCTTGAACGCGAACGCACGGCCCCCACCCCACCAAGGAACAACCTCTCATCTCTTGAGATTGCAGCGCAATGTCGTTTACAGCAATGTGCACCAGCACCAATGGGCAGGATCGAGCATGCGGCTTACCAGTCTAATCGCCTTCCCGTCATTACTCGCGGGCTCTACCCGCTTCTAGCAGGGTCCGATCCGACGGCTGCATCTGTTTGGCGTCCTCGCACTCGGATCCTTCATGGTGCTGCTGGCGCTTCCAACTCGGCCTTACCTACAGTAACATCGCATGATTTCATTGATGCATGTTCATGGCAGAATGGTTGGCGTACATGGGTCTGACATCTTTCGCGTCCCCACCTCTGTCCGGCTGGTTCAGTTGCTGCATGCCTTAAGAGCTTCCTCGTCAGCCGCTACGCAATCCTCGTTGCAGCGAGCCTCAAAGACACACCGCTTGTAGCAGGAAGGACTCGGTCAGCAAGCACTTGCAGGTCTGCCATGCAGCTGCATACCAATCTCTTTCTGCAGTTCATCTTATTGTCATCCTGGTCGCTGCATACCAGCCGGCCCTTCTGCATACAGTATTGTCTCGAATCCTTTGCTGCGAGTTGCAACTGCTATATCACAGTGCAAGTCGGTATATCACATGTCTCGCCGCGCTCTAGGCACCCGCCTCTGTACCCAAATGGGCATGTGGTGCTTTCCCGTAACGGATTTGGATTTATTATGGCTGCGCTTAGACACGCTGTCACTCCTGTCTCGGGCAATGCTCTTCCTTTGCATTCGACAATTCATCATCACTGGTCGTCGGCGAAGCCCTGCAGTCGTTTTCAGTGATTTCACCTGTCAACGATATCTTAGCATCAACTGCTTGATCTACACATGGTATCTGGTATACTGGCACTACTGTACATTCTCAACTGCATAAAGACCGGGGTGCAGGTCATCGGCGCTTTTAAGTTTCTTCTCATTGGCGGTGCATCCATTCTTCACGTCAGCTCTTCTTCATTTCGTCTTCCTTATGGGCTTCTCTGTTGGCTGCAAATTGTTCATCGTATACCCCGGTTCCCATACTTGATTGGTTTTGTTCTTGACAAGTGGGCTACACTGTCTCGCATTTGTCCTTCTGATCTTGCATATTCTTCCAGACGCTGTACTGTATATATCTAGGGATGGTTTTCGGGTCAGGCGCGCGGTCACCTGGATGATGGGACCGACGCATGGAGTTGGGCTTGCAGTGGGGACCACCGTGGACCCGCTGCTTGTGTATATCACGGTTTTCGGAACATATGCAGAGTACAATATACGGAGCAAGAAGGTGGCAACGGGCTTGGTTGGACACCGCTTGTCAGAGCGACATACCCACCGGCCTGCCAGCACATCCTGTCTTGCCTTACACGCACACAAACCCACCATTTCTTACCTTCGGGATTCGACATGCACACCATGCCCTTCAACTTCGTACTATGCTGCGTTTCAACTGCGTCTTGCCACCAGTACCGGCACTGTGGATTCTAGCGCGTAGGGAGGTCTGCTTCAGGAAGTGATTGGGTTGGCGTCTGACGTGGCGCTTCCTGCAACGCGGTGGGACCACTGATCCATCCTACCGTGCCGCGAGAAGGGTTCTCGTGTGAGTGAGGTTGCTCTTATGGTGTGATGTGTGTATAATGTAAGACGGACCCAGAAGACGGGAATCTGGTCGAGGTGGTAGTGCAGAAACAGCGTGTTGGGAAAAAGCAATAGACCTCGACTCATTCGACATTCGAAAGTTACAGCCCAAGACTCAAGCGTACGGGAATAACGAGGCAGTATGGCCTCCTTTCTTATTGACAGACTGAGGATGTTGGCTTCCACAAAAGCATCGCTCCTTCCTACGCCTGCGCCACGAGGCGGGGCAGGCGTGGCTGGTGACTGCCCCGCAGTGGCCGGTCAGCAAGTGCGAGCTATCAGGCGCCGCATGGCAAACAACTCGGTCGCTGCCTGACCAAACTTCTCTCACCCACAAACCACAAACCACTTTGTTCACCCTCGCGCACTCGAACTGCAGCTCTACACCGAAAGAGCTGCCCACGTTACCACAGGCTCTACCTCAACCTGACGTCACACACGATACCTCTCTGAAGCAGCAACACAGCAGTCAACATGCAGATCAAGTACGCGCTCATACCATGCAGCTTTCCATAGCTTCAATTTATGAGGAAAGGGCGTGCTGACATAGGAACAGAGTACGAACCCTCACCGGCAAGGAGATCGAGCTCGACATCGAACCTGACTACAAGGTACACCACCTTCATCACGAAACATACCCCACGCATTCGACCGCACACATGCAGTCGCAAAGGATGATACGGATTAAGTGGCACATGCTGATAGGCACCAGGTCTCGAGGATAAAGGAGCGCGTTGAGGAGAAAGAGGGCATCCCACCGGCACAGCAGCGCTTAATCTACGGAGGCAAGCAGATGTATGTCTGGCTACTTGATCAAGACGCACAGAGAACGCAGGCTGATCTGAGTGTACAGGGCTGACGACAAGACCGCAGCAGACTACCAGCTCGAGGGTGGCGCAACGCTTCACTTGGTACTTGCCCTCCGTGGCGGCTGCTGAGTCCCTTCCCATCCTCCTGAGACTGTTGGATGATTTGGTGCTGACGTTCCTTGACCATGGCGACAATTCGAGTCACGATTACGATGCTTTGCCACCTTTATATGAAGATGCATGGGGGACATGGCGGTCATAACAGGTGCGCGGCACCACAAAGCCTAGGAACACTATTGATCCGAATGTGATGGATAAGGTCCAAATCGATCTGTGGACCGTGGCCTTTTTTGCATCTGATTTCTATGTTCTACGGCAGCCGTACACTGATTAAGTACCTCGCAGATATCCTGACAATCCGTGGGAGCTCAATACTGGGACCCAGATCTATGCTGCGAACACCTCGAGCACCGCAGCTTACAGATTAAACCCAAAACCGAAGTTGTTATCGCCCTGAAAGTCACCATCAAAGATCCCTATCCCTGCCGTGACTAGGCTGTCGAACTGACCCCAGCTCGTCAAATCTGCCATATTCGATGGCAGGTAGTTCGAATTGAACATCGTACTATCCGGCGTCTGCGGCACATTATTGTTGTACAAGCTCCCGGCCATATCCGGACTTGCACCATTCTGCGGTGTCGCATCTAGCAGCGGCAAGACCGTCGAGTTCCTCTGGTTCTGCTCCGTAACGCCAGCACCAGGCACAGGCAGCGGTGTCGTCCCTGTAATGCCAGATCCAGATCGGGTTTGCTGATTCGTCTGCCTCACAGCCTCCAACCTCAGCTCTTCAAGAACAACACAGTACCGTCGCGCCAAACAGTCCGTCTCACTGATACTCTCCAACTGTCTCTGGCACTTCTGCCCTGCAGCGAAGTAGCCCTCGCACTGCCCCGGCGTGAGAAGATGTTGCCGGATCCGGTATATGTACAGCACGACCACCGCACAGAACGCGTAGTACTGCGTAAACCAAAACGCTCTGAATAAATTCGAGCTCGTGAACACATCGTCCACAACCTTCACAATATTCATCGCAGCATCCAAACAACTCGCAATGTTTGCGCTCGTATCCGCCGGCGCCTGGTAGCTTGGATGGCTCCTGATGCCCGTCAGGTTGGCGAAATTGCTTAACAGAAATGGACGGTGGATCAACAGCATCGCGTGGTAGTAGGCCAGGTTTAGCACGCCCCGCTGCCGCTGGTAGATTGGGATGAGCAATGAGGATTCGATGCCGGCGGCGTCGAGGAAGGGGCCGAGTGCGGCGCGCCAGACGTCCAGGTCTTTGGTGTACTTTGCGGACAGTTCGATGCGTAGGGCGAGGGAGGGTGGGCGGATGGGGTAGAGGTCTCGCAGGACGAGGGAGACGATGCGTGTGAGTCTAAAGGATGTCAGCCATCACGGGAATATGAAAATTTGATTGGTGCCTTACTTGATGTGTTCCACAGGCGCCATCATGTGCGATGGTGATTTCGAAGTAGACGACGAAATATACTGTGGATGGAGATCAGAGTCATTGACAACAGTCGGCAGTTCTTGATCAATATCCTCGTCCTTAAACGTCCGCGGTCGTCCCAAAGCAGCCGAAAGGTACTTGTCAAGCGAGTATGCTACCCAGAACGTCCGTCTCCGGCTTTCCAGCTCCACATAGTCGATTGTCGCTGATGGATCATACCTTCTCCCGCGATTCAGTCCTATAGCAAGCGCAAGATGAGACGTCGTTCCGAAGAGAGACCAGCAATGGTTGATGCGCGATTGCGTAAGGAGGTAGAAACACTGCAAAAGACGTGCTTGCACACTTGCTAGACGGACTGCGCCGCGTTCTTTGGAGAGTTGGTGCTCGGCTGCGAAGAAGTAGCGTGCACTGTTCTCCTGTGTTGTGCTGCCTGGTGGCATGTATGCTTGTGCTTGTGCGAAGACGATAAGAAGTAGCGCGGTTTTGGCTGCTGCGTCTTCTTTGGCGTGCATGTCGCCCTGGGTTTCGTAGAACTCGTGCACCCATTTCTCGATGGTAGTTCGATGGATGAAGCGGTGTGTTGGGGCGGCATAGTCGAAGTACCTTTCTACCAGTCGCTGTGCGTCAGGTTTGGGAGGCAGGACGAAGAATGTTGGATCGAAGTCTGGTAGTGGTGAGTCTCCCCAGGCAAATATGGACGAGTCTTGGGAAGTTGGAGTGTTCTGATGAAGTCGCTTTTGGATCCGTATCAAGAATGATACTCCTGAAGAAGAGCCAACGTAGTGTCCTTGCGAATCTGTCTGCGCCTGTGCCGGCTCTGGAGAAGTTCTCGATGGTGGGTCACGATTGGAGTCTTCATTGTTGCCGTTAACCCGGTTCACTCTTTCCAAGATTGGGCGATCGTGTGCTGAAGGGGTGCTAAGGCCGTATCCTCCATACTGGAAGGAAGGTAAGTCTCTAAGTGGATTATCTTCGATAGGTATTGCGTTTAGCCGCGTGTTGCCTGCTTTGGAAGCTGCGGACATAGCAGCCTCGTCCACCATGACGGATGGCAATCTTCCGCGAGTATACTGGGCGGTGTACTCGCATGACAGACCGGCTCGTAGACATAGAGTGCATGGGCAACGGCCTGTGCATCGCGTCTTCTTTCTGGTTGTTTATCAGCGATCTGGAACAGATCACAAACAAAGTTCAGCATCACAGAAATGTGACCAAATTCAAGCATTTTGCGCGACCGTCGAACTCACTTCTTGCACCTGTCGCACGCTCTGCTGACCCTAGTCCTTTCTCTTTCTTCTCTGCGCCGTTTAGCTGGTGGTGATCGCTGCTCAGTTGAGCCAGTATTGGAGGGCGTCGTTGCCGAAGTTGCCGCGCCTTCCGTGAGGTCGCTGTTGCGGTTGGCAGCTACCCATGAGGAAGGACTGACCCCGGCATCAGAAGGTGCTTGTGGCGGGCTCATGCCATCCATTGCAAATGGAGATCAATCGATAGGCGATACTCGAGGTGGATAACTTACGGAGTCATTGTCCGAAAATCGTGGGGTCGGAAAAGCGAGTTGGCGTTGCACGTGATGCTAGCCTCCGGATAAGCGCGGCTCTTCCAAACTGCAATCATCTCTTCGCAGGGTCTCTCTGACAGGTATTTTCATTCAAAAACTTAGCTACGTGTATGAGATCGCACTGTCTGGCATCGTGTCCGCTAATATTCCATAAGACCTTCACGAAATTGTTTCTTGCTCCGTCTCCTTCGCACCCTGCATTACTTCCGTTTAGATATCGATCCTTCCCAACCGTACACGTGCTTGAGCCGCCTTCCGAAGTGCCTCGCCAAGTCGAACGGGATATTGGTGTCTGGGTATGGCTGATGAGACTGAATGTTACGATATAAGCCCATCTCTAGCGAAGGCGTAAACTGCCATGCTGAGCTGAGAACCCAAGACCAGTCAAGGCACCGACGAAGCGATCCCACTTGATCTTTCCTGAAACCTCCTCGTTGTTGCACGGGATGTGGACCAACGTCTTGAAGACGAGATAGTTATTCTTGTTGACACGAAACACCGGCGAGGGGCTGGGGGTACTTCTTGAGCCTGGTCAAAGACAGGTTGATATGCTGTTGCGGCGTGTCTCTTTTGCTTCGACTTTACTGTGATCGAGGACTTTTCGAAGTTGCCTGTAACCTCTCTGGAGCGGTCATGGAAAATCGCTGACAATGGCTTCCAGTACTCGACCTCAGCCGGTCGGGGAGAATCATTGCGTAGTCGCTCATTTCATAGTAGTGTTCGTCGATGCTCTCCTCCTTCATCGAAAAGACGCTGGGAGTGTTGCATGGTGTTCTTGCTTGGAGTATCTATAGATGTTTGCATCGACATGCCTCCAGAAAGTGTCCAGGTTGGCTTCAGCTTTGCACAACGCGTTCACCGTTTTATGCAGGCTTCGATTCCGGTCGATAGGGAAGAAGAACTTGCCATCTGACGGATCTCCCAGTTTAAGCTTCAAGATTAAGGATTTGCCTTCCTCCTGAAAGCTGAAGATATCCAACCAGCCTCGCAGGTACACAGCCTCATGATACTTTCACTTCGTGCGCAACAGCATTTTTTCGTCCAGTCATATCACACTTGATGTCAAAGGTGGAAGTGAAAGAAACTCTACGCAGAGTTTCCGAACGCACAGTGCCAACAAACAATGAAGAACGAAATCTTCGTTCTGATAGGCTAGGATTATCTTAGTAACCGCTGGTATTTTCAGAGTATGAGGAGCGAAGAGACAAACATTGGGACTTATGGAGTACAGAGAACATATGTGGCTCCTTCCGCAATAACAGCCAGACACCAAAGTCAAAAAAGATAGCTAATCCATCTCAGTCGAAACGCGCCCAATGTGCTGCGAAACCGATCCCAAGTCTGCAAATTACAACACATATTCACAATCTCTATAAGCCCTCCTCAGTCTAAACTGAACAAGATACCATAGATTGTGGGGCGTGGCACCCGTGCATTCAAAGAAACGGGCATCAGCAGCCTCCCAGAAGGCATCTAAGGCCGCCTCTGCACTCTAGAGTATCTCCACGTTCGCCTGACGTAACGGAACTGAGCTCCTGGCTTGCCCAAAGGAACGAGTGTTATATTACTGAAGCTGGTCTGCAAGATAGGGCGACATTGTGCGAATACCATGCTATGGTCAATGAGCAGTTGCGTCTGTCGCTTCTTGACTGAGTTTGCGACCTTCTTGGCCCAATGTTGGAAAAAGTTTAGTTGTTGCAGGCATTCAGAAACCACCGATAGCTTCGACAGGACCGAGACAACCCAAGGTGATTTCAGTGACCTGGCTCGCGCGTTTTTTTTTTCGTAGGAGGTGCTTGATGGCATCTACCAGAGTGTGTACCTTGAGACTGTGTCGCACTGGGGGTTCCCAAAGATACTTGAACAGCTGGAAGATATGTTCGAGCTCCTTATTACGCTTGCGATCTCGACCGCCCTTGAACTTCACACTAAGTACAACATCATCATCTCCAGGTCCACAGTCTTGAGTAAAGAACGCGCGAACCTCTAAAGAAGCAGGCCAGCCAAACTTTAGCTGTTGAATGAGGTCCAGTTCGATGAGCTCAAGAAAGGACCAAGTCTTGATGAGTGACTCCGAGAAAGTCGCCGATAGCTCTGAGCCCATTCCAAATGCGATGCCCTTGCCAAAGTGCTCTATGTGGATCTGTGGAGTCTCGCCACTTCGGAAATGTGCCCGTGGATTCTGTCCCAAACCATGAGGTCATTGTAGCAGTTAGCGACATCATCTCTCAAGGTCCGCGCCTAGAGGGTGTCGGGGTCACCAGTCTTATGAATTCAGCCGCAGCGGACGCCAGACAGCAACTCCGGCCGATGCTCTTTATGTTCGTTGACGGTCTCAGCGAAGTAACTAGGGTATTCTCGTAACATCCAGATGTGATCTTCGGCTTCACTCTTGCATGCAGAGACGAGAGCTTCAAGGCGGTCGATATATCTGAGTGTCGGTGCGCGATATTGTGACTCTCTTACAATGGCTTCAAGCGAGCTGTAACCCACAGTGTAAGGGCACTGATGAGGAATGATTACAAGCACTTCACCGGTAGTGTCGGCTTGAAGGGATCCTCGCAGGAGTGCTTCGAATTTTTCAGAGATGATCCCCAGCATACAATCCTTGAGGAAGCGATACATGCCAGCTTGCAAAGCCAGGATGTGTAGGCCATGGTCAGGATGCGCTACGTCTCCAGTAGCCATAGCCTGGGCAGCAGCCTCTCCAGAGTCCCACTCCTTGATCATCCTGTATTGATCGTTGATGACTCCCATTGTGTATTTGGTGCTTTCCAGGAGATCCGCTTGCAGCTTGATGAGAGGCCCTAGTTCATGGTCCGACAGGGCAAACTTGCATGGTGCGTTTTTAGCTCGCGCGTCAACGAGGATCAACAACTAGCTAAGCTTTGTAAAATCCTCGATGTTCAGGTGGGAAAAAGACATACTGAGCGCCTGCCACACGTCGCTGGTGTGGACATCACTTAAGGATGCATTGATCGATGTCAGGTCGATGTTTCGGCGGTAGGGAGGGCATTGCTTGTAGCAGGTTCGCCCTTCTCTGGAACACAGGCTTCTTGAGCCAGCGATCTCGAATAAGGCCTCTAAAGTTATTAAAAGCCTGTCTGACGTCCGTCCACTCGTGATAGTCGTCCAGTGCCATTGGAGTGGCGTCTTCTAGGACGATATCGATTGGTACCCAAAGATTCGCTTCGCAGGGCAACGGCTCGTCAAGGCCGTAGTGATCGCAGGGTTCGTTCTCTGGACAGCCATAGTAGTGATGTACATGCTCGAAGTAGTTGTGTATGTCCGCTCTGGTGAGTGTGAGACCCCAACGGATGTGCCTTTCAGAAGTACTTTTCGCAAAGCTTCGGCGGCCTCAGGCTCGGGCTTTGGCTTGAGTGACTCGATCCACTGGCAATATGCTTCTGGCGTGTCCATGGCGGTTGGTCACTACATAAGGAGGCACAGGGTTGAGTTCGCTGTCGTCGTTGGGTAATCCGGAGAAGTGGGAGTGGAGGCTACAGGACGGGAGTTCGTCGTGCCGCTACTTCGACTCTAGGTAGCAGCTGCATGAGGTACAGTGGAGGCAGCTGTTTAATTGGTTGGTTTAACGTCATATCTGAGTCTAAGACTATGGAAGACGTGGAGGCAGCTGTATTTCTTGTGACTTTGGCCGTTTGCTCAAACTGCACGCCTATTTGCTGCTGCAGAACGGTAGAGTGGAGCCGCCAAGCAACCGTATCGAGCAGACAAACTCGTGCATGTTCGATGGAGCAAGGTGAAGGGAAACAACAATTCGTCAAGAGGGCATCCTGCCATGACAGTTTTGCAATGCCCCGACAACAGCTACATGCCTCAATAGCAACGACGAAAACCAAATCTGCAGAAGGAGCAGGCTTCACCAATTGGAGCGGCTGCCGCCAGAAGTAACGGCTAATCCGGATCGAAGTACCGCATCGCTTTGTACCACACGGAATCGCAGCAACAACCTCCGTAAGACGTGGGCTAGGGCAGCCCTACTACAGGGGAGGGAGTGACTTCCCCAACTAAGGCAATGGAGCTGTCCGGGGAATGCGGAGAGGAAAGAATCTTGGAAGGACACGGAAGCTGCTTGGACGACGCCAACACACAACACGCTTGTATGACCGAGGATGCTGTAATAGAGGCCAAGTGTGCTCAATTTGTGACAAACGACATCCGCCGCTTCCTATTCGATGTCGTGCTGGAATGACACGAGAACAAGATTTCTCTGGGCTTAGTATTGCACGACAGAAGCGGCCGAGGCGGTGTCCGGAAGGAGTATTTTCACGGCATCCTCATGCCCACAAATGATTAGCGATGTTTCCCAGAGCCGGGATGACTGTCGGGCGATTTGCGCAAAGAGCGTGAGGCTGCAAACGATGCGCAGCGCAGTCTCTTGTCTCGACTAGCATGACGACGTGCGGTGAGGCGTATGGCGCCGAGCTGTGACCACGCTTTCGTGTTTTGGGCGAGCACGACAGAACAAGCCAGCTTCAGCACAGGAGGTTCAGTGACAGGTCACATCATCATCCGGACATTTGCCGGTCTCCATGGAGTCTGTCATACCAGGGGCAGACCGTTAAGGAGTGACTGGTTGATTTTCCGGAGACGGGTCCACGACTGCCACCGGCACGAGCGTCCTTCCAATGCCTTTCTCGAAGCCTCATTGCGGGAACAATTCGGCCGCGTCACGCAATCACCCTCGCACAACAACAAGCCTTTGCACAGGATCTTCCGCAGTCGTCCATTACGAGGAGTCGTTCAGGTACGAAATGTTTGTTCACCTCCACCTGGGCGAATCAAGGAGCACACATCTGTTGGCGCTGTCGTTGATCAGGGCGGAAGACCTCCGTAAATGTTGCCAGCCCAGTTCCAGACGCCTCTTTGCGGACTTAGCCCCAGCCAGCCGGGTCTGGGGAATGCATTCCGTGACCCACATTTCCCCATCTCGGTGCCGCAAGCCTCGCGTGGGATGATGGGATGAACACGATCGAGAAGCGGTCAAAGAATGACCTGTCTTCCTTCCGGCACATCACGGCTCGATATGAGAACTTCGTGTCCCACGTCAGTCAGACGCAGCTACTGACGCTATCCGCGGACGCCGCCAGTATCGAGATGCTTCATCCCGTCTGCGATAACACGCTCATCGGCGAGCCCTCGATAGAGACACGCGTGGGAGACCACTGCATACGGCACCCGGCCATGCCATGCCGTTTTCATCTCCTGCAGACTCGTGTCTGCACATCTCAGACAAGTCGATCATGACAGGAGCGACCCCAGACGCCATGAAGTTTACTCCCTGTAAGGTTTGGGCGTGGGGTGGGACCTGCTCCCATGTGCAACAACGGATCAAAGCAAAGAGCGCAACCGTCCGCTTCCCCGTTCGCCCCCGATGCTTTTGATTGCTGATACACTTTTCTTTTCGCTCAAAGCGCCTTTGCATTCCGATCCAAGCAGCCCGACCATGCGAGTCAGGATTCGGCGGTGAATAGCCAGTTGCTATAAAAGAAAACCTTCCCCTTGCGGCGCCGTCGTCCTTTTATTACAAAGCAATCTTCAGCATCATTCCACCCCTTACACATTGCACAGTCTATCAGCCCTTGCACTATACATAAGTGGTGCTTATCAGCCCTTTCTCGTTGACGCAATCTGCTCAAACATCCCCACGGTCCGGCTCAAGACTTGTAACCTTCGCTTCCAACCCGAACAATCATTCGCAGCAACACGTATCACTCTACCCAACCACTTCCACACAATTGTTGGAGCAGCCTAGAAAACCAAGTAAGCCTCACCTGCAGCCCTCTCTAAACATATCGCCAATCCGGGGTCTCCGCCATTCGCCTGGCACAAGCCCTGGCATCTGGTTCGCAGTGCCAACACACTCGCATGCACACAGCACCAGCCCTGTCGCAATCCCGCGTATTCAATATTAAATCTGACTCACCCCTCGCAGTTACCATTTCCGGCTCGCAGCAATAGTACACCTCAGCCTCAGAACACAAACGACCTGCTTCGCCAATACTGCCAGCGAAGACACTTATTCTCCGACCCCGAGACAACTCAGACCGTCTTTGCGCCTTCCGCCGAGAGATACGATTTGACAGTTCAGCTTGCATTATTGTGACAGTTTGACACCAGCTCGACTCCGGTCTATTTAGTCGCATTGCCCGATCGAAACCGACTTGCGAGATACAGGTCTCAACCCCAAGTTTCAGCAACCAACTCCAAATCAGGCACTCCTGTCTCACCCTGATTCAAAATAATTTCCAACATCGTTATTATAAGTCAACGCCAGTTACCACAACTTCGTCGACACCGACAGTCACTACGCACCTCAACATCTTAGGTTGCCTACCAAATCAACACCACATCCACAATGCCTTCCACAACCTTCAACCCGCGCCAGCGTCTCTCCATCCTGACCAACTCCACACTCGGCCACGACGTCAGCGCTGCATTCAAAGCCTCGTCTGGATCCTCGACACAAGAGCGGTCACATGCGTACGGCGAGACCGCCGCACCACCTCCAAGTCCTATCGATTTCTCCTTCCCCAGCACACCGAAGGAGGACCGCCGGGGGAGCGAGAGCAACTGAGCGATCATGCTGCTGCTGCTTGACCATCATCAACATGCGTGCATATGCCTCCGCGTCCGCATGTTGACTTGGAATATCTCTTCCTTCTCTTTTGTTGTTGTTGTTGTTGTTGTTGTTTTGTCGTTTGTTGGCATTTAGCGAGCGTTGGAGCTTGGATTTTTTTCGGGCGTGGTATTTGGGATTTTAAACGTTCTGGGAAGCGCGTTGATCGCGGCTATGGTTGCGCCTTCGTTACATTCTTCGATTCACTGTACAATCTACCATTCTCTCCTAGCGTCGTTTGGTCGTGGATAGAAGCGGGGCATCTCTCGCAAGCACAAACATCTGGTAATAATCCCATCGCTTCATGGATCACGTTTCTGCTCTTGACTTCGTGCATCGAGTTGTCGTGAGCCTCTGATGCAAGCTACGCCCGTCCTTCGGCTTTGTTGGGTTATCCACACGATCTCACCATCCAACACTTCGGACTCGGTAGAGACTCTCCCGATTGTCTTTTTTTTTTTTTTTTTTTTTTTTTTCAGGACCAAGCCGACGCCTCGCCTCACCTTCCTTGGTCAAAAGAAGAGAGGGAGTGGCGCACGGTCCGCACCGCTGCGTCCCGCTGCCTCTGTCAGACCTCTGGCGTGAAACGGTCGGAACCTCGTGCTATTCCTGGCCTCTGCGACAACATTTCGAAGACCTCAAGTGTTTTAGTGCAGAAGAGAAGGGCCCGATGTCAGCCACGCGTCCGTTGTTCTCGAAGCTGTCTGAGGCCAGTCCGCCTCACCATGTAGTGCGAGCTGAGGTGACCGACTTCACTCGGGTCCGCTGACATTCGAGCACACTCGGGTGAGCCTGTGCCAGCGAGGGAGCAGGTACACACATGACACGAACAAGAGCATGTGTTGGCTACCACCAAGCTCTGTAGACTCGTATTCGTCTCCAAGTTACCCATCCCTAATGCTACCACCTCTATCTATCTCTCTTTTTCCACTCACTTACTCTTCTTACTCCCCCGCCCACCCCTCGCACTCTTCTTTCCCTTCGCCGCCGCTGCCCCCCGTCTACCTCCCGCAATCATAACCCTAACCTTTGCGACGGGCAACACACTCACAACCTCTGGTTCCTTCCACCCGCGAATCAAGTCAATCTCCCTTGGCCAGATCCTCTCAACGTCTTGACTGTGCTTATCCGTCGCTTTCGCGTCTTTCCCTGCGTTGTCCCAGATAGAGAGTACTTCCTTGACGGCTTTTCCGCGCTTGGTAGATCCGGGCTGGATCTTGGCTTTGTATTTGTAGCTTGCGAGCGCGGCCCAGGGCGCTGCGACGGGGATCGCGCTTAGAATCGTGTCGCCTGGCAACGGCCGTCCGGTAAAAGCATCAAAATTTAGCAAGTTGCTCTTGAGGCTCTCGTCATCTTCGCCTTCGTCGTCGTTTTCGAGGGCGGCGCGGCGCGCTTCTTCGGCTGCTTTGCCCTTGTCTTGGGCGCGCTGGTGTTGTTCGCGGCGCCGCTGCTTGTTGGCCAGGGCTTCTTCTTCTTTCTTGCGTGCGTCGTTGGCCGCGGTTTCGGCGGCTACTTGGCCGGATTTGGAGCCCAGAAGGCGCATGGCGAGGGCGCGGTCTTCTTCGTCTTGGGCGGCGTATTTGGTGGCTAGCTTCTTTGCTTTGCCGCGCTTGCCGCGGGGGAGTGGTGCTGAGCTGTTCTTCGTGGCTTGTGATGTGACGGTGCCAGGGGCACGGGTAGCAGGCTTGGATTCGTCGCCGGCTGAGTGACCTTCATCATCATCATCGTTCTCTTCCGTAGCTGCTGAGCCGGGTGTGGCGTCGGGCAACTGGCCCTTCCTCATAAGGCGACGCTCTCGTGCTGATAGGTGGCGAATACCGGACTTGCCTTCTGTCTTGTCCTTGTCTTGCGACTTTGCGTTCTCGTCTGAACCAGCAGTGGCGGGCTCACTCTGCGGCGAAGGAACATCTTCCTCTTCCTCTTCTGATTCAGCTTTTTGGTCTGCAGTCTTCGACTGGAGTGGGTTCGCAGGCGCTTCAGTCTCAGATTCAGCGTCGCTCTCATCCGAGTCGTCCATCTTTGCATCAGGAAAGTCTTCCTCAGAGTCAGAAGCCATCTTTGCATCCGGGAAAGCGTCATCATCGTCGCTGTCCGCGTCATCGTTAGCTTGGGCTGTCTTCTTCTCTTGTGCCAGTTCTGCCTCTGCCTCTGCCTCTGCGGTAGTAGGCGCCAAAACACCGCCCTGGACTCGGTGCTTGTGGTGACGAGCTTTGCTGTCCTCGCTGATCTCGAACATCACGCCAAGGCCAATAATGAGCTGCGCTGGTGGGAGATACTCCTTCTTGCCCTTGATGTTGAAGATGCCGGGCGGCAAGAACTCTCCAGTCTGACCAGTCTTCGTAACACCATCGGCAAGGACCCACCACGCCGGCATGGCGGCCTTCGAGTCCCATGCGTCTGATGTGCAGACTGACAAATTGCCAGCCTGGGATAGTGTCGAAGGCGGAATCGGCGCATCCGGGGTGTTTGGGTTGTTCTTGATGATCATAGGGATAGAGCCCTTGAGGTCGGAGTGAACGTAGACATCTCCCTTGCGCAGGTATCTTTGGTAAATGATCTCATTCTGCTGAGCGTCCTTGCCACCAAGCACGAGGTACCCATCTGAGGAGATGAAGTAGATGTACTTCTCGAACCATTGCTGTTTGCGCACAGGTCGCAGCACTTCCTTCTCTTGTTTCAGGCCCTTCTTGAGATCTTCAGCAACCTTTTTCTCGTGGCTCTTCAGAGCTCGTTCAGATGCTTGCAGCGTACGCTCTTCTTTACTGGCCGCTGTCTTCTTCGAATCAAAGTACTCCGTAGAGTTCGCCCATGCAGAGAGACCTAGGTCGATGTCGATTGAAAGCTTTGGCTGTGCAGTCACCTTTACAGGCGCAGGCCTCTTCTTTTGATTGTCGCCCTCGTCGTCGGTGTCTTCGCTTACGGAGCTGGTATCGTTGCCCTCGTCTTCCTCGTCCTGGCCTTCTGTCCAGGTGTGCTCGTCTAGAAGCAGGGTGATTGTGTTCTCCTGCAGCTTCAGTGGAAGCTTGATGAGCTGTGCGACGGCATTCCCTGCAGACTGTTCTCGCTCAATCAGACGCCCAATGTCCACCCAGTCCATGCCCTGTGTAATCAGACCGTTGATGGCGTCTGTAGCTTCGGTGACGCGATGGACGTTTGCGAGAATAGCTTCTGCCTTGCGGAAGTCCAGCTCTTGTGCTTTTTGCAGCCCACCAATGCGCTCCTCGTGCTCTTTGCGCGCCTTCTCCAGCTTCTTCTTTGCGTGCGCCTCGCGCTCTTGTAGTTTGGACTCGAGTTTTTGGCCCTCTATCGAAGAAAAGAACTCATCAACAGCCTTGCCAAAGGTGTCGAATTCGAGGAACCTAAGGTCCGAGTTCTCGAACTGTGCGGGACGGAACGGATGGAAATCGTCGTACAGCTGCCTGCCCTTCCCAGAGCCTTCGTCCTCCGCACTCGGTGCTGCAGGGCTGGGCTTCGCTAAGATGTATCCCTTCACCTGGTCTGGTTCAGTGATCTCTTTTGTTATCCTCAAGGCGTCTCGGAGAACGGTCAACAGCTGGTCTAGCAGGTCCTCGCTCGCAAGCACTTGCTCCGGCTTCAGCGTCGAGTCGTACTTTGCAACGTGCAGCGCGTGATCGACGAGCAGCGGAGGCAGTTCGGTGATCGAGGTCGCTAGCGCCTTCCTCAGCGCGTCCTTTCCTGCCTTCTTCGCTTTCTTGCCGGTCACTTCCGGCTGCGCTTGCTGGCGGTCGACGGCCTTCTGTAGGCCTTGGCGAATGCGCTCTTTCGTGAGCTCCGGTACGCCACTGTAGTTCTGTCGCAAGGACAGATTGTACTGCAGTCCGACCCTCAGCTTCTCGTGTTCTTCGCCCTCGTCGACATTTCGCAGCAGAGCCAGAATGTGCAGATCGCCATCCGTCAGAACGATGTTGCCGCCGGCGTAGAACTCGAGGTATAGTCTGTACAGGCCGTCGGAGAACTGGAACTCGAGGATGCGGTCGGTACCGACTTGGGAGATGGAGGTGACTCTCCTCGTCTTCAGGTATTTGCGCAGCTTCGCAACGAAGCCCGAGGGCGCTGCTGCTGTGGTGCGCGCATATTCGGTAAGGTGGCAGCGGAAGCCAGAATCGATGAGCAGTTGTTCGCGGTGGTCTGGCTTATGGAATTTGACGAGGAAAATGCGCTGTGCTGTTTGTCAGGTTTGTTTGCGGCCGAAGCTGCAGAAAGCTCGGTGCTTACCGATGAGAGATCGTAGACGTTTGTAACGCGCAACGAAGTCAGCGCATTGGACAGCTCGTGCGCAATGACCTGAATTTATTAGCGTTGGGGGTGTTGCGGTACGAGTGCCACGTACCTTGACGTCCAAGCTGGAGAATCGCTGCTTCATGGTTGTGTCGTGTGCAAAGTCTGGCGGGGGAGGGGGGGGGGGGTTGTGGTGGGCTGCGATGACGAATGACGAAGCGGAAGCGGCGCGCGCCAAGTACATGGTCAATCAAGAGTACCTGAAAGCCTCGAGGCTAGTGTAGTGCAACACGAAAATAAAACCAAACCGTTGCCCTCCCCCTGCCCTCCCCCTGCCCTCACTCTGCCCTCACTCTGCCCTCCCCCTGCTCTCGTCTTCACCACTCTGTGCAAGCCAGTGGGGATGTGGGAGTTCTGCATTCGAATAAGATGCGCCGTCCTACCGGTCTATCATGCTGCAGTCATCGAGGATGCCAACTGCTATGCTCATTTTGCCATTGAGAACGCCTGCAACGCCATGCCCTTTCCATAGTCCAATCACAGTCCCTGCCGTATCCGCTCGGCCAGCTGCCTCTTTCCAAAGTCCCACATGTTCATCAAGCCCTGTTCTGAAAGGTCGATGTTCTTCATCGACGTCATGTCCTGCGCAGGCGGCTTGCTGACACGCGAGGCGACGATTACGGGGTCGGTCTCAAGGATGATACCGTCGTCCACGAGCTCATCGACAGCAAGCGACTGTGAGCGTTAGCAATGCGCACATGCGCTGTGCAGGCTGTGCAATCATACCACCAGGTCGTAGTTCTCGATAACCGTGCGCTTGTCGACCGAGTTCCTGTGTCGTGTTAGTCGTGGAGCTGGATGCGCGCACTGCTGCACATACTTCAGGAGGATGTTGAGCGAGTCTCGCAGCGCAAGAACAACACTGCACGCCGATTAGTTGGAGTTCCCTCAGCCACGCCTTCTTCTCGTACCTGTACAGCAGAATCTCGTTCTCCTCGGCGCTGCCTACTACATAGAGCATCACGTCTGACTCCATCTTGAAGACCACGACCTTCTGGTCGTACAGGATGATGTCCGTGGTCTGCTTCGCCGTCTTCTCTGTGCGGTGTCAGACCATGTCACTCTCCCGTCCCACAGACAATCGTACCCAGCAGCCCCTTCTCGAACGCCTTCTGGTCCTTTACGGTCTTGTAGGCCATCTGGCCGGGGTAGTCGGCCTGGTTGGCCTGGCTGCCCTGGGGAGGGTGGGGATTGGAGTAGTACTTGGTGAGGATGCGCGAGCCGTCGTCAATGGCGAGGACCAAGATCGCCTGGATGCTGAAGAGAGAGAGCGGGCGCGACATGGCGGCGGGTGTGTGTGTGCGCGCGTGTGTGGGTGTGTGTATGTGTGTGTGTGTGTCTGTGTCGGGGATACGCAGCGGGTGGGTGAGCTTCAATGGTATGGGTGTGGGGTGTTGCAAGCTGTCTCCAGGGCTCCTTGCGCGCTCAGCCAGCGGAGAAGCAGCCAATCACGGGAGTCGTAGCATTCCTGCATACAAAGTTCCGCCGCGCTGTGCATCGCCATGTCCGACCACGCCCTCCAGCAGCGATGCCGCCATTGACGCGCACTCCCCTCGCCTCCGTCGTCTGTCCATCGGCGCCGTTCCTGGCACCTCGACTCTTGCGCCCGACCGTCGCCGTCGCCGTTGCCGCCCGCCAGTCCCAGCAACAACCCATCTCGAGCACGCCAAGATGCTACGCCAATCCCGCAAACGGGAAGAAGAGCGGAAGAAGTTACTTCCTGGAGATGCGCAAACGCGAGCAGCAGCAGGCACGACGGAGAGCGCGGGGCGACAAGGACTCGTCGGATGTGTCGCCCGAGGTCATTGAGCTGGCATTGGCGCTGCAGCAGGCATGCGAGAGGCGAAATCTGCAACAGCTCATGGACCTCTACCCTGCCGCTCTCGACGCTGGTATCTTCGACCGCAGAGCCACCCATATCCTATGTCAGGCCCTTCACGCAAGCGTGCGCCGCGACGCCGCCAGGAAGAGTGCCTCGCGGCTGCCCGAGCTTCTCCCTTTCGTCGGGCAGGTCGTCTCTGACCTTCGAAAAGGAGCGCTGCCGCCCCATCCGTTCGCCTACGTCCATCTGTTGGGCATCTACAAGGATGCCAAGCGCTTCACCGACGGCCACGCGCTATGGCTGTGGCTCGCTGAGCAGGACGACGCCCATGTTTCCCAGGCCGCCTATGGTGCTGCCATAGAGCTGCTGAGCTATGGCAACTTGATGTCGCTCCCCGAGCTGGAGCAGCTATACGACGAGGGGCTCAAGCGTTTTCCTGGCACCTACGCCGAGTACCATCTCTCGCCTGACGCCATCGTTCCAGATCGTGCGCAGCCTGTCCATATCGTTGGCCTGCCTACGACATTACTGCAAGGCATCGTCACTGCTCGCCTGCGGTCACACGATTGGAAGAAGGCGTACCTGGGTCTGGACACAGTCCTTCGTCTCTACCCTGGCCAGACGCCACATCGCATCTTCGAGCTTTTCATCACCGAAAGACCCCTCTCGGAGGCGTACACTGCCTATCTGCTTGCCTGCCGTTCTGGAGTCCAAACCAGTGGCGGTCAAGTCACCAATCTACTGAACAGGCTGCGGGTGGCCATGACACAGTCTCGTTCGCTCAGAGGCCGTTTCAAGATTCTGCGTGCCATGGCCAATGCTCTATACGCCTATCAGCAGTGCGGTGGAGGCCTTGCTAGCGTTCACGTCGGGCAATTCATCAAAGCTTTCGAATTCATGCTACCAGACAAGGCTCCCGGTCAGGAATTCACAGAAGAAGAAGAAGCGGTTCTTCGAAACACCTTAGCAGTCACCGCCCATGAGTGTTTGGCCAGCTTGATCCAGTCTGGCCTGTCGCCTGAGGTCCATCCGTTCGTGTCCCTGGTGTCTCTAGCTGGCAAGCTGCGAGCTCCAGACCTACTCAAATCCGCACTACAGGATGCGAAAACCGCAGGCATCACATTTGGCCCGGTTGAGCGAAGAACCTTGCTCACGGCTGCCGGTCTTATAAAGGACCGCGACCTTGTCAAAGCGCTATGGTCGCTCATCGTCACTGGCGCCGAGTCCGAAGGTACCCAACTTAGCTACAACGACTGGATCACGTTTGCCAAGGCTTGCAGACGCGCTGAGTCCACGCGACACTTTGAGCAGCAGTTACAGGAGCTAGCGCATACTATCACGGCTTCTATCGAGAAGCGTGTCCGCTCTGAGGCGGACAACCTGGAGCCTGAAGCGGCCAAATCGTCTGTTGTTCTCATGGCTCCCGAGCAGCTGAACTCCGAGATTCAAACCCTACAAGGGCAGCTGGAGAACACACGCGCCGTTCTCATGTCCGGACAGCCTCTCAATCTACAACACTCTCCGTTCTACATGCACATCGATCCCGAGCAGCCTTCGCTGGGCACCGAGGAAGATCTGCGCGCCGTTTACGACGAACTCACGACCGACCCGCATCAGCCGGCAGCCCCGGCTTCAGGCGGCGGCGACGACGACTCACAAGCCAAGACTACCGCCTCAGCTCTCAGCAAAACCGGCATTCCCCTCGATGAACTTCGTTTCCGTAACTGGGTCAACGTCCATGAGATGATGAGTGCAGCCAGCGCCTACGCAGCATCTCGTCGAGACATCATCGACAAAGCCATCGCGCAACGCAAATCCCCCAAGGACATTCCCGAACTATTGTTTCTACCCGAGATCAAACCAGCGCAAACCCGAGCGGACCTGCGCAACCGCGTCAAAGAGCTACGGGCACCAGACTCGATCTTCCGCAGAGTCAGCGGCCAGATCAAACCAGGCACCTACTTTTTTGCAAAGAAGTTCGAGCGTAAGGCGCAAGAACCCGAGGCGGATACTACGAAGATCCACAAGCACATCACCAACCCTTTCACTGTCCGCAAATCCGAGACACAGACTCCGGACGAGGTGTTTGAACCCAAGACCCTGGACCCGTCGACCAGTCGATGGCACACAAGGAAGGTCACCAAGACTTACAGCGATGCCAAGTATGATGCTGCAGAAGTCAAGTCCAGGTTTGAAGCGTACGCGGACTCAAACCCAATGACGGAAGCCGCTGGAGAGCCCAAGGCGAAATCGGAGACGCCGGTAGCTAAGACGGCTGACAATGATGCTGTCCCGTGGATGCCGTCGTAGGCACCATGCAAACAACTACCTCTTTGTACATACCCCAATTGGAGCACTTAGCATGTACGATACATGGACCTTTGTAATCAACCTGTACAATACAAAAAGCGAGTGCAGCGTTCAAGCAACAAAATGTTACCAAATATCCACTTTACTTTTTTGGCGGGCATCAGTCTGCGTGGAGGGGTGTCTGTATAGGCAGAGAATGGTTTTGCTGCAAGCCCATTCATTCCCACGCGGCAGTCATTTTCGCGGGAGTTTGGCCGCCGCGCTCCACACCCGCGCACAACTTTCCACATTGGGAAGGTATTCTACGTCGGCGGCGTGAATTTTCGCCGTCGGCGAATTGCGACGGCGCGATGCGACACGACAACGTTCGAAGCCTTCCTTCTCCAGCCACCATTACCATCTGCACGGCGGATGAATCGGTTGTGCTACCCTCTGAACACGACAAGTGTAGCTGGCTCAGCCAGCCTACTTTTCCCACCTTAATGCAAAATCTCAGACAGTTACTTTTCTGGCCGGAGAATCCGCATCTTTCAGCGAGGGCAGGTATTAGCGATTACTGGGCTGGGTGATGCGAAGGTAGCGTTACCGAGATCAGAGATCCACGAGACTGCTGAACTTGTGTGCCACAACGAGCTTGCCAACGTTCGGAGCTTGAGAAGTGCTCGATGCTACCGGTGCTGGGATCGGGATCTGGATCCTCAGGAGGACCTGTGGTTCCGAGGCTGCTGCTGTGTGGCTTTGCACTCCTGTCGAGGTCCTGGCCTCCCTCATCGAGTCCGCGCCTCACGCCAGTCTCCTTGCCTGGAGCGCGTTCACCATGCACTTCCTTCTCTTCACCGTCTCTAGCGCCTTTGTTCTTTTCTTCCTTCTGTGTATCATCTGCTTTTGTAGTCGGCGCGGTCAGCAACCTAAGAACGCCAGCTTGATGCGTTTCACTCCCATAAGTGCTTCTGTGAACTTCATTTGCACCTTGAATAGAGGACATACTTTATACGTCTTCCGCCATCCACGTGTGTCAAGCGTCAACGCCTTCATAGCTAAACGGACGGAAGTGGCTGGTTATTGTCGATGGCCTCCGAGGGTAGGGAGAGATAGTTCAATCTTGTGTAGCTGTTGAAGACTGCAGGCTCGTCAATGTGCCAGAGGAAGTTGTTATCGCCGCACACAACAAGTAGTTCTTCCAGACATCTATAAACTGGGTAGAGACTGTCGAAGTACCTCTTGAAGCTGTCCTTTTCCGCAGGAACGGTGCCGACGTCGAACAGCACTTCGATGCGAAACATCTCCATCTCAGGGAGCTTTGACAGTAAACGAATCAGCTGCATATCTGTAGTGGGATAGTAGAGCGCGGCTGGTAAGCATACGGTGTGCAAGGTCTTCAGGGAGAATGACGGCTCGTTCCTTGTGATAAATGGATAACAGAGAGCTGGAGCGAGCCGAAGTGTCTTTAGTTGAGGCAGTCGGGACCAAGCGGCGCTCGCCCACATACGAGGGATAGTGGTGCACGACAAATGGGTGTTGCGTATGAACAGCTCGAAGAAGTACTTCTCTAGAGGAGGACGGCCTGTAAATGTAACTTCTTTGAGAAGCGGAGCAAATTCGAATATGTGCGCCGACCCAGGCTCGGTGATCTACATTGCGGATTGGACTGACGCTGAGAGGGCTGCCCTGAAATCTGGCAGCTCCTTCGTCCAAACCCCATTCTAGACCTTCTGTTGGGGGTATTAACACTGTCGCGGCTACTGGGAACTTTGAGTGTGCGGACCTTGCGGGCCAGATCTGGGCGGCGAAGTAGGGTGCTGGCGAGACGTAAGATACTGCCGTTGTGCCTGATAGAAGCGGCATGCCGTTGTGTTTGATAGAAGCGGCACGCCGGTGTAAATTTTCTTGTGCTGGTCCCCGAAGGCGTCTTGCTGATAATGCAAGTGCTAGAAGGTCTGGATTGTCCAATGAAGCGCCAATCTGCAGCAAAAGCTCGTCCGGGGGGTTAAGAAGGGCGATCATACTGACGGCACGGGTGAATCACGAGTGTAATGAACGCTACAACGAGATACTTCTGGTCACTGATCGATCAGCAGATCTCACTGAGAAGTTGAAGTCTGCAGATGCACGGTTAGGAAGAAGAGAAGAACAAAAAAAAGGGCATGATGACATATAGAAGCGAACCAATATTTGCGACAAGCACCCCTTTATTGCCCACAAGATGTCAGGCAATAGAGCCAGTTCCCAGTGCGCAAAGTCCAAGATACACTGGTCAATGCCTGCAGTTGAGTTTTCTATACAAAGAGCACAAATATTCTACATTTACGGACTTGACAATGACCAAGTCTGGTGAGACATGTGTCTACGAAAATCCAATACCCTCTCCAACAGAGCAGTTTGATACATTAGCCTGCCAGGCAATCTTCGCATACGCAGGGAGGTAGCTGTTTGTCGTGAACTTCTTGTCCATGTAGTATGAGACCTGGCTTAGCGAGAAGTTGCCGCCAACATCAGCACTGTTGAGGGCGTTGACGATGTAGCTAGCGATGAAGTCGAGGAAAACAAGATCGACAGTCTTAGGAAGTGATCCGTCAAGAGGGAAGGAGCCGTTGGCCTGGAGGTCGTTTGGCTGCGCGTAATGTGGGATATTGGAGTGGACAGTGTCGTCACCGTCGTTACCGAAATCGTCTACGGTGGTGTATCCAGGAGTCGGAGCGGTAGACTGCCGGCGTATCAACCGTCCACCTTGCTTTGAGCGGCGAGTGACGCCTTCATAGGAGTGAGTAAGTGGCGGGTCTATGCAAGTATCGCGATCAGCAAGAATGCTGTTGAAGCCGAAGTCTGTAGCCTCCAGATCACGTTTCTTTTGGTAAGGTCCTGCGTTCAAGATATCGATCACCTTGGAGGCTTGCTCGTAAGGAACGTCAGGAATGAACTGGAAAGCATCATCGAATGGCGAAACGATGAACGAATCGTCATAAGTGAATGGTCCTTTTGCAAGATCGAAACGGATGCTGCCTGTGTTGATGATGATCATGCGAGAGTTGTTCTTCCGCGTCTCATTCACAACAACGGTGGACAAAGCAGTCTGCAGGAGCTTGAAGATGTTTCCGTCAGCACCATATGGCTTGCAGTACTGGCAGTACGTCTCCGGCGCGCATCCGTAGAGGCTAGTGAGATTGAGCTTAGCGCGCTCTGTCGTAATCTCAGATGTGACTGCAGCACCCTTGGGTGTGCCAAATGCGTCGAAGTTCTGGCTACCTTTGGCATGGTATGCGAATGTCTGGCGGTTCCAGTCTAGGTAGCGCCGAGCATAGCGCAGGTTGGAGGGTGTCGTCGATGTGGGCAGCTGCACGCTTGCGCTTACTGTTCCGGTACTTCGAGGCGGTACCGCACTTCGCGTGGGATTTGGTACACCCTTGGGGTTTTTCTTGACCTTCTTTGCGCTAGAATTGATGCCAGACATGGCTAGCCATCCCAAGGTTTCGCAGTATCGGCCTTTGTTCAAGTTAGTGAATACCTCCACATGCATGACTGATTTGATTCTTACCAGACTCGAGTGCTGTAGCTTTGTTGTCCCATACAGCAAAGTCGCGGATGTGAGTGTGACCACCGAAGCCCTGTATAGGAACGTCGGGTCTCTGGCTGCGAATAGCGCTGAAGACTGTGTCGAAGGAACTGCTCGAGTCGTTGAACCTGACCGGGTTATGGCCTGTCAGAACGAATAGATCGATAGGGTCCTTGTAGTTGACAGCATCGAGGAACCACTGCTCCTTCACCATATCAGCCGCTTTGATAACTTTCGAGACATTGCTGTTGCCAGTGAAGTCAAATAGAACGCCGAAAGCCATGATGTTCAAGCCTCGTTCCGTAGTAAAGTAGCGGTACTGTGCACCGATGTACTCAAATTGCCCAGTGGCTGGGTTCTTGATCTGCACATTACTAGTGAGGTACTTGTCTCCGTAGACTTTCGAGAAGTTGCTGAAAGTCTCGTAGGCGATTTCAGTGACATAAAGCTCGTGATTGCCGATCGTTAGGAGGTCGTAGTCGACATTTTCGAAGATGGAATTAGAGACAAGGCCATTCGGTGATGTTGCGTCAGAGAGACCAGCACCATCGTGAAGATCCTGGAGGCAGTCAGCAATGTGTAATGGACATACACAACCAACATCGACAGTCATGATGGCAGTCACTTACACCAGTGTCAACTAGCAATAGATCCACACCAAGCTTATTGGCCTTCTGCTTCATGTGCCTTGTGAAGCTGACAAAGTCACCCCAATCAGCCCCGTAGTTCTAAAGATCGTCAGCTTACGTCCATAATGTATAGCCGGCTATAATGTCGTACCTGCTCTTTGATGTGGCCCTCGAGCCAGCCGTGTGTATCAGTCGTATGCATGAAGTTGATCTGACCCCATTCGAGAGGAGATTTAGGTCCTGTAGTTGCGTTGCTTGCATCAGGCTGCATACGCCTAACATTACGAGTCAAGACCACATCGTCTTTCAGCGGTCCATAGCAACTGTGGTCTCCTCCACAAGCTGAAGCCGTCGCAATGGCTGAAGCAACAACGGTGAGCTTCTGCAGCCGCATCTTGAAATTTGGAACCGAGGGTGACGGTCTCAACCAGAAGGCTCAGGGAGCGATTTATACACGTCAACCCATGTCGAGATGGCTGAACGTCCAGAGAGGCACGGCAGCGAGATCTTCGCACGTGCGATTGTCACTGGAAGATGATAGGAGGACGATAAGCTTCTCCAAGCGAAATGACAAGCCGTTGCTGCCGCTAGCGAAAAGCTTGGTCTGAAGGGGCACCTTCCTGATTGGTGGCTAGCAACATCGGACATCTCCATCGCCTTCTACGCGCAGCCACGGAGGACAACGACACGACGCGTCCTCTCTCGCGCCTCCCTTCAGATGTTTTTATCATTTGAGGCGGGCATTCAACGGTGCTGATGAGGGTTCGATCGTGTGCTGACTGCGACCATGAGAGGAGGTTTTGTGTTTCGTCTGAGTACATTACGTCATCTCTTCCAGGTCTTATATCCGTTACATCCTGACCAGTTCGTCCTTCCTTCACCAACTTCGGAGTCCTCATCCCAGGGCACAAACTTGCAGACTGATGCTCAATGCCAAATCGTGTTCCTGATTCTATCACCCCATACGAAGAACGGCACGCCCAGAATGATCAAACCACTGGAGATGCCAGCCATAGCACCGTAAGCGTTGAGATATCCCGACTTCTGTACCCAAGGATTTGTGTAGAAGGACAGCAAGAAGCCAAATGCAGACTTCCAGGCCATTTTTGTCACCAAATCTCACCGGCTACAAGTCAGTAGCAGTCAACAGTGTACACAAGCGAGACGTTTGTAGCTTGCACAAGGGAGAAGTTGACTGTTAGTGTCAAATCAGGTCAAGCAACATCCTCTTCTGTAACTTACTCAAGCCGAGTGCGAATGTGGGACAGATCCAATGGAGCTTGTACTGGATGCCCACATCATAAAGGACGAGAGCGAGAGGCGCTGTAACGACACTGACAAGGATAGCAGGCAAGCGCATCTCAGGCTCGCGGACGCCTCCGTTGCGCTGTGATTGTCTATCAGCAATCCAATCAGAGAAGTGGCCATCAGCGAAAATTCCAATGAATGCTTCGAGGAGTACCGCAACGAAACAAAGACCTGATTGCCAGGGTTTGAAGTTGTATGCCGTTTCGAAAGCCGGCGCAAAATTGGACGTGATAGCGATAAGGAAACCGATCGTTCCTGACATAACAAGGGTACCCCACAAGACCTGTGGTAGGATGATGAATGCTACTGGTCGTATGAAGAGCATCAAGAGTGACTCTTGGGTGTATGTGCTGGAGAAGATACGGAGGCTGGAAACGTAGGAACGCTTCTCTGGGATGTTGATGTGGGGGTAATCGACGTGTCATCGATCTGTGCCATTACAGGTCCCTCCGACTCGATATCCTCTTGCTTACTCTCGTCTTGAGCCACCGCACTGCTAGCTGCCACGTCCCTGAGGTACATGGCCATAGGGAACGTGAAGATGACGAACAATGTGCAACTGCCAATGAGGGCTGTGGCGACCCAGTATATGGCTCGCCAGCCGTTGTTGATACTGATCAGTCCAGCAATAATAATTCCGCAGCTGACTCCGGCTGGAAATGCACAGGTGTAGACCCTGGAGGGTGGCAATGGCACGTTCAAGGTGCAGAGGCTCGATGTTCACGCCATAACGGTGCTTCGTTTGTGCAAGAAGATATCAGATATGGTCAATGGTGCCAGGGCCTCGGCAGCAGCACCCATAATGATACGTAAGGCCACCTCGCTACCATAGCTCATCGAAGCTCTAGCCCATGCAACTCAAATCGTGTAAAGGACGATCGATGAAACATAGACCGGACGGCGACCGTACTTGGCGATCAATTGCCTCCAGAGAAACGCGCCTATTCCCTGTATCAAAGCAGTCGTAGTGAAGAAATAGGCAGCAGACATTAAAATAACGATGTACCAACAATAACGTGCTGACCAGTTCAGTGGGTCTGGAGGTAGTTAGTCTTCACACTTCAAGGTTGTAGCACCAAAGAAGTCGTGCTCACCATTGTGATCATTGGTTGAAGTAGGAATCAGGATGATCAGATTTGAGTTGACGTATCCAAGATTGTTCTTCTCTTTCACATCCGCCGGTTCGCGGACAACTGTCGTTCGAGCCATTGCCGTATGCTGCCTGCAGATCAAAACCTACCATTATGTACAAGGTTGCTTCGGTGGTTGAAGCCACAATGGGTTGAAGAACTGACGGGGTGGTGGTCTCGACCACTTTGCACCTGTTCCCACGAGGGCTAGCCTCGAATTTAAGGACCGATAATCAGAAAGGGCAACTTATCATTGATCCGACCTCCTCCATCATACGCGTTTCCCTAGATTCCAGCTTTTACAGTGTCATTCTAGAGACCGTAACCCCAGACAAGGTGGGGAACCCCGGAGAGGACGATACCCCAGGTTGTACGAAGCCTGGAGGCCTTCAGTGCTTGCAAGCTGATACCACTGGATGTGAGACAAGACTTTTGGTCCAGATCTTGGTTGATTGTTCATGTATGGGAATCGAGACTGACGTTTAGCTGGTATCGGTGTAAGCAATTAGTGTGAGCGCGAATCTGGAATAGGCTATGTGACTGGAAACGGATCTTGTTCAATCGTCCCTAATGGTACAAAGTGATATCGATGACTTTCACAAGTTGCTGAGCCCCCTTGATAATTATAACGATAGTGAGATATAGCTTTTTGGCCCGGAGAACAACTTCGTGGGTAGGTGACATCATGGTTTCTAGACGAAAGGGTCAGCAACTTGTGAAAGTCACTATATATTAAAGAGGCGATCCAAGCTCCAAGCCCAAATAAGATGCTTAAATTGCAAAGTGCAGAGGTCAAACCACAGAGATTAGTGATGATGGGTAGAGAAATGCAGCAAGTCATGTCGAACACAATTGATCTAGAACAATCAACACTGCATCGCGTACGTTGCTGGCAACCTCCAGGCTGACTCAACATTGCACACACACAGGAGAAGCCCCATCGTTGCGAAAAATGCAAGAAATAGTTTAGTAGAATTTACGAAACGCTCCTGATCCAATGATGTTATTCCCGCTTATCGACAGATCAGCGACTTGCTCAGAAGGCATGGCCTCTTACATACGGCCGCGGCCATTGAGATGTCAGGCAAGCGCCGCCATACCGGCAACGGCTCATCAACACCTCTGCGTATTTCCAAAGATTGCAAGGCATGTGCTGAGCACCATCTCAAATGTGAAGATGAGAAGCCTTGTAGGCGTTGTTTGAGAAGGAACGTTGCATGCATCTCTCTTGCGAGGCCTTTTGCAGATGCTCCCACCACGATACAGCTCCTTACGCATTTGAAGCGACTAGCACTCCCTTCCGAAGCAATCAAGATTTCCAGTCGATTCGAAACATCATCCCCACATGCCCCGAGGAGCTGTGTATATATGGCCCAAACGATGATACTTTGGACTGGCTTACACAGATTTCCAAATACCAATCACTGTACCCGTATCTCAAAAATTTGAGACTGGATGTTCGCAACTGGCTTGATGGCAAATACAGTATTGATCTGCCTGTGAAGTGCATGCTTCGTCACAGTACATTCCTGGTCAGTCTTGTCACGGCGATTGAGGGAACGGGCATCAAGCTTGTTTTGATCTATAATCTGGATCATGACTTCGGGACAACTAGATAACCTGCGGTGAAGTTCATCCGAAGGGACTGAATTGAGGTCTATAGGCAACATGAATCTGAATGCCGCAAGAGGATATTGGAAACAACGATAGGAATAGATAGAACAAGACAAGACCCGGGGATAGTCGATACGATAGAGCAAGCAACTGATGGAGATAATGTTCGATGAGTCTGAGTCTTTTTAGAGATATAGTCTTCGTGGTATCTTTTTACACATTGCCGGTATTCAAATTATCTTCGGCGGTCAATGAAACTGCCCTTCTTTACATCCTCTCGACCGGGCTGAGACCAAGAACCCTCATACCGTTGTTCAGCACCTGCCTAGCCGCAACATACAACGCCAACCTGGGAACGTTGACCTTCTGGTCGCTGCTGACAACCTGGAGGTGGTCGTAACTCGCGCTGACAGCGTGCGACATCTTGAACAGGTATGTCAGAACTGTAGTAGGCTCTTGTGTCTTGAATGTGTTGAGGAACGTGTCCGGCCATGAGGCGAGTTGGCGGATGAGGTCAACAGCGTGTGGCTCCTGCAGCTCGCTTAGATGGACAGTAGCAAAGTCCAGCTTCTCCAGCGAGGGGTCGGCAGTAACAGCTTTCCTGTAGATCGAGCAAAGACGAGCGTGGGCGTACTGCAAGTACGGCCCCGTATCACCCTCGAACGATGTCATGCGGTCCATGTCGAAATTGTAGTTGTTGATCCTCTTGCCCTTCATGTCCTGGACCATGACAGCGCTGATACCGAGGGTATCAGATGTCTTCTCAGGGTCCTCAACCTGCTCATACTTGGCCTGGTTGCCGCGCATGACTTCGTGCATCTTCTCGCCGACATCACGGAGGATATCATCGAGGAACTTGGCTGTGCCCTTTCGTGTCGACATACCGAGAACCATGCCGAAGTTGATGTGCTGGGAGATGGAGGATATGTCTTTCCAGCCCATAAGCTCTTCGATCTTGAAGAGTTGGGCGAGGTGGAGATCTTGTTGCGAGGCGATGACGTACATCAGCTTGCTGTAAAGAAATTAGCAACGGGTTCATGAAATGTTTTCCGGCAACATACTCAGGGTGGTAGGTCTGCATACGCTCGTACGCAGCACCAACATCACGGGTGAGGTATAGTGATGTACCGTCCTTCTTCTTAACGACAGCCTTTCCAAGCTTCTTCGAGTGCTTGGTGAGATCGACAATGACGGCGCCCTCAGAGTCCTCGCAAACCTTCTTCTCCCACATGACCTTGATACCAAGGTCCATGCTCTCGTCCTTGATTTGCGACTCTCCACTGTAAACATCGTAATGGATGTTCAGGCGAGCATATGTCTGCTTGTACTTCTCGATGGACAAGTCCTACGCTTGTTAGCTGCTGGTCGTATAGCCATGCTTCACATGTGTACTCACCCTGAAGCGCTTCCAGATACCAATGGCCTTGGGCTCGCCGTCGACCATACCCTTGAAGTACTTCCTAGCCTGCTCATCAATACCCTCGGTCTCGATCTTTGTAATCTCCGCCTCCTTCTCTGATGTGTCCTTGCCCTCTTCCTTGTCCTTGGCGACCTCGGCCTTCAGTACCTTGATCTTGTCCGCCTCCTCTTTCTGGATGCTGCTGACCTTCACGTAGATGTCGTAAAGGTGGCCAATGGGGTTCTTAACAAGCTCCTCCTCAGAGCCAAAGTAGTCGAATCCAATGGCCAAGACACCGTACTGCTTGCCCCAGTCACCGAGGTAGTTCAGACGGACGACCTCCCAGCCCATACCCTCGTACAAGTTTGACAGGAAACCACCGATGATTGTAGAGCGCAAGTGACCGGCGTGGAAGGGCTTGGCGATGTTGGGCGAACTGAAGTCGATGACCATCTTCTTCTTCAAGCCATTCTCCTTCAGCCCAAAGCTCTTGTTGAAACCATAGCTCTGGCCAGCCTTGAAGATCAAGGGGAGAACAATGGATGTGAGCGACTCTGGCTTGAAGAAGAAGCCGACAAAGGTGCCGGTGACGACAGGCTTCTTAACGAGCGGGCTCTCAGGGAACTTGTCTGCCAGCTCCTGCGCATATGCCTTTAGGTCCTTGCCCTTGAGCCTCAGTGCAGGGACAGCAAGCTGAAGGTCGCCGTTCTCAGGCTTCGCTGTCCATGCCAATGTGGGGTAGATGATCTTCTTGTCGACGCCAGAAACTTCTGCCAGCAGTTCGGTGATGTGGCTGCGGTAGATGTCGAAGGGATTGAGGTCGGGGTATGTGTTTGGCTCCTGGGGAACCGAGTCCAGGCCAAAGCTCTTGAGGGTCTTGGTGAGCTCCTCCATGCTGAATGCTGAGCGCGTCGACGCGTCGAGATTGACAAAAGGCTCGAAGGGTCGAGTGTCGACTTGAGAGTAGTAGCGGCGGGCTGTGCCGGCGTTGAGCAGTTTGCGACTTTTATATGCGCATAGGTTGAGGTGAATGTGCGGTAGCGGCTGTGTGCGCACTATAAAACGTGGGGAAGCTGTGAATGTGGTGGAGGATGTGACTGTCCGGTGATGAGTCAAAGAAAAGAAAGCGCAATGAGTCGCCCGCAGCCTACTGAAAGGTTGGGAGAAAGAACTGAAAAGATTGAGAGGGGCGCGAGTAAGGGCACGCATGCAGAGCAGAAAACCACTGTGGGGTCAATAGCTATGCGTCAGTAGAGATATGCAGCAAACGCGCTAACCAGAAAAAACTTGGAGGGGTAGTGCGGCGCCAAGGCGAGGCTGGCACAGGCTGAACTTTGGATGAAGAGACGACAGCCCACATCCTCAACAGCTTCATCATCGCCATCGTGTCTACCAGGATCACTGCATGCTTCATTACGTAAACCCTTGATGAACTGTCTCACCTGCAACATCGTAGCATTGTTGAGATCAACAGTCTTCCGTAAAAGCAATATCGACTCCCCCTGCAATTCATCAAAGGTATCACATCCACATCGTGGAGCGCCCATGCTTGACAAGGTATCTTGATTTCTCTTCTAGATGTTTCATCTACGCGCCTGACAGTCGCCGATTCGTGCTTGTGCATTGCCTCCTGCAGCCACCCCGGAGCGTTGGGCCCGCCGTATCTGATCAATCAAGTCTCGTACGATGAACTGGGGCTGTTCTCGGATCGACACGAAAAAGCAGACACCGGTCGTTGTGCTTCTCGCTGTAAGCTTAGCTTCGGCAGATTCTCGGAATGAGCTTGAAGAGAAATGCTCGTTATGAGTTGACCTACGCCAATCTGTCTCCATTGTCGCTGCATGTACTTGCCCACTCTAGGAACCTCCCGCTTGCATCGGCGTTGAAGGCCTCCTCAGGGCAGGGACCCATTGTGTAGAGGTCAGTGTATCACAGTCGGCTTTTGTTCATTGCAACGCAAGTGGTAGCATCCTGGAACGGTGGCCTGAATGTTATTATTCCAGTCTTTGGTAGTTATCATTCCTGGCTTCCTAATTGTTGATGTGCGGGTGGTGGTCCAGCATGCGATATATTCAGGAGTAAGAGTCGCCCAGCTTGAACGGAGGAGGTGTCTATTAGCACCGAGTGGGGGTCTGTAGTCGTGCTGCTTCTGTGTCCGCGGGATCAGGTATTCTAGAGTAGGTTTCAGTTCAGTAACTGGTCGAATGGTTGTTGTCGGCTTTTACCGATCAAGAGGGCGCGGAGAGTGTGACGGATGATCAAGGCTCAAAGCGAAGCGTGGACGCTTCGTATCAGCGGTGAAATATTGACATGGCTCATAAGAGCCTTCGTATCGTTGTACGAAAGAGTTGTAGGGAGGTGCGTGTTGTCTTAGCTTGGCCCGTGGTGTGCAGGGACAGTGTACTTATATGTGCAGATTGCTGACGCTCCTGAGTTGGCATTAGCAGTAGCGGGAGCAGTAGCAGTTAGTGGGAGCAGTATCAGATAGTAGGAGCAGTAGTAATGGTGGTAGTAGCTGGCTGCGACTGTATTAGTATCTTGGCTTCAGAGCTCGTCAATGCATCAGCCTGCCTGGTTTCGAATGTTCATCTCGACTGCCTGCTGTTTTGGGTAACCTTCCATTATGCTTAATGACACTTGTGGCTGTTTTGTTACCATTGACCATAGTCACGAGGCGCTATGCATTGACGAAGGCAACTGCGCATCGCTCAGTGCTTTCATGGATCTTCTTTCATGCGGAAGGATCAAAATGAGTGTCGCCCGCGTACTCGATGAGTTGTGTCACAATGGCGTGTGAGCGAAGTCAGAGCAGAGAAGATCTGCAGCCTATCCAAATTGCAGCCTCACAGAGACTGTTCCTGTATGACAGTTTGTCAGTGCACCCAAGCAAAGCTCGGTGAATCCGAGTCGAGAGGGGACACAGGAGGCGCAGTAGAATTAGTGAACGGGGCGAGACAGCGCAGTGTCACGCAGTTGGCAATACAGAGAGTTGCGGCTCTTCGGGTCAATGTTTCCGCGAAACATGGTGAGGCTGCGAGGTGTACTCGAGCTAAGGCGAACTATCGGCGATGGTCTCTTTCGCTAATCGTGGATCGCTGGTATCCCTTGATCTGCAACTCTTTTGAGCACATGCGGGCCGATTGCATTACAGAATGATATCAGCTGCGCGCTTAGAAGGTGTACGTGCGTGCGTATCTTTGTGGTGAGAATTGCATGCTTCACGACTGAAACTTCGAGGTACTTACCCGCGTGGTGTTGAAGGCGTCCCCGTTGTATTGGAAGCCGTCGCGTGCGTTGCCGAACAGCGGTTTGTGCAGCGTTGTGCAACGCGTACTCCTTGATGCTTTGAGACATATTCGCATTCAACAGCCCGAGGCTGTGTTTATTGTGACAAGGCGGCGTTCCCAAGACCATGGGTTCACCCAAGCTGAAATGCCAAACGTAGAAGGCACGCAGATCAAACCTGTACTCTTGTACTGAGACACGCGCTTTCGCGGAGTTGCTGTGAAGGATTGGTCGAAAGCAAAAAGCCCAAGATGCGCATCAATAATTGGTGCTCGGCGTCCTGTCGCTTCGGTTATTGCAGCATCCTTGCGTGGGGCTCTACTAGGAAGGTCGCAATGTTCTAGTCCGGCTTCGCATTTATGAGTATCGAAATCTCGATCATGGGACTCGAGATTGTGGGGTAGCTAGACGAACGATGGCCATTGTTCGCATTACATCTGAGCATGTCGATGAGCAGCTCATCATCGACAAGAAAGCGATGAAACATCTAGAACGTGGAGCGGTCGGATTGATGCGAAGGAGCTGCAGACGACTGAAATAAGAAGTTCAAAGTGGGACACGAGCAGGACGTCGGCGAGGTCGCTGACGCACGACAGTGAGAAAAAGCAATGCTCGTGATGACAAACCCCTGTCGTTGTGGAGACCTACTGCAGTCATCCAGCCGTTCGGTACCGGCTGTGCGCTCCGCTTCCGCAGAAGCACATGTGCGTCCACAGGTCCAGGGATATGAGATCTTGCATCCCCCGGTAAGATCGTGTGTATCCACATAGCTCCTCTTAAGTAACGCTCTTGATAGAACCGCTGCACGCGCGGGAAAGCTCGCCGAACGTTGATGTGTGTACCATAGCGGCCGAAGGTTGAGAAATCGTTGACGTATACGACCGAGACAGTAAAGAACTCAGAGGGCCGAGGTCAGGCGGCGTGCGACTGAAGCTTGTTGGGAAACGCCTTCTTGTGTACATCCTGATGAGTGCGTGTAACAACGCTCGTGTCGACAGGACCGACTTCATAGACATTCGATGCTGCCAGTGACCCTTCGATCAAACAACGTTCTTGCTGGGTAACTTGGCGACGTTTGCATTGTCATCCGTCAGAATGATACGTATCTGCATGCAGCCGTTCAGTGAACTAGGGTCGGCACATAAAAAGCGTAGGATCGCATAGATGAGATCGCGGAGTTGTTCGGCGATGGTGGCTCATCGCTGCCAGATGAAAAGCACCAGGGTCGACTAGGTCGACAGGCACGGGAAATATTTAGGATCAGGGATCGTGGCTCTCCACGAGGCGGCAGAGAAGGTTGTACCTAGGTGCTTTTGATGTAGCCGTTTTGCTTTTGGAACCAATTAGATGTCGACCCGGTAGAAGCTGCATACGTTGTACAGGATCCCCTGGAATTACGAGAGCCTGGCACTCGGTGTTGGCGGCAGACCTGGTGAACGTGATACCATGACGATGCTTTGGGACCCACCAGATATGTGGTCGCTGCTCAGATCGGCAATCGCGCAGTCACACTGCAAGATGATCGGGCGGCTGTGCTAAGAGAAATCGAAGCCAGGGCCACCTCACTCCGTGAGGCGGCGTCGAAATGCGGCAAGGCTTCACCGACGCTTGGGAGGAACAGGGACAGCCAGGGCGGCGGCCCGCCATCTGATTCACCTAGGATGCTGGTCTGAACAGAAGCATGCGGAGGATCTGTCAGAATGAGGAGAATGATGCTGAAGCCAATAGCGGAAGGCGGCACGCCCTAGAAACAGCTGCAACCCATGCCAGGACAGGCAAGAGCACTTCCCATGCCTGCAATTTGAGCAGAGTGTATAAGACGAGCTACTTACCAGCTCCATTATGACCATTCATCTGCATGAAGCATTGCGCCGCCAAAGATTGAAAAGCATTGGCTCCCCACACATCAACGACTGAGACACCATCTATCCTCCACCACTCGTGGTTCACAGCATTCGAAGAGACCTTGGTCCACTCATGTGCATAGTATAACATCAGGCCTCTTAGAGCACATCGTCCAGAAGGTACGTCGGAGTTGTTCGGTATCTGTCCAGTAACCATCAACATGGTGATTTCTTGCATCGTCGTCGATGTACCAACATGTTTTCGAGTCGGCGGAGAGCGGAAGCTTCGAGCACGAGCATGTTGTCGAGGGAAAGCATAGCTAATATGCTGATAGGAAAACAGACGTCACTCTACCAACCAGTACCGCACCAACAAGTGGAGCCGAAGAAGCGCCTCGTTTGCAGCCTATCATCGTCGCGATCGAGCTTCCACGATACTCTTCCTTTCACATCAACAGCCGTTGCTGTTGTTGCTGTAGGATTTCCGAGGGCTGCAGCATCTGCAGGATCTGGTGCGACCATCGGAAGGTGAACGCGAATCCGAACCCGAGCTGAAAAAAGAAATCCCCAGTGCATTGGTGAAACGCACAACGCAAGTGGGGTGTGACGACAGAAGGTGAGCAAATCAATCTCACTTCGGAACCCGTTCCTGCTTCTCGATCTGCATCCCTATCATTCCTGTCACCCACATGGCTCGCTGGGGTCATCTGCACGCGTATTACCCATCATCAAACTGCTTGTTTGGCACACTTTGGGTATGGATATTGCCCAAATGTATTTTCTTTCGCTCGTTTTCTTTGTCGTCCTCATGGTCAATGTATTGTTCGGCAGGTACCATGAGGTCCCGCGTCATCGAGCCCAAATTACGCCGGCAACAACCCTGGCCGTTCCTTGTCGTCATGTGGGCCAGGCAAGAGCATTGAAGGCACCACCTCCAACCTCACTTCTCCGATGGTTTGGAGCGCAACACAAGATCATTAGCATGGAGATCGAAACAAGCTCGCGTACCTTGTTGTCGCATGCGTTCTCTCCATCAACAATGACGTGCACCGAGAGGGCTCAGCAAGCATATGACTCACGGGTGGTGATTCATTTCTAGCTTTTGTGCCTTCAGCTTCTTGCCCATTTTGTCGCATAGAGGCGTTGAAACATTTCGGCAGTCGCCGGTACCAACTTCCTTTCTGTTCCTTTGTTTTCTTCCATTGCTCTAACTTTCCAGCGGGTGCTCATTCTGTTAAAACTCACGATCACTCAATAGGCATCTGCTAATCTATGTCAGACTTTTCCGTTGGTAGATGCAAAAGGGCCAAGGACGAGGACGACGACGATATTCACTATCCAGCTGGAGCACATCGAGCAGACGAACCAGGTCCAATCCACCCTCCACATCTCAAGAACAGTCCAACTCACACACGACTTCTTTGCAACCAAGACGAGCTCCCTCTATACTTCGACGATCTGCTCGTATAGCTGAGTCACTCCAAACAACCACCAACACTCCTCAGCAGTCATCCACCTCGACCGAACCAATGGCTGATGTTGCAAGACACCCAGCGCTGGGTAGCCGATCAGTACAGTCAAGACATCACAGCAGCGCTACTCGCACATCAGGACGGTCAAGGTCTGGCCACTACTCAAATAACATCCAGTACGCCATGGACTTCATAGTGCAGCCTCCCCGAACAGCACGTGTTGGCCACACAATACCTGGAACGATCATTGTACGCTTACGAACCACCAACACCGACCCTGACTACGCTGTTGCCGACTCTTCCAATCTCATGGCAGTTGCTGCACTTATTCCTGGTCCGAATTCCACTGCATCATCAGATCCTAATGTTCTGCACACACTGTTGGCCGGCCAACGCATAGACACAATACATCCCTTTGCCGACGATGAGGCGGATGGTTCCATTGCTTCCATGGACATGGCTGGCTCTCAAGGTGTCGGCTACATGAGCTTTCCAGACCTTGCTGTCCGTCAAGCAGGTACCTACCGGATACGCATCACCCTCTTGCGCACTGGAGCAGCAGTACAGGCTGTTGACAGCAACCCTATCGTTGTCCAAAATAATGGACCTGCCACAGGCTATGCGTCGTACAATGGTAAATACGCCGTAGCCTCATACTGATTTGGTGCAACATGAAATATCTTGTACCATGACTCAACGACGTTGCATAAGATGGGTGCTGCCACGATCTTCGGATCTGATTCGAGTGGTGGTCTGTATGATGTGTGTTCTATATCGAGCTTTGCTGCACATATTAGAGGGAGGAAGATGGTGTAAGGTGTTTTGGCTTAGATCCTGTTTAAGGTCTGCTATGGTGTTTAGTGGTAATTGATGTCAGCAGGCTGCATGGAGAGGCGCTTATGGCGCAACGGATACATGGGCATGGGTCTGCATTTATATGCCAGGAGGCATTATAGTATTCTTACGGCAAGTAACACGGTATCCATTATCAAGCAATACGAAGACAAGTTCATTCTGCTAAGAAAATCGGTATTGGATAACAGCCTATTAACGATGTTGGAATTCAGTGAACTGTACGCAAAGGGAAGAAGTTGAAGATTGTACTGCAATTGTATTGTATGAAGCTACGAACAGTATATGTAGGTGAGTGGCTGTAAACAACGCTAGTGAGAAAGGGCAGCCACCTCCCACCATGAAGTGAGGTGCGACAGGGCGTTAGTGCAGGAGAGACCCCAACCCGTGACAAACAATCATACCATAGTTTGGTGACGTCATGTTGGGCTGCGAAGTCTTTCAATGATAGTGACATGTTCACAATCAGGTTTCGTGAGATAGACTACATGTTGATCTTTATTGTATGTGTGGCAAATAAGAAGGGTTTTCTGTGTTTCTTTCATTTTTGGGGGACCAGACTTGATATTTCATAGTACAAAACCATAGGTATCAATTACAAAAAATATGTACAGGTTTTCGGCTATTTCCAGAGCATCACTTGGACATCAGTGTGTGAGGCTAAACATCGCTCGCCATGTCACTACATGCTTAGTAGGATGTTGAGTGGGCGATGACTAACGAAGCTCTCAGTTGCATTCCTTGTTCACTTGTTCACGTGCCAGGGCGCTTTAAGGACACAATTTCATGCTGCAAAAGAAGTCAGACCCAACGAGGGCCATAACGCGCTTCTTATCAGATACTCAAAAGATTTTTAGCAGTTTCTAGGGGGTCATTATATGCAAGCAATGTTCACTGTAGTCTTCCATGTGTTTGTCGATTCTTAGATCTAACTAACCTGCATTAACTGGCCTCGAAACTCAAAAGAGATTGTAAGTTCATGTCCAAATTCTTCTACGATATATAAGGGACAGTGCAAGATGTAATATTTACGTCCAGTTCTTCTGAGTTGTTGCGTCAGGGATGCACCAAAACTTCAAAACGCATTTCTCACCTCTTGGCTTATGCCTCCAACCACTACGAAAATACACGTGAGTTAGATCCATTTCTTTGAGGTTCAGTAATCGCAGAGTTGAATGACAGTTCGTCACAGCTTCGATCGGCGATGAATTCACACCACGTGTAAGCAGTGGACCATGTCTTGGTGCATTTTTGTTTACATTGCGAAAGATGCTGGAAAATTTGCCCTTAGCGAGAACCCAGGCATCTAGATCTCAGCCACAGGATGGAAAACCCTTGAAGACCTCTTTACAAACTGTGGCTCGGCCGGGTAAGCCAGCTTTCGCCGAGGGCAGAGCCCTGGGCGTACAGCCATTCAGGTACACTGACAGTACTACGGTTCGGCAAGGAAGCAGCTGCTGAAGGGTCTGTATAGTCTAACAAGGCCAAGCGAAGCTGAGCCCTGTATTTGCAATGTTGGCACCACCTGCCACAGGAGGGAAGGACTGAACCAAAGAATCGTAAGGCTGAAGAAAAGAAAAGACGTTGCAAGGTGCCTGGGCGTAAGGGACCCTGCTGGGACATTTCTTTGTTCTGTCGCGTGGAAGCATACGGAGTGGCACAGCGCTGCTTTTATATTGCAAGTTAGGGTCTTGAACCGAACAACACAGTGGGCGACGGGAATACTAAGAGGAAGGAGACAGCCGAAACTACCCAACAGATGGGGTTTTCACGTTTCTTGGAGATCAAAGACTCAGAATCTTGGAGGTAGCCATAATGCCAAGCACGTGCATCAGCTTGCTTGAACTGGCAAATCGAGTGATAGCATCGGTCTCGGTCTCTTTCCATGCCTGATGTTCATTTTCGTTCAGAGCGCAGGTTTGCAAAGAGTACTCCGGGAGGTGCTCAAATCGATAAGCTGTGCAGCAGATGAGTGTATTCGATCATACGATCCGTACGAAGGCATCAGGCCCGCGGCGTGGCTTCGGAGGCGCTAACGCGGTCTGAAACTGCACTTTGTCGGCTTTTCACCGGCCGGCCCGGCAAGACATTGTCGATAGCTCCTTTACTAGCCAAGAGAGTTGTGTGAAGATGGCCGGCAGCCCTCGACAACGTTAGAGGATGACTTGCATGGACAACGGTGGGCGGACGATAGGCGGATGTTAAGTCCGGCAGAAGTTTCTCACAGACGCCCGCAACGCAGAGGGCTGCGTGGGCTGCTCGATAGCTTTTAGTTGTGGCTTTAGACTATTGAACTCCTGCGAGAGGCATTGAGGCTGGGGTACATCGCTCGTAAGTTCTCCTGTTATTAGAGAACTCATCGTAGGTATAGCTCAGTTCCGGTGACATTAGTTTCTATCATGCAACATGCTGGGCGAGCAGTTCACCAAACTTTGAGGCTACTGGAGCTCTGGACGGCTAAAGTCAGGGGGACGATCATGTTCGGGAGTGCGACGGGCGCTAGGTGAAGATCGGTGGTTCCTGTTTGGAACGCTAAGCTTGATTTTATCGTGTATGGCCCACATTTTCTTAGGTAAGCACCTGCCAACTTCGAAAGACGATTCAGGCCAGCCTCCCTTGTTGGGTACACTGACTGCAACAACCGCCAAAGTGGACACGCCGGGACTGTTGTTGACAACCAGTGTGTCTAGTCCCTGGACTAGGAGCAGTAACACACAATGGCTGCATCATAGATCAGAGATTCAGAGGCTCTGCTCCGTATCGCCAGCCTCGCCGAAGATTTCGGCGTTTGGACTTGTGCAGCGAGGGAACGGTCCCAGAGAAGTCAAGCTGAAGGACTTTCGGGCCGCGATACAGCTGGTGCTAATGTTCTGCAGAGCAACTGCTTCGTCTACGGTTTCTTGACTGATCCAGGTCGCGTGCTGCTGTGCGTACGCGCTCATGCACATAGTCCCATGGATGACAACATCAATGCATGCAAGATGCAGGTACTATTGTCAACTGCTAAACCCGGTTCAGGGGTCACACGTGCTAGAATAACATCACTCGTGCCTGGTACCACGACCAACAAAACGTGAATATGCGGACCTTAACGTTGACGGAAAGATGTTCGGTTAACAGGTCCCGCAGGGGCAACAGCTGCCCCACGAACTACCTTTGGGTCCCTTAGACTGGCCCTGCCGCCTCGCACGGCGACTGTTCCAGCGTTCCAAATCAACGACTTTAACACGAGTTAACCAGGAAATCAGTCACAGCTTTGCAAGCATCGTATCGCCGGACAAGCCTTATGAGCTGACTCGGCTCCTCGGCGCCACAGTAACCCCCAGGCTCTGGTTGAGAGCTGCTCCCAAGATGTTTCTTGCATCCAAATCTTCGCCGTTTAGGCTGACGGTATATTCCATTTGGACCACGGATACATGATCAAGGGTCCCGAAATACATCCAAAAGACTTCGTACAACTGCAACGGAGGAACATCCGAACCAACGTTGAGATCGAAACGGAAAAACAATCTTTCTGAACCTGCGCAAGATGTGGACTCTATACCATCAGTATGACGCAGATGCACAGGATGACATGTTGTATGCCCCAAAAATAAGGCCTCAGCGTTTCAAGTGCAGATGCGTCTCTCGAAGAGATCACCCCTGGTGCAGAAGGTTTACTTTGCGAGCAAAGGCTGCCAAAGAAACTATTGATTTAGTAAACAGCGGATTTGGCACTGCTCAGTTAGCGCAATCGTGAAACACCAAAAAGATTGGTTAAAAATATCCCAAGCTTTCGCTTGTTGATTCAGCCTTACGACTAACCCGATCGTTCACAAAACTAATCATTCGCTTAAGTCTTAATGGCGTCTTGACGGCACATTATTGGCGGCGAGGCCATGTACCTGCATAAGCCCTGCACGTTGAAAGCTGTCTGACCGAAAGCTTGCCTGATTTGGCCTGTCAGAGATGCACACTATTGTACTCGACTACAGCGGGTGTCCACCGGCCATGGTGCAGGTCCAGCGTACCGGCGATTTTTAGGTCTCCGCAATGGCAACGAAATGGAATCATTCAGTAAGTCCGAGGCACCTCTGGACTTAGGCTCCAAGTATATAAAGATGAGGGTTCACCAGACAAGTAGATCATCATCATCGGTCTCTACACCACAGTCTCTCACTTCCTTCAGCTTCGTCCTTCTTTACAAAGGTTTATACCTTAATCGTTCATTATGCGTTACGCAATCGTCCTCGGGGCTGCTGCCCTCGTCGCCGCCAGCCCGGCTCCTCAGGCTTTCGACCTTAACGGTCTTGATGCCCTTGCTACCCTCACCCAGGGTCCTCCCGTTGGTGTTGGCCCTGCTCAAGAGACTGCCTACGTCCAGGGATCCGCTCGGGCTCAGGCTGCTGCTGCCGCCACAGGTGCTGCCACCGCCCAGGCCGCCAAGAGGAGCCTCAATGAGAGGTCTCTTGAAGCGCGCACATTCTGGTCCTGGTGGGGTCCTAAGCAGAACAACTATGCCCCTGCTTCCCAGCCCAGCGTAACTTCCACAACCTCGACTTCTACCGTCGCCCCTACCACCACTTCTGCCGCCGTTGGCACTCAGACCACAAAGGCTCCCTCGACCACTGACGGTGTCGTTCCTTCTTCCTGCACTCCCGTCGACTGGGTCAACACCTACGCTTTCACTTCTGACCCTGCTTGCCCTACCTCCATCGAGGTTGGCACTTACTGCGGCTTCATAAACCCTGACGACCCATGTGCTCCTCAGCCCGCCGGAAAGGGCACTCCTCCCAAGGACGACACCGTCGACGGTTTCTACAACAACGCTGAATACAAGCAGCTCGCTGTCTCAGCCAAAACTCCTACTGGTTACCAGCAGGCTTTCGTCAACCTCCAGGGCGCCGCCACTGGTAACGGTTACATTTCCTACAAGACTCTTGACAGCTACGATGTCGCTAGCTGCTCCCAGTTCTGTGACGACACCGATACCTGCACTGGCTTCAACGTTTATATCGAGCGTGACCCTAAGTGGAATCCCCACCAGTGCTCTTGCACCAACCCTCCTTCCATTATCAACTACAAGTGCTCCATCTGGGGACAGAATGTCAGCAAGGACACCGCTACCAACACTGGCGAGGGCCGTGACGACTTCACGGTTGTCATCACTGGATCTAATGGTTACAACAAGGGCACCTACACTCCTCCCACTCCTCCTTCCTGCAGCAAGCCCCAGAGCTGCGACAACAAGATCCACGACCAGCCCCGTTACTGCATGGGCCAGAAGACTTTCCCCGGTCCTTTCGATCCTTCTCTCTGTGCTGCCTACGCCCAGAAGCAGAACGAGGTCAACCGCGCTAAGGGCTTAATCGGTGCTTTCCTCTCCATGTTCGGCATGAACAAGGGTGGCTGCGTCCAGTTCCAGGCTGCTTACCTCGAGAAGGCTGGCAAGGGTTTCGGTACCCATTGCCGTCTCTTCACCAAGAAGTTCACTCCTCAGCAGGCCACCTTTGACATCTCCATTGGTGGTACCTCTGGCTGGGGTTGCCAGAAGTCCTACACCTGGGACGTTGATGTCAACGCCAGCTTCAACTGGGGCCTTAGCTGGAAGAACTAAGCGTTTCGAGTAGACATACAACGCTTCAAGATGAGTTATAGCATATGCCCGCATTTGTTTGACGCTTGGGGTTTTGATTGAAAGTTTGAGTGGTGGTTGACGCAGGGATGGATTCCTTCTCTTATCATGTGTACATATTCATGACCCTTTGAGCTTATTAGCTCATCTGTCACGACGACATTGTTAGAACTGCAAAGGTAGCAACTGCAAGTTTAATGTATTAGTTTTGTTGAATACCTCCTTACCTCTGCATCCTTGGTGACTTATCATTGTTTCCTGCCTTGCTTTGCTCAGTAATCAATTCCTTTGATTCTTCCAGCGCAACATGGCAACGCACCATCTTGTCCACCAAAGATATCGACAGTTTGAGAACACCACTTTTCTGAAGACACAATGAACTAAGAGTTGATTTTTTCCTGATTTACAATCCCTCGCGAGATTCATTGGGTGAAAGCCTGGACGATGCGCAGTATGCTGATGGATCGTTCTGACTGACCATAGGCTGAAAGGACGCCCAGGCATCCAACTGCGAATGGAGGGCCCAAGACACTCGTTTGGGAAGGAGGGCGGGCCTTGCGACAAGCCGGACCCACAGCGCGTGATCATCGCGTGTGAACGACTGGGGTAGCGAGCGAACAACTTCGTTCAAAGGGCCAAACATCCAATCTTTGCTCATCTGCGAGGTTAGAAGAAGTGATTATCGTTATGATGAGAGCTTTGCAGCTCGATCCTGGGAGAAGCTCAAAGACCCTGGGGTGAGCGCCCTTGTAGTTCGCTGGCGGAGAGCAGCCGAAGCCTGTGAAGCGTGGGGTAGATGTGCGGGGAAGCCTGGCTAAGCGGGAAAATAGGACGCGAAGCAGGCGCGTACATGTCAAATGGCGCCCAAAGGTACAATCCTTATGTACCTATGTTTCGCAAACCGTGGCACTTGGGTGCTTCTCACATCGCACCTACTCTCCAGCTAACCGTGTGCTGTGCCGACTGCCTGCCAGCAGATGCGGGCCCTAGACATCCTTCTTGGTCCCGTTCCTTCCTGAAATAGCATCATGAGCGCGCCTGCCAACTATATCGCGGGCTACCGGTTTGCTGTTCGCACGCGGGGCAGTCACGGTGGCCTCAAGCCGTGTGCCTCGTTCTTCAATCTTCGAGCAACACCAGTCCTGCAGCATGAATTCCATTCCAAACATCTCGAGCAGCCGGCTGCAGGCATCCGAAATTTGGCCCGTCTACGACCATTGTACCTGCAGCAGCGTATCACGAAGGTCCAGAGTCCAGCCGTTGCGCGCTATGCATCCCATGCTGCAGCGGAGCCGCACGATGAGGAGATCCCTACCTCACCGCCGTTCAGCGCTGGACCCTACTCGAACCTGACCATCGGTATCCCTAAGGAGAGCTATCCAGGTGAACGACGAGTCGCCATCACGCCGCAGAATGTCAAGCTTCTGCTCAAGAAGGGCTTCTCACGAGTCCTAGTTGAGCGTGGTGCTGGTGCCGAAGCGCAGTTCACGGATGAGGCGTACGAGCAGGCTGGTGCTAAGACCGTTGACCGCAGAAGCGTCTTCTCCGAGGCTGACATTATGCTGAAAGTCAGGCCTCTCAGCATCGATGGAGAAGATAGCGAAGTCGATGCTATCCGCGAGGGCGCCACAGTCATCTCTTTCCTCTACCCAGTACAAAACAAGCATGTTGTGCACCGGATTGCATCTCGTAAGGCTACTGCATTCGCCATGGATATGGTTCCTCGTATCTCTCGCGCACAGGTGTTCGATGCCTTGAGGTCAGTGGCTTGAGAACCTGCTCCTATAACCGCATATTACTGACGTTGAAAATAGTTCCATGGCCAATATTGCTGGATACAAAGCTGTCCTGGAAGCTTCGAACCACTTTGGTCGTTTCCTTACTGGACAGACAACCGCTGCTGGAAAGGTGAATAGTAACATTACCAGCTACTTGATGTAGTACTGACAAACTGTAGATCCCACCTTGCAAAGTCCTCGTCATCGGTGCCGGTGTAGCAGGTCTGAGTGCCATTGCAACTGTAAGCTTGTCCTCAGAGAGACGTAGACATTGATTGACATCTCCCTAGGCACGACGTATGGGCGCCATTGTCCGTGGTTTCGACACTCGTTCAGCAGCTCGTGAACAGGTTCAGTCTCTTGGTGCTGAGTTCATCGAAGTTGAGATCGAGGAAGATGGTTCTGGAGCTGGTGGTTATGCCAAAGTGATGTCGAAAGAATTCATTGAGGCTGAGATGAAGCTTTTCTACGAACAATGCCGGGAAGTCGACATTGTCATCACCACTGCCTTGATCCCTGGAAAGCCTGCACCGAAGTTAATCACGAAGGCAAGTACTGTATTCGACAGACCCTACACCTGGATCTACTATTCTGACACTAGCAGGCCATGCTTGGAGCTATGAAACCCGGATCTGTAGTTGTGGATCTCGCAGCTGAAGCTGGCGGCAACTGTGAAGCAACAGAACCCGGAAAGCTGGCGAAGTTTGACGGTGTGACTGTTATTGGTAAGTGCGACGAATACACCAGAGAAGCAAGACTGACTGGAGCATAGGTTACACTGATCTTCCGTCTCGTCTGCCCACTCAGTCTTCTACGCTCTACTCCAACAACGTTACCAAGCTTCTGCTCTCGCTGGTTCCCAAGGATAAGAAAGAGAAGTACTACGATGTCGATCTTACTGATGAGGTCACGCGTGGTTCCATTGTCACTTATGATGGAAAGATTCTTCCGCCTGCTCCTCGACCTGCACCCCCGCCAGCGCAAGCAAAACCAGCACCTTCGCCTGCCAATCAAGATGCAAGCATAGTTGCTCTTACTCCGTGGCAAACTCAATCTCGCCAAGTTGCAACTGTGACTGCTGGTATGACTACAGCTCTTGCGCTCGGCAAATACACTTCGTAAGGTTTTGTTCTCTGCAAGGTCGAAATACTGACGAGTTACAGACCCCTTTTCATGTCGAACGCTTTTACATTCGCTTTGGCGAGTTTGATCGGTTACCGCGTCGTCTGGGGTGTTGCTCCTGCTCTGCATTCCCCTCTCATGAGCGTCACCAACGCCATCTCTGGCATGGTCGGCATTGGAGGACTTTTCGTCATGGGAGGGGGCTATCTGCCAGGAACCATTCCCCAGGCCCTTGGCGCACTTTCGGTTCTGCTCGCATCTGTCAACGTTGCAGGAGGCTTCATGATCACCAAGCGCATGCTGGACATGTTCAAGCGCCCAACAGACCCCCCTGAATACCCATGGCTCTACGCAATTCCTGCCGTTCTGTTCGGTGGAGGCTACGTTGCAGCAGTCTCGACAGGAATGGCTGGTCTTGTCCAGGCTGGATATCTTGTCAGCAGCGTCCTTTGCGTAGCTTCGCTCTCTGGTCTGGCTTCTCAAGTTACAGCCCGTCGTGGCAATCTGCTCGGTATACTCGGTGTCATATCTGGTATCTTAGCCTCTTTGGCTGCGGTCGGATTCACAACAGACGTACTCACTCAATTTGCCGGGGTTGCTGCCATTGGTACCATCGCTGGACTTATCATCGGCAGACGAATCACTCCCACTTCACTTCCGCAGACCGTAGCTGCACTACATTCTGTAGTCGGTCTCGCAGCTGTCTTGACTAGTATCGGGAGCGTCCTCGGCCACACTGGTGACATTTCGACCCTGCACTTAGTCAGCGCCTACCTAGGTGTTCTCATCGGTGGCGTGACGTTCACAGGAAGTATCGTCGCTTTCTTGAAGCTGGCGGCGAAGATATCCTCCAAACCTTTGGCCCTTCCTGGACGTCATCTTATCAACAGCACACTGCTGGGTGCCAACGCGGCCACACTAGGAGCCTTCCTAGCATATGCACCTGGAGCACCTCTCATTGGCGCTACCTGTTTGGTCGGCAACGCGGTGCTCAGCTTCATCAAAGGATATACCACAACAGCAGCCATCGGTGGTGCCGACATGCCCGTCGTCATTACGGTTCTGAACGCGTACTCCGGATTCGCACTCGTTGCCGAGGGCTTCATGCTGGACAACTCTTTACTGACCACAGTTGGTGCCCTCATCGGTGTATCGGGTTCCATTCTTTCGTATATCATGTGCGTGGCCATGAATAGGTCTCTCACCAACGTCCTATTTGGTGGCATAGCTGCAACGCCTCAGGCGCAGGCAAAGATTGAGGGTGAGATCACCAAGACTACTTCTGAGGAAACTACAGAAGCATTGGTAAATGCTGAGAATGTTATCATTGTGAGTCGGACTTTCCCCTGAGAACAGAAGAACATACTTACGCAGATTCCAGGTTGTCGGTTACGGAATGGCCGTCGCAAAAGCCCAATACGCCATCTCCGACTTCGTCAAAGCCCTCCGCGCCAAAGGCGTCAACGTCCGCTTCGCCATCCACCCCGTCGCCGGCCGCATGCCAGGCCAATGTAACGTTCTGCTCGCCGAAGCTAGCGTGCCCTACGACATCGTACTCGAGATGGACGAGATTAACGACGACTTCCCTGACACAGACGTAACGCTGGTCATCGGCGCAAACGACACCGTCAATCCGATCGCACTGGAGCCTGGATCCGCCATTGCTGGTATGCCGGTTTTGCACGCGTGGAAGAGTAAGCATGTTGTTATTATGAAGAGGGGTATGGCGAGTGGGTATGCGGATGTGCCGAATCCGATGTTCTATATGGAGAACACGAGGATGTTGTTTGGCGATGCTAATGATAGTTGCAACGGTGAGTTCTCAAGTTCGATTGTACTGAGACGTACACTGACCACTATGCAGCCATCAAACGCGCGCTCGAGGAGAAGATCAAGGGTCTTTGAGAAGAGTGAAGGGTGAAGGGTGAAGGGTGAAGGGTGAAGGGTGAAGGGTTTGTAGCATTGGCTTTATTTTTCCTACCATCACTAGAATGCATAAGCATTTCGGCATTTGTATTCACATGTCTCTTTGACTGTACAGCTTCAAAACATCGTGACCGAATGCTGGTGTTTCCGTTCACGGGCGCCGCCTCGCGTGGCTTCCCCACACCCCTGCCGCGCCATCCGAAACGGCATCGCTGCAGATCGCTCAACGGCCGCTATCCTTGTCCGATGACGTAGCCCGGTATCACCAGCATTCGAAGCTTGGAATCCTGTAATTGACGTATGAACGGTGATTTAGGTTGCGCTGCCCCGGACCGCGACTCGTGTAGACACATCTGACAGCGCGACGTTGGAACCAACAACCATTATACACAACAACTTCGCGACTGTAAGACCGTTGCGCCTCGGTGACCAAGGGATGCTAACTTACATCCGACCCATAGATCACAGCGACAATGTCCTTCCCCATCCTCTTCACGATCCCGCCCTCCAACCGACACGAATTCATCATCCTTGACACCTCCTCCAAGCCATCTCTCAAAGCGCTGAACAAGCAAATCACGACCACACTCGCGTCATCCCCGAACTGCGTCGAGTTCATGGGCAAGTACAAGAGCGCGGAGACAAAGGAGCAGATCCAGGAGTTCAAGATTCACTGGAGCAGCAAGGCTTATGATTTGAAGGTTTGGCCTGAGTACACGGTTGTGACGGATGAGAATTTCGGTGCGATTTTGGAGGTGCTGCAGAAGGATCCGAAAAGTGGGGTGCTGGAGATCAAGGTTGGGAAGGCGGAATAGGATGCTGGGCTGCTCAACAAGGAGAAGTTCTTTGAGGAAGAGAGGAAGTTATGAATTATGAAAGCTATGCCGTTCATCTGTTGTGCTCTCTTATGACACCGAGTGTCATTCCAAACTTGACGACCATGATCCAACGCCAGACCCAATCCCTACAATATACACTAGAATATGCAGCGATGCTGTTGGTAGGTGGTCGAATGCGAAAGTCAAAGAACCATAATGCATGTCGAACCTGTAAGAAGTGGAGGGTATCCGTACTGGTTGGCAAGCCTATGCCGAATATCCAGTTTCAGGACCATAGAACGCCAGAGGAAAAGTGGAATGTAACTGTCCGAAAGCTCCTTAGAGAGCGAAAACGCCGGTGCGCCAGAGATGCAATGTAGTGTCGTGTGTTGTCGCTTACAGTAGATACGCCCTACTTCTCTTTCTGTTCGATGATCATCTTCTGCCAATGCACCAGATCACGGCTCAGATGGTCCATCATCTGCGTTGTACTGAGATCCTTGAATACTGACAACTCGGTGTCCTCGTGCTTCGACTCTGCCTGGTATTGCTCTCCGTTCGTTGGGGGCTGGACAGCGGGTGCTGGGCTCGCCTTCTCACCAGCCATTTCGACCTGGCGCTGAGCTATGTAGCTCTGCATAGCGCCAGCTGGCCGCATGATGTCGTTCCACGACAGCTTGTGTAGGCGCGAGTTTTTCGACTTGGTTGTCTTGTGCCCTGTGGCTCCATCACTACTCTCGTGTCCGTTGCTGTTGCCGTTGGTGCCACTCGGTTGTGGAGAATTCACGACGTCGTTCGCTAGAGATGCGCCGTTCGCAGCGGACAGAGTATCTCGCGAGTACTGATTACGGCCAAGGCGACCACGCGACTTCTGTGGTGGCCGACCGCCTCGTCGTAGAACAGGTACAGGCTTCAAAGTCTCCATCGGTGCCTCGGGTGGCGCGGACGCGGAGATTACAGTAGGTGCAACAGGCTCCTCGGTGGGAGTAGGCGTGGCTTCTAAGGCTTCAGGCTCTGCTTTGTTGTCAGTCAAGTACACATCTGTACTACTGTCTCCGACGTACCATCTGCTTTCCTACGTTCAGCGCGTCCTTTGCGTCTGTTGGCTGCCTCGGTACGTTCCTGTTCACGCTCTTTCTCGCGCTGTTCTTTCTCGCGTTGACTTCTCGCGGCTGCACCACGCGGTTTCTGCTTGGGGGCAGAGGCTTTCGTGCTGTCGTCCTCCGATTCAAGGACAGGGGAATTGCTTGGAGATCGCGAGCCTGTGCGCTGTCGCTTGACTTCTGGTTTGGTTCTGTAGGAAGCTTGTCAGATCATGTCGCTCATGCAGTTTGCATCGTAGCAGACAAGACTCACTCTTCACTATCATCGCGACTTCGCTTCTTGCGAGTGCCGTTTTCTGAGGGAGGTGCGCCCTCGTGCTTGCTCTCTTCCAGCACCTTCCGTAACACTTCATCTTCATCGTATGCAGCCCTGCTGTTCATCGTGGATCGTCGTTTGCCAAGCGAGTCGACGCTAGCTCTCGCGTTGCGGTCGTTGTGGCGGCTCGGTGGAGATACTGTCTCTTTCGAGACGGACGATTTGCGGGCCTTCTTGCCGTGCTGCTGGTCGTAGACAGGGAGGTAACGAGAGTACTTTTGGCTAAAGTAGGGCATGTCAGCATGCTGCTGGCGGCGAGTATTCATGGAAGGCATTCTCGTGATCAGGGAAGTGAACGTACCCCTTGGGACTTGTAGTGACCTTGTGAAGGTCCTTGCGGCATTCCTCACAGAAGTACTCCTCAGGACTGGCGGCTTCGTCCATGATGCCAACGCAGCCGCCGTGTTGCCAGACCTTGCAGATATCGCATTGAATGAACAGACCGCTGAGGTCATCGCCTTCCAATGACTTGGCTGCGTCCGAGGGCGGGCCTGGGTATTCCTGGTAGCCGCACACACATCGTGTCACCTCGTCTTCCTCAACCATCTCGTCATCGAGATCGTCGTCGAGCTTCGCTAGGTCGTCTTCATCGATGTCCTGCTCGCGCGTTCGGCGCCGTGTCAAGGGTCGGTCCATCTGCAAGTCGTGCGACGGTTCTTCTGACTCTTCAGAGGAGAGCGAGTGTGGGGTCGAGGACTTGTGCGGCGATGCCTGCTTGTAGTCGGTTCTCGTTGCACGATCTGTGCGAGCTGATGAGACGGAGGAGGAAACGCTGTGCGCAGTCTGGGCGTTGGACGGAGGCTGGGTGGTGCGAGCCCTCGACGATCGGCGCGGGGACATTGCTCGCAGAGCCGTCGCTATTACTAGAGTTGATATAACGATAGATTAGGAGGGAGACTCGTGTCGACAGCTAGGTTGTGTAAGGTGCGCTGCTCCGGGCGTCTGATCGACGAGGGTGACGGGTGGTGGCAGCGAAGGGTGGGCGTCGATAATGGACTGGTAGCGAGCTGTTAAGCAGCAATTCAATGGCGGAAGTAGAGTAAGAGCGCGATGACTGCTGTACCACTCCCTAGCTCGAGCGTGGTGGAGCAGAGAGGTGACGCTGCCGGTGCGGAGAGCGTGCGGGACAAAAGCTCTGGAGCTCTAAAGAGCGACGGCAAAGTGGGTGAGCAGCTGTGACGAGGTGTTGTGGACTGGAGACAGCATGTTATGGGGTCGAGGTGATGTCTGGTGTGCTGGGCGGGAGCAATGGTGCGGGTGTAGAGGTCCTGGCGGCGGTACTCGAATTCTCCTCCAGGGCCTCCTCACCCGCTACCGCTGAGCGCGTGAATGACATGGCCCGCCCGCCGGGCAACTGGCGCTGTGACCGAGACGGCATAGCGCTAATCGCACTGAACGGCACACGTGACTTTGCAGCTTGGTGTCCCCGGTTCGCGAGATTGGGATCAAGGAGGCTCTCTGAGTGTCGAAATTTGTGAGATAGACGAGAGTAAGGTGTGTTCGTACATTTTGAGCCGTCGGCGACGAGTTCGAGGAGAGAAGGTGAGGGGCACGCTTGCCTGGCAGGTGCGAACAAGTGACAACACAAAGTTGCAAGTCGAAGCCGGGCGGCGGGAGGCGTGCTTGGCCGCCGACTCGGGCCAGATTTTCGTAAGAGGAGTTTCAAGCGGCGGACTGTGAGCGGCGCCTTTCACCGCCGGATTTGAGCGGCCAGCACAGCAGTTCGTGCTCGTGCCCATTACCGACAGATTTCAGAGCGCACAGGTGCATGCCTGTTGTTTGGAAAGAGCGCCCACAGTAAACATGCCCAGCTCCACGCTAACAGAAAGCACGCATCGCGCACTTATTTGTTTCAGTCACTGCATATGGTAGTGATGAATGTGAAGTCGTCCAATCGTTAGTTGAGTGCTAATGGCTACAATTTGGCACAGTGACGTCGCGCAAAACCATCTTTCCTCATCAAGCGTAATAATCTGTCCTTCATGCCTTGGTGGGTGCACCGTTTCTCTCGTGAAACTTCTTCTCCTTTCCGTTTGCTGCCGCCTTCGTCTCGTCCTTTGTCATACGGCTAAAGGAGCCGTTGAACTGCAAGTTCGAGATGCTGTCGTAGCCCTTCTCGCCGGTAGCCTTCTCCAAACGAGTAGCGATGTCGTCCGATACCCCCCTGAAGATGCAAATGACCCTCTTGATGATCTCCTCATATGCGCAGGTCGCCATGTGGCCAGAGATGTTCTTGATGAAGCGCTCCTCAGCACCGTCATCGAACACCTTCTCCCACAGCTTGCGCGGCGCGTTGAAGTCTCCAGGCTTGATCTCAGGCAAGAAGGTAATGGCATCGCCCTGGAAGTTATTGTCCACCTTGTTCAACTCAACGGATCTCTTCTTGAACTGGATGAGCTGGATCGAGGAGAGGTAGTTGGGCCTTGACCCCTGGCTGTGGAAGGCCATCTGTCCGTCATGCTGGAAGTGCCAAAGCGGAATGGCACACGTGGTGCGTTCACCGGCAATTGCTGGTAGTTGGCACCTATGCGGTGACGGTGGGTATCAGGGTACGAGAAGAGATGGGGCTGCAGACAGGATCGGCTGATGGCTCGATACTCGGGACTAAGTGCGCAGGATGGAAGGCGACCTGTTCAACCTCCGCGAAGTAGTTTTTGGGGTTCTCGTTCAGGAAGAACTCTCCGATCTTGCGGAGCTTGAATTGGTCCTGCGGCCAGACGTGTGTCAGGTCGAATACGTTGATCTTCTGGTTCTCCTACAGGTCTTCAGCCTCCTTGGGGGGTCATGATCTGGATCATAACGTCCCACCCGGGGTGATCACCCTTCTCGATGGCCTGGTACAAGTAGTCATTCGTGGAGTAGTCTGGGGAATAGTTGGCAGAGTCCTGCTGGGTGATGAACCCAGTGCTCTGCTTCGACTTGAAGTGAAGCTGCATGTACACCCACTCACCCTTGCTGTTAACCAGCTTGTGTGTGGCCGGTGTAACCATGCATCTTGCGGTACCCATCAGGAATATCGCGGTTGCCGAAGAGGATCATGAACTGATGAACAGATTCAGGGTTCTTTGATGCGTAGTGCCAGAAGTTGGGCGAGTCATCGGCGTGTGTCAGATGGGTCGACGGGTGGCGCTTCTGTGTGTGAATCTAGGCTCTGGTCAGTAAAAGCCCAAGACGTTGATGTATCTGGCTACTTACGAAATGGGAGAACTTGGCAGGACCTATCAGGAAGAAGACAGGCGTGTTGTTGGCAACAACGTCCCAATTACCCTCATCAGTCCTGAACTTGACAGAGAATCCACGGGGATCACGAGCGCAATCGTGCGAGCAGGGCTTCCACCGACAGTCGAGAACCGAACTGTGATGGGGCAAGCCTTACCCTGCTTGAAGATGCCCGCCAAGCAGAGATCTTCCAAAAAGTCTGTGGTGGTGTAGTAACCGTGCGCACCGGCACCCTGCAATGATGTTAGATGAGCTTCATTTGAAAGGAGCTGGGACATACCTTGGCATGAACTACACGCTTAGCAATACGCTCGCGGTCGAAATGCGACAGGAGATCGACGAGGTGGAAGTCCTGGAGCAGGAGTGGCTCGTTCTTGCCATCGGGGACATGCGCAGCGGAACCATTGGACTCCATTCCTTTGGGGTAGCTGTTGCCGTTGAGGTGGTTGTCATTTGTCTGGTGTGTCATTTTGAAGTTGTAGAGGTGTGTGTTTGTTGTGGAGAACCTCAGAGTGGTGCAACGACTGACAGTCTTATACAGAAACAAGTGGCGACCGTTAGCAAGCCATTGCTAGGCTTGTTGATCGTGAAATCTGCCATCACTGCTCCCGTTGTATGCTCGATGACGCTTGCAGCTCCAGCGCTCAATTTCGACTAAAATGCTTCTGGCCAGACGCACGGCAACGCGACGATATCGAGCTACGAAAACATCGAAAATGTCCACGTGTTAGCCATTAGCCGCACCATCAGCACCAGCCATACGCTTTGCATTACCAACGATCGCAAGATCAGATTCTGAAGTCAAGCGCACCCAGATGGTCGTGGTTAACCAGATTTCGGACCGACTGAACGGTGACATCACCACGTTTTGCCATGGGATTTGAGATTCAACATCGACTTCTGTCGCAAACCTCCTTTCATGCCATTTCAAATTGCCACCGGTATTTCCGCGTACCAGAGATTGTACACAAGCGATTGAATAAAAAAGCCTTACGAATTAGTTCCCATTTCATAGGACGTGGCAAGTCGCGCTCAATGATACAAAGGGCACCTTGCGAAAGTCAGTCACAATCCCCGCCAAAATCGCCAAAACCGATCGTTACGTGAGCGTCAACCTCAAACTCTAGTATTATTTCGTACCGAATTTTTTGTAATAATAGAGAAGGCGTAATACACTACTCGTTAACTTTACAGTGTCTCTTGATTGATTGGGGCTGCGTTGTTGTGGCACTAAGTTGAGAAAGTGGTGACGGTCGGATATAACTGACTTCTACACGGTGCCGTTTCACGCGGAACAAAAAATACGACAACACCTCACCCACGTGGTGAACTTTAATCATTGCAACAGTACAGGGTATTTTGATACTGCTAAATCTATTGCAAATGTGATATCTACAAAATTTTGTGGCGTTGCTGCTGTGATTTTGCTTCAAAGTTGGCCTGTGCACCACCTCAGTACCCAGTCATTCTATCATGTATTTCGCAACACGCCTCTAATCTCTCAGGCATACTATCAATCCTAGAGCTGATAAAATTGGTTGATATCTTATCCCAGCTCTCTACCGCCAGCTCCCAAGTCTCAAATTCATCTCAATGAGGGTACTTTTTCATGTGTTGTTTGGGTACCTGCTAGCAGTTCTCTATGGGTGAAAGATCAGGAGATGATGGGTAGTTGAAGTAACAATCTAGGTAATTTTTGCTCTTCCACTTTGCAACAATATTACTCTGAGACCCCCGACCATGTCCACTGTCGTTGCCTTCTTCAAGGATGAATGGTGATTGATGACGCTTGAGCCAGGGCTTGACTATCTTCTCAAGGATCTCGTTGCGGTAGACAGTAAGGGTCATCTTCCCATTTTTGTTGCTGGGTATCTTGTGAAAGTAGAGAGGCGTCTTGAAGTTGTAGCCAACAGCAGCCCAACTGTGAGCAGCCTCCCATGCCTTTTTATCATTCCGGTCAAGTTGCTCTTGAACACAGTCTGCACAGTACCTCTCCCCAGGCTTTCTAGTGATCCGCATCTTTTCCTGTGGGCCTACCCGCTAGTTTACTTCATCAGAGAAGCGCACATCGTGCCAATCCTCGCTCTCAGGCTTGAGAACAAGCATGGTTTCACAGAACTATAGCCTCTATTTTGCACGACGTTGAGACACCCAACTGTTAGAGCAAGCAATACACTTGTGATAATCAAGTGATCATATGTGTGTGCAAGGAGTGTTACCACATAATCCCAGATCCAGCTCTTCTGCAAGTTGCGCCCAGGTCAAAACTCAAGCTTCCTATCCATAATCTTGAAGGAAGCGATCAACTTGATGAAGCTCCTTCTTTGACAGAACACTAGGGCGGCCATGGTGATCTTCTTCGACTTCTGAACTGTTGTGGTGATACCTGCTACTCTCAAGATTGTCCTGCCCAATGATCGCCCATCCCCGGGCTTTGCAGACTCCAAAAAAAAGTCAAAAACCTCTTGTTTGGTGTATGAGATACCCTTGTGATCTAGGATCCCACAAGCCCCTTGAGTGCGGGCTTTTTTGGGGTACTGTAATGCTGGAAAGTATTATCTGTCACGGGTATATACTGTTCGGCTCCCAGTACCCATATCTATTGGGTTACTGTACCTTTTTGGTCAGTGTAGCTCAGGTGGGACCGAGCCGAGCCCTCACATTATCAGACATTGCAGAAATGAAGGAATCAGAATCATTTAATTTGGATAGCTAGTTGTTGAGTTATGATGCACTGAAGTTGGTGGTAGGGATGCCGAGGCCTACTGAGTCTCGGTTATTTTTGGTTTCGCGTGCCTTTGTACCATCCAGGCACCCAAAGCTTAGTTACTAGTGGTAGTCGGCAGCCGCAACCGTCACGCACTCTCTTCAAGCTCGTTCTTGCAAGCTTCTGGAAGGTTTTAGGTTTCCTGCAAGACATCTTTTCTCTGCCTCCACAACCCGGGGGGATGTTTGAGAACACACCACACTCGGTAGGTTTACCCCACAGCCTTCAGCTGCCATATGAATCACTATCGATAGGGAGGTCACACGGCGCCCCGCGCAATCAACTATTATGTTGTGATTGGCTACGTGCACCCGCCTCATCTATATGATGCACCTTCCCAATCAGTACTGCCGGAATCTAGGTCAAGGTATCCATTTGTGCACATTGCTCTGCATCTTGCGTTTTCGCGGTCGACTCCAATTGGTGGTATGGAGCTCGCCAGTCTTGCACACATGGAGATCTGCATGCAAGATGTTTTGGACAATGTGGCCAAAGTTTTGCCTACACGTTCATATTCTCTTCTTCTCGCACTCATTTCGTCAAAAGATTGATTTCCTGACCTACGCAACGACTCATGGATATCCTTGCGCTGAGCGCTAGCAGGATGTTTGCGACTCCAGTGATTGCGCCGATGAATGTGTAAGCTACCTGTATCGATGGATGGTTGTTTATGCTCATGGACGTGTCCAGCATCGCGGCTTCACACTCCTCCCAGAACTCAAGACGTTCAGATCAAACGACTACGACCTACGCAACAGGCAGTCACTTCTCAGCAGATTCATCGCCCGCCACATCAACACTCGATCTTACACGATCACGCGCATCCTCAAATGCCTCAAATTCATCAAGCTCTACATACTTTGCGCAATCTGCACGGTCTTTAAGGCACAGCCGGAACACCTCAACCTCATCAACCGCTTCTTCCGCTCCGTCTGTCGGTCCAGTGAAGCGAACTCGACACCTAAGGGCGCTGTCCGATGGCATTCATGTCACACGACGATTACAGAAGAAGCCATCGTCGCAGCAAATCCTTCAACGGCAGAGCGATCCTGTACCAGTACCAACTTCAATGCTCACACCTGTGACAATCCTTGGACCAGAGCGCATTGTCGATATACAGCGGGCGGACCTGTTGGTGCGGTGCCGAGATGACGATTATCATGTTGACCGCTCGATTATGTGTCATCACAGCCAGTGGTTCGCCAAGGTATACTCCAAAGTGAATTATCCGGTACGTTCACTCTTCGTGATTTCAAATGTGATAGGCTGACAACGAACAGAAGATGGCGAAACGCATTGTAGATCTGAGTGCTGACGATCCAGGTGCTGTTGCGGCAATGATTCAATACTGCTATCAGCTGGACTATGGAGACACTCGATCTGACTCCAACTCTGCGCTCTACAGACTAGTAGCTCTACGGCCACATCTCGACACGTATCTGTTGGCGGAGCGATACGGCATGCCTGGTTTGCAGAAGCTTGCGACACAGAAATTTGAGAAGCTAGCTGTGGCGGTCCTGACGGCTGTGGGTGACGAGGAAGAGTTTGTTCAAGCCGTCCGAGATCTATATGCGCCTTCACGAAGGACAAGAGCAGATGAGCTGCGGCGCACAGCAGTGAAACTTTGCGCAGATCATTTGGGCAGTGCTGTATTGGGCATCGGAAAAGAGGTATCAGGTATTGTGGCTTTGATGGATGAAGTTCTTGAGTTCAGATCGGACCTTTTTGAGGAACTTGCAAAACGGTGGAAGTGAACGGTAGGGTTAATTCTCTGGTATCAGGTGTCACCGCTAGGTTTTCCCTAGACTTAGGCGTTTTCGCTCTCCAGAAAGATGTCTTCACCTTCACCAAGCCCCACACTCTGCTGTCATGTGGTCTTCACCACGCGTCTTTTGACGCGTCGACGCGCGTGGTTCGCGTACTCGAGCTGACTTCGACTTCGTTTCTGCTGTTGAAACTCTCAGCTCCACCTAGACACCTCCACGCCCATCAACCCAATCGACAATGGATCGCCAAGAACAGCGCAAACGTGCATTTAGCCAGGCCTTTCAGCGTATGAACCAGCCCAGGCTCGGTGACAACAATCCTCAGCCACCCAAGCGCATCCTGTCCTACCCACTCGGCTCTACTGCTCCTTACTACCAAGATTTTAATCAAGAGAATGAGTTTCCGCTAGACTTAGACTGCACCACTACCTTCCATCAGACCCCCGGGACGCAAATCCGTCATCCAGCGCCCGTACACTTGCAGTACGCCAACCCTGCGCTCTACAACTACGGGTCGTTGCAGTACAAAATATACGGCAATGGACCAGCGCCAGAGCTGAAGTCTGGTGCTAGAGACCTTCCGCGACTTGTTGTATGCAACCGCCATTTTGAGAGTCCAGTGCTGCGCGAGCCTGCTCTTCCTACGCCACAGATCGTTCGTGGGCAGTCAATGTTTGGGCCTTCACCTTACGTTAGACCAGACTCCAGCTCGCCTTTGGGTGACATCGTCGACTCATATGCCCACTCTGGGCCTGCTGCTTACGAAGAAGGGAGCTCGCCAATGAGCGATGCGACCACAGCAGTCGGTCTACTAACACCGAGCGCACTCAACTTTGGTGACTTGTCGTTGAATAGTCAAGGCTACTCACTACCTTCGTCTCCTCTTCGAGGAAGAGGTCAAGGCAATCGCGCAACGGCCAAGGTGGTGCCGGTTCCTTCCTTCGTCAGGTATGCGCTTCGTGTCTCCTCTTCGCCACGATTGCTGACAAGGTCGCAGGCACTTCTCAGAGATCAATCCGAACGAGGTGATCATACTGTTCGACAAAGGCAGGGAAGTTAGGAAGGTTGACAAGTACCCTTTGTGCAGCGCATCACGATTCTTCGCCCAGTTGCTCGATGGTCCCTTCTTGGTGAGTCGTTTGTCACTTCTTTCCGAACTTCGCTGACATGTAGCCAGGATCATGATCTTACTCGCTGTGTTCGTCTCCGCGACGATTTCCCGTACGCCATTACTACCATGCTCCACTTCATTGAAACTGGCCAGTACATGTTCGATCAGCGAGCATTCGCACAGTTCCCTCTCCTCACAGCACTCGATTTCCACATCCACGCCTACCTTGTCGGCAGCAAATACGGCCTTTCTGCACTACAAGACTGCGCTATCAATGGCTATTTCAGCATCGCAGAACACGAGATGAAGCTCGGCTTCCTGGCGCTCTCCGGCGGTCAGCTCTCTGACATACAAGTTGCTATACCTGGGTATCTAGTCATGCCAGCTGCAGGCGGATATGTTGACGGACATCCCATGACGATGACGATTGACCGCTTTCTCAACTCGCTCGTCTTGCTGTGGAAGAACACGCAGTCGCGTTATGATGCTATGCGCAAAGCGGTGCTTGAGCTGATTAAGCGGGATCTGAACAAGCTACTACGTGTGCCGTTCTTCGTAACGCTTATGCAAGAGATGGTAGGGTTCGGAGACGATGTCGTAGCGAGCTTGGGAGATGATGGGTTTGAGGTGAAGGCCTTCCAAGTTCCGGTAGGTAGAAGGCTGAGTCAGACTACCCGGTTTGGGGCATAGTAGTGTAGGATTGTAAGAGGATAGGAGAGAGTCGCTACGGCTATAATCTGGCACTATTCGTACTTCTTGGGACAAAGAGTGTACGGCAGGAGCTGGGCTGGACTATATCGAAATCTACTCCTCCATCACCAGATCCTCCAGAGCCTCACTGGTATACAGTAATCAAAGGGTTATAGATTGAGGTCAACAAAAACACGCACATACATACTGTTAAGTGTCTGTTGAGTGTGCAATCCAACCACAACGAAAGACTAGTGCTGGATGTGACGTCATGCGTCCGCAGACAACTCCAACAACTTTTCTGTGCTGCTTTTCCCAATAACAATATATAACCATCAGTCGCATACCCCTGAAACACACATGCATATCTTCTTTTGTAATTTCCAAGACGCCCGGAAAAATTCCTGCGACACCGCTTACGATCACGTCAATATTTCTAGATGCTAAGATGATATTTCGATGTAGACGTGCGACAGCAAGGTTTTTGCCAAATGTGCCTTACACGAACGTAAACGCAATGCAGCGGATGGTCTGGATAAGTCTCCACGTTTATCAATACATCAGGCGATGTAGGTGGGCTGGTTTAGAGCTGTTCAGCCCCAAAGTACGAGCCAGTTTCAGCCTTGTCACCTCGAACCTCATGAATCGGGTAACCCTTCAGCCCCTTAAATTGCTCGAACCCCCCTTGAAAGTTCCACACGTCCTACACAGCCATATTGCCAGAGAGAAAAGATATAAGGGAAGCCGACGATGGCCCTACGGGTGGACAACGAAGGTCCGCACAGTTACAGAACAAGAGGACAGCCCCACCTACCTATGTCAACCCCGAGGATGAGGAAGCTGATGATTAATCGAACAAGAAGAGGCAGCGCGTTCCAGCGGCTCACGAGGACACCACTAAAGACTGCTCGACTAGAGACAACTCTACTCCCCAATCAACCACGACTTCTACGCCCGAGAGCCATATCAGTCTCTGGACAAATATAAACGTAGCATTCAACTACTAGAGGTCTCGAGAGACTCAGCAACCGGAGAGCGAATATACATCTTAACGGACGAAAGACCGCTTGTCGAAGCACGCGATACGTACACAGCCATTTCGTACTGTGCTGGAGATCCCAAAGAAATCGTAAAGCTGGTCTTCAACGGCATCGAGTTCAAAGCTTTCGCGAGTTTTGCTCGTGTGATCGATGAAACGAGCAATTATCGTGAAACTGCATATCACGAAACGAGTCCGCTGCTCTGGACAGATCAGATCTGTACCAATCAGGGCGATCCGACCGAGAGATCGCATCAAGTCGTTATGATGTACCATGTGTATGAAAACGCCAGAGAGGTGGCTGTGCGTTTGTCTCAACTGAACCCACTTACATTGAACACGGAGCATGCGAATGGGTAAACTGCATCTATCGGAATATTCCTCTGGTTTTGACTAACCTACTCGAATTTGACAACACTACGACTTCCTGGGAACCTATACAGCGCTCCAGCAACCCAAAGGCTGATCTCGAAATCGCTACACTGGACTTGAGAGATGCCTTTGCCGTAATAGAAAATATAATGCGACAAATTCAACCCTGTGTCCATGATCATGCTTTCATGCGCGGGCTGGATCTTCTAAAGATCTTGACAGCATCATGGTGGACCAGAGCTTCAGTGGCACAGGAGTTCATCGCCGCCCGGAAAGCAGTCTTCGTTGTTGGCCACGACTATGTAGCTTCGGGACCATTGCTGGCTGTCGTAGCGTTTGTCGCAATGATAGATGCGGAAATGACCTTCCCACCGACGGAATTGGGCACAACTGACAAAGCAATGTGGAAGTCCTATCATCGATCGTGTTATGTATACACAAGCTACGTTAGACTTGATAGAAGACGTCAAAAGATGCAGAAGACTTTACTTCAGTTCTAAGGTTGTGCGAGTACCGAATGGCTAGTGACAAGCGGGACATGGTGTAACCCACAGACTCGCCCTCAAATTGGGTCGTTTGACTGACTCTGCACATGCACAGGTATGCATGCCTTGGTCTCGCCGATCCTGGGTATAAAATCCAGCCAAATTACACAAGCGGCAACAGCCTTGATAGAGTCCTTATCGAGACTGCATGCCGGATCATTAATTATTGGCGTGACCTTGAAATACTGGATTGGGCTTTGCCCAAGAGAAGTGACATGTTGCTACCATCATAGGTGCCGGGCTGGACTCAGCGACACGTCGATGCCGGTGGAAGTTATATTCAAGAGCATCCTTTTGTACGGAAAGACCCGAATGCGAAATTCATATGCAATGGCAAAGTCTTGTCAGTCGCGGGCGTACTATTGGGTACAGGCTGGCGTTTCCCTTCGCGCGGCCAGAAAGTCCAGCAGATACCGTACTCTGGATGACTGTTACGTACGTGTAGGAGCCGATGAGGTGGTCGTTGGTGACCAAGTTTGGTTACTGTTTGGTTCACAGGTCGTATTCATGCTGCGTAAGACGAGGACAACTTTCAAGCTAGTGTGTGACGCGAGTTTGGAGAACGCCTCAGGCGCGGACTACGTAAAAGGTTCGAAGAGCTATAAGCCAACGCGGGTTCATATCGGTTGAGCAGCCTCTGTAATGCTCTCCTTCTAGCTTTAAGAAACATGTATTTAGTCCCGACATCACCTATAGTCTCTTGTCTAGATGCAGGCTGAATAGCAGGACAGACTGCTTCAAATATTTTCCAGTGTTGGAAAGATGCGTATTTACAGTTGGATCATCTGGGGAATGTAGTGTTGGATAAACTGCTGTTAAACCTGCAAGGAGTAGGATATACAGCACGCTCGGCATGATAACTGGAATGGGGTGCGCTTGTGTGCTTAATTCGTGCCCGTAAAAGGGCTCACTATACATGAGAACGATAAAGGAACTGGTATACGCTTCAAAAGCAAAAGAGGATGATGCTTCACCACACACGACAAAAGATGACATAAGCGATGCAACGAGAGCAAAAGCAAAAAGAACATTTTCGTGATCCCAAATTCGCTGGGCACGGAAGCTAGTGTCGCTTCTGTGGATCGAACACAGTACCTCCAGATTTAGTGACTGACAACTTCAGTCTGGCGCTCTCCCAAGTGAGCTAAAGCGACTGGATTAGTTTGATGGGAAAAGGTTAAAATATATCGTAGATATGATGGATAAATTTGAAACAGCAACTCTGCAATCAGTTTTCGACCGTTTGTGCCCATGTGGCACACTTTGCATGCATCTGGCATACGGAATTGGGAGCGGGGTTTGATCTAACCCCACGTGTTTTCGGAATCGGACCTTTTGTATGGCTGTTTGGACGCAGTCAACGGAAGGACCACATCACAGTCTGGGGGCGTGTTTGCTATTGTGGCGTGTGTAGTCTCTTCCTAACTCCTCTACTTTCTTCAAAGTTTGTTGATTTAAGGTCAGTCACAAACACCGTGGACTCAACGCAAGGCATTAGGTGGTTGACTTAAAGCACTCCACAGCAGAGGGCAGTCAATCTCAAATACTCCATGGGCATACTGTATCAGAATAGCAATAATGATTTACCCAAACTTGCGTCGACCGTCAGCCATCAAATAGAAGATCTTAGCTTTGGCCAATGCATTGATGCTATAACCTCATACACCCTACGCCCAAGTATCATAACTCGTCGACTTTTCTTTCTCAACTTGTCGCTATTCTCTAATGGTATCTCATGCTCTCATCATATCGCAAACGCCTTCACATGTCACTCCTCATATACATATCGCTCAGCCTCGTCAGGCCACCCTCTTTGTGCTTATTTCGCAACACCGTCGTCGGCGTTGAAGCAGTCGGCAAACTGCTTGCTGTGCTTGTTCGAGGCGTGTTCGGTGAGCAGCTTGCGGTTTGTGGTGCTCTGGAAGGTCTGGAAGCATGTCTTGCACTTGACGGTCTGGGCGGCGGAGTTCTATTCATGATCAGTACGTGCGCCTGAGAAGGAGTTTCTGCCTAGCTTGAGAGGCAAGATATGAGAGTCATACGGATTTCAGTTGCGACTTCGCCTCCTTGGGACCGGAATCGCCCTTGCGATCGCGCTTCTGCTGTGCTCTACAGTGTTGTCAGTATAGCCCCACTTCTTCTCCTGTAGAACGCCGTACTTCGCTCCGTTGCCCATGTTGTTAGTTGTTGGCGGTTAGTCGGTGATCGTGAGGGTAAGTGCGAGTGAGCGTTGTGCGACTTGTGAGGTTTTCTAAGAGCGTGAAGCGTAGCAGCCGTGGTGAGACTTTTTGTGGCGGGCGCGAGGGGTCCACGTTCTGGCCGTTTGATAGGGTGGAGCACGCGCAACGACGCTATCTGTATTTGGTTAGGCTGCAGCAGACAGATGATGGGACCCTTTTCGAAGGTTCGTGAGAACCACCGCTCACTCCTACTTGATAGAGTACATTCCTCTTGTGCAATCCTGCTACTTTAGCATGTTACTCGCGTCATGCCAGCATGCTTGGATCCATGCCTGATGAGCCATTGGTCTGGCGCACACGTTGTAGGCTCTTGTGGCAGGCGCGACATGGTCATGTCTCAGCCAGCGAACGATATGTTATCGATGGGTCACCGACCTCGCTACTATATACTGTGCGACAACTTATCTGTTTGTGCTCCTGCAATCACGGTTCTCTTTGTACCTTGAATGTTCATTAATCCTTAATTCTCCTCTGTTCTTGCTTTCCTGTTGCTTCCTCGCTTGCGCCTAGAATCTCTTGTTGCACTATGGATCATCAGCACTTCAAAGTATCACGCAAAACGCGTCTTAGAGCTGTGATCGCCATATCTTTCTGCTTCTTTGTCGCAGAAATCTCTGTCGGTTTCTACACTCACTCGATTGCTCTCGTAGCAGACGCATTCCACTATGTAAGTGTTGTGTGCTTTCGGAGCGTTGTAACTGACAACTTACATTGTTCTAGCTCAACGACCTCATTGGCTTCATTGTCGCCCTGGTGGCAGTCCAAGTGACAGAGCGCAAGGACTCCCCGCAAGATCTCACCTTCGGCTGGACCCGTGCACAACTTCTCGGTGCTTTCTTCAACGGCGCATTCCTTCTCGCTCTAGGTCTAAGCATTGCCCTGCAATCGATCGAGCGCTTCATCTCCCTCCAACATGTCGAGAACCCAAAGCTGGTGCTGATAGTAGGATGCATTGGCCTTACCCTAAATCTCATCAGCGCTGCATTCCTCCACGAGCATGACCACGGCGACGGCCATGGACACAGCCACGGTCACAACCACTCTAGCCATGCACACGGCGACATTGAGAGCCTCTCATCCACATCCACGCACGATGCGACCTCTACACACAACCACCACCTCGAACACCTTCACCTCTCCCTCACCCCTTCCAAGCACGGCATGGACCTCGGCATCCTCGGCGTACTCATCCACATCCTCGGCGACGCAATCAACAACATCGGCGTCATAATCTCTGCGCTCATAATCTGGCTTACGCACTCGCCCTCCCGCTTCTACGCGGACCCAGCAGTATCGATGTGGATCGCGATCATGATCCTGATCTCTGCTGTCCCGCTGACCAAGCGCTCTGGCAAGATCTTGCTCCAATCTGCGCCGCTAGGTGTCAAGGTAGAGGACGTGAAGCATGATTTGGAGAGTATACCGGGTGTGTTGAGCGTGCACGAATTACACGTTTGGCGTCTGGATCAGAGGAAGGCGATTGCGAGTGCGCATGTCGTGGTTAGTGATCCGGATGTAGAGAGCTTTATGAGGAAGGCGAAGGTCATCAGTGAGTGTCTGCATGCGTATGGAATACATTCTGCGACGCTACAACCGGAGCTGCCAGCGCAGAGAGTTGTGGATGACGGCGCGACGGAGGTGGGGTCAGCAGTGACGACTGCAAGGACGAGTCTGGAGAAATGTGGTGTGCCCTGTGGAAGTGTGTGTGAGGACTTGAAGTGCTGCAAGTGATTCATTGCTTGCTTTGTGCAGTGTGTTGCAGTGCGCCAAATCTCATCTGGGTCAAGCAGTTGCAGGTGTCCTACGCTGTCATCATTCAGTTCTATTAGTCTACAACTTACTGCCCGCTTCGACGACCAATGGGTGTTTTACTTCTCCAGGCTTCAGTTTACTCCAATCTCTCTCATACCCTTCCTCAACTTCCGGATACGGTCCCATAGGTGTGATCGACAGTGGATTGATGTCCTTGTGGCTCTTTGTGTACTATTGCATCCTTAGCTTCACGCCTCCATCGTCAGTGTTCTAGCACTTACGTTCTCCTTGATATGCTGGAAATCAGTCGACTCCCTGAACCCCTCCACGCTATGGTATAAATTCTTCAGCCAATTGTTGAGAACAGGGTAATCATGCCTGATTGTCCCCAAATTCGTCTTGAAATGCTGTACATACACCGTATCGAACCTGACCACCGTCGGATACGCCAGAAGATCCAGTTCCGTCAGTCTCTCACCCAAGATATACGGTCCGCCATTGCTGTGCACCAGCTTCTCTAGCTTGTTCAGCGCAGCAAAGAGCGGGACGACGTGCTCGTTGTATCCTTCTTGCGTGGTGTTGAAACCGGCTTTGTACACGCCGCTGCAGATGAGGGATGTGAGCCAGGGCGTGATTTCATCGATTTTGCTCATCATTTCTTCTGGGTAGAAATCGATGTTCCGGATCTTCTCGTCTTCGATCAGGCTGTCGAAAGCGTGAGGTAGCCATTTCAGCATCTCCATGCTCTCGTTATTAACGATGCGGTTCGTCTTCTTATCCCACAAGAGTGGCACACTGTATTTGCCTTTGTACGCCGCATCATCGCGGAAGTATAATTGGTGCATGAAGCGGCTGTCGAAGAGATGGTCGGGCGTTGCATTGGGATATGACTCGTCGAAGCGCCATCCTGGCTCACCTTTGGGATAGGGCCGAACAATGGAAGTTGGCAGAAAGGGTTCGAGATGCTTGATGTGTCGGACGAGGTTGGCTCGGTGAGCGAAGGGGCAGAAGAGGCCTGGATTCGCTGATTAGGCCTTTAACTAGGTCGTGTGGAAGTCGTAATTAGAACATACCAATGTACAGGTGATACCTGTCTTTCTCAGGTGGAAACTCTTCCCCCTCCTTGATCACACCATGCCACCCATCATCGGTGCCGTACTTGTGGATCTCTTCCTTTGCCATTGTGTACGAACTACGAAGTTTGCGGTGATGTTTTGGTATAACGGTTTTTAGCAGCGTCCTGGAGTATAACGACGTTAGAAACCAGCACGTTCGCTACGTTGATCACTAATACACCACGATGGTAAGAGCGACAGCAACAAAGACATCATGCTAGGGTGGGGTTGCTGCCGGCAGAATTCGATCATCACAGGCGGCCCAGAAGGCGGTCGCGGAGCTTTTCGGAGTCCCATTGGCCGAGCTTCGAAGCGCGGAAAGGTTCCACGCTGATCACATCGCTGTCGGACAAGCTCTCACCAAGGCATCGTTTTCATCCATCCTGTCGGCGATGAGACATCTGAACTGATCAGCATGTTGCAGTATGCAACACCAGAGTGATGGTTGGCTAATGCTTTTGAATTGAGTGAAGCTACATACTACTGCAGGCTTGCAATCACTACACTACCTTGTGTGCAGCATACTACACAAAGCGTACATTGGCGTTCGACATTGCAGATGGGACGGGGTTCGTACATATTGAGCTAAGCCGCCCCTGTATGAACAGACTATACTATGTCTAGCTTGACGTTGCCTCGGCAGGATGGGTAACATCCATCTCGCGTGAAAGTCTTATCTGAAGGTTGTTGTTGAGTGGGGTGTTGATGCGGTCGGTAAAATGGATCCGATTATGTGTGTCGTGGTATGGGATTTGCTCGTAATGATAGCAAGTCAAATCCAACTATGCAGGAGGCTCTGGGAACGATGCTGGAAGATGCTGAAGAGATGCTGAACGCTAGGATGGCGAAACGCGCGAAAACGGTCGTGGTGAAGCGGTCGAGGTAGGATCGTCGATTGTCGGTATCCAAAAGCTGAACAGGTGTCCAACGAGACAGACACTCCAAATCAGATCCAGTGCTCGTCCACTCTGGCCACGAATGCAATGCAAAAAGACGATACTGAAATACAAAACGCAAGAACAAAGACGGCCCACCCCGTCTTGTCCGGATGCTAAGCACCGTTGCCAACAGGCGGCAAGCCCATCCGAGGATCTCCAGGGGGTAATGGTGGAACCTTTGGTGGCGGCTGCGAGTGCTGGCAATTGTGATGACAACAAGAGTGACCCTGTGGCCCGCCTTCATCATAATCGCCATAGTCGTCATAGTCATCCTCTGGGTCCAGCGAGCCGTCATCGCGACGGTCGTAGCCACCAGGAGGAGGGTTCTGAGCATGCTGGGCGTTGTTTGCGTTGTTCTGCGCCTTCTTGCTTGCCTTCTTCCCCTTCCGTCCCTTCATCCTTGCCTTCTCCAGCAACCGACGCTTCTCCGCAAGCCGACGTCGCTCCTTCCTGTCCTTCATCTCGTATTGCCGGATCAAGGCCTCAGGAGGACGTCCGAAAATGTCTTCGTATTCGCAAAACTCGCAGATCCAGGGCTGACTGGGAGGGTTGTGGAAGTTAGCGTACTCCTGTTGCGTCCGACGTTTGCGAGCAGCATATGCATAGAGCTTTGACACGCTGCGTCTAGGCTTGTGAGGTGGAGGCGCCTGTTGTGGAGGCTGGGCACCCTTTGGAGGTGGTGCACCCCTGTTTGCAGGAGGATGTACACCGTTCGCGTTTTGGCTTGTCTGGGTACCCTGAGTTGACACAGCAGGGGCGTCTGGTCGAACGGGAGGGCGAGCGCGAGCGGCCTGGGGGTGGAGCGGCGGAGGAGCGGTCGTGATGGGATATGCGCCCGGGGGCTGAGGGTACGGCCCGTTTTCCTGGCCGGGCCAAACCATCTTGTTTGCTGAGTCAGAGCCACAGGTAAAGGTGAACTGCGTCTTGGTTGCGCTGTTCTTCGCGGCCTCTTGTTGCAGCAGACTGACGTTTTCGTTGCCCTGAGGCGGTGGGGTTGCTTCTGCGTTGGCAATGGCTGTGGAGATGATGCCGCTCTGCTCCGAAGGACCTAGAAAATAAATAGTCAGCGCACGGACTCTTGAATTCAGAAAGTCAAATTTCCCGAGGTGCCACCGTACGTTTGCTTGCTTTGGCATTGGCAAGACTGGTCGAATTGCCTAGCACGCGTCGTTCTGAGCGTCCTGAACCAGATCGGCCAAATCGACCTCTGCCTGCTCCTGCAATGCCTGTCCCCGAGTTGTTGTGCTGTGGAGTTGACGGTGCTGAGCCATAACGTGCAATCCCGTCATTAGCCACGCCGTTCTCGTGGTTTGCGATACTCATGCTTGCCACGTCCGTCGAGAGTGTCGTGTGATGTGAGCTATTGCTTCCCATATTTGGAATCTTCCGCTTCTTCTTGTTGTTTGTGTTCTCAAACGACTCGTAGCCATCCACTGAAGACGAGGCAGAACCTGGCTTGTGATAGCTTGATGCCGCAATTGCAGTCCTGCCTGGCGCACTCCTGCTGTAGTGATAGCTTGGAGACGAAGGCAGCGGTCCACTCCGCTCGTCCTCGTCCTCTTCACTCTCTACTTCAGAATGAGTATGGCCACAGTGACAAGCATGGTGGTCATTCTCGCCTGTTCTCAAAGCCCTGTTGCCACGCTCACTGGACGTATATGGAAAGTTGAAGAGCGGCCCTGTAGATGGGGGGTTGTTGGGGAAGACGATCGACTCGGCTTGCTCTGGAGACAGTCGTGCGCGCAGAGAGCGTGCTGGCAGAGGGCGGATGGGCCGGTCAGGGTACATAGAAGAGGAAGTGTCGGGCGAGGAGCGCAGCGGCGAGGAGCGGTTCCACTCGTAGCCTGTGTAGGGGAGAAGAGCTGTCAGATATGTGGAGAGAGCAGGGAACAGGCCAGAGCGAAACATGGTGAGAGGGCAGGTACAAGGAGTGCAGAATATTGAGATGTGAGAGAGACGCTGTGGGGGTCCACTGCGACTTCCGACACTTACCCGCTGTCGCCGCTGCCATGTTGGCAGGTGGTCTTTTGCGCCTATCTCAACCAGATAGGCGTGTCGTGGTCCCTTTCAAGCAATGCTAAAGAGATTTGTCTGTCGCGCCTGCTCTTGCACCATTAGCCTCCTTCTCCCGTAGCCCACAATCTCCACGTTTGGCTGCCCCGCGATTGCCAAATGTGCGGTGACACCTTCCTAGGGTTCGCGATGGATGTGCTGTGGTTCAGGGGTGTTACGCACCTATATCGAGTGGTTGTTGTGCGTCAGACGAGGGTCGGTAATCGGTACAGTGCTGGTGGCAGTTAGCGGATGGCGGAGCCCCTCTTCCTCCGGGGTTGTCTGACTAACAAGATACAATTCTACTACAGAGCTAGATGCGCTGGTCGCCCTCAGCACAACAGGTCCAAAACGAAGTCCACGGTCGATCAGAAGGAGTGTGAGATGTGATGGAGGCGTTGATATCCGAGGATGGCGAGTGCGCTGTCGACGATGCTAAGGAAAATGGCCACGACCACTCAAGTGATGTGGTTCACAGCTCGCCAAACCACGACGCTATGCGCAATCAGGAGAACAAGATCAACAACGAAGCTTCTGCGGAGTAAAATGCTTATGGTGTCTACAGTCGTGTTGCATCTACAAGACTGTTGAAGAAGCACGACGTCGACTTGCATATCGCTATGAAGTGGTGGCTGTGCTGCAGCACTAGCGCCAAAAGGGATAGGTACTTCCTCCTGACTATCTACCGACTGACAAATGGAAGCTCGCTGTGCTTCTATCAACTTCTTGATGCCCAAGTCAAGAACCAGACAACTGAGGCGGACACGACGAATGCTCTTCTTGCACAGTGCAACTATCATGGCATCATTACAACATGGAACTAGCCATGACCGTGAGAATGCCCCAAGGTTTTGTCCGGGATGGCATTCAAGTCTCAAAGTGAGCGCTTCCCCAACCGCTACCGGAAACGTGGTTTACTACGATGCAACAGCCTTGAGTCATCCGCACAGCACGTCAATGATACAGTAAGGTAACTCAGTTGTTGATATGGAGGGAGGCATTTAGAACCGTTATACGTATTTCCCCTATAACGATCCCAGCAATAGCACCCCAAAGCTGTTCGACATCATTCTTTGTATCTCACAATTTGGCTTCGAGGTTTTCGATGTTGAATCCAGCTCTCAGGACTTTCATGGACGGCGCAAAGAAGTACTCTCCTCCCTTGGCTGTGACGAAGTCGTTGATCGGGTTGATGTTGACCGATTTGGTGCCAATCTGGAATGGGCTTGGAGGGTCTGTTGCTTTTCCTTGGCCAATGGTGACGTCGAGGCCAGCATCTCCGGTAGGGAAGCCCGGTTGGTTCGCCCATGCAGTTTGGATGAACCTGTAGCCGTTTTCGATTGTTGATTGGTAGCAGGCAAATAGGAGACCTCGCCCTACATCTGGTTGACCGTTTCTGAAATCGTCGCCGTAAGGGATTCCACGGCGCATTATGCGAGTAGAGTTGAAGCCGGTACGAATGTGCGCCTTGCGGATATGAGCTGCCAAAGGACATTTCCCCTGCTTTGTCAGGCCACCGTAATCGAAGTCGTTCCTTAGAGCCAGGGTACTGTCATCTCTCTGGTCCTGTATATGGATGGGGCAACCTTGTAACGAACAGTCAGATCATGCGACACACTTGAATCGAGTTTACTCACCACTCTGCCATCTGCCCATGAGTTGGGCGCCGAACTGAGCTGGGCCACTCGAACCTGCGTCCTTCCACTTGTTGACTACGAAGTCGTTCCACTTGCCCACATGCTGCTCCAACTTGCGGAAAACCAGGAAACTGCCATCCGTCATCCACTGAGGCTTAGGGTTGTTCTCATCACCATGTCTGCCAACCACGATGACGCCTGGATCCACAAAATTGCTTGTGTCTTTTGGCTGAACAACATCATCGAGTTGGAAGGTCAAGCTGGGGCTGTTGTTAATGCCGAAGACCTGCGGGTGCGATATACCATCATTGAACCCAAAACTTGCGTATGTGTTAGTACCGTGAATCGTGAATATCTTGCCTCGACTTACTGTTCGTGACCTGGTTGACTCGCTCTCTCAACTCCAATTTCTTTGAACAGCTCAATCACCGCTTCGCCGCCCTTGTTTAATTGGGAGTACACGTTCTTCAGCTCGGCCTGAACAGTCTCCATCTTGATTCCAGCCACAATCAAAACACCATCGATTGATCCACCACCATTCTGGTTGAGGTTCCAGTTGCTGAAAACAGGATCTCCCAATGCCTCACGCTCAGTCTCGTTTTGCATACCGACAACGAATGAGGGCGCAGAATTCTGTAGGCCGTTTAGGCCTCTCTGGAGTGACCTTTGGGAATTGCTCAACTGCACCTGTCAGCTCGCAGTAAACACAAGCCCAACCTCGAAGGTGTACCTTTGTCAACCCTCCAGATGTGAAGGCAATATTGGTCTTTGCTACATCTATGATCTGGCCTTTGGGGAGCTTGCTGATTTGCTCACGTAGGTCTTTGATGTCCTTTCCCGTTGCGATCTTTGAACTGGCTACTGTCTGAATGGTCTGACAAAATTGCTGTGTAGCTCTGATTGTGAAGAACGAGAAGACTTCGGCCTTCTTTGGAAATCCGTTGAGGAGAATGTCTCCCTGGATACCACTAAGGTCTTCGATCTTGAGAGGGTTCATGGTCGAGTGTTTGGATCAAGCAACAATGAGTAAGAAAATGTTGCAAAGAGCTTCCGCTTGGAGACTTGAAGGTAGAGTTGGAATCAGGAGTCCAAGACTTGAGCAAGCGTACCTACTCTATTTATGTGTTCCGGCTGCCAGGTGTATAACTGCCACAGTCGTTTTTTTGGTCCCAGGTGGTCGAAAGAAACTGGGGTCTGCAGCAACCTACACCGGTCGCTACCGTATGCAGGCATAGCTTGATAGTCGCCGACTCTGGTGGATCGGGTCTCACGGAAGGTAGCTGATACCGCCCTTGTCGGAGGCAAGACCTTTGCCTCTCCGGTATATTCTGTAGTCTAGCGAAGAGGGCAGGAGACAGCATGCTGACAGCAATCAGGACTCCCATCTGTGGCTGGCTGTAAGATCGTATTTCGGCTATCCTGACCGCCCTGCCTGGTACCCTAACAGATTACAAGAAGAGTAATCGAAATGTCAGCAACCATCGAGAGAACTCCCATTGGTCTATAGAGTTTCTTCTGCCGAGGCGTCAGAACAGTCAAACAGGGGTCTAAGCTGATGGTCGGGTCAGCTTTGGATCATGCATCTCAGCCCTCACTTACTAAGGTCATACCAGCTCGCCAGCGATTCGACACTCCTCCGGCAGCTTCGATTGAGAGAATGTACCTGCATGCTTGGTTCTGCTAGAGATGCAGATGCTATCAAGCCAGCGTCCAGACTAATGAAGAACTAGAATGCAAGTGCAGGCAGCGTTACGGAACTAGGTGTTAGCTTCTCACTTCAAATCCTACCTTGCATGGCCGTCTCTCCAAGGAACTGCAAGCCAGTCAAGGTTCGGGGCAGAGCACTAATACGATGTCATTCCCTTGTACATGCTTACTTCGAGATTGTAGCCTGCAACGCCAAGATGCACGCATTGATGACAGCATGACCATTTGTCGGGAACCCCATGACCGTGTAACCAGGATCAAAATAGACATGCTCCTGGCGAAGGAAGCAATGGTAGTTGAGGTAAGATGGACGGCCCACACAGATCTTCTGGGGACCTTTTAGCTGCTCGGGCTAATCACTCAGGTTCGCACCGTGCCTAGCTTGCCTCAGCTTTAAGCGCCACAAACCTTAAACGTAGCTGACAGCTCCTTCTGCGGTGATTGGTCCGTTGATGGAAAGCACTTTGGGTCTTGAGATTGTACATTAGTCTGTGGAAGCTGTTGCTGCTGGGCAAATAAACCGTGATGGCGCCGTCGTCGTCCCGCTTCTCTTTTTCAGCACAAGTCTGGTTGTCATCGATGACCAGCGAGACCACCCCCCTCTCTTTCTCCTCACTTGCACCAGCAGGCGAGCCGCGCAATCACCTGGACCTAAAATGATAAGGTGCGCCAATTTGGAGATGGGCGTGTTTGTTGGGGTTGGGAAGAGCAAGGACTGCCACACGCGCAATTCAGGCACTGCGGAACGCTGACAAGAGATCGCTTGCGGTGAAAGAAGGCAATTGGAAACGTACGATTGCGCCAGTTAACGTACATTGGTGCAGCGCAATCCAAGTCTAACAATGCAGTCAGTCTTGCAACTTCATCCTTTCTAATCGATGGAAGGTACAGTTGGATTCTGGTAAGTCCGGGTGCAGGTCCCAATGGCGCCCGCCACTCTCAATTCCATCCACGTGGGCCCAGCCTTGCCGATCTAACGCGCCAACGTTCCATCGCTCCTGCGGTCGCTTGAACAACATTATTCGTGTGAGCAGTAACACGTTTCTCGGAAATATCAAGTATTGTGAGTATGTCCAGAGCTGCGCTGCGACGATGTGTGTGTCCGCAAGGTACCGCCACCAATACCTAGCCCTCCATGGCCAAAATCTGCGCTCCCGAAAACTCAGCTCTTTGGAAGGAAGATCAACCTACGTCCAACAAATTGTATCTTCATCAACAATTATATACGGAAGCCTCGTCGATCGAATTGCCGTTTTTAGCGGCACGTTCGGTAAGAAGTTCCTCGCGTTTTCAGACCCACTCTTCTTGCAAGCGAGCAGGGTCGGCCGACATGACGCAGGTCGGTGCGGCGTGTTTAGGCCTCAAATTTTGACCAACGCACCAATGACCGCATCGATCTTGCCGTATTGACCGGGTTGATGGGGCGAGAATAGATCTCGGTTGCAGAAGCGCAGGATCGAACTGCTCATCGATGTGACACTCCATGGAATTACAAAGCTTGTGCAAGGGCTTGAACGTGCTTAACTCCGTGCTAGGAACTCGGCAGATGTCTTAAGTAGGCGTCGCAGCTCGATGTTTTGTTCGGGTTTGGCTTCATCTTAGTTTCTAATTCCTGTTGTTCTGTTTCTCTTGAACGTCTGTCTTGCACCAGTGCCTTGAGGCCCCCAAACTCGCTCTTCTTTCATTGCGCCTCCACAGCCTTGGATACTGATTACCTCCCAGTCTACACAACAAGGCCAACACTGTTCCTTAATCGATAACTTTACCCCAGCTGTGCGCATTTATAAGGCCATATCGTCTTGCCCACAATGGCGTCGTTCGCCTACAAGTCGCTACTCGAAGCCTCGTTACTGTTAGCTCGAGCAAGTGACAGCGACCGCAGCGCGATTCAGGAATACCGCAGTCATTGTACATACGACACTTGTCCACTTAGCGCATCTTACTGGGGATATCGTCCATCTTTAAGTGCGAACCTTGCATTTCTGATCCTTTTCGGAATATCAACATTGGGATACATTAGCCAAGGCTTCCTCAACAAGGCATGGTTGGGCTTTACAATCGCTATGGTGTGTGGATGCGCGCTGGAGGTAATTGGTTACGTTGGTCGGGTGCTTGCGTATAATGATGGCTTCACTGAGGTACGCCGTTGATGCTATATCTGTGACTCAAAGGGTGCACAGCATACTGACAAACCGTAGAATCCCTTTTTGATTCAGATCATCTGCCTCACGATTGCTCCAGCCTTCCTTGCCGCTGGAATATACCTCTGCCTATCCCGCATTGTCAGCACTTTCGGTGCCGAGAACTCGCGCATCAAGCCGTTGTCGTACCCTCGTATCTTCATCCCCTGCGACATCGCTTCTCTAGTCCTCCAAGCCCTTGGCGGCGGCATCGCCAGTGCGAAGACTCATCAGAACGAGGATCCAACCGTCGGCAACAACATCATGATCGCGGGTCTCGCCTTTCAAGTACTGACATTACTCATTTTCATCGTCTTAGCTCTTGACTTTGCAACTCGTACAATCGGCCGGATTCGCAAACTCGGTCAGGACGCGCTGGATCCAAGGCACGCGAAGCTGCGTAACTCATGGCAATTCAAGGGGTTCCTTGTTGCCCTTTCTTTCGCGACGCTCTGCGTCTTCACACGATGCGTATACAGGGTCGCAGAGTTGAGTGAGGGTTGGAGTGGGCACCTGATTAAGACGCAGAGATACTTTATTGGGCTTGAGGGCGCTGTCATCGTGGCTGCGGTGCTGTCATTGAACCTCTTTCATCCAGGACTTTGCTTCAGAGAGGCACTCGATGCGAGGACAGAACCTAAGAATAAGGGCAACAGGACATGGTACGGGAGAAAGAGGAACGTTGCTGCTAAGCAAAGCAGTGAAGAAGATATCAGGATGGAGAAGTAGAACTGCATTGAAAATCTAATCGCTCTTGATTTATAGATAAACACGATAGTATATCCATTTGCACCACATATACATCACAAGTCTTACGATCACATACAAATCTACTCTTCAAACCCGTCATTTGCACTTTTGCACTCTGTCTAATACCGTTGGTCGAGACTGTCGATTGGTGACTTACTTACCATCCACGAACAACGTCAAACGATTGTTCGACTCTTGCTGGAGACTACAGTGCTTCTCTGTTTGACCTTCCAATTGGTTCTCAACTCTTCCCCCACCTCCAGTTGGCCATGCCTACTTCACTGTTGCGTTCTGTGTAGCCGAGAACAATCTTGCAGTGCTAAACCAGCGTGACACCTTCACTTTCAGTACGAGTCGCTGCCTACGAAACACCGGTCATGCTTGCTCTCTCACCAGTGCAGCAGGTACGCTCGACCATTCCAGCGCACCTTTCCTCACAACGTATTTTGCGCCTTCCGTCTGTCTACCTTATGCGACAGCGCCCAAAATACCACGCTTCTTCAGCAACATAATACCCAGAAGCCTACAACAACCTGTCAAGCGGTCATCATGAACCAAGCAGAAGATGTTGAGGTTATCCTTGGCCACAAACGCCGCTACAGGTTTCACTCAGGTACACTCGCGAGGAACTCCACGCTGTTTGCCGAGATGCTGAGCGAGCGCAATGCGGCCAAACTGAACAGTCGCGCAAGAACTGCTGGCATCAAGATTCGTTGGATGATCGAGCTTACGCGCTTACCCAACGAGCAATTTCCTGCCGGTTGCCTTGAGCTTGTGGTACGTATCCTGTTTGCTGGATCGCTCCAGCGTTGTCAGAGAGTTCAGAAGGCTGACAGTTCACAGGAACTTACGCCTACAGGCGAGCGCGTAGATGGTCGCTCGGGCCTCATTGTCAACGAAAACGGTCGCGTTCCCCAGGCCGACAAGACATTCCAAAATTACGAGTCAATCCTCTACGCCTTCTACAACAAGGAGCTCACTGTCGATGACACCGATATGTCCGCTGCTCTGTCTGACTGTTATCAGCTACTCCAGATCTCGGATTATCTAGGCTGTACTGGCCTAATCTCCAAACCGATCGAAGTCGCCCTTTTCAAGCATGGCCAAGACCTCTTCCGCGCTATTCAAGGCGTACCGTATGCCTGGATCGAAATGGCGTACCGCATTCGTAGCGAGCTGATTTTCAAAGAATGCATCATCCACCTAGTTGGTGACTGGAAGAACCTCAAGACCAGGTCGAACATTATCGACCGCCTCCGCGATGTGCCTAGCGTGCGCGGACTGATCGAGAAGTACCACCGCGCCCTCCTTGAGAAGTCTAAAGCCCTCGAGCTCAGCATCCTTTCGCACTACCCACAAGCCATGCGCCTCCCCTCAGAAGACCTGCCTATCAAGCGCGAGTCCTATGCGAAAGACATCCTGGTCTGGATGGCGCTCACCTTCTTCCGCCACTGGGTCTCCCAGCGCCTCGTCACAGGCAAAGGACGTGACGCATCAGACTGCGGCTACGACCTCTTCTCCGCGCTCGGTACAGGAGGAGATGGGTACATGGACAAGTTCGTCATCAATCAGTTCCACACACGCTTCCCCATGACCAAGAAGGCCATGAACGTGCTCGAAAACCACCTCTTCGAGATCAAAGAGTGCATCAAGAAGGTCGTCGATGACAGCAAGGTGCTTCGAAGTCAATGCCAGCTCGACGTGCACCGCTTTCCAGTGAAGTATCTGACGTGTACGGAGTTTGCGAGAGAGGAGTTCCCGTGGTTGAAGGAAGACAGAGAGGCTAAGGTCGTGCCGGCGAAGAGGGCGTACAAGCCAGGTGGGAATGAAATTGCGAGGTTGAATCTGGAGACTGCACGAAGGTTTCAGAGGGGTCTTAGTGAGGAGGACCAGGAGGAGATGGAATATGACGATAATGAAGAGATGGAAGCTGAGTATGAGAGCGAGACGACTAAGCGTATGCGGTATGAGTAGGTTGAATTTGCTAGTGAGGGTTTTGGGGTTGATCTGGTGCTTCTGGGCGAATTGTAGCTATTAGGCTCGAATTTGAGGGCTTAATTTGAAGTTTTTCTTTGGTGGAAGTCCTCCAGAGTTGAATTCTGCAGGTTAGATATTGAAGTGGGCGATATCCGATAGCTCCCAGACTTGGTCATCTATGCACTTTTGCAGGCGTTAGTGGCACGACTTACTCCAGGCCATAACATCAACGAAATGAAATTGTTCTTTGTACAATGTACTGTAGTCGCCTCAATGATCTTCAACCCATCCTTTTCTCATGCCTTGCCCACCAGTGGTATTGTAGCGCATTTCTTCTTCTTGTCCTCCCTCCCACTCATGCTTCTATCCTACTCTCTACTCGTCGTCAAACCCAGTCGGCCTCGGTCTCTGACCCTTCGGAATCGGGTATGTGAGCGGAATCTTCGAAATCGGCTCCTCGCCCAAATACCTCCTGATAGACGGCACAGTGAAGACCAGAATCGGACCGGCGCATCCAACGATGATGCTGTAGAAGTACGCAGGCTTGTTGATCGAGGCCCACTTGAGGTAGCGCAGCGGCTGCTGGTAGAAGCGAGGAGACGGAGGAATGCCGGACATGTTGGCGGTGTTGCTGCTGTGTAATCAGCGTTGTTGGGTTGGTGAATGTGCGCGGGGTGGAAGTGGGAGCGTACGATGAAGGGTGTCGCTGCGTTTCGTTAGCAAGAGTGAATGTGTAGGTTTGCGCTAGGGGGTTTGGGGGGCGTACGGTGTGTGTAAGGGCCTCAATGCCTCGGATTGCTGCTCGTGACGCTGCGGGTCTTCGACGTGAGGTTGCTCGGAGCTCAGGCTAGCTCACGATCGAATCGGCGTTTGGGGATGATCCGCGCCGATAGCTTGGCATGGCATACGTTACGTGTAGCTGTCTACGTACGCTCCAGAGTGTCAAGTCCTACTTCGCCAATTCAGGATCATGAAGTGGCTACTTTCTTTTGTGGTCTTGGCCATTGTTGCCGTGGTGAGGGCGGCGAGTTTTACAGGGAATAGGCTGCTGGTTGTTCTTGATGAGCAGGCGGAGCGCGAGAAGTACAGTGTGTTTCTTGAGGATCTGGCGGGTGAGTGCCACTTTACTTATGTTGGAGGAGAAAGGAGCTTCAGATTTGAATTGGAAAGGCATGCCGACTATCGAGGGGCTGCATTTCCTGCTGTTGCAACTGGGGGACTCCAAGCCGCGTAAGCTTGCAAGATGGCCTCAAGACAGCTCGGATGGAGCTTCTAACTACTGTCAATTGGGATATCAGGTGGATAGGACATTGCTGACATTGGTTTGTAGCTCGTGGTTTCCACACAACCGTCGATTCTCCCAAGGGCGACAAAGTTGCACTCTTCAAGCACGACGAGCGGACATACGACCATGTCCTCCTACTCCCCGCAAAGTCGAAGGGCCTCGGCCCAGCTCTGACTGCTAACAACCTTCTCGAATTCGTGAAGAAGGACGGCAACCTCCTTGTCGCACTCTCTAGCGAGCAAGCTACCCCCACCGCCGTACAGTCTCTCCTCCTCGAGCTCGATATCAGCATCCCCAACAATAAGGGCGCATTGGTTGTCGACCACTTCAACTACGACTCTGACTCCGCATCAGAGAAGCATGATGTTCTGCTGCTCCCATACCCTGCGGCACTGAGATCAGGCCTTAAGAATTACTTCGGTGGAGAGGGGTACATCGCCGTTCCCCGCGCTGTCGGACAGGTCCTCGGAAACGATTCGCCTCTGCTCTCGCCCATTCTCCGCGCCCCAAGCACAGCGTACAGCTACGACTCCAAGGATGAGGCTGAGGCTGTGGAGGACCCCTTCGCTGTTGGCCAGCAGTTGAGCCTTGTCTCTGCTATGCAGGCACACAACTCGGCACGTCTGACCGTTCTTGGATCTGCTGAGCTGCTCCAGAACAGGTGGTTTGCTGAGAAGGCTAAGCTCGGCGACAAGGCTGTGACAACTGCTAACCGCGACTTCGCGGCGAAGCTGTCTGCCTGGACCTTCAAGGAGACCGGTGTGCTCAAGGTTGGCAAGGTTGTCCACTACCAGGATGAAGGTGCTAGCAAGAAGGTCAATGCCAGCATCCCGGAGAGCAACCCTACCATCTACCGTGTGAAGAGCGATGTGGTATGTTTCACAACTTACCCCGTCAATTCGACGCGCAGCTAACGCAAGACAGCACTACCAGGTAGAGATCTCTGAGTACTCCAACGACCACCTCATTCCCTTTGTCCCCGCTGCGAACGACAACATACAGCTCGAGTTCAGCATGTTGTCTCCCTTCCACCGCCTCAACCTCTCCCCCATCTCTCAAACCGCCAACTCCACCATCTTCGGCGTCGCCTTCAAGACCCCCGATCAGCACGGCATCTTCAACTTCCGCGTCAACTACCGCCGACCTTTCGTCACAAACATTGATGAAAAGAGGCAGGTCACAGTCAGGCACTTTGCCCACGATGAGTGGCCGAGGAGTTGGCAGATCAGTGGTGCCTGGGTCTGGATCGGTGGTATCTGGGTTACAGTTGCTGGGTGGTTGGCATTCATTGCTGTCTGGCTGTACAGTGCCCCGGCTGAGAAGAGCGTGAAGAAAACACAATAGACGAATCTGAAGATGTGTTGTATGTAACGGGCAGCTTTGACCCTGGTATGATTGAGAAGAGATATCCCATCAGCGATGCGAGGTATGTAGATTATGGATTATGGTCTGGCATGACCAAAAGCTTAGCATTGAAATGAAGCCTTTGTCACAAATGGAATGGAAAGGCTGGAGGTCCTCGGTGCCTCCAAGCGCGAACGTCGCAGTGGTGGCATACATCCAGCACGACTAATATATAACATGTGTGCCCTCCCTTCCATTCCACATCACGCTCCACGGCCTCGTAGGCCTCACTGGCACCGCCCTCCTCGTCCTCTTCACCTCCAGCAGCCTCATTATATCCCCCTCAATACCCCTTGGGCTCATTGTTGATGCACTCCACCTGGAGTTGGAGTGCTTCCTACTCATCCACGCCCCCTCACTCGCAAACGCCACTTGCTTCGTACTCGGCAACCCTTCCTGGTCCTTGCGAAAAGCTCTGTACGGATCGTACACCGTCGGTATCGGCTCGCGAGTTGTCCGTGGCTGCGGATGCAGCGCATGGAAACCATGGCTCATGCCCAGTGCTGACACGGTGGGCTCGAAGGAGCGAGTATCTTTGGCGCGGGTGCGGCGTTTGCGGAAATCGAGAAGGTTTGCTGTGAATGTTATGATGAGGAGGAAGCCTGCCAGGGCAGATGTGATGGCCAATGCCATGCTGAATGGGTTGAGGAGGGCGAAGAAAGATAGGTCGATGGAGTCGAGAGTGGGGAAGGGGGCTATCGTGAATGCCTTCAGGCTTAAAGAAAGACTGAAGGCGCAGCCGAAGACTGTGATGGTGGAGATGATGGATGTGAGTTCGAGGAGGATGACGATGGTCGGCGGGATGCGGAGCCAGTAATAGCGGTTTGACACAATGATTAGGAGGAGGATGAGAGCGGTAATTGAACTCTGTTCCAGTCAGATCAGTCGCTTCTCGTGAGCACGATACTTACGGTGACAACCAAGATCCACGTTCGCACAGTACCTTGCGTCGCTTCAGCAATGAACTGTGACCATGAAACTGCCTCGGCCCCAAGCCTGGACCGAAAGGTCGCAAGAACTACTTCTCCATGTCTGTTGATATCTTGAATGATTGTGACAGCTAAACGGGTATCAGTGACGTGTACACTACTCAGATATATGTACTCGCCCCATATTCCCAGCACGAAGACAATAACCGTGCCTACGAAGACAAATGACCGCAGAATTGTCAGTATAGTTTTTGAGCCAGCCATAGTCAGTCAGTCGGTAGTCGATAGCCGAAAATCGAATGCAGATAATCGGAATGGTCAGTCCAGCCCAGCTGGTGGACGCTCGCGGAGCGTTGAATGAACGTATGTAAGTAATACAGTAAGACTCGTTCGCAAATACATACTCGACTGACTTCCTCCAGCGTAGCAAAGAATCTTTGTACAAAGCTTCTTCCACAAAAGCAATACTGTGGTTCGGAAGCAACGCTACCGAAAAAAACCAAGCAATATCCCCAAAGCCCTACAAACCTGGAGACTGATAACGGGCTGTCACGCTTGGTATGACAGGAACGCGACTGAAAGTTCTCAGGCTTCGAGTAACCCCGATTTGTTGGATTGTGTGCCAGTCTTGATCAGATGCGGCGCGGTGCGACGCCTCCTGAGGCAGCAGTGTCGGATGGCTTCTGGCTGAAACGGGGATCGTGATTTGTGTCTGGGGAAAAGCAACGATGGCTTGTATTAACATGCTCATTACCAAAAATCAAGCAATCTGAGTGCTTTTGAGAGATTCTCAAGCCTCTGCGATGTCGACATCGTGCAGACTGAATTCATGAGCGTTGTCTCTTCGATAAAGAAAAAGGTGGGTGCAAGCGCGCGAATATGGAAGTTAATCAGGACAAGACTTGAAGCCGCTTGCAACCAAACAAAGCGTTACAGGACTACAGTAATTTTTGGAACTCTTGTAGAGCATTTGCGCTGTAGACTTTGACATGTCTGCAAGCTCGTCGTGACTCGTTAGATTGCCGTCGCCTACTGTTCTTACGAGTGCGAGAACACCCGCCCAGGGCCCCATGGTCACCGACGTCAGTATGTTGATCTCGAACGAGCTTCTTGGCATCCTGTTGATGCGGTTTGTACGATATAATCTGTGTTAGTTGCAAATTGGTGATGCAAGGTCTCGCGGTGTAGTGCGGGGAAGGGACCTGAGGTTAGCGCCTTGGCAAATTCTATCCTTGTAGCTTGACACAATGCTGTTCTTCTTCATACTACGCTATTGACTTTGCAAAACAGACATTTCAGATTGGAATTTCTAGCGATACACGAAGACTATATCGGAGCAGATCTTTGTCGACTCCTTCGTTATCTTCTACGAAGCCATCTCGAGGCAAAGCTCTTCACACCCCTCATTGATTCGTTCTTCGTGTAGTCGAAATGCGATAGCACGCGCCCATCATTGCTCCTCTCGGACAGCGGACAAGATGCGAGTGTCACTAACCTGTTCAATTGATACGTTCGATACTTCCTTGCCCATGGGACCAGTCAGTGCGGCGTAGAGAAATCCAAATGATATCTCGGGTCACTGCTAACAACAAAGCTTCTGCCAGACGCAGAGTGCATGATCCCTTCTCGGAATGGAAGCACGTGTTGTAAGGGTAATGGAATGATCAGTTTAGGCTGTTCATCGATACAAGACAACTCGTACCAAAAGTACATTTCCTTGGTACTTGGACCCTAATCCAACTTTCGGATGTTTGGTCCCCTCACCGTGACGTTTTTGAGGGCTGTCCTAATTTGGCTGAGATGCGGGCTGTTGCTATTTCGGACACATAAGTACACGCCAGCACAGACCCAACGCCCATATATCTGCAGGTATGTTGCACTTTCTCTTGGGCCCGACTGACCCGACTCTTTTACCTTATCCTCGACCATTATCGCTCACTGCTGTCTTCCCAAATCCTGCCTAGTTATCAGTCACGACACTATTCGCCATGCCTGGGAAGAAACGGGCCTGGCTACGACAGGCAGTGAAGAGGATTTGTCTTTGCGGCAAGATCAAGACCCCCTTCAGCGACGAAGATGAATCACCGTTGGCCTCTATTGTCCCTTTATCTGCCCTACCCACAAAGTCAGAATCTATCAGGATCCCCGCAAGCAAGTCTCCAGCAGCTTCCCCTCGATTCACTCCTGATCCATTAACGCGCTCTTACGCTGGAGCATATCCTCCCAAGGAAGCAAACCGTGCAGCGTCCAATCCCTTTCTGACTGATGATGAGGTTTACGGGTCTTGGAAGCAACAAGCCGGAATCAAACACCCTGCGGTGACTCGCTGCAAGGATCAAGACCTGGAAACAAAGACAAAAACGCTCAGGAAACAAAGCTCGGCCGCCTCGACTAACACCATCGGCTGGGACACACCAGTGGGCGAATTCACCGCGGGGAAGCAAGCCTACCATCACCCTACCGGGATGTTGGAGCTCCGGAATAAGGGTAGCATCAACCTGCTCAATAGTTTGGAGGAGGCTGCCGCCAAGGAATTTCAAGGTCAGTGCCCAACTTCATTCGATTGCATATACTTTGACTGATGAATCTGCAAAAACAGAATTCACATCAAGGATTAGACATACAGGCACAAGAGTGCACCAAATCCCCTGTCATGTTGCCCATCGAGCTCTTGGTTGAGATTCTTGAGCATACAACCCTTGCTACACTTTTCTTCTTCTGTCCGAGAGCGTCAAGAGTATTTCGCAAATGGAGCGAATTTTTCTTGCGAAAGAACCTACGTACGACTCATCTCCTGATCAGCACGTACAACGCAAAGAACCTCGAACTCCACGGTGTTGTCGGTTCCCGCCGCGCTCTCAGGAGTGAAGACTGCGGACCTTGTTCCCAATCACTCGATTACGAAGCCTCTGAAATAAAAAGAGAGCGACGATGGCTTAAGAAGAACGCGCGGCATCGACGGAATTGCGCACTCGTCACTGTACGCTTCTCAAGTCACTGCAAGATGGAAGAGTTGCGCGGAAGAGGCCTAGTGTTTTACACCGACCCCAAGCCTCTCCCACCAGCGCGCGCTATTGTGACTTGCGAGTGGTATCCATTGATCGGATTGGCTTTGCGGTGGTCATGTATCGGAGAGTTGCGCATTCATTCGCGGAAGAGGCAATCGGAAGACCTCGGGGATCTTCTGGACGAACCCTTCTTGGAGTATAGCTGGTGGCAGGATGTACTCAGTCACACAGTCCCGGGCCGCCGGCCGTGGCTAGGTTTTGGACTTATTGGATGCAGATAGCAGACATGAAGCCATGTCTGACTGACTTCACTTCGATTTTACTGTTTGTGATGTTATGTTTGGTCATTTCGAGCACTCCTTCTGTGAGAAGTATTGAGTTTCACGATAAGGAAGATACAATACTTTGGAACCTGAGAACACGGAGTGACGAATCAATGTACATTACCATGGTTCACGTGCGGGCCGGACCTTATCGAAACCATATCTAGTTCCATGGTAGAAGGTGATGACAACGACTTAGCTCCGTTTGTTCCTGCACAAGTTCTGGCGGGGTCCAGCGTATGCTTTTCGTCTGTTTGTTTTCTTTCCGGTATCATTCTATACCCCTACTTTCACATGAGACAATTCAAAATTGCGACACATCTCCCCTTCACGACCACGATGCTCCTCTTCCCATTCTGGAAAGGCCAAAGTAAGCAGGCGACTGCTGGCCCTCCCCTAGGTGGTCTGCCAGAAAGTTCGCTGCCTTTCGGGTGTCCAATGCACCGCTACTCGCGCATCGATTCTATCGCATCTACAGCGACTACAGTGTCTGATCAAGAGATCCTTGAGTACCCAGCGCTAGTGGAGTACTATCTATCCATCCTTCCCCGAGTACTCCTCACTTCGGATCTCGGAACGTGGAAACATCGATACCAACTCCGTTTCCTCTGCATTACCGCAAACGGCTCTCCTCTGGCGCTCTTCACGACGTCCGACTGGGCCTGCAGAATAAGATGGGTTGATGGAAAGTTGCGGCATCCCTCTCTGCTCAAGGCCAGGTGCCCCTGGCGCAACGGCCTCCCGCGCATACGATCTCCATGCACAGTAAGAGCCACCATTCGGAATAAGTGGCAGTATAAGATATGCAGAAAGGCCATTATAAGATGGGATGCGGAACTCGGGACCCTTCTTGTAGACTACAAGAAACTTCTAGCAGATTACGAGGCCCAAGAGAAGAGCAATAGGAATCGAAGGAGAGTCGCCAGTACCGTCAAGAAGTATCATCAACTAGAAGGAAAGGTGCTAACGAATGAGACCGGTGAAAATTGGGCCAATTGGGGCGATTGGGATATCTTTCCTGCTTCGGCGGATGTAGCACAGGTTTGCCGGCTCGAGGGGCGAGATTTCGAAGAGGGACTTGGAAAGATGCCAGGGCGGAGTAAGAAGTATAGGTTACGGCGCTGTTTGAAGGACATGACAAAAGCTGTGAAAAGAATGGTGTTGAAGTAACCAGGTCGCCTCCGTGGTCCTGATAGTCTGTCTACCTCCAGGCTGCTCTTTTAATCTAGATGTTGCACTGTAGTCTTGAAAGAGAATGAAGCGTCCTCGTTTTTCCCATCTCATAATTGTGCGAAAACATACCTTCCTAGCCTTAACATTTGGGTACTACTGAAATAGAGCAGCTTTGTCCGCGCGAGAGCGTCAAGGGCTACGTAGGTAACCGGTCTTTGATTATCAGTTCATCCGCGCGCAAGTCGGTCCTGGCATCAAGTCTTGGTTGACTTCAATATGGCCGCTTTCTGAACTTTCTCGAAGCTATGTGCAAAATGATGTTCAGTGCTGAAAGCACAAGGCAAAAAACCTGTCCTTCACGACAGCTTCTCTGTTATCGATAAGATACCGTAAGGATAGACCAAAATATTTCCAGGCCCCCGCAAAACACCGAAACATTCCTAAACTTACTCAATCATTGAACAAAATGTCTCTCTGTGTCGCATGCAACAAGCCTCTGATGGTCGAGATTGAGGCTGATGATGAGGAGCAATACGAAATGGCCGGCTCGTCCTCCGGCAAAGCACCAGCAGCAGAGCCGGAAACTGTTCCAGATGATGTGCAGCTGAATTGCGGCTGCCACTTTCACTGGTAAAAAAAACGCTCGAGAAGCACTGCTACCTCCCAAAATTGACAGATTCAGGGATTGTCTGTTAGAAGCCTACCATGTCACCGAGTGCCCCAACTGCGGCAAGTATATTGCGTCCGTGTCACCAAGCGGCGAGCAGCAAGTTCTCTGCAACCTCAACAACGAGGGTGGTCTGCAAGAGAACCTCGACCTCCTTCCCCTGCTCACCGAAGAGAGCTACCTGAAAGCGTACCCCGAAGACCGCAAATGCCGCGCATTCCTCGAATTCTGCCGCGAAGGCGACTACAAGGCCATCATTGGCATGTTGCAGGACGATGAAGTGGAGGAAGATGACGAAGACGAAGAAATGGCTGATGATGACCAGCCAGACAAGGATGTCGGTATCGACCGGCTGTTGAGATACCAGGATCCTATCGGCGAGATGCAATCAGGTCTGCATGCTGCTGTCCAGGCTCAGAGCAGGGAGGTTGCATGGTTGCTGTTGCTGCTCGCGAGCAATCTGGACCTCATGCAGTTCCCACCTGAGGTCTTTCAAGAAGCAGCGGCGATGGGTATCATGAGAGGACTTACAGAGGACAAAGTGGACATCAGGAGTCTGCGAGACGCAAATGGAAAGTCTGCGGAGGACTATGCGAACGAGATCGGCGGTGTCTGGAACGGTTGGACAGGTAATGGAAGGCTGGACATATGAGATTGCCTGCGATACTAGCAGATGTGTGCCAGTTGATGGAGTGATACCCGTTTAGTAGCAGAAGAGAAAAGTGCAAGCCTATTATGAAAAGTGCAATTCGTTACTGAGGCTTCAGGATATTGCATCGCAGGAAAATGTCCAAGATTGTGTTCAGGCACATCTCACTTTCTGACAAACTGACACGGAGCACCTTGTTGAACATCGAGGCTGTCGCTGCTCCCTCCTGAGTTATAAGTAACGGCACGTGATCGACGCGTTAGGAAAGCGCACTAGCAGACGCGTCGTCGTCATTACACTTTGAGCATCAACACTCCTCTTTCAGCGTCTGCCATCCGCCACAAATCTTCTCAACTCCCATTACACAACATGACCGGCGGTTTCAAACGTGGCGGCATCCGAGGAGGCGGCGGCGGCGGCTTCAAGAAAGGCTACGCTAAGAAACGCTCACCTGGGGATGACGATGACGCGCCTCGTGCGAGCAAGAAATCGAAAGGCGACGATGACGAGGAAGAAGACGCAGCGCCTGTTGTTCCAAAGCTAAAGACAGACGAAGACAACAACCCATTCATTGCAGTATTTTCATCTGCACTTCTTGCAGGATGAATGATTGACGAGTCTAGCTTAATCACAGCGGCAAACGACGTGTAACAGTTAGTGACTTTAAAGGCATGACACTGGTCAGTATTCGGGAATACTGGGTGAATGATGGAGGTGAACTGAAGCCGGGAAAGAAGGTAGATTACAACCCTGCTCTGTCAACACTGATTTACTGATCACCTCCAGGGTATCTCACTGTCAATAGAACAGTACAACGCACTCCTCGCCTCAGCGCCACTATTGGAATCCGTCCTTAGCAAGAAAGACGTTCAGGTAGCACGACCAAATTACGAAGCAGACCTGAACGCTTTGAAGCCAGCTGAGGAGGAGAAGGAAGAAGGGCAACAGTCTATCGCCAAGGTCTACGATGATGAAAACGAGGAATAATTTGACACGACCAAGAGGTTTCAGGCACTTCGCATGTTCTACACCAGCGTATCATCGTTGGAATGAATGGAACCACGAGCGATGGGTTGTACAGGATACTCCTTCCCAAGCCGGTGTATTGTAAATCCACACAGTACACAACCGCTTCATCTAGGGAGTGCACACAGAGCGTCGGTGCTACGCTGACGAACGACCTGCATGTGTTCCAACGTACCTTGCGAAAAGATGGTCAAGGCGTGCATCCTTCGCCCTCCACACTCCACCAACTAGGGGAATTTCGACTGCACAAGCCGTCCAATGATTACCTTTCTGCTTTAAATATTGCTTCTGACGACAAGCTTTGCGTTCACGACAAGCTCACTACACGTTTCTGTTCCGGGTTTTGTCTGCGCTCCGTCGAGAACAAGTTCCGACTTTGTTCTAACATCGCCTTTAATAAGCGAGCTTTTCAACGAGCAAATTAGTCAAAATATTGACCCAGTGGACTGGATATGTCACCGTCATAGCTAGACTGCTGACGGCCTACCACGTGGCACACAACAATCCATCAAGGGACGAAGAGGTAGATTGATCTGCCCGCTACGGCGCTAGCCCAGAATGATGGATCCATCTGCATTGGACGGCAGTTGGCCCACAGTCGTCAGTAGAAGGATTCGAGAGGCATAGACAGTGAATAATTTCTCGCGTCCGATCTTCAGCAGAAATCTGTCTATTGTATGGAGGACCTGTCACTGCCCGCCAGCTATATTGCACCGGCGCAAGTCGACTCACAGATGCTGTCAATCACGTGAAGGAATGCGAGAGACGCCCGAGGAGATGAACACACGAGTACATCATACCGATGAGTATGAGCTGCGTCGTTCCTGGCATGATCGCCATCTTCGTCAACTTCCAAACTGGTCGACTTGCATCAGACCTACTATCACGCCACCCAGATTTCGAGACTCCCTTCCAAGAGAACATACGACTTCACTTAGGCAGACAGAATGTCCAGATGGACCGCATAGCATCTAGACTTTCCAGCGTCTACGAGTGTCACGCAACTACTGCTCGAAGTCAACATTCGAACGCCACAAACCCGTGGACACTACTGGCAACGATAACTCAAGAGCATTACCGATGGATCATAATAACGGTGTGAACGCTTGTCAGCGCAGGAGGACATCTATGCGAACTACTTTCCTCTTGGGATGACTGAGCTATGTCATGTACCGACTGGGAGGTAACGCAGCCATCCGCGCCGGTTCGACTAGCCAGTACTATCAGCGTTCGGCAAAGCATAATCAGACGAGTAAGCTCACTAATGCGACGTTCTCGCATAGTCCTTCGCGTATCGCGGTATGTCACCGTGAAGAATCCTGGAAGTCAGCCATTTGGGGAATTAGGGAAATTGGAGACTGGAAACACAGGAAGTGGTGGTGGACAGGTTGGCGGGTCGAGTGGTAGGTCAAGTGATAGCCAGAGCGGGGCGCTAGGCGCAGGCTCTGCAGTGAATATTGAAGTCATATGGACGTTGATGCCAGCTGCAATGCTGGCATGGCTACAGTGCTAGGGAACCAGTAGCGATATCTCCGACCTAGCCATCTCACCAATCCACTACCACTCTACCACTCCCTCACCTCACCCCCCGGCCCAATAAATCCCGGGACCACCCACGCCACCGCATCCTTACTCAACCTCCTCACCTGCTCCTCATCGATCTCAATCCCCAGCCCTGGCCCCTTCATCAACGCAATATACCCCTCCTTAACATCCCACACCTCAGGATTCTTCGTATAGCTCGTCAGATCCTGACTACCGGCATTATAATGGATGCCCAGACTCATCTCCTGAATCGCAAAATTCGCAACTGTGACATTGACCTGCACACACGCGGCCAGCGCAATCGGACCTAAAGGACAGTGCGGCGCGAGCGCGACGTCGTAGGTCTCGGCCATGCTGGCGATGCGCTTCATCTCACTTATCCCGCCGATGTGCGAAATATCTGGTTGGATGATGTCCACGCAGTTCGCTTCCAGGAAAGGACGCACATCCCACCGGCTGTGCAGGCGCTCGCCGAGCGCGATGGGGCAGGTGGTTGTTTGGCTGAGTTGCTTGATAGCGCCGATATGTTCGGAGAGGAGCGGCTCTTCGATGAACAAGGGGTGGTGGGGTTCTAGAGCGCGGGCGAGTTGTTTGGCCATGGGTTTGTGGACGCGCCCGTGGAAGTCCATGCCAGCGTCCATACCTAGCTCTTTCACCGTCTTGAGTCTCTCGACTGCTGATTCTAAAGCTCTTGGCGAGTCGAGCCAGTGCAAGTCCTCTGTGGCATTCATCTTAACGGCCGTAAAGCCCTGGTCTTTGCGCGCTTGTCTATTTACTGTGAGTACGCAGTCTTGTGGTTAATGTCAATCGGACTTACGCTTGGGCTTTCACGTCGCCTGGGCGGTCGCCGCCAATCCAAGCGTACACTTTCAGCTTGTCCCGCACTTTGCCGCCGAGAAGTTGGTAGATGGGCACGTTTAGTTTGCGCGCTTTGAGGTCCCAGAGGGCGATGTCGATGCCTGCGAGTGCGCTCATGAAGACGGGGCCGCCGCGGTAGAATGATGTGCGCCATGACGTTTGCCAGATGTGCTCGATTTCACTTTAGGATGTCAGGGAGTACACTGGAAGGAAATGGTGTGCTTACTCTGCTTCAAAGCCGGTGTAGCGTTGGCCCCATGCATCGAGACATCCTTCAACTGCTTCCGTGTGGCCTTCGAGAGATGCCTCGCCCCAACCGAAGTTCCCGTCCTCGTCGGTGATCTTGACGAAGAGCCAGCGAGGTGGTACTCGGAAGTATTCGATCTTTGCTATCTTTCCCATAGCGATATTGAATGTGAGAATCTCGTGCTTTTGCGACCAGTTGGTCAGTCAGGTGTGTTGTTGGTGTCATTCTCTTTACCCCAAGCAATTACAAGTCATCTGATCAAATGGCATGGCAACTAAACAGCATCAGAGGACATGCTCCCCACAAATCACCCCGAACGAGCGAATTGAGCCCCTCCATTGCCGTTGAGCTTAATGCGACCTCGGCGCGGGGTTGTCAGCGGTCCACTCTTGGCCTCTAGCTTCGGTGTATGGAGCAAAGGGCCCCGAACGGTCGACCAGCGGCAGATGCAATAAAGTCACGATGTGCCCTGAGCCCCTCCTGTAACAGATTGAGATTTTTGTTGTCTTTCGAGGAATTGAGTCGAAAGTCAAGTTCGAAAGTCGTCAATACCAACACCTACGCACGAGCCACATAATGACCTCAACCGTCACTTCCCCGCCAAACGGCGTCTTCGTACCCGTCCCAACCTTCTTCAAGCCCGCCGCCGACTCCAAGTTACTCCAAGCCGCTGTTGATGTCCAGACACAGACTGAGCACAGCGTGTTCCTCGCCAAGAATGGCGTTCGCGGTCTTGTCCTGCTCGGCTCCACTGGCGAAGCCATTCACATGAACCGTCAGGAGCGCATCGACCTGATCTCTGGTGTGCGCAAGGGACTGAACGATGCCGGCTTCCCTGACTACCCAATCATGGCGGGCACCCTGATTAACAGCGTAGACGAGACGCTAGAGCAGCTTGAAGACTATAAGCAGGCGGGTGCACAATGGGGGCTCGTCCTTGCACCAGGGTACTTTGGCGCTGCAGCGAGCCAGGAGGGTATCAGGGAGTGGTATACTGTTGTTGCCGACAAATCGCCCCTGCCTATCCTTATGTAAGTGTTAAAGGTTGTGAAGAAGGCGATTAAAGGCTGACCAAACATAGCTACAACTACCCCGGCGTAACTAACGGCGTCATGGTTACCCCCGAGACGTACCGCATCCTCGCCCAGCACCCCAATATCGTCGGCTGTAAGATGTCGCACGCTGTCGTGTCATGGCACAACCAAGTCTCGCTCGATCCTAAGATCGACCACAACAAGTTTAAGGTGTACAGCGGACTGGGACAGCAGCTTGGTCCTATTGTGTTCTTCGATGCCGCAGGTGTCATTGACGGTCTGGCGGCTATCTACCCCAAGACTGTCTGCTCGCTGTTCAAGCTCGCTGAGACACGGCCAATCAGCAATGAGAACTTGGAGAAGATCAAGAAGCTACAGTACACAGTCAGCACGACCGAGGAGTACATCGGCAAGTACGGTATCGTGGGCATCAAGGAGGCAGTCAAGCGCGTAACTGGATATGGCACATTGGAGGGTGGAAGGCTGCCGATCAAGGGCAAGCTGCCGGAGGGTGAGTGGGAGAAGTGGAGCGAGACTTGGGAGAGGATACAGAAGGCCGAGGACGCGTTGTCTGAGAAGGACTTTAAATAAGCACGAAAGCCATAGAAGAAGGTCAATTGAATTACAAAATGACGTACCGCAAAGCTTGACTAAGGTCGATTAACAAGTGAGTCTAGTTTGTGCAGCTGTAATATCTTTACGTTTGCCTAATCGCAAGCGTGAGAATCACCACTTACAACGACGATGCATGTTTACTGACAAACTCCAGTAAAGGTATGCTCGCTTCTGAAGCCTCGTGGCGCATTTACCCCGCTTTTCCATTTCCAGTCCAGACGATCTTGCAAACAGTCCCTGGTGTCACCTTCCTGTCGATACTTGGAGGAAGGCGCGTCGCCGTATCACGAGCCACAACCTCTCTCACTGTTCTGGAATCAAACAACTTACACACCATATAACACACAATTCGATCCACGTACCGATCTCGAACTCTATAAACGTACCTTACCATGGCGCCCCTTGATGACACCACGCCAGAAGCCCGCTTTGATAGCTTCACCATCTACCGCACTTCCTACAAAGAAATCTCCAGCCAATCTATCAACGTCGTCATCCTAACCCCCAAGACCCTCAGACCGGGAAAACACCCAATACTCGTCAAATTTCATGGCGGCGGCCTGGTAAGATAAGTGTTTCGTTTGGAGCAAGTGTCTCGTTTGGAGCAAGTGTCTCATTTGGAGCAAGTGTCTCGTTTGGAGCAAGTGTTTCGTTTGGAGCAAGTGTTTCGTTGGAGCAACGACTTGCTTGGTCTTCGGCTAACATTTCCAGGTCACGGGTGACTGTCTCTACGCCCCTTGGTTTGCGGCTTACTTTGTACCGTTTATTCATCGGGCGAACGCAATCGTCGTCTCCCCTAACTACCGCCTCGTCCCCGAGCACACCGGCGCAGACATCCTCGAGGACCTGACCGACTTCTGGGGATGGCTGCGAAACGGCGGCCTGGCGTCCTATCTCGCAAGCCAGAACGTGGTTGTGGACCTCGATTTTGAGCATATCCTGGCATCAGGCGATTCTGCAGGCGGCTACATGGCGCTCATGTCCGGCCTTCTGCAACCGAAGGGTAGTATCAAGGCGGTTCTGGCGCAGTATCCGATGACGGATAGTTTGAGGCGAGACAAGAGCGAGCTGTTTATTGATTTGCAGTCGCCGCCTGCGAGTCTTGTCGATGAGCATATGAAGAGTGTCAGGCCGGGGGTCGTGGTATCATCGTGTGTTCCGCCTGAGCGTATGAACCTCTCGTATGTGCTTTCGGCCTATGGACGATATCTGGAGTTCTTCGGGGGAGATAAGATGATGTGGCCGCTGTACCTTATCGAGGAGAAGAAGTGGTTGCCTCCGACGTGGATTCATCATGGGGATGTGGATACGGCGGTCAGTATTGAGGATAGCAAGGCGTTTGTGGCGAAGTGTGAGGCGATTGCTGGGTTGGAAGTCAGATTGGAGGTTTTGGAGGGTAAGGATCATGGGTTCGATACGCAGGCGAAGGAGGATGAGGAGCCTTGGTTGAAGGAGGGGTTGAGGTGGGTGGAGAAGAAGTGGCTACAGTGAGACCAGAGGTGGCCGAGGGTTTGGCGTGGCTTTTGGGGCTACATACTCTTTGCAAAAAGCAATGCCAATATGATAATACCAGGAGTGAACTTGTAGAAACGACCGAAGGCACTCTGGTACGTCGTCGCCACAGACTTCTGCTTCTGCAACTGTCCGTTCCACACTCAGGTCCATCCGTCACAACCCACATGATATCCCTTTCCTGAACCTTTTCAGTGTCACAATCTCACGCTCCGATCGCCTGATCTCCTTTCACCCTTCTGCGAATTCGGCCGCAGAATCGCCAAAACGTCCCCGTCTCCAACGGCATCAGTCTACATTTCCGTCAGCCTCCCCTCTTGGCCCGCCTGTATAATGATGCCATTAACAAAGGTGAATTCACTAGTATCCAAGTCCTCAACATACACCTCGTCGCTATCATCTCCTATAAACCTGCTGATGTTACAGCTGCGAGCCGCAAGTCGATCTTCAGTAGCTCTGTCTCTCAGAGACTTCTCTCTGGCGTACAAATCGTCATTCCCGCTGATAGTAACATCTGTATCGCCAGCGCGTGCAGGTTTGTCACGCATCTCGGAATCCCTTGAGGCGCTGAAGCGGGTACCCATTGGCATAGGCGTAATACTCGTGCTTCTCGATCGCGTCGCAAGTTCTGCTGTGCTTGTGTCCCCTCGACGCTGTTCTCTGGCTGACGCTCGGAAGACCTTGTCCTGGGTATGGAACCGCTCGTCCGCTTCGCTGATCTTCTGGATCTCAGATTGGGCGCGGACTGCGGCTTTACGCTTGCTTGGTAGCGGAGGGCCTTTGGGCTTCGCCGGTGCCGGAGTAGGTGCCTTGGGCTTTTTAAGTGGCGAGCCGAGAGATATAGTGAATTTCTTGCGTGCAGCGACAAATGAAGGCTCTGATGATGAGTAATCGGACTGTTCATCGTCGCTCAGGTCCACCCGCTTGCTCTTTTTGCTCAGTGTCAACAAATTGAACGTGTGCGAAGCTATAGACGCTTGTCGTTGGAAGGGTGCGGTCTTGTCTGGCGCTGGTGTCTGTGCCAATGTGCAACTGGAAGCTCGCGATCCCCCTGCGCGAGCCCTAGCATCAGGAGTATCCGTTGAAGCTGGAGACAGTGTGGGCTTCTTGAATGCATTCAGTAAGGCTGTTGCCTCGAGGATTGGGGGTGTAGATGGCACAGAAGCGAGTGACGGTGATGGACTGAGCAAGTATGTCTTTTGAACATCCTTGTTGAAAGTCGAACACTTAGCAACGTCAGGAGTTGACGAGTCCACGTCCATGCTGTCATCTTTAGAGGAAGTCACCCCTAGCTTCTTTAGCACTGTCTTGACGTTCAAAAGGGCTGTGATTGCGTTGATGATCCAAAATCAAAACAGTTGAAACACTCCTATGCGGTACTTACCTAGCGGTGCATCCTCCATACCAACATCCTCATCGCTATCCTTCCTGGCAAGCACGCCGCTCGAGCCTGGTGCCAAACCTTTTCTTCTCTCATTCCTTAGAACGTGGTTGACAGAGCCATCGTTCTGCTTTTGCTGTTGGATATTGAATGGATCGTTGTTAGCTGGTAGCGTCGCATGATTCACCGTCAGCCTGCTTGCGTCTTGTACCTGTTGGCGTAGGACGTTGTTAGGAATCACGGTGTCCTTGCTGAGCGGGAGTAGTGCTTTCTTAGGCGCTGACTGCGGAGGAGGTTGGGCCTGGCGATGAGGTGGAATGGCAGTCGCTGCCCGTTGAGACACAATTGACGACAGGGCATTGAACGCTGCAGACTCGTGGGTCGGGTCGTTTTTGTGAGGCTGCGCAGAAGGAGGGCTCGTAGTAGTCCTGTTGACGTTGTTCTGGGAAAGGCAAGGAAGGCGCGGCTGAGGCTGGCTCTGCGCTGGATCAGAAACCTCGAAATTCTCCTGCTTGGCTGGCGATGATCCCGGGATTGGCTTATGGAGTCATTAATAGACAATACCTAGAACTGGAGGTTGTCAACTCACAAATGACTTCTGGGAAGTTTCGCCACGGAGTTGAAGGGTTGCAGTCGGTATGCTCGGACGAAAGGGCGCTGGGGCGACGGTAGGTGCAGTCTTCTGCTGATATGTTGTTTTGGTGACCTCAACAAGCATATCATCGTCGTCCGAACATAGGTCGATCATCTCAATCTCTTTCTTAGCGGTCGCTTTAGTTCGTGAGCTGGTGATATCTGGCTTAGATTGTCCTGGCTTTGGTCGCTGAGGACTGGTCAGTGCTGGTTTGCTGTTCTGTTGCTGTACCTGAGGAGATCCAGACGATTGCTTCAGCTGTTGCTTTACTTGCTGTAGAGTTGTAGAGACAGCCGTCGTGGTCTGTCCATTCTGCTTCTGACTGTCGAAGGCTTTGAACAACGAATGCTTTCTCGGAGGGCCTGGCGTAGGCAACGGCCTCTGGTGTGGCGCATAGGCTGGGGTAGCGCTAGGTCTGGAAGTAGTCTGCTGAGTCGAGAGTGGTGGGAGTGTGGTCAAAAGAAATGAGGGTAGTAAAACAGTATTAGGGAAGATGATCGACGCAGGTGACCAAGTAATAGAAGTCGTCAAGTCGTGGTGAAGGTGAGGGTAAGGCTGGCATGACGGTAGGTGAAGGCAAAAGTCGTGCAGGGTTCGCTGTTCCTATGCGCAGGTGAGAGAGAAGTGTCCAGGCATTGAGATGTCAAGTGGTGGTGACGGGCGGTTTGAGCAAACAGCGAGAATGCAATCGCCCTCCAATTGCGTAACACAAAAGCATCCGCCTAGACCACAACTCCCACAAATCATTGCACAAGGCGAGCTCATGTCGAGAAACATGATCAAGGTACCGTACCCTTCACAGGCAAATGTCGAATTGGGGATGTCTTTGATTCCAGAAAGCGCCATAGCCGATGCAGACCGTAGAGAAACAGGTAGTATACACAAAACCACTCCTCTCCGTTTAAAAACCAGGAGGATTCAATCTCTGGCTGACTCTTGTCCACTTGGGCACCTCTGCAGATTGTTAGCGTTTGTTCGTCGTTCTAACGTTTCCACCATCTCATTGTCCATTCATGTCTCCTCTCCCATGAACCCCTCTACCGTGGCTTCCTCATATCCCACCGAATGGAGGCAACTCACTGTGAATGCCCTTCCTGTACCTCTTCACCTTCCTGTCGAACACTGTGTATTTGTCCTTGGGCAGCATCTCCTGCTCGGTCGGCATCTCCATCTTCCAGCGATCCACCTTCTTCATGCTCAACCCCGTCCTCGCCAACGCATTGTCCAGCGTCGCAACGATGCCGTCTACATTCCGGAGGCGCTCGCGTTGTCGGTACTTCTGGTGGCGGGACAGGCGCCAGGGGATTTTCCTTGAGCAATGTTAGTTTCTGATGCATTGCCGCCATGGTCACGTGAATTGACAGAGACCAGTCCGAGAGCGGGAGGGAGCGCGCACCAGAGCAGACCGCCCGACAGCGGGTTTGTAAGACGGAAGGGGCCGAACATTGTGGATGTGCGTGTTCGTGATGCGGGTCAATGTGCAATTGCAGATGCAAAAGACTCCCGCGGACTTGCTTGGCGCGCATCCCTGCCTAGCGTGAGCGTGGGAAGCTCATCGTGGAGCATTGCGACCACCACAAGTACCACGATCAGCAGTTCACGCCAAACACATACCGCGCGATCTCGCACAAACCAACTCAAGGAACTCAGGGGACACCTCCCTCGCATTGGACCTCCCACGGACTGGAACACACCGCACAATGTCCTACACCTTCTCTATCCTCTCCCCCCTCGACGTCCCCCTCTTCACTCACGACTTCGGCACCTCCCGCTCGGGCGGCGACGGTGTCGCACGCTTCACCCCCTCAGAACGCGCCTTGGTCCCCTTCATTCTGCACTCCGCGCTCGACATCGTCGAAGAAGTCCAATGGGGGCCCTCCACCTCCTCCGGCAGCGCGCCCATGTACCTCAAGCACATCGACAAGTACCAGAACTGCTACATTTCGTGCTGGATTACGGGCGCGAATACACGGTTTCTCCTCTTGACGCGGCCGCGCGATGAGAGTCTGGGGCTGACGGGAAGTGGAGGCGGTGCGAGGGGGAGTTTGGCGGGCGGGCGAGCGGCGCTGGGAGGTGGGCAGGGACTGTATAATCCAACCAGTCCGGCGACGGAGGAGGCGGTGAAGAACTTCTTTGTCGATGTGTATGAGGCCTGGATGAAGACTATTATGAATCCGTTCTTTCAGGTGGGCAACGGGGATGTGGTTAAGAGCCCCGTGTTCAGGCAGAGGGTTGCTGCGGCGGCGAAAAAGTATCTGTGAAAGGGAGAAAGACTTTAGGAAACGAGCATGAGGACCTGATGTCCGTTGGAAATTCAAGGGGGACAAAGTCCACGTGAGAAGTCCACACTCAAGAGTAGTTGGGATCTGCCAGCCTGAGGCGTTGTTGCTATGATACCCAGCAGCACTTGCCCTGCTAAAAGCCTCTCAAGGATCTGCATGGCACGAAGGATGGCACCCTATCGCAGCAAGACATGGCGTTGAAGGTTAATTGCCAACGTCCTGCGGTTCCATCCGACCTGCACTCGAGCGCAATTCTCAGCCTCTTGTAGCACCTGGCCCCGCTCTCGGCTGTTCGGCTACGATAGGCTATCTAGGACAGTGAACGAGAAGAAAGGGAAGAAAACATCGCTGAGCAGATTAGGTTCTTCCATCCAGGGCCTGGTTCTGATGAGGACATATCTGGCTACCTCACAAAGACAGAAGTCAGTTAGTATTACGTGGCCTTCAGAATATGAATGATTCGTCAACTACCTCGCACGCAGCGCGATTAGATTCTCAGGTCCGCAATGCATAACACCGACAGAAGGGAAACCCCACGTACGCCATTCTCAGAGCGGCGGTTCATCACACACTATACACATCTATGGTGACCACTAGCTTATCCCTGCTGTTGTACGTTTTTATCTTTTCACTCGGCTCATCACTCCACCAACCTCATTTGCTCTACTCTTTGCTCCCCTTCGAGTAAAACTGGTTCACGCATGCCCAACTCACATCGCCCATCCTCCTAACTTACTACCGCCCATCAGCTCACAAACCCCCACCCTGCTCCCTCCACTACTTACACAACCAACCAATAAGCGGGCAATCCACCGGCACAATCGTACAAGTCACCGAACACAGCTCCGGCCTATCTATATATCGGTAGATGTATCGAAGATGTATTGAAGATGTATCGACCCGGTACATACGCCCCATCCAATCCACCCTGAGGAGAGCCTGGTATCGTCCCTGGTGGGCATCCGTCATCCGGCTCGACAAGAAGGGGTTCCGTCCAGGAGAATGGTAATTGTGCAGATGCTTGCGGAGACCATTCGGGTCACAGGGGTATGTTAGGCATCGGCGGAGCTGAAGAACACAACAGTTCAATGGCTTCAGCAATATTGAAAGAGAACTAATCTGGCGTTGGTGATGTCACGCGCCATTGCGAGTCGAGCGAGAGGAGTTTGAGATGTCAGCGGATAGAAAGCGACAGCCACCATGGCGGAGCTGGTAAAGGTGGTCCAAGTAGAGGGCTTGTTGTTCCGAGCGCGGAGCTATGGTGGTAGGGTGCGGTGATGGTGGACTTGGGTTTGACACTGCCACGACAAAAGTGAAGCTGTCACGATCGTGACGGAGGGCGCAAGGAGAAATAAGGAGACCTGCATGGTATGGATCGCTGTGGATCGGAGCTGATGAAAGAGGGAGGAAGAGACCAGATGGACTTGAACTACCCGTATAGCATCGACGACTATCATTGCTCAACTGAAGCAGGAATGCTGGTACCCAGTTTTTGTATGTCACAAAGCAAAGACACCCTAAAATCAATCAATAACACGCATTCAAGACGTACCTATCTCAATCGACTGAAAGTTCTGTCCTGCATCATAAAAAAAACAAGCCCGTCCTGTTTGCGCTGTTGACTGTCAGTGAGCCACAACCATGATTCTCTGGTTCCACATCTCGGATACTACGTACATACAATACTCCGAGCAATTTCTCAGGCAATCAAGATTCACAGATGATGTGGAGTATTCGCTTATGCATTTATCCACCAGACACCACTCAGGCGGTGCCGGCGCAGATGGAGATGGTGAAAGTGACACGGCATCAGAAGGGGTTGAAGCGGGCGATCCGAATAGAAGCAGCCATAGCATGAATGCTAGAATCGACTCTGGAGGAATAGATGCAGAGGAATTCGGCACCTGCGAAGGAGGTAATGGTGGTGTTGCTGCAGGGGTCACCAGAGGATTGGTCACAAATGGGGTTGGAATTGGCGAAGTTGACACTGGCAGACCAGACGCAGGGTCTGTCATACGAGGAGTTGGCAGAAGGGGAGTAGGGTGTGACACTTCCCAGGGCAACGGTGAGGCTTTTACGGTTGCAATCAATGTTGCTAGAGTGAAGGCAGAAGGCTTCATGGTGTATTTGATGTTGAGAAGCATCCTCGATGCGAAGGATAGTTGTGGCGGAGCTGAAGCTATAGCGTTGACTTGATGAACTTGTGCTCGTTTGCAGCAAGGATGCTGTCCGTACTACTGGGCCATCGTACGACCCAAGAAGAAAGGCATGTTATGCACTGAAAGTCTGGAAAAGGGCTCTAGGCGTGCTTCTCATGTGTATTGCATGTGTCGTAAAATTGTAGTACCACGAAGCCACGATACGCGTCATAATTCGTTCTCTCAGAAGTACCCATTTTGCTTATCCGTTCTGGCCCGCTACGCTGCTCTTGTCTCTATTCAAGTCCTCTTGCAGCACGACCAACACTCGCCTTGTTGCTTAGAGTACTAGGCATCATCAGCACAGACACTGTCTTCTGCTTCCTCGTACTATACGTACCCAACCCTTCCCACAATTCTGAATCGGGCTCGAAGCGCAGATTCTCGTGCAGAGTTCAGATCTCGAAGTAGGCTTTGGTTTGGGCGCTGGTGCTTTGGACGTGCATGACTCGGCAACTACGGCAGTGGCGATGACTGCGAAGAGGAGGGCGGACAGCTTCATGTTGATGTTTGAGAAGCGACTCAATGGTTTAACTCGGAGCATATGTGAGGATGTAGCGGGCTGAGAGGAAGCCGTGGTGTTAAGTATCAATGATCTGCCAATGGAATGTTGATGCTGAGAAGTTCTTGTGCGACCTGAGGGCTGAGGTATGCGTTGCACAGGGTAGCTCTTACTCCACATGCCTTAATCTAGCTGGAAGCAGTAGTCGCTCTGTAGAAGCGTGCTATTCTTGACTTTGGCCTGCGGGATTGATTGAGCCATGGACCTAGGTCGAATACAGATTTCCTTCATTACACTTCTTCTTGAAGATCTCCGGGTCGCCTTACGGCTCGGCTATGCTCTACTGGCTTGGTAGTTGGACTAGTCCTTTCGCTTCTTTTGTGCGCCATTGTATGGCTCGAGCGAGCTGATAGAGTACCTCCAGTGTTGGCATTGGCACACCTGCTTTCTTGCCCTCGCGCAGCGGCTCACCGAGCAAATCCTCGAACTCGATGTAATTACCCTGCTTTGATCTTAGCTTCGATCGCCGGAGGCCTCCAACTCCATTGGACTCACTTTCTCGATATCCTGCTGCATACTCGGCTTCCCCCAATTCTCCATCGGATCTGTGTCAATAACCTTCTCAACCACATCCTTCTCGAGTTCAATGTTCGTTACAGCTTTCGCGGCTGCAACAATCTCTCTCATTGCCGGTCGGACCAAACCATCCAGCCCACCGTCCGCAAGTCTTATCCTTCCTGAGTCCACGCCCGTGATTGCACAGATCGGATTCAAACAGGCGTTGTAGACCAGCTTGCGCCAACGGTCATGTAAAACAGCCGGTGAGTACTTACAATCCGTTTTGCCACCTGCAGAATACACAGTCACGAACTCCTGGGCTCTGGCAGATGCTGTCTCGATGGTGTTGTGTGGGTGCGGGAATACGCCGATGAGAAGTCGATCTGGTTCATTCTGGACGATGTGGCCGGGAGACGGTTCGGCGCTACCAATAAAGGATACGCCGGAAAGAACGACAGTCTGCGGGTGGGATTCCAGGAACGGTTTCTCGATGTTCAGGCCGTTCTGGAGGAGGACCAGGGTCGTGTGCGTGTTATCTTTTGGTAAGGCAGGAGCAACCAGGTCGAGTGAGGTAGGCCCGACGTCTGGTGTGCTTTTGGTGCAGAGAACGATGTAGTCGTATGGCGGAAGATTTTCGATGACTATATCTGGGATGGAGTTGCGGACTATGATGGGTTAGTAGCTGTGCTCACATGGCTGGACATCTATCTGATTGGGGTTAAGCACACCAACACTCGGTCTGAAATCTCTCAAAAATCCATGATCACAGCTTTCGATGGTGTATCCTTGTTCTTTGACAGCATTGTAGTTCGACCTGAGGGCAACTGTGACTGAAGCAAAGCCACCAACTTCGAGGTTCAACGCAGCAATTGCGCCAACAGAGCCCGCACCAATGACAAGGACGGTCTTCTTCTGGGTATCAGTCATTGTGAAGTAGTTGAGGTGCAGAAGAAGGCTTGACTCACGTTGATATGTGTTTGTTGAAGGTCGATAGGGCGCGCGTTAGACGCGTTTAGTGGGGTGGAGGGGCAGCGAAACGGGAAAGTGGCTCCGGCTCTGATGGAAAGAACGAACTCACGTACAGTGCAGTGCTTGTTCTCGAATGCATCACACGACAAACACTGGAATTCACGCATGTGAATGAAGGCGGGTCCTTTCAATCGAGCTCGATTTGATGCAAATGTTGGTTACAATCCGTTGAATTCGTGGGTAGCAACCTGTTCATCCCCAGATGCTCCGTATCACTCCGCTTTCATTTCGTTGCATTGATGCATAGCATGAGTCGATTGGGAAAGCCGTCCATCCCGTCCGCCTGAAGACTACGCCGAGGGCCCAGCAAAAGAGAGAGAAAGAGACACGCTTAGAAGACAAGAGCGGCACCCTTGGTCTTCTTGTCACCACCGAGCTCGAAGTGCTTGCATCGCTTGAGGGCGAGCTGTCGAGTTGTTAGCCATGTCCATTTCAAGTCGAGATGATTGCCGTACCTGTGCCTTGGTCTTGCAGGCAGTGCACTCTAATCGGAGCACGACCTTCTTGGTGGTCTTAGCCCTCTTGTGGAAGACGGGCTTGGTCTGACCTCCGTAACCGGACTGCTTGCGGTCGTAACGGCGCTTACCCTGAGCGAACAGAGAAGCCTTGCCAGCCTTGTACTCTGCGCAGGTTTAGTATGTGCATGTTATGGCCTGATTGCGAGCTACTAACGGGTGACCTTGTGCTGGGTGTGCTTCTTGCAGTCCTTGCCCTTGCAGTAGGTACGGCGGGTCTTGGGAACGTTGACCTAAACACTCCTTGTCAGCGCACGTCCATCGCCAGTATGCGTGTCCTTCACAGAATCCATCGAGGAAGCCCTAGCTTGCAACATGAGCGAACGAAGCAATGTGGCGAATGTCGTGACGTGTATTCGGTAATGTGTGGCTTGCGGTACGGTGCGAGTCGCATGCGATGTCGTCTGGAATGGCTCGTTGGCATGCGGAGAGTCGACGAGGTTCGTATGGAACGGTATGATGCGCATCGTGGTCGCTTGGCTGGCTGCGTGCCTGGACGCAGTAGTCGCCGCTCAGAGTCTGCGGGCCTGGCCAGCTGTTCCATTGACCAACACCTCTTCCAATCGAGTATGCGACAGTCGTCCTTTGTATATTACATCTTGTGTTCCTTCAAATGCTCGTTGTGCCTGGCTAAACCGTCATAGCCCTTTAAATGCGTACGCTCGCTTCGGTCGTGCTCGTCATCGAAAAGTCGTTCGCATTGTCGTCGTTCACTCATATTGCAATCGCGGCGCCCTTGGAACAGAATTTGGGCGTGGCTGCACTCACCATCTTGACTGATTTTGTCTGTCGGTTAGTGAGGGCGACGGGTTGACGGGTGTGGTGATGTTTGCTCCTTCCTCTCAGCGACCCACGAATGTGCGAGGCGCTAGTTCGCTTAGCGAAAGCCAAGAGGCAGTTGCGTCGTGCACGGATCATCCAACTCACGTTTGAGAAGATCACGACCAGCGAACATCAGCTTTGGGGTGCTTGCAGATTTGCAGTGGAGAGGGTGAGTGAGGCTTCAAGATGCACGGCTTGTCGATGCAAAAGAAATGTCATTACGAAGTGGTATCATGCGAATCTCAAGCGAACCGCCATAACGCCCATGACCTCCACTCTATAACTCGAACAAATCTGATGAGCAGTGCGGCATCATCTAGTAGATAGGATGCCCTTCATCCCACGACTTCTTCTCTGTCATCTCCTTCGATACAGTTGACGGTGTGTTCTCGATGCTGAAGCGGCCACTCTCTCGCTTGCCACTGCTTCGACCGTCCTCAATCAGATGCATCGGACCAATCCACTCCCACATGCGCGCCACATCACCACTATTCGCTGTCCTAACTGCTGCACGTACGTTCGAATTGAACTCGACCTTCTTTTGTACCCTCTCCCACAGCTTCTGCCTCCGTGAAGATGAGAACTCGTTGCGAAGAACGTCGTCTCGTAACTGTGCCATGCTGACACCGCGCTCGGGGTACGCACCAGGCTCCTGGTAGCTGAGTGCGGCGTGGTTGGCGAGCCTGTCGAACACTTCACTAGCAAGCTGCTTCGCGCGGACTTCCATGGCTCGGCTTGTCGTGTATGAATATCGACCATAAGAACCAGAGGCAACCAGTAGGAAGAAGATCACAATCTGGAGAAGATGTCGTTCAAAGGATTGTATGAGGGATCTCCTGATGCTGCAGGTGAGGGAGAGTTTTGCGAGAGAGGTTGAGGCGAGTTTTCGTTTTCCAGTAGTTCTGTATCCACGGGAAGGTAACTGATTAGTACAGTTCTACGTCAGAAACGGTTGCACGACTGGTTTGGGGCTAGAGAGGATGGTACTTACGCATCTGTAGTCTCAACGACCTCATCTCGCAGAACCGTCTCGGGGAAAGCTCTATCGAATAGCTCGCTGAACTCCTTGTCGGTCATGCCTTTCTGCGTGTGTGCGGCCAGCGTCTGCTTCAACTCCTCCTCAGCGACCTCGGGGGTCTCAACAGGCTTGCCCTCCGCATCTGGCTCGCCGCACTCATATTGAGCCCTCTTCTCTCGCAAGATTTCTACCGCTTTGTTTGCGACGGCTGTAACCTTACGCGTCTTCGCGCTGTCCGGTTCGCAGGTCGGTGGCAGGGGAATAAGACCACCTAGTGACAATGGGTGATCTTTTCGGATGAAGTCGCGATCGCACGTCAGCTCCAGCCCTCTATAGCACTGTGCGTGTGGCGGGCAAGGCTCACACTGTGGGAGAACGTCGCTTGCCCATTCCGGCACCTCTACGCCTGCAAGGCTCGTAGCTTCCCTCCCAATACCACAGAAGCCCACTTCGACCTTCTCTTGCCGCCAAACACCACCGAACACAGCGGCAGTCGTGAGAAGGAGTGTCGCTGAGAAGGCCTTCAGGGTACCTGTTGCCTTCGAAGACTGCTTACGCCTTCGAGGCGGTAGTATGTCCACCTGCCCGCTCTTTGCGCGCTCTCGAACCAGTTCCAGCTGCTCTTCTGGGGTGAACTCTTCGCCTGCATCTGTGCTCTCGTGTTCCTCCTCTTTCGCGTGTGGGGCGGCTACGTCAAATGTCTTGCGGGAGGGCACAACAATGCCTTCATCGTACTGTTCTGCGCTGGGCTCAGCTGTTCGTCGGCGGTGCGCATCGCTCTTGCGCCTCGGCTTGAGCTCAGAACCCAAGGTTCTCCTCCTGCTCTTATCACGTGCTGTGGTGTCGGGACCTGCTGGCGAGCTACCACTCTGGAAAGGGTTGTCCTGAGTAAATGGGCTCTCAGGGCCGGTGCGATGCCATGTCTCTGGGTCAGGTGTAGGTTCCTTGAAGGCTGGAGTGACGCTCTTGCGGGTGCGCCTGGCTGCCGGGCCCTCGTCGATCTCAGGTTCAAGCGCTCTGCGGTGCTTTGCAGGTACAGCGCGCGAAGGAGACTTTGCGCGCGATAGCGGCGCAACGTCTCCAGCATCCTCAGTTGCTCCGCGAGTCGTGCGGCGCGCAGTTCGCCTCGTCGCAGGCGTTGGGGCGACCAGCGTGTCGTCTTCGGCGTCGTCGACGGTGCTGTTGGAGCTTGACGGCACATCTATGATGCCTCGTGTGGTGCGCTTCGTGCGCGCATGTGTCCTCTGCACTTGCGCAGCCTGAGGAGCGACAGACTCGTTGAAGAGAGCTACCAGCTGCGGCTTCTTCGCTGACGATGGGTACCCAACGCCATGCTTGAGCAAGATACTGCGCAACTCAGGCACCGTTATCTTGGACGAATCGACGCCAGGCCCAAAGTACCAGTATTCCCCGCGTGCGTCGGCCATGTCTGGTAGTCGGTGCGTATGAGGTGCAAGGTAGGTGTTAGTAAAAGGCGACACGTATAGGCGGCAAAAGAAAGCTGCAGCAGGGCGACAAGGGTGAGGCGGCGATTGGTGAGAGCAGGTGTGTGGGAAGAAAGTGCTAAAGTGTTTGTGACGTAACCAGGGCAACACAAAGCTCCTGAGAAGTCCCGCCGCACTGACTCGCGCCCATCTTCTTTGTTTCCTTTTCACACAAGAATCAACGCCCAGATCGATCAGAGAACTTTGAGATGATATTTCCTTCTCGCCATGCCTGTGCGTGTACCTTGATTTGGCACTCTTTCAAAGAGAGAGTATGTAGCTTAAGAATAACTACACTAGTGCGGTCGAGATCTTGCGAGTACCTTCAGAGTGTGATTTTGCTTGGCCCATGTTCACGGTATAGAGCGGACTTCTTGTGGATACGCGCAGTGGTGTATGAAGGAAGAGAAAGATGATCTGCCATATTACTTATATACGTACGACTGAATAGAATCATAGTTCAGTGAGCGAGACCCCATACATTACCCGTAGGAAACATGCTCACTCTCAGAGAGACTTATCGTCCTTATCAGCTGCGCACCGGTTAGGGGTCCAGCGGTACCGTGCTTACACTGCCAATCATGAGAAGTCTTCATGTAGCGCTCACGAGAGTCCTTTGAAATCGATGGTAACGCATGCGTCAGCCTTGTCTGTTCGTTGGAAGTCATGAAGCCCAAATAAGGGCGGTTCAAGATGCCCAAAGCACGAGCCCGAAGAGGAAGCTGCAGCAGTGCGACCAAACGTTCGATGAAGGAAAGGTCGAACTGTTTGTGACGTCACCACACACTAAGACTAATGTTGACACCCTTGCTTGATCTCTCACGCGTTACCAATATTGAACGAAACACCGTTCAGGTTGTTCGAGTACACCTTCCTTTGATGCTTTTGCTCTCGTTGCATTTGCGAACATTCTCAGTCTGTAGCTCTGTAGTACGCATAAGTCATTTTGGCACTCAAGTTTCGGCCGAATCTGGCAATCTTGCCTAACCTTGACAGGAAGCAAAAGTCAGAAGTGTTGCGCTTCATACGCAACACTGAGCGCGAAAACACTCCCAAAGGTCGCCCGATCAGCAAGCTCGCACTCGTTTCTTTAGTTACAATCCGCCATCTACCAGACATATTAGGTATCGCTGCATAATGCCACTTCCTAAGAGTGCGTGTAGTTTCAACCAATTGATCAGTTTAAATTCACTCCTTTCAAACAGCAACCAAATCACACTACAACAACGATCCCCGTGTCACTGCCCACACTTCACACATTCACTCCCTATATACCCCGCACAAGGACTCCCCTGTGCTCCATAATTGCATACATTCTCCACAGCCAATCATCGGCAACCATGTGCACGACTTACGAGTTCAACTATCTCCGCTGCCAGCGCGAAGTCAGGCGAGACTGCAAGCACACCGACCACTTTCCATGTGAATCAGGCATATGCAAGGGCGATGATCATCAGCAGGTGACTCTTGAGAAGGAAGAGAAGTGTCCAGTGCATAATATGGACGAGGAACAAAGCAAGAAGGTAGGCAAGGACAAGGGCAAGAAGATGGAGGAGTGGCCTGAGGTGAACTGCAAGCCCATGTAAGCTTGGACTCTACGGGAGATATTTACGCTCGAGTATATGATACGCATCACAAGATACACCGCTAGCGACCTTCGCGCTGAGTGCTGTGCGCTCAGTACTTGGGGTGAGAATCAAATTGTCGTCCGAAGATGAACATATGCAGTTGAAACCATAAGTCTTCTCACCATACCTCCTTAGTTTGCCTGTCCACAAACACTTACTTCGGGCTGTCAATAGAAGTAGTAAGCAACCCGCTCTCAACATACACACCACTGAAGTACCAGTCCTCAGCACCCGTCCCATCGTTGCCCGGGCGGGGCAGACGAAGAACACCCAAATGCCAGTCCGCGCCATTGCTCGACGTGCTAGCCGAGAACGGACCTGCAGTCTTGACGAGCGTATTGTTGCCGGTCGAGTGCCAGAAGGAGACTTGCTGAGACGAGAAGTTCTACAATCGTCAGCAACCGTTTCAAAGCCTCGCGATACTCAGAGTATGAAACAGGAGAACGGAGCTGACTTACAATCTCGTAGACCACGTTGTGCCACTCATCCGCTGTAAGCTCAACCTTCCACTTACTCTGCCCGCCCACCATCCACTGCAGGTTGGTGTTAGACGTCCCCTGTTCACCACTAATCCACCCATACTTCAGCTCCGTAAAATGGCTCTCAAAAAAAGCAATCTGATGTTCATTCGTCGCACTCGGCACATTTGCACTCCCCCTCTTAATCGAAAAGTGATAATACACCGTACCGCTATTAATCGGCGCTTTGGTCTGCGGAATCAACTCGGTGCGCCACATGTCGGAGTTCCATTTGGCCGTGCTGTCGATGGTAATCTTAGCGCCTTGCTTCGAGTTTGTGTCGCCGGGGTTCTTGTAGGAGGGGGACAGGTTCACGTAGGAGGTTACAGGGCCGGAGCCGTGAATGTAGTACTGGTACGGCCCGACTTGGTTGGCCCAGGACCATTTGTTGAGGTCGGAGGAGGCCGTAAGGTCGTTGAAGCGGCCGTCCCACAGGATGGTACCTGGGGGATTGTCAGTGTCTTTGTGTGATTGGAGGGTGTGAGAGGGAGGAGCGTACCTGCGGATACCACGCTGATGAGCGTATTCAAAATCGCAGCTTTGCCGTACATCTTCAGGAATTCGAACAGTTACTACTTCTTCGGCTTTGGTGGGAGGTGTAGTAAATGGTGGGAGCAATTCATTGAATGTGAGGCTGCCAGGCTGCTATATACTTCGCCTCATAGATTGGGGGGGACGCGCAAACTGTAGAGGAGTATATATCCATGGTCTGATTTGTACTTCGCAATTACTTGAAACATCATATTGATGAAGGAGCCGATGTGCAAGTAGTACGGTGGTATTGCGTGCATGGACCCTCAATCTATTCATATGTAGCCGCCGGCATCTTGAGTCGAGTGATCTGTTAGTGGCGGCGAAGCGGTCCGGAATTGAAGTTTGGGCATTGAGTGAGACGATGACGCGACGCAATAAATATCAGGACAACTACGGGATCAAAGCAACGCGATGTGTTGCGAACGATGAGAGAGCGGATGATTTCGATGATTCAGAGTGCAGCGGTGTTACTAGGTTGTCGATATTAAGCAACATGAGCCGGGTAAAGCCCCGCAAGTTGCCTGATTGAGGACAACGTTAGAATGCTTTTTGCCAGAAGAAATAATTTGAGAAACTCAACTCAAAAGCTTGGTTCCAGAAATGCGAACGAGAAGGGTATCTGATGCAATAAACCAAAGAAGGAACGAAAGAAGAGGTCGAAGCCAGCGCTTGTACGACCCTACACTTATGACCCTAAACTTTGAAGTAGAGAATTCATGACACTCAGAGCCAGTTTTCTTCTCTCCTCAGTTGAACGGTTCTTGGCCCACCAGTCCTACCTGTCCACTCCGCCAGCCCATGCTCAGCGTTCGCCCAATAATCCCTTGTCTTCTCATACAACGCCATCCGGTCCTTGTAGCTCTGCATCGCGGCGATTTCCTTGAAGCCCATCGGTCTCTCTTCTGCAGGTACATCATCGAACTCGATCGCTGTACCAGAGTCTGCGCGCCTAGGTCTAACGGGTAACGGTGGCGGTGTCTCTTTCGTGGGGGGTTGTTCGTAGTCCGTGACGGCCGAGTATGCTGACGAACTGTACATCGATATCTTGGAGTTGATGCGAGGATAGTCTTTTGGTGGTGGTTCGGGGATAGCATCTGTCTCTGGTGATTTTGGTCGTGTTGTGGAGGTGTACACATCCCAGTCCAGGCTCGTGTTTGGTCGGGAAGGTATCGGACTTGGCTTTCGCTGTATGGCCTGATGCACTGATGAGACCGCTGGATCTGATCTCATACTCGTCATGATCGGACGGTTGTCACTTTGGCTTCTTTTGTGTCCTTCAGAACCTTGTGAACCTGATCCACCCCGTAGTCGTGATATGCTACGTTTTAGAGACAGGCTAGGTCTGCGTACTGCGTTGGTGAAGGTATTCGATCTTCGGGGGACTTCAATCTTTCCGCTGGCCGCATACGTGTGTGATGGCAGTTCGTCAGGCTCCAATGATGTAGGAGCGAAGTAGCTGTCTAGTGATGTGTTGCCTCCAGTGCCACCTGTGATACTGACACCTCCGACATGGCGAGCGTGCATCGGTCCTGAAATGAGCCTTGACTTTGGTGGAGTCACGGCATTCGAATGCGAACCAAAAATAGGCATTTTGAACTCTATGTTATGGGCGGCCGAATGGAAGAAGCAAACCCCGTTGAATCAAATGTTTCAGAGGAAATGAAGGTAGTTTGTGGGTATGCTGAGAGGCTGAAATGTATAATTCGGTGCTGCTTCTTTGTACGACACGCGAACTACTCGGCAGATACCGAGATATCTATCAAGGCCAGCTTGATTTTCGCTGCTGTGTACGTCAGTACAAGGAGCCTGTGTATGCAATGCAAATGGTCGCACAGTATCTGAAGCTCACCGTGTGGCTGAACGATTGTGAACAGTCTTTGTGTCTTGAGTCTACCTCCCTGAGACGCGCAGGGTTTGAAGCGAACGGCTGTTGTAAGCGAGCGTCAAAACAACAATGATCTAAGAGGTGAGACACCAGTACCTGAAGACCAAAGCATCGTGGAAGTCGAGGCCTAGATGTAGTTACCACAGTTCGGTCATTGAAATCTTCAAGAGGATTGATCCGGACTTCGGTGTTGATTGGATTGGGCATTACGAGTGAGATGTCCCGGATTGCCCAGGATTGCGGACAAGTGAGTCGTGCATGCTGCAGCTTCCAAGCTGAACCTGGGCACCGGCCAAAGTCGCCAGCTGCTTCTGGAGATTTCGTCTAGTGGCATCGTGTCGAAAGCAGCGTACGCCAGGTCTTGAAAGAACAGGGAGCCATTGGCCGAGAGAAGGCGACCACCGTCAGGTGCCAGCCCTAGATAATCGTACCTTTGATGACAATAGGTAGTGCTGTCTATCAGGCAGTTGTATAGGTCCTCCATCTAAAGGTGCTCAGCTGTTTTGTTGTCGCATGCTGCGGGTTGGCGGTCACAAGGCCCCTGCCAGGCAAGCAATTGCATGCGCATCGTAGAGGCATCTCTGTCCGGGGCAGGCGCAAGCTCATACGCCGTGGCAACTGCGCATTTTTTCCTCCTAGAGGCGGTAAATACACGCGTGCCTCTGCATGTTCGTGTCGCAGTGCTGTCAGAAGTCGAGATGAAGCAGACAACGTCTCCGAGATCCCCGACGCATCTCAATCCTCATCAACCACGCTAACAACTATTGACCAATCACATTAGGCCAAGCACTTTCATCCGGACCGAATCGGGCAAGAACGCTCCAAGGCATGGCATGAACTGTCCCCTGATCGATGAGGCTCGCACTTGCGTGATCCAGCCTTGCTATCGCTACCACTGCTGGCTGTCACACGCCTGACAGGCATCAAGGCTCAAACTTTACAGTATCCATAGCATGATGAGAGGACACAGCGCTTGCCAGCCGAACTTGATCGTCGGTATGGGTTATGGTTAAAGTGAATGGCAACTGTATATATGTAGATAGAGTGTGATGTCCTCGCTTTCGTCATCATCACACGCTGCTTTCGTTATTCTTCTAGTACTGTCGTTTCGCAAACCTTCGGCTGGCCCGTCATTCCTTACTTTCATCCTACCTACCAATTGAATATCACGACTGTAACGACTACATTCAACACAACCCAAAAATGAAGCACCAGTTCCTTACCGTTATGCTCGCCGGTGCAGTGGCCGCCAACCCCATCGCCATCCTACGGAAGCGCGAGGTGCCGCAAGAACACGCACACCGCAACGTTATCCTAGCTGTCAACACCCTTCTGGCTCAGAACAACCCCAGCAACATCCAGGACGCCGTCTTTGGTCTTCTCGGCGCTGCGGCGGCCAAGAATGGTGCTGGCAACATCGCGGACGCTGACTGCCTCCAGCAAGCCACCGCGGACCAAGCCTTCACCAACGCCAAAGCCACAGGGGACGTTGACGGTATGACATCCGCTCTGATCTTCCGCGCCCTAGAGCGTAACACTGGATCCGTTGGTCTCGCCTCTGTACCATGCACGTCTATCCAAGCCGTAAATCCTGAGATCGCTGCACTCCAGCAGCATCAAGATCCCGCTGGCGACGGTGCTCAGACGCTTAACAAGCAGGTTGCCGAAGAGCTGGCAAGGCAGATTGCGTCTGTAGGTGGGGACCCAACGCTGGCTAACGAGGCGGGTACGTTTGCGCCTGGGCAGGTGGGTGATCCAACAGCGAAGGGAAACACCTGTGATGATGATCAGGATGACAATGGGTGTATCAATACTTTGGGTTTGAGGGTGGATGATCTTACTGCTGCTGAGATCACAGCAGCAGTTCAGGGAGTGAGTACTGGTGCTGTTGGGCAGGGTAGCGCTGGGAATAGTACTCAGGCGGCGAACAATGGTTGTGGTGGTGCGTGAGGCTGCTGAGAGGTCTCAATTGTGATAGAAGGGGGTACAGAGCCAAGTATTAGCTGTACTGCAGCTCTTTGATATTCTTTAGCGTGGAGCAGGGGAAACAACTGGCTGAATATCTTGTGTCCAATTTCACGTCCTTTTGACATTCGTAGCTTCTATCCAATATGATGACGGCGACTATGGTTCATACAGCTGCCGCGTGGTAGACTTACGCATGCTCGTAGATGGTGACCACTGAAGCTTTGCAACACTGGTCATCCGGCTGAGACAGAAGGCCTAGATCGAACTGTCTGTTATTTGTTTGTTAGTAGATCAAAGAGAGGCTTAAAAATGTGGAGCCTCGTGGTGAGGGGTGGTGTACCAGATGCTGCTCCGGAGGCTCAAGTTCGTGTCATGTTAGCTACATATCCTACCAAGGGGAGAACCCGACTATGATGCTGTGTATGGATCACAGAGGTCCACGCTATCATGGTGCAGGAGCTCAGCTGCAACTAGGTATGGCTAGCAGTAGTCGATGAGTACGTGGAACGAAGAACAGCATGGGGACAAGTTCAACTCTCCGCGGCCCCAGCAAGCCAACATCGATAGCTCATGCGGTGATACTTCACTCCTCGTGCCAAGATAGGCGTCGTGATAGCTGCGTTATGAACCGGCCAATTGAAAGAATTTCTCAATGCTTGTGTTGAGTTTGTGAGGACGCGTGACAGCTGCTGTAAGAACTCACTTTGTCTTAGTAAAGATGTCAAAAGTGAAAGTGGCTGTCGTTCGGACGCTATCGAAGGTGTAAGAGGTTGAGCGCAATACGTCGATGATCGTCATGTATGGACCGCATGCTGTATTACGGTTAACATCGAGGTCACTGCGCTGAGACGGAGTGGGGTCCATAGGAATGTGACATTGACCCAATCAAGAAGAGTTGTGGAGCTGCTGTGTCGCCCACGGCCAAATTGGGCGCAACACATGCGGTTCGGGAAAAGGAAATATTGCTGGTGTGTGTGATGAGGTGCATTTGCAGCCGAGGGCGGGATGCTAGCAAGCGTTGCCGCACCCACGCTCTAGCAGTGGAAGGCAGAGTCTCAAAACCTCGATCGATGACTTTGTGACGACATTGTATCGTGATGCTCCATTACGGCTCCATAAGAGAGGGACGAGTGGAAGGCCAGACGTCGAAATGATGGGTTCTTACTGTTCGCCAGCGTGTTGACAACAACAAACAGTGACGGACGGGCTCTAGTGCGTGCAGTAGTGTAGCGAGGCACGTCCCACTGCGGAGCCATGATGCTGAGGGGCGCAGCGAATGGCATTGCTCGTTGTGTTCCCTAACGGAATCCGATGCACAGCTGGGCCTCACGATGTCTCCAGAGTGGGCTGCCGCTCGTTCTCGCCGTGGCCGTGCAGCCGCGCAGGCGGGGTCAGGCACAGCATTGAGGCCAGCAGACAGATCGATGCTGTAGGAGCCCGCAGATAAGGGTGCTGAGAAGAGCAGAAGTGTGCATCCTTCCGTATATGCAGAGCCCTGACAGAGACGAGGCTCGACGGTGGGTGCTGGCAGCGGGAGAGGAGAACATGCAGAACACTTGTCAATTGCACTTTCATCTGCAGGGGGTGGACACGGACCAGGCCGTGCTCCAGAAGTAGCCTTAGCACGGTGAAATGCCCGCCTTTCGCGTTGTGGACGCGTCAATGAAAACAGAGCAGCTGTGCAGCCTCACGTGTTGCTAGGGCCCACCACTGAGGAATGCCGTGTAAATAGATGCAAGAGCGCACTGTGGTCGCTGCATGGACGACAGGCTGCGTGTCGGTCAAGTGCTGGCAAAGCCTTGGATCAAAGGGCCTTGATTTTATGGATGCGGCGCCTGTTGTTGGCAATCGCGTGCAAGTCTAGCTCTAGCGGCAGGCGCTAATGGAGCGCAGAGTGCGCCCGTGTAGAGAGCCCGAGCCGCCGCTTGTCATCAGGCGATACCTGTTCACCCTCACCGTACCATCCCTCACACTCACGACTTCACGATAATTCCCCGAGGCGCGCCCGCTTCCCTGTCGCACTGCTGCGATGCCCTGACGCAGCCATCGACGACTGTTTTTCTTTGCGTACTCTCACGAATCTCCTATACTCCCCCGCGCGCCCCCATGCAGAGGACTGCTGCGTGAGCCCAGCCGTCTCGCTCCTGCCCGCGCTCACAGCGGACCGCTCGCCGCAACCAACAACCCTCGACCAGATCGCCCAACAACACCCGCGGGCCTCTGCCAGCACTTTTGCACGCGTCCTGGGCCTTCCAACTTCGTTCGCTTCGCCTCCCTGGATTTTCTTTGCGCGTCCGTCGCTCTGCGCGCTGTTGTTCACGACCTGCAGCTACGCGCCGCCGTCTGAACGAGCATCTCTCACGACCTCCTTGCGTGCGACTCTGTTGCGACCGACTCTGCGCGCCATCTCCCAGCGCAACAAAGTGTGCGCGACGCCTTGCGACTCGTTTGAACTGCCTCATCAAGGGCGCAGATCTCTCTAGCCACCCGTGTAACGCTTGTGCAGGCCGCACAGGCGCGTTCGCATCGTCCCGAACGCCTGCTGGTACCCGAACCTACCACCAAACCTACCAACCTGCATATCCGGGATTCGCTGCCATCTTAATTGGATCCGGTACCGAGTTGCTGCTTGTCACTGACTACTCGTGACTTTGTGTCAACGTCCTTGCAGATTCCTCGAGATTGAGCTCTTGGAATACATCACCGCAATAACAAAGGGAAAATCGTCCTCTCGTGTGATTTGCAGAAATACTGACCACCATGGAATCCGAACGCCCCCATCTGTCCATCACCCTCCCCAGGAACTTCATGTTTCACTATCGCGACGGAGCGGCGCCGCAAACGCCAGAGCCTGAGCCACAGGTTGCTGAGCTTCAACCACCGCCTCCTCCACGACAGACTTTGAAGGTCCGCCGCCGCCGCGCGACCCTCGTGCAGCACCAAATCGAACTTGACTTTCCCATAGACGAGAAGCCAATCCCCACCATCGAGGCAACAGACTACTTTGAGTCATCAAATCCACTTCCATCACCCCCGTCCGCTCTGGACAATGCGTATCTCTCCCCACCAACAAGCTTCAGTCGCATGGTATCGCCGCCGAAGACTCCTGCTCACCAAGTGAGAACCATCGACGTCTTCGCTGACCCACAGCACTGGGATGATCTCGAGTCAAATCGTAGTGAAACCTCCAGCAGACCTACCTCATCCTCTGGCTTCTCTGATTCATCCATCTCGTCTCGCGGCAGTATGGAATCGCTCGTGTCGCGAGGCGGTAGCTGTACAAGTCCAGAAGAGGAGATGTGCGATCCTTTCTCGTTCGATGCCCTCGAGATGAAGTACCAGCAGCCAAGCTCCCCATTGGCAGCGCATCAACAGCCACGCCCAGCCAAGAAGCTGAAGCTGAGGGCGACATTCACCGAAGAGATGGATTACCACCTTTGGAGAACATACATGACTTACCTTCAGGATCCCACAGTCACACCATTTAAGGCTGTTCCACTAACAACACCGCCAAACGGAGTCTGTCACCGAGTCGCAAGGATGGCTCGCAAGACCTGGAGAGGACCGGTTCCCTCTCGTACTGCTGGTGTTCGCGCGACTACCCAGTTCGGTTCCCGTTCCGGAACTCCAGAGACTATCAAGGCTCTGAAGAGCGGTAGCAGTACCCCTATTGCGAGGCCCAGCAAGTCTTACCTACGATATCCAACAGAAAAGCAGTGTCGAAAGCGACTGCGGGACTTGGCCAAGCAAAGGCCCAATTTGTCTGCCTATTATCAGCGTCTGCTCCATCGATCACCCTCACCATTGCAATCATCGCCGCCTTTAGAGAAGTCAGAGGAACCAACCCAGCCACAGCCACAGCCACAAGTACTGTCATCTCCCTTTACACAAAACACATCATCCTTTACTTTCTCAACCCGGGATATGAATGTATCGCTGGCCACCAGTACATCTGCCTCGATGCAGATGGGTAACCCTCTGTCACAGTTGGCAAATGACCTGACTCCCCGACCAGAGCAGAAGAGCTGGTCGAGAGCGCGATCATCAGCACACCAGAAATCGCAGTCGCTCCATGTTGGCTTGGGGCTCGGCTTGAGCAACATGCTTGGCTCTCCTTTCCAGTCTTCCTCGACAGTAGAGATGATCGATGCCGGATCCAGCTCACACAACGCGCAGACGTGGCATGCACAGACCGGTCTCCCAACACCAAGGCTGGGCTCACCGTTTCAACTGCATGCCCCACGACCCAAGTCGCGAGTCTTCAAGCGACGAGCTCTGGCCAACAGCTTTGAGGACAAGACACGAAACCGTGGCAACAGCTTTGTAGATGATATTTTTGGGGCTCCAGCTGAGTCGAGTCATCGCCGTGTGAGAAGTCGAGGCTTCAGCTTGGGTGATATGATGGATGGTGCTGGTGCCCGGCGACTGCCCTTATCTTCGAGTGGACCACCTGAGTTCAACCCCTTTGCAAACCTTAGGCCACACCTCCCCAGCCCTGTCCACACCTCCCCCGCCATCATGGCTGAGGCCCATGGGCAAGGAACAATCCGCCTTGGAACACCATTTGGCGGACGACCAAGTAACACTTTTCCTCGAGCATCGACTTCTTATGGCTTCGAGCCTCCAGCATCGTTCGAGCAACGATTCGCTGCGGCACCCAGCAACTCTGAGCGTTAGTCCTGTTTTTAAATGACTTGCCCTATACCAAGCACAGCGTGTGCATCGGCGTCTGCATCCGCATCATCATCGGCGTTCAGCATTGGCAGCTTCGAGCTCCATCTTTGACATGTCAGCGAGCGAGCACTCGCGTGCCATTTGACCCACCATCTGCTTCATCTGAAAAGCATCTCTTATGTTCATATCCACACTTATCCCATACTATCCTTCGTCGACAACATGGCTCGGATGGCATGCCTTACGATAGGCTGCATGTTCGAGCCCATGGCCATGTCTCTTTTTTGTTTCCTTCTCTTTTTCCTATGCTTGGTACTCACGACGGATCATGACGATATGTATACATGAACACGCTTGGTTCATCATCGATCTTCTTCCGTAATTCGGCGGCGGCGAGGGTTGGGTTCTCGAGATAGCTTTTGGTGAAGCAGCTGTCTCGTACTCGTCTGCTCCTTAGTACATTCAACACACCTTGCACATAAGTGCTTTTTTCAATCAGCCCATCCTTGTGGTGCGGCATTCTTTGCTCCATTTACTCTTTGCTTTCCCTTTTCATGACGGGATGATCAATGCTTCATTGGTTGGCTGGAGTTGGGAGTCCTTTCACCATGTTACCAGCTTCATCCAAGCTTGGATGGCAGGTTCCTGATTCCTGTTCTTGTGCGGGGTCTGCTCGAGTGGCTTTCGTTGTTTCGTTCTGGAGGGCAGGACCGGCGGGCCGGAGGAGAGTTTCGATGACGATGTATTGGAAGGTTCTACACATCACACATGTGATAGATTAGTCGGTCCACCCAAAGGGATTGAGATGAGGAGATGATGCGCTCGAGCAGAGCTGGTAGCTATCAATGAAAAGCCAGAAGAACAAAGTGTGTCCCTAAGCTCGGTTGACTCCGCCCCGTGCCGTAACTGTTTCGTAACGAGGTCAGCACGATGTCATTGTGTCCGTGCTGGATGCCACGGGCAACGCGTGCGCGTTTGATGGTAATCGATAGTCGTCAAGCCGTACCAATAGCCCTTCCAAGGGCACATCAGCAGCGACCAACAAGCCTGAAAGTCGGGTGTAGGACGCATCAATTGAATCATGAAAGACTGAATCCTGCCCAGTGTCACCCTTGCCCAACCCGCCGTCAAACTTTTGCAGCCTCTCCAACCGTAAATGTAAGCTGCTGCATGCAGAGAAAAAACACTGCAGCGGTGTGTGCCCAGCCCACATCATCGTCGCTCAGATGCAGCTTCAATCGTTCCGCTTTCCCACATTTCGCCGAGCCTTGAGCTGGTGCTCCCAAGTTCCCCAACCACTCACAGTGCTCAGTCAGAATCTAGGTCCCCACTTGGCCGCCGCAAGGCCCGGACCTAGCAGGCTGGCTCCGCAGGCGGCTGCACTTACGACGCGTCGCAGAAGTCATGTGCGAGCGCGAACGCGTGCGACGCGTCGAGCCGTGTCAGGCTGAGCTGATAATTGGGCTCGATTCGGTCTCGGCTGTGCTTTGCTACCCTTGGCTCGGCTGTTTGCAGGAGGGGAAGGGCAGTGGTGCTCAGGCTTGTGCGGAGCGATTGTGTGAGGATTACGGACTGTGGAGTGTAGTGCAGCGGCATTGGTGTTGCTAAGGCTGGGTTTGGTCTCGGAGACCGAGAATGGGGTGTGTTGGCGTGGTGGTGGTTGGGGAGGCTGCGTGAATAGGCATTCTGGGCCGGTCAGCGACTCAGCATGTGCGTCCAGTGCATTGCATCAGAGCACGCGACTGCATATTTTCTTAGTTGGAGACGGAGAGTGAGGTTGCGATCTTCATTGCCACTGGGGCGCCCCTTTGGCAACAATTGTTGCATCTGTGTTGTGTGCTGTTGCATTCAGCCACTCCGGTGAGTTGAACGCGACCATGCCACGCTCACGACTCATCAACGCGTTTCTCGCACCATTTTCACTTTTGCCGAAACCCAAGCCCTCGATCTTGGCGACACGACATATACCACAGAGTTTACGCTTTGTTTGAGAATGAGGGGAAGTGGAGCTCACGGACATGGCAACGTACGAGGAAGGTCCATCGATATCTATATCGGTGCATTGTTCCTGGCACCTCGGGTGACGGAGGCTGTTCCTGCCTCTTCTGCAACATCGACGCGAGCGACGCGAGCGACGCGACCCCTGGAGCCATGGGGATTTGTCTCGTGCACACCGACTCCGCACATCATATCTACCTCACCGACGGCTGAACGCGTCGTTAGTTAGAGTAATGCCGCAGTCCAGCAATATCGACGGCTGGACCTCGCTGCCGCAGCGGTGAGACCTCGGGTGCAGGCTGTACACGGGCTTGATCACTGCTGTCGCTTGCACTGTACCGTGGCTTGTAATACCTACGTGGCAGCATTGAGACCGTTGCCAGTACCAGAGGCGTTTTTGTGGCTCTGGCTAACATCTGTAGAGTCCTCAGAATATACGACGACGATGCCACTTCGCGTCAGGCATGTCTACAGCCTTCGACCCGTCACACTCGTTGACACACAACGGCACCACTCTGATGTCCTTGTGACCCCTTGACCGGACATTCACGTCGACTGTTCACAAGTACAAGAAGTAGGCTGGAGCAAGAGACGTACTCAAACATGGGGACAAGGAAGCCTTTCAAGGAGACTCCAAAAGGTCTTCACGCTGCTACAGATCATATCGACATCATCCCCTTATGTTGCAGCGATCCCTCGCCGACCGATTCCTCTAAGTCATACCTTAAGCATACGTTCATGGCTCGCTGGCAAATACTCCTTTCTTATGGACGAAGGCTCTCGCATGGTAGGACATCTCGATGCTGCTGCCCGCCTTGTACTGGAGGTCTTCGGGCCTTCGTGAGTTGAACTTCGTTTAGGATCGCTAGAGAGATGCAATAGTCCTGGTTATGTTTCATGCTGTGGTCTGGCAGATGTCATTGCGAGGTTGCTTGCTCGCATCGGTGCTTTTCGGAAGGGTCCTAATACGTCCAGCCTCGCTTGTTGGTTCTCGGACCCTACTTCTTTCATCGTTGATGGAACAAGGAGGCAAAAGTAGGAACGTAGATGGGCTTCTTCGCTTGACAACTTGTCATAGCCTGGAGGTTGTCAAGGCAGCCTTCGCTGACATTAGCTACATTTATCAAGAGCGATCGCGCTATTTTCACTCTACAGTCAGTGTATGTTAGTCAGCACAGGATCCGTGGTAGCGACGTGGATGACTGTACTCGAGGCCAGAAGTCTGATAGGATGATCATGTATGGCTCATCCGTAAGCCTTGAAACTGACGATGCAATAGGCCGTCGATGCTCTGGTTCGCCAAAAGTGGTTGCGGGCATTTGTAACCGTGGATCCATACCATCCTGAATATTCCAGTCCTTCGACGTAGAAAAAGAGTCTTTCTTCTTCACACATTCCACAACTCTTCATACCTTCAAGACCACGTCGGTCTCCTTCACTGCTCGCTGTTGTGCCCGCGACGGTTGGGATTCGGTCCAGACTATACCTGCCGCAGGAGCAAGAATACGTTGTGTTGCCACGAAGTCGTTCTTACCTTGATGCGGACCAGGTAAAGTACACTGATAAATGCACTACGAAGCGCAAGAAATTTGCCTGGAATTTAAAGATGTATACTTCAGAGGTTGCACTATCTGGAGGAGCATTTTGCCTGTTCGACGGACCCCCTCTCTGAGATAGCAGAAAGAACCAGATACTTGCCCAAATTTATAGAAGGTACTTAGTGCTACTTTGTGGGCTCTATGCAATATAATGAGATTTCTGAAGACTACAGTGTTCTGTAGGCGCGTACAGTTCTCAAGAGAACTTGCTGGAGAAAACCTGCTGCTTTTTGTGCTCTGTGCTAAAAGGGTCCGCCGAATAGACAAAAAGCTCGTCCAGATAGTTCTGTCCTGCTTCAGACACGCGCATTAAGCCAACAGAGTCTCGGCACAAAAAGATACCTTCTGTGCACTTCACAGAAGAAATCAACGGAGAGCGGGAAGTTGCCTCTCTGAGATGGTTCAGTGGTTGACACAAAGTAAAAGGACGTTGTGCGTTTGTGATGGCTATTCCGAGACACGATAGTCTCAATGACATCTCAGGTTGTGTACATTTACTATAATTTTGGGGTTCCCATGCTGCCATTACCAAGCACACCCGTAGATGATTTGGTCTTCATAATGTGTGAGTACCTTCACAATAACAGTTTATCAAAGTCCTTTCGTAAAGTGCCATGGCAGGCCAAACGTTAAGCCGACGCGACCTCAACATCTTTTTGTAGTTGACAGCTTGGGTGAAGACGAAAGTTCATGGAACAACGATTCCGCTTCTTTCCAGAGCGAGGCACAAGCGTCGGCATTAGCTCGTCGAGCAAGTCTGGCTTCTCCGCGTTTTTTTCCACCTCCACATTCCGCGCCGCCGTGCGGTTCCGTTCCGTGTCGAGATGCCGGCCGATGCAACGCGCTCAAGAACAACCGAGCAGCCGCAGTATGTTTAAGCTCACACACCGTTCACGATCAGCCTCACATTTGGCTATCGCTTACGATTACATAGATATCCTCTTGATTGAGTGATAACATTGGTCTTCTGCACAATTGAATCTTAGAGAACTTCTTGAGCCTCCAGCACCATGCCGTCGGTAGCCCTCACACTCCGCACTGCGCGCACCTTCTCGCGGAGTAACACAAAGGTAGTCGCGCCCTTTGAAGCTCCTGAGAACACCAATTAATATCCACAGACCTACCTTAACCTTGCACGAAACTTCAGCTCTTCCCTCCGCCGCAATGAGATCAACAAGGCCTTCCCGTCCGCGCAAGCTGCGATCGAGGACATGAAGTCCAACAGCACCCTTCTTTGCGGTGGCTTCGGTCTCTCTGGTGTACCCGATACCCTTATCGATGCGGTAAAGTCAAACCCCTCTATCACAGGTTTGACTGCTGTCTCCAACAACGCTGGCGTTGTTGGCGGTGGTCTTGGTCTTCTGCTCGAGAGTAAGCAGGTCCAGAAGATGATTGCATCCTATGTTGGCGAGAACAAAGTCCTAGAGCAGATGTATCTGACCGGCGAACTCGAGCTCGAACTCACACCCCAAGGTACCCTTGCCGAAAGGTGTCGCGCAGGCGGTGCTGGCATTCCCGCTTTCTACACACCTGCCGCCTTTGGTACCGTTGTCCAGACTGGTGAGCTCGCTCTCCGCCACAACAGCGATGGCTCGGTCGCCCAGTACTCGACGCCACGCGATGTCAAGGTCTTCGACGGCAAGTCGTTCGTCATGGAGGAAGCTATCAAGGGTGACTACGCCTTCATTAAAGCCTACAAAGCCGACCGCCTGGGCAACGTCCAGTTCCGCTTCAGCGCTCAGAACTTCAACGGCGCAATGGCACGCAACGCCAAAGTCACAATCGTCGAAGCAGAGCACATCGTCGAAGTCGGCGAGATCGAGCCCAATGCCGTCCACGTTCCCGGCATCTACGTCGACCGCGTCATTCAATCCACTGCCGAGAAGAAAATCGAGAAGACCGTCAACGCCAAAGACCCCGCGGATGCCGTCAACGCCCTCGGCTCAGGCGATGCAGCAAGCAAGCGCGAGCGCATCGTGCGTCGAGCAGCAAAGGAATTCAAGAACGGCATGTACGCAAACCTCGGAATCGGCATGCCCATGCTAGCCCCCTCCTTCGTCGACGCCAGCGTAGAAGTCCAGCTGCAATCCGAGAACGGCATTCTCGGACTCGGGCCCTACCCACAAAAGGGCCTCGAGGACCCTGACCTCATCAACGCGGGTAAAGAGACCGTCACACTGCTACCCGGCGCGTCCTGCTTCGGCTCTGAGGAGTCGTTCGGCATGATTCGCGCGGGCAAGATCAACCTCACCATCCTCGGCGCCATGCAGGTCTCCGCGCGGGGCGATCTGGCGAACTGGATGTTGCCGGGCAAAGTGAAAGGATTTGGTGGTGCGATGGATTTGGTGTCGAATCCTAGCATGACTAAGGTCGTGGTTACTATGGAGCACACGGATAAGAAGGGCAGGCCGAAGATTCTCAAGCAGTGCGAGTTCCCGCTCACGGGCAAGGCTTGTGTGAGCAGGATTATTACGGACCTGGTAAGTCTACTGAACATGGGTTTGAAGGGTGCAGGCTAACGAGACGACAGTGTGTGTTCGATGTTGACTTTACGGAGGGTCTCACCCTCATTGAGCTCGCGGACGGCGTCACGGTCGATGAAGTGCGGTCGAAGACCGGAGCTGATTTCAAGGAGGCTGCTGAGATCAAGCCTATGCTATAAGTTACTTCTTTTTCGTACTGATCTAAATGCTTGTATGTACGTATGCGCAGCGCATGTTGATACCTGATCTGGAGTCCAAAATGAACGCATCTATCCTTCTGCCACATCTCTTTGGTTCTTGGAGCCATTAAGCGGGGTCGTTCGCTGCAACGGCCCCCTTGCGCTTGTATGTGATCTTGTCTTTGCATGTGTAGTATATGTGTACGCAGTTTGATACGGTGAATACCACTGTGGCTTACCACAATGACTGTGTGTACCTTGACCCAGTGGCTGTGACGACGGTGGTGCTTGCTTGATAGCATTGTAAAGGCGTATAAGTGGAGGTCTGAATGGATTATACTTGCCGTCCGGAGTTATTCAAATGTGCGAGGGGTATCGTGCAGAAACACAGAGCTGACCGATGGAAGAGAAGTAGGTGAAAGCTGCGAGAAGTGATACTGACTACGTTTGGCGCATGGTTGGACAAACGCTCAGAAACGCTCAATTTGGTATGCTAACGCGCTCAAAGACCAAGGAAAAGTATCGTAACACCTGTAATACCCGACGAACGCATTATCCCTGTATATACCCAAACATTGCTAGGGGTTTAACAACAAGTATTAATCATCCATCTACCTGTCCGACCGAGGAACCTAAAAGCTTGGGACGGCGTGGCGAGATAGAGACAACCTAGTTGGTGCGTGTTAGAGTTTTTGATCTCATCCTCTCAAGAAAGTGGGCCGCAACAAGGACATAGTACAGAACTTACTGTACTCTGTGCCATCTTTCTATCGCAGCCCGTGTCGCAAAAGGAAAGGATACATCGAAAAAGCCAACACGCACCAACTAGGTTGTCTCTATCCCGCCACGCAGTCCCAAGTTCCTAGTCCCCTGGTTCGGGCAGCCAGAGGGACGATCGATGAGAATAGCCGTAATCACAGAGTCCTAAACGCACCCTCCTCCACATCCAAACCTGCAACACTTCCCCTTGATTCCCCTTAGGACTCTGTCCTTCTACGACTGCAACCTGATCTGCCCCTCATCCTTCTTCAACCCAAACTTGCTCAATCTAATCCTCGGCACAGTGCCGGCCAGCACAAGCACACTTGCAACAATAACAGCCCAATGCTGGATATGTGCTACGTTCAGGTTATACGTCGTCCACGTCGCCGCGCAAATAGTCGCGAGACCCAGTGTCGCAATCACATACCCGCTGATCCTGTGGTACTTGTAGATGCTCTTCGCCTGGTCCACACCACCGTACAGGCTCGGAGTGTAGTACTGCGTGAATCCGACGATTGCCTGGATGTACACCAGGATGTAAAACGTAAGACCCAGGATCGCATGCGGGGACGCGAAGTGCTCGTGCCCCGGACCGGCTTTGTTCATCTCGATGATGATGAGGCCGGCGGTTAGGGCGGTGGCGCCGAAGACGTGGAAGAGGAAGTGGGCGACTGTGCCCGAGCGCTTTTGTTCGGGGGTGTGCGTTGGTTGGAGGATGAGAGCGGCTTGGATTGCGAGGAGGAAGCCTGCGGAGTTGAGGAGCTGGGCGGGCGGGTCAGTGATAGTGGGAGTTGGAGAGTTGGTGGAGCTTACGGGGTGCGCGGAGAAGAAGATTAGCTTCTGTGAGAGGATGCCCCCCCAGATTATGGCTGCGAGCTGTTGCATGTTAGCAAATTGGCACTGTGGGGTTGCTACTCCAGGCAGAACTGACAATCCAGATGCCTCCCTGCGCAACAACTGCTGTGCCTGCAAGACGTCAGTCGGGCCTTTGTACCACTGAAGCTTTAGAACTGACCTATCCACAGGTTCTGGTATAGTGGCTGTCCATCAGGTTGACTCGCATCGCCTCTCCGTCCCAAAAGCGGTTCCTCTTCACTCTGACCATGCGCCGCAGCTACATTGGGAGGTATCCCAGTTGCTGATGCCATTGTGGATCGTCCTACTTCCTACGATGAATGAAGATGCTTCGAAGGAGCTTCACAGAGAGTGTCAAGGCAGCAGAACTCGTCTTAAGCCGCAGGAGGGGTCACACGGACTTAAGCTGCCAGTCGTGAATGATGTTGCATCCAACGACAATGACGTTAGGAACCCCGTACATTGCAGCCAATCAGCATCCAGCGAACGGTAAGCCGGTGCCTTGTAGCTTCCTTAGCACGGCTCAAGCGCGCATTTGGCTGACAAACTGGACGGAAACTGGAGAGTCGTGATGTCGAGCATCGTCCAGAGTGGGGTGTTGAATTGTCTGTCTGCGGGGTAGCGAACACTGGTCGGTTGAGGGACGGTCTCACATGACAGGGTGTAGACATATGGTGTAATAGACCGCGTCCACATCAAACCAGCAATCTATCGGGACCCAAAGGTAGCATTATCAACATAGCTGTGGGGCCAACATATGAATTCTTGAGATGGGAGCTGGAGGTTCACAGTGGTCGTTTGGTGGGCCAGATCGATCTGGATGCAGTTTCATTCGTCTACTGTCCAGGCAGATTGATGGCCTTGATCAACAGGTCAAGAGTATTCACGTGAGCAACCATCAATGGTCATGTAGAATACTCTTGAGGGTTCTGTGCCTGAGGCTCTGAGCTATCGGCTTTGAGACGAAGGCGCTGGACTAGCGCGTCATCGCCGCGTCTGTGCTCGCGAACTTTCACGCTGGGTTCTCATTTTCGAGCAAACAGAAGCAGGGTCTCATAAGAGCTCCCCACCGCCCGCTATGCACACTCATTGCTAGTGATGGGTGTTTCCTCCTCTCAGCCTATTCCTAGCTCGCAAGACAACCGCCCCAGTTCAAACACGGCCAAGCCTGCCGCAACTCCGAACCTCGCCAAGCGCGCGCCCCGCTACAGTAAGTACCAGCGCGTCGCCATGCTGCATGGATCTTTTTGCACATGGTCCGGACTGGTAACGGGTCTGCAAAGCCCTCGCTAACGCATTGGGCCCATAGCTCCTACCATGGACGACGAGGCGGCTTCGCAGCAGCTCATGAGTGAGGCTCGCGCTACTCACACGACGGACTACGAGGGGCCTGCGATTCCCCTGAACCTCGACGGAGCTTCACAGGACACGATCGCGAACACCTCCGGGTCCAGCAAGAAGAAGGCGAAGAAGGCGAGGAGGAAGCAACTCGCAGACTCACAGACCAGTCCTCGCAACACTTTCCGCGGGTCGCCGCTCCCAACGTATTCGCTCAAAGACCTGCAGGCCTTCGTGGGCCCTTCGCCGTCGAAGAGCCAGGCATTCCCGTCCACCATGCCTTCGACGCAGATCGAGGTGCCCGACACTCAGACCGAACTACAAGCGAACGACGCACCCTCACCAACGCCGTTAACATCGAGTCAAGCTATTCCAGTGCATGTTTCGAAGAAGAAATCTAAAAAGGACAAGAGGAACATGCTGGCTGAGGCTGATTTGAACAACGGCAACACTATACCAGCTACGCCGTATGAGGAAGCGATTGATGGAACCATGCCCACACCGTCAGAAGCAACTGAGGGTCAAGCGAGTCGGAAACGGCGCAGGAAACACAAGTCGCGAACTTCCATGAACAGTCTCGACTTCAACCCCACAGGGGTAGCTGAAACACCCGTAGCAACACAAGAAGTGACATCAGGAGGACCAGCTGAAGGTAGCGACGAGCACAGTGGCGTTCCGGACGTAGAAGAGCAACCACTGGTTCCTAGAGCTCTTCTCAACAATCTGAAAGCTGAAAGGTTGCAAAGGTCGCAATCCGCTAGGAAAGCACCCGAGCCAGCTAACACACGCCAAGATGCGCTGGAAGCTGTGCCTGCGAATGGAGATGCAGAGGCTGAACTAGCAGAGGCTACAGACACAGCAACTGCAGTAAGAACTCCAGGTACCACTCAAAGTGCCAGCAAGAAGAAGCGGATAAAGAAGGACAAGCAGATTACGGAAACGCCGATACTTGATTGGGAAGCGCCAGTTCGAAATCTCGATGAGACTCCAGCACAGCCCTTCAGTTTTGAGTATAGTGACGGAACCGAACCGACCAAGTCAAGCCGCAAGTCAAGCCGCAAGTCAAACCGCAGGAAGAGGTCCCCAAAGGACACAAAACTCGTCCGATACAGCATTGGAGGCGTTGCCAGAGCCGCCAGACTCAGCAGAGTTGATCCCAACAAAACTTACCAACGTGCGCGCGATGACGACGACGACGAGCGAACAGCGGCTGATAAAGCCCTTGAAAAGACGCATGAGCTGGGACAACCGCCCGATAAACGCACGAGCGGCAGATTCACTGCTGACGAGGAAGAGCTGCTCCGCAGAGCCATCAGAGACTACCAAGAGCGAAACTATCTCGACACTGCCGACCTCGTCGAGATCATCCACTGGAGCCATGCTCGTAAGAACGAGATGGGAGAAAACACTACAGACCAGACTGAGGAGCAATTCAAAAAGGATGTCAGTGCATTTTGGGATGAAATCAAGAGTGCCGGACTTTTGCGTACTTTCAGAGACGTAAAGAAGCATGTCCGTGCCCAATACCACACGTGTCAACGCGGACACTGGTCACAGGACGAAGAGGAGCAGTTACGAGAACTCGCCAACCTTCATCCTGGTAATTGGAAACTCATCGGGACTCAACTCAATCGTCTCGAACTGGATGTCTACAACCGCTGGAAAGATTATGTACGACACGGTGAGAACCGAGCCACGAAACGCTGGAGCACTGATGAAGAGGAAAGCTTCGTCGACGTCCTCTCCACCGTCTGCCAAAGGATCGAGGATTATCGGGCAGAAACCGGCCAGCCACCACTTGACGACTACACCCCTTTTATCAATTGGCACGAAGTCTGTAGAGAGATGGGTGATACTCGTAGCCGACTGCAGTGTCAGACGAAATGGAAGTCGATGAGAGCTCGATTCCCACCGGCTACCGTGGACGTCGAGATCAAGCCAAGAAAGACAAGAAAGACCCCGCCTCCTGGCCAGGTTGTGGCCGAGGCTGAGGAATCACAAAAGAAGCGCCGCAAGTCATCGGCCAAGAAGGTTCGCGAATCAGCTTATCCCATAGGAGAGCTCAACCCACCTGGTCCGGAAGACATGCTTTGGGGTGACAAGTTCGATCTCGTCGCTCTACTCATCGAGCAGGCGGCCGCGAACGACTGCGAATCGGACGACCAGATCGTTTGGCAAGATATCGCTGAGAAGATGAACCACACATGGTCCGTACGCACCCTGCAAACGGCTTACAAGCAGCTTCATGAGGTCGTTCTTGAGGACGATGCGGACGAGAACTTGAAGATGGCTCTTACGTCCCTATACGGCTTCATTAAGAAGAACCACATCAATGAAGTCGAAGATCGATACCAACCTGCGCAGGACGGCGAGGCCAACGGGGAAGTTGCGCCTCATGCGAACTCTAGCAAAAAGAGGAAGAGGCAGAGCGGTGCGGGTTCTGGCAAAGCTTCAGCAAAGAAGCGAAACAAGGCTACGCCGAATGCCCCGAAGACGTTCAAGTCGAAGGAGTTGATCACCGACAGTGACAACGAGGAGAGCGAGCCAGAGTTGTGATGCAGCAAACTGCTGCAATATGGACGAAAAGGCTTGAAATGGCATTGATACGAAGGCCACGGTGGAGATGAGTCGGCGTATGTTTGGTTCTGGCGTTTGTGGGTCACAAGCGTGCGGACGAGCCGTGTGGATATGGAGGGAGCAGGTTGTGCTAGAGAGTAGCTGTCTAATACCCACACCGACATGCTGTACAGTTGAAGGCTACAAGCTGTTGATAGCAAACACCGACGCTGTCCTTGCAGTCAACTTTCTCGTGGCCACTGCAGCTGTTATTGCTGTCCATCAACCGGCAGTATCTGTAAGTGTGACGCCAGAGGCTGGAGGTAGTCAGGCTCCTGTAACTGTTGGCCCTTAGGCATATTCGTTCCACGATTCTGACTCGGCGCTCGTAAGTTATCACACTCCCTCCAGAAAATCAAAGCTGGAGGCCCTGAAAAGACTTTGGATAAAAGCAGCCAACTCAGGAGTACACAACGGCGACTACGATATGAGGCAGCGTATCGATCAGAAAGTCCAAAAGGGTTGATCTATACAGCGTTACATGTTTCATCAGGGAAAGAAGGCGTACAAGAGAAAAAGCAAAACGACTACGAATCTTGACCTGCTCTCTCTCTTCTTACCTTTCTGATGATGTCCAACACAAGCTTTGTTACAATCAACAATCCTCGGATCCCAAAGGATAAGATTTCTTCCGCACCATTCCTGGGGAAGTGGGACACAGTCCATGCGACATTGTCGATCAACAACCGTGCAATACGAGCGGAGTGCGTGGCAGATAGAGACGATTGGCATCAGATAAACATGAAACACCCCCACTGCTCGGGCATTGAACATCATTAACATCCGGAATAGCCACCTCAACGTTGGCGTTGTTTGACTTTAGCACCAGGTGCACAGTTGCACCCAACACGATTTCCAGCGGAGGATCGGACTTCGCGTCTGGCGGTGGGGGGCCTGAATCCAGCCCATCTTATCGAAATTCGTGATTCGATGATGCTTCATCTCCCCGACTCATGTTCATCACAATGTAGTTTGAAGGGCCTGTAATGAAGATCAAACTGCAGCGAACGCGTCCTCCATCACGACATTCTGGAAGCAGAAGATCCCCGCCATCTAGGCGAAACGCATGCTTGGATGGATGACCAACTTGAATCGGACTTGGACGTGTCGCAGAGGGCCTGCGGTACCCCTGACGCCAGCAGGGGTGCGCCCCGGGAAAGGCGGACGCACAGGGAATGGCAACGTCAGCGCCAAGACCAACGGCCTGCAAAAAGTCCCGAAGAGGCGTTTGTTAGCCCAACACGAGCGCCATTGAGGTTCGAAATGCGATGTCCGGTACGCATGTCCCGAGTACGAGAGGCCTGATCAGGAGTTTTGTTCGCGACGGCAGCACGTCGAGGACCGAGTGATGATTCTCAAGAGTCGCGGTCGCATTGAGCGGAATCTCTTGGCTCCATCCACATGCACGGTATTGGTGCTACATGCCCGAGCAGGGAGGGGAACTGTCTGCTCTGGCTCATGTCACGTTGTTGGAGAGAAGGGGACCCAGTAGACTCGCTAACGAGCTGTCGACTGTCTCGCGCTGTCAGAGCCGCGGGCTGGAAGAGGGAGCTGTTTCTCGAAGACGCACGCGACAGGCTACGCTGCCACCCAGCGGCACCATGCATTTCCCGTCAACGGGTGGCTTCAGCGTGCACAGGAGGCGCGAGGACTCGCTAGGACTTGCTGGGACTCGCTAGGACTCGCTGAAGGGAGGTCGAGCTAAACTCCTGCCTCCTTGGCACTCGGGACGTGCTGCCCTGCAACTCGCGAGCCGCGTCGCAAGCCTGCATATTCCTGAGAAATGCCGGTGGGGACGTTGCCTTAAGGGCTTGGGGAGACAAAACCCATATCTGGCGCCATCCTCGCTCCTGCCCTGACTTTTTGTTTGCTGTCTCTTGACGTTGGAATTGCTTGCCTGCTGTCTTTTCGTCTTAGTTCTGCCCGGCGCTATCTACAGCACCGTCCTCGTACCATCGTACTCGGTATCCAGACCCGCATCTAGCGGCCACAGCGATCAGCGCAGAGCACTGGTCGCAGTTCGTTCGGCACTGGAGACCCTGCAGACTGCAGTAACGGCGATGCAGACAGCTTGATCTCGTGGCACGGCTCTCTTTTTGCTCTTTGGACGCTCCCAACTACCCTACGCTCCTTGTCACCCTCGCCCCGCTGGCACAATGCCTCCCCGCGACGCCAACTGGATAGATGTGCGTAGTCCCCCGTCACACCCGCGAGCCCCAAGCCTGCGCTCCCGCCCGTATCACTGCAGCTAACACCGTTACCTCCAGGGCCTGCGCGGCATTGCGTCCTTCATGGTCGTGTGCGGCCACTTGTGCACCGCCCTCGTGCCCTGGCTGCACTCGCCCGCTGCCGATGCAAAGACGGCGCCGCACCTGTTCCAGCTGCCCTTCTTCCGCCTCGCAGTCGGCGGCCGCAGCGCCGTAGCCATATTCTTCCTCGTCACCGGCTACGTCAATTCGATAGGGCCCATCAGCAAGTCGCGGGCCGGCAACCACGATGCGGCATTCACAGGCATTGCGCGCTCCGCTCTTGCGCGCTCCGGCCGTCTGGTCCTGCCCACAATGGCAGCGACTTTCGTTACATGGTTTATGGCGAACACGAACGCGTACCACATGACTAAGCATGTCGACTCGACGTGGATCCGCCAGGGCTGGCACAGGCAGGAGCCGACGCTGTGGGAGGCCTTCAAGTCGCTGGTCAAGGTTGAGACCGAAACATGGACAGTTGGCTGGAACGAGTACGACGGTACACAGTGGACCCTGCATTTGTTCCTGGAGGGCAGCATGTTGGTCTACACAACCATGTTTGCGACTGTCATGGTCAAGCCAAAGGCGCGCCTGATAATCTACGCTGTGCTGTACATCTATTTCTGGCAGATGGGCGAGGGTGAGCAGGAATCTTGCGAAGAGCAGATGGCACAACCCAGCTAACGTTCGCAGGCCTCGCAATTGGAGCCCTCAAGGGCCTCAACATCGTCACAGGCATGTTCGTCGCCGAACTCCACAACCACTACAAGGATTCCGCGACCTCCGTCCTCCCGGCGCCCATCCCCGCCATGATGATCGTTTTGGGCATGTTTCTCGCCGGCTACCCTCAGGACAGCCCTCAGAACGCCCACTGGTCACACGTCATGCAGAAGATCATGCACAGCATCACAGTCGAGAAGTCGGACGTTCGTCGCTACTGGGACCATCTCGGCGCCTCCACTGTCCTCCTCGGTATCTTCTTCTCCGCCAGGGCCCGCAAGGTCCTCACATCTCCAGTTTTCAACTTCCTCGGTCGGGTCAGTTTCCCTGTGTACTTGCTGCACAACACGTTTATCAAGTCGGTCCTCACGTGGATGATCTACCTCCCATCCGCCATGAACCCGCCACGGAACGAGAAGGGCGAGCAGCTAGATCTCCAGCGCGGGTCCGCAACACACATTTTCATTGCTGTGGCCATCTTCTACTACACTCTCTACCGAACAGCAGCGCTGTGGATCAAGCACGTCGACCCGATATGCGCGAACATAGTAAACGCCGCAACAAACTGGGCATACGGCGAGCCCCAACAACGAGAGCCCCGGCCGATCCTCGCAAAAGGGAGCGCATCTCCCAAGCAGACCTCCGTGCTGCCATCGTGAGATCAGACACAGAGTCTCGAAGATCTCGTCATCCATTCTTGTGCATCATCAGCGGAGCCTGGTTCTCTGCGCTTTCATCACAGCGTATCACCATTTAGTACCGTCTCATCTCCTATTGTATAACGAACGACATTACCAAGCGAGTAGCAAGCGAGTCGACTCATTTCCTATCATCTATCGTACCCAAAATCTTGGAGTTGAAGACCATCTGGATCAGCATTTGGTTGGCCTCATTTGCATATACTGTACACGCAGCGTTGAGTGTTTAGAGTATCTTGTTGGAATGTTGGGGAGGTGTAAGATGTATGGGCGGATATGAGCGGGTAGAGAGGAGAAAGAGGGAGAATGGTAGATGTGAAGAATATACAAGATAACATCCACCGTCCTTGTCCACCACGATTCCCTCTATACTACCATACCGTCATTGCTGGTCCTCTTGCTATCTGTCTACCATGTTCTTGTAGCCCCTTGCTCCGATTTCCGTTTCTTTGTCTCCCATGTGAGTTCACCATGCCGGTAAACATGATGGCAAGCACCCTTAGATAGACTAGCACAGCGGGGTCAGTGAAGGTAGCCGCATATGAAACTCGATCATCCGATATCCGAGTTAGCACCGCCCGCACATTTCCGGTTTCCAACGTACCCACGGTGGCCGCATACCATGGTGGCCTGAGACTCAAGACCTGGCCAGCACCGACATGGAAAGGGTGAAGTATCGAAGAGCATAAAGTGCGGGTCGATGTGGCAGGATGTCAGCCGATGCCGATGAGGCTGTGGTTCTTGGGAGGTATTCAAGGAAATGTCCGCTCATTCTCACCAGCTCGTGAAGGAGGTAAAAGCCTACACATCGCTTTGGGCTCGGTTGTAAGTCGGAACATCGCGCAACGTCAGATTCCCCAGAGTCGCTAGGCTTCTTCTACGCTTCCAGGTTCGATGGTGTGGCTGTAGTCGTGAGAACAGTAGCACGGCCCGTTCGCATCTTGTGCTACGAGCCATTTTCAGTGCACTACAATCCTTCCACACTGTATTGGACGCCACAACAGAATCTAACATCACGAGTTGCACGTCTCCAAGCTTCAATGTGGTAATTAGCACGTGTGAAGATGGGAAGTGGTAATTGTTCCACATTAGGATGCTGTTTGAGGAATGGGAAGTAAGTTAGTCAAAGCAGTCCAGGCTCCTGTTTGTCGACCAACAAACGCTTCGAATAGTCCAACTCATTTACAGTAGATGGGGAGAAAGATCCATCTATAACATCATCATCATCATCATCATCATCATCATTATCATCATTAGATTGTACATATAGCGAGTGACCAAATAATATCGCAGGGTATCAAGAAAAACCCATCCAAATTACACCATCCTGGTATCGAACAGACCAAAAGCAAAAATGTGAGCAGCCATTATCCGTCATCGATCATCAATCTTCCACCTACCTCTCAAGTATAGAGATATCCATGTTTCTACATGGTCTCAATGACCCTCGAATTGATCGCGCTCTGAAAGCCATGGTTGCCTTGGCCGTACTCCTGCTCCGCAGAACTCTGGATACCCATGCTGGAGCCGGCGTTGTAGTTGCTCGGCCCTTCACCAGCAGCATCAGCCTGCGCGAGCGCGCTCTGAACGGTTTGATTCTGAGCGGGCAGGAAGATAACCTTGCTGTTAGCAGTCTTGGCCATTGCTTGCATAGCCTCGAGGTATCTGATCTGCATGGCAGGAGCAGAAGACAAGATATCGGCGGCTTGACGCATAAGCTTCGCGGACTCGACTTCAGCGCGGGCAGCGATGACCTTGGCCTCACCAGTGCGCTTGGATTGGGCGGCCATGGAGAGCGAGTCCTGCAGATCCTGGTTGAATATGAGGTCCTTGATGAGCATGGATTCGACTTCGACACCCCAGCCGGCGGATGTCTCCTCGATGATTTCGCGGATCGACTGCGCAATCTCCTCACGGCGCTCGATAACGTCCTGGAGTACACGGGCACCGACAACGTGGCGGAGTGTCGTCTGTGTACGCTCGACGAGCGCTTGGCGAATGTTGGAGATGCTGAAGGCGGCCTTGTGGGGCGAGGTGATGCGGTAGTAGATGACTGAAGTGAGCTGCAGAGAGACGTTGTCCTTGGTCATGCAGACCTGCTTGGGGACTTCGACGATCTGGATCTTGACATCGACCTGGACGAGCTTCTCGGAGAGAGGGTTGACGTAAACAAGACCGGGGTCGACGGCGCGAGTGAATCGACCAAACTTGGTGACGAGACCAACATTTCCTTGGTTCACAGGCTGGTATGGGTTCGGGCAGCAGATACAGCAGGGAATGGCGCCGAGGGTACCAACGATTCCACCAAGAGCATTGACCTAAGTGGTGTGAGTTATGCATAGCCAGCAATCAGGAGGTTTAACGTACCATTCCACCGTACCAACCGTGGTTGTCAGCATCAGCATCATCTGGCTCGATAACTCGAGCGTAGCTGGGCTGCAAGTCTTCGCGACGAGGAGGTTGAACCTTCACGATGGGCTCATCAGGGCGGCGAGCGGGAGCACTGTTGGTCCCGTTGGTGGGCATTGGAGCTTTGCCGTTGTCTTCCATTGTGGTTGTGGTTGTAGAGATACTTGATCTGTATAGAATGGGTCGCGATGAGGATGTTGTTGATTCAGCAATCGTGTGTGAATCGTTCATGTGAGGTGGCACCATGTTGGAGAGTGGTTGCTGCTTTATACATCTGTCACTTGACTGCTTGTTGTTCGAGCGGGGAAGCTAGTAAACCGACCCCTGCACCTGTATCCTGCCTTGCGTTAAGACCTTGGCCACCTTCTTGTAGGCTGTGCTGGGAAAGCAAGATGAGGAATCTGAACAATTACCACAGTAACAGAAGTCGTACTGTATCTGACTCATTGCTATGTATTCGGTTGGAGCGCAACAACACGCGACTCTCACAGCTCTCACTGCGATCACTTCTCTCATGCCTCTCACTCCAGAGCGCAATCCTCAAACTTCGAACGCTTCACGGCTTCAACACCGATCACACGTCCGAGCGCCACGTGAGATTGGCACAACAACCTCAAGGCCACCCATCCGCAGCTCCAAGCAGCCTACAAGTCGGTTAACACGGGTGCCTCGTTTCTCCTAAACCCAAACTGCGCGCACCGGTGTGCCCGTGACGTAGCCAATTTATTGCGAGTCTGCCTCAGTGGCTCTAGAAGAATTGTACCCTCCACACAGATCTGGTCCAGCAGACGTTCGCAGCATCTCCGACGTCAATACATCAATACGTCAATAGTTCGCGCTTTCGGCACACCGAGCAGCATCACGCGCTGCAGTAACGCCACGGCTTTGGCACACCCTGGGCTCGTAGGATTCGGCTTAGCCTTACCGGTGGCGTAGCGTCGAATTTTGGAAGCATCAAAGAAGCTTGTGAGGCTCATGTCCGGTTGCAGGCCACCTGGCAGGAAATGTCTCTCGGTGGATGATTTCAAGGCTATGGTTTCGGAGATGCTGAAGACTGGGGATAACGGCGCAGTGGCGCTAATGATTTTCCGAGCTCATGTGTTGGCGCGCCGGATGTGGTAAGATACGAGGCTGTACAACTGTGCTGCTCAGGGTCTATCTCGTTATTTCCATGCTCCCAACTGATGCGCAGAACACCACCAAAATCCCTGGAATATGCCTGGGGTTTACCACGTGGAGTTTGCGTGCACATCTCCAAGCTGCCCAAGATCGCACTCTTCGTATTTGCTCTTGACCGGTGAGCGCCACATTACAGATACGAACATCGCTTTGCGTTGTTATTACACTGCCTCGTTGAGGCTTTTTCTCGCGATGAGACTTATTGGCCCACCGAACAGCTTATTTTGGTCACTTATCGACTTCTAGTTCGCATCTCACGACCAGAGACCATTTTACGGAGCGGCGTGGTAGCATAGCCAGCGGTATTATCGCCGATACCATATTCTCACCAGAATCGTCACTCCGCCGCACCGCAGTCTCAGGGCGCGTAGGCGTGCCGTACAACGCGAATAGCTCTCGGCTTGAGCTATGCCCTGTCGCGCCTCCAAGGAGGCTTCAGTCTTGCAGTGGCTTCTCAGAAAAGATGCAAAGAAACCCGAGAGACATGGAGGTATACATTACTAATTCACGAACTATCTACTTTGTTATCCAGCATGTTGTGACTACAGTACTCTCTGTGCGTGTACTATAACATTCGCGCATGCGCAGGAAGGCTACATCATGATCGCTGCGTTGTCCGGATTCCTTCGCCATCTGTTCCAAGTCGAGGAATTCTCTCGCATCTGAGAAGACTTTTATTTTGAAATCTGCCCACCGATGCCATTGCGGCGACGCAATTGAGATTCCTCCCCCCTCTTGCTATGACAAGTCTGCCGATTCCAAATAAAACCTTGTACTCGCGCGTCCCTCTAAACCCATACAATGCATCGAACACCACGGTGTCGCAGCGATAAAAATTGTTGAGGAAGCAATACAAGATCTGGGCTAAGAGTCTTCGCCCGAATATCTTCCAGGATCACTTGCGCTGTATCTTCAGGTATGACGACTTGGACTCCTACTGTACTGAGCTTTGGCATTGCTTCCGCTTCCGCCAGCTTGAGGTATGTTCCAGCGCCAGAGTGTGGTGAATAGAAGCTGAACCAATTCCAAGAACCATAGTCGGAGCGGTTGTCACTAGAGAATGTGAGGGTTGTAATTTTCTCGAGGGTGGTGCTCTGTGTGCGGTTGATGAGGTGACGAATGTTGCCGGCTTTGAGTGATATGGTGGATTTGTACTGGTGCGCATCCATCAGTTCCTCCTGGGAGAGCTTTGCAGACGAATCTCAAAGCGAAGATACCGGTGTACGGATTCGAGTGGTGGGGATCTTGAGAGCACCGTTCTTCTTTGCCTACTGTAGCATCCTAGACCGGGTGTGAACAGAGCCGTGCCGAGTTGGTGGCCAGGCAGGACGTCCATATTAGTTTCGGCTTTTTGCCTGATGTGGACCGCGCATGAACATGAACCAAAGTGTTTTCCCATATGATGTCATATATTTCGAGCCTGAGCTCCGCGGGCAGCCCTGAAGCGATGCTCTTGGATATACGGGAGTTTTGGTAGCCTTCAATTCCGGTTCCATGGTCACCTTTGACACATATTTGGTATTGGTTGAAGCTATTTCCTCTGACTTGATTGACAACTGGCTCTGTGCTTGCGGGACGAGCTCTGTACGGATGCAGTAGTGGCGGGCCGTAATGTCGGCCCATCGTACGGTCCTTGACGTGGTTTTGCCTTTTGTCGCGGGTTTCGAGGCATAATGGTGAGCGTTGAGTATTGGGATAGCAAGGCGATCCAAGTGGAAGAGGGAAAGGATGCCGGACCAAGCGCCGAAAGGGCAGTTGAACCAAATCCAGGCAACGATGGGTACTCTGAGTACCCCCAGGCTCCAAGTTCGCGAACCACAAGGACAGCAGGCGTGTAGATACAAGCTGCGAAAACGACAGCGGATCCAGGAGTAATGTAGCCACAGTCGCTAATCCTCTCTTATCCTACACACAGTCAACACCGAATACCCATACAGAAAGTCCTCACTCACCACTTCTTAAACTTTACAGCATATTCTCCATTCTCCGCCTTGTTCAGGCGCGCTCTTCGTACGGTGCCCATGCACGCTCCCCACGTGAGCACAACCGCGACGTTGCAGCCGATGAACAGCGCTGGGTTCTTTGGTGCGCGCTTGAGGAGGTTGTCGACCATTGTGGTGTCTTTGAATGATAGAGAAGAGTGTTGATGATGAGAAACAGTCAAGAGTGATAAGTGTTGTGGGAAAAGATGGTAAGTGAAGTCCAGGAGGTGTGAATGTCAAGGTGCAGCTAGCGCGCACTAATGCGGGACCGCTGACCTCATTGTATTCCGCGGACACGGTTCAGGGAGCACAGGTCAACATCGACAGCTCTTCTTCGCAGATAGGTGTTATCGTTGTGTTTCTCAATCATACACCATGAAGCATGAGTTTTCGAGCGGTGTTGTCAACTTTTAGTCAAGAGTGGATGACGTCTATCATCATGCCTTTCTACCATAGGTATACGCGATTGTTCGCCGCTCATGTACCACCCTCATACATCCAGTACCTCAGATCAAAGCAACTCTCACCAACCGGCCTGTGCGATTAATAGTGTGGCAGTCAGCGATAACATGTCGTAGATGCAGATTGCATGGATGTCAGTCTGCTCGATAAGGGAGGACGATGTGGTTGCTAGGTATCGACTATGACATCTCAAGGAATAGAACGGAGCTCATGCCCTGCACCTAATGCCTTAGAGGAATGTGTGGCGCCGAATGCATCTCCTACGGTTGGTTTTGTGAGTGCGACCAAACCTTGGAGCTCACCTTTCGAAATGCGTCCATAGTACAGGTCATCACCATAATGAAGCAAATAAGAGGGACGCCTACTTGGACAGTGAAGTATTGACGTTATCGACCGACTGCCCCACACAAACCTGGCCCTCGATAGGGCTTTACTTCTGGCCAATGGGGCACCGCCATAGTCGTTTCACTACTCCCAAGCAGTTCTTCGTTGCCATAAGATTGCTCACAGCCACTGCCAACCACCGCCGAAACGTCTCGAACCATCATTCAACCACCGTCGTCCCCCACCAACAACATGTCTTCCGCAGAAGGAAGCTCTTCCGACGAGGAGATGCGCGATGGCAAGACCGCATCCTGGGAAAAGGGCTTGCTCAACGATCACCTGCACCTTCTCCGCCAGCGACCAAGAACAGGCGCGCAAAGAGCCATGCCTCAAACGGACACGTCAACCTAGTCCAGCGTTTGATCGGGTTGCACCAGTAAGTCGAAGATCTCTTTTCAGTTGACTTGTTTTGACTCAACTCGTAGATGGGAGAACAACGAGCAGCTATCAGATGTCGTTGTTCGCTTTGGAGACCACCCGGAGGATGTGTTCCACGGACACAAGGCGATACTGTCAAGTTGGTCATTCTGGTTTCGAAATGATTTTATGAGCCCAGCGTGGAGAGCAAGTAGCATTCAGAGAGTATACGTTGCCCACAGACTTACGCAATACAGAAGGCAAACTCCAAAGAGATCATCCTGCACGGCGACAAACCAACATATCCTTATCTGTTACTTCGAGCTCTGTACGTTCCAGGCAACAAGTTCCACATCTCCGAGCCCTGGCTCGATCGCGAGGCTGCGAACGCTGCGGAAATGACACTCACCAAACGGGCCTTGTTTTCGATATCCGTCTGACAAGTCGCGGACAAGTACGGTTGCCCTAACGTCAGGTACTGGGCATGCACCTATGCTAGCGACTATCTGAACAAGGCTCTTGACTGGGCTCAGAACCATACAAACGTTCCGGGTATGCCTGCATTGACGGACATCGAGGGTGTCGTTCGAGCGGTGTATGACGTCGCAGGACACCTTCCGGTAGAGAATGAGTCGCCACGCAAGATGGTACTGGAGGTTCTCCTGAACCACAAGACGACCATTCTGTATGGTGACGAAGGCATCCTGGCGCCACGAGTGCGACGTGTTACCGAGACTATTCCACATTTCGGTGCCGATATGTTTATCAAGTTGACAACTCTCCCAACACATGAGTGGCTCGATGTTTCCATGCTGGATATCGTTCAGCTGGTCAAGTGCCCCCCAGATGCAACGTAGAACCCTGGGTACAGCAAGGAATGGCAGACGGTCGGTGTAGTGGGTGTGGCGCTGTGTACAACTGGCAGAACCATATCGTGCGGAGGGCTCTGCCAGCTCCTCCAGCTCCTGCAGCTCCGTCACAGCCGTAAAGGAGTGGCACTATATGGTAAGCATAGTGGCTTGCAAGGGCTTGCAGATATCTGGACGGTGATGGCTGGGTGTTTTTTGTGGTAGCGATAGAGTCGAGATTGGAAAAGATGGATGAAAGTTCTCGAAGGAAGTTGTGCAGTATACACAAGCTAGTCATGATTGGGCAACCACTGCCTTCTGTTCTGTTCAAACGCACGACCTACGGCGGAGGCAGTAGGTGCACAGGATGGTTGAGTAGCAGTTTCCTACCTTGCGATATGCTGCCACTGTATACACCATCGCTCTGGCAAAGGCGTGCCTGGTACTTCGAGCATAGGGCGGTACCTATACATTAGTAATGAATGTTTGATGTTGTTGGCACGCTACCCTTATGGCAGGATGAATGCTTTACCTTTCCACCAAGCTCAGTGTGGTTGTGAGTGAGCTTACTCCCCAGCTCTCTTAGAACAGTAAGCAGCCAGCCAGGGCCCTGGAGGTAGTCACGTAATCGAAGGCAGCACTGCACGCAATCTCACTAGGAGAACGGAGATCTGCGCATTCAGGTGTTGATGCCAAGGGTCGTAGGATGTCTGCGGAGTAAATGCCATAACCGCGGGCGTCGGATAGTGGGTCAGATTGTGCAACTTCCGGTAACAAGCTGCCGATCAGTGTATTCACAGTCTAGGTCTTTTACCTAAGAACGATCAGATAAGGAGGGGGTAAAGTCAAGTGGGCGCCCAGCACGCAATAGCCGACCCCACAATCCGTGATTGCATGCCCCCGATGTCGCTGTTATCAGATTCATTTGCATCTGACAACTCTGCTAGCGCGTCCACATGCAAGATGATGTTGCCATTGCGGACCGTTCTGAAGGCAAAGTTGCGAAGAAAGGAGAGCTCTATTGTCGATGATCTCACGATCCGGAGCGAATCATGGCGAAAAATAAATTCGCCGATAGTTCGGACAGCCTTGAATGAGCGCGTGGGCCCGCTACTGGCCGTTGGAAGACGCAGCCTCGGCCAGACTGTGAGCGACAGGAATTGACAGACCCCTTTGCGCGTTTGCTGTCGTACCCTCGTACGCAAGCCCTGCAGATGTCAGTAAGACCTCCACGGGTAGATTGCAAAGGGCATGGAATGTCCCGAGAATGCATAAACCCGGGGGTCCTGTTTGCAGCGGAGAGCCAGATATGGAGAGGCAACCCGATTCCCTGGACTCAGCAGCTTGTCCTGGCGACGTAATGGGCTGCTGCGTCGTGTGCAAGTTGACACGTTTGCTTGACGCTGCAGCGGAGGACGGAAATGCTGCGAAAGGGGATCCAAAGCGAGAGAGGTCACGATGCCAGTGTAACCCACTCACGCTGCTGCTACTGTAAGCTATCGCTGCAGCGCGACAAAGCAAAGAGCGAGGCGCGGTGTCTCGGTGCGAAAGCGTAGCATCGTGAGCAATGCCAAGTGGTTCAAGCGGTTATCAGATGCGGAGCACACCGTGATGGACGCCGTCCTTAGGACCTGACACTGGCTCGGTGGTCTGCGCCATGTGCTGAGGAGCTCCTCTCAGCTTCTAGAAATAGCGGAGCATCAAGGCGGTCAGAGGTCAGAGGTCAGGAACATCGCGGCTGGGTGCACGGCTGAGATCATGAGATGCGCTCTTTTGGCACAGGCTGGCTCGACCGCGTCTCAGCAGACAAGTTGCCGGGTGGAAAAGAGTTCAGTGTTGGACCGCCCAAGTGGCCTTCCACCGCCCAGCCGCGGACCAGCGCCCGCTTTCCATCAGTCCTGCTTTACCCGATCGAGCGCTGATAATCGTTCAGCCTCGCAGACGGGTTCTTGGATCGGCACAGTTTTAGAAGCGCAACGCCCGCAGTGCCGTCACCACCCTGCGCCCACTCTTGAGATCTTCTCCCAGCCATTATTGCCCTCTCCCGCACCCCACTGCTTACTGCTCTCAAGACTGCTGTTCAAAGTGTCGACCCTTAACGCATTGCAGACGACAAGGCGGCTGTCACTATCTCGCGTTCGTTTGCCACTTCGGCGCGTGCAGCCACACCGAGGAGGTACGCCCATCGCATCCCACGATCTGATAATTTTTAGCCCTCGATCAGATAAGCCAGCGACGCACAACCCCGCGCACCGAGGGCTGACAGAGCAATTCGAGATGCAACGCGCTTCTCTCCGCGCTGCAGCTGCAGCTTGACAATCGCATTCAATTTTCTGAGTAAGGCCGTGCTAACCATGACGACTCTTAATAGCCCCCTTTGTCGCGTCCTCAGTACACCTGCCCGCCTTCCTCCTTCCACCACACCATCGCTCCATGGCTTCCTCGACCGCCGCCATGCAGCACCAGCTGCCCACTACAGCGACCTCGCACCCCAACGACCCAATTCCCTCCGAGCCCCGCGAGGTGCCCCAGCTCGTCCTCAAGCCGACGCACTCCCCTTCCCAGCCCGAGCACACATCGCCCAAGTCGTCGGGTGAGTCAATACTATGGAGCCAGAACAGCAGCGACGAATCTGAGGCGCCCATGACGCCTAACACCGAGCCCGACCAGGCCGTCGAGGAGATTGCCGACAAACTGGAAGACCTCCCTACTGCCGCCGTCAACTTCAACGGCCAGACGCGCCCTCGACGCGCCTCCACCACGCTCATCTCAGACAGCCCAGCAGACATCCAACGGATACTGGGTAACAGCGAGACCGCCACTAAGCTTATCAGCCAGTGCTGCGGTGGAGGCTGCTGTCTGCTTAAGACTCTCCAGCCGGACACCTCGTCGCCAACCTTCGTTCCCGTCGTCATCCCCGACAATGCCGCCTTCAGCAGCCTCAACCTGAAGATTGGCCCTCTTGCTCTCGACAGCGTGCTCACCGACACCACACCGCTGCCGCCAGTCAACATGTCCTTTGAGCCCCTACCGTCCAAGGAGGTCAAGCACGTCTCCGAGGTCCACAAGACACCGCCCAAGTACGTCCAGCCACACCCACCGTACGATGTCTACTCTGCGCCGCTGTACCACGCCCGCGAGTTGACCAAGCCCGGCGCCGAGAAGAGGACAATCCACTTCGACATCGACGTGACAGACTACCCTGACGAGGGTGGCGTCGACTTCAAGGTCGGTGGTGCCATTGGTATCTGCCCGCCCAACGATCAGCGGATGGTTGACGAGCTTTTCGACCTCCTTGGTGTACCAAAGTTTGTCCGCGACAAGCCAGTCACACTCAAGACCAAGACTGGACGATGGCCCACGATTTGGGGAGAGGACCAGGCACGCGAGCTAGTCACCACACGCCGCGAGCTGTTGACATGGTGTGCAGACATCCAGTCGAGCCCACCGACCAAGAACCTCCTTCGTGTTATGGCCGAGTACGCCGACGCCCCCAACGAGAAGAAGATACTTGAGTATCTCTGCTCAGCACAGGGCCAAGCAGCCTTCTGCGATCTCCGCACCACCTCCCACCTTACTATTCCCCAGATCCTCAGCGCCTTCCCGTCCTCGAAGCCTCCGCTACCAAACCTTCTCTCCATCCTCACACAGCTCATGCCACGGTTCTACTCGCTCTCCAACGACCCTCACATCTCGTCTGCCCGCCCTGGCCTGCCTGGCTCGCGCCGTCTGATCGAGATGGCCGTGACCATCCACGAGACACCGGATTGGCACGCGCCCGGCGCTACACGTACTGGTGTTGGTAGTGGCTTTATGGAGCGCATTGCACACCAATTCATCACCGCTGAGCAGGAAGGCATCGACCCTCGCAGCATCTTCGATCTTCGCATCCCTATGTTCCGCGGTCTCATGGCCAATCCGCTGTCCAAGCAGTTTGGCGGTGAGGGTCCAATGGTCCTCATTGGTGCCGGTGTTGGCATGGCTCCTTTCCGAGGCTTCATCCTGAACAGGCTGAAGAACGCCAACTGCGCCAACAAGATCTGGTTGATCCAGGGTGTCCGTGACTCCATGTTGGACGAACTCTACTCCGGTGAGCTTGGCGACCACGAGCGCGAAATCAAGAAGGTTGTTCAGAGCCGCAAGACACGCGTTAGCGGTCAGACTGAGGCCAAGTACGTCCAAGACGAGGTGCGTATGCAAGCCGACATCGTCTGGTTCGTCATCAATGCACTTGACGGTCGTATCTTTGTCTGCGGTAGTAGCAAGGGCATGGGCGAGGGCGTCGAGGAAGCTCTGATCGACATCACCATGCAGAAGGGCAACCTCAGCCGTGAGGAAGCTCACGAGTTCTGGGCCAACAAGAAGAACGATGGCCAGTACATTGCCGTAAGTACTTCCACTTCGCGCACCAACTAAGATGTAATTGCTAATATGACACAGGAAACCTGGTAAATCACCACACCCATTCACCGCTGTATATACATCGCATTCTTTCTATTCTTCGATCGTCGTTACCACATGGCATTAGCGTTATCAAAAGGCGCCATTTAGACAAAACCTGCACGCGCATACATTTGAAGGATTTACAACAACTGGGCTTTGGGTTTGATTCCGTGTCATCCTTTGAGAGGCACATAGAGCATGGCGTTAGAGGTGGCGAACCATCGTTCACTTGATTTGATGCAGATGGAGACTGGAAACTGGGGACTGGATTACTCGTAGTTGAGCTTGCCTGGTTGGCTTGCACTTGTATTGATAGTTGAATGGAAGTTGAATATCATATATCGTGTCCCATTTCATGTGTGTATGGTGTCGTACTTCTGGAGCCCCTGGCTTGAGCAAGGCTGACAGGACTAAACACAAGACTCTGTTTCACATGCTAGAGTACCGTGTTAACCTTGGCTACGCTCCACTTTCCGCTCGAAGCACCCTTTGTAAGCTCCACCTCCACTTCACTATTATGCTTTAGCTCGGCCAGTGGGTCGTTGTGAGCTCCACGTGTTCTTACAAGGCATGAGTGGAGCTGCAAAACCAGCTTCAGCATTAGGATCTGCTGCTACAAAAAGCTTGTCTGCCTGTTAGTGCTGCGCTAGATACTAGGATCAGCCTTCTCAGATGCGGATGTCTACTTCTACAGTCCACCGGTGTCTCAAGAACTTAGGTCATAATGTCGTACGAAGTTGAACGAGTACACTCTGTATTCAGTAACCGTGTCCTGGTTTGAGAAGTATTTTAATTGTATGATGTATTGATTGTGCTTTCCAATTTCTAATGCTGTGAGTGAGGCTGCTCCTGCCAATGTCTCAGCGCGCTAGCGGGTATGACTTTTCCCTCCTCACTTCAGCCCTTCTTCTCCATTCCAGCTCACACTTTCAGACCACATCCAGCATCCGCGTACAGCTGCCGTCCGTGCACAGCTGCCGAATACCTCGCACGTTTCTAATCCCCAATCGATGTTCAGTCGTCGTCGTCGCTGTCACATTGCAGCGCAGCACGATCCCACTCAGTCGCATACTCAGTGTGTCTGCAATCCTCCAGAGCCCCAATCTCAGCCGGCGTATACTTCCAAGGATGATAAAACTCATCGCCTGATCGCAAACAGCAATCCGGAATGTACTCGAACACCTTGATACCTACGTCCGCAAGCGCTTTCGTGGCGGCCTCGTCAGTAGGCGTGACAGGGTAGCGGTGGTACAAGGCAATCTTCGAAAGTCGAGGGAACAGCGCAATCTGATCACCGTGGTCTACAAGCCCCTCTGAGAACGATTTGAAACAGTTGCATCGCGCATCTGTCAAGACTAGAGTTTCGAGGTGAGGTGGAATGATGTCCGAGCATGATGTTTTCGTGATCTCTGTGGCGGCCATGTGCGGTATGCTCAGCCAGCGGAGGTTGGGGAAGTACTTCGGCAACTGAGAGATGCTCAATGGCATCCAGATGTTGGCTTCAGGGGTGCGGCGCAAGTCTATGGGGAGCTCCAGCGAAGTGAGCTTAGGTCCGATCAAGCTCATGACCCAGGTCAGGTCCGGACCGTCTGCCCAATCTGGTTTGGTCCAATCGGTGTCTGTCTCGTTGGGAATCATATTCCGAAAGAGAGGGAAGTTGAGGAGTATCGAGCTGCCGAGGTAGAGTTGCTCGAGCTGCGGGAGCATGGTGAGCAGGAGACCCAGTAAGATCCCATGGTCTTCAAAGCGCTCGCTTTTCAGCGAAGCGATCATGTTGTCCTGGATATACTTCTGGACGGGCAAGGTTCGGACGTGTCGCTTGCAGTGACCCAGCATGTCTGGCTCAAGATGAGCGATGTGCACCGGGTAGGCCTTGTCTTTCCGTGTCTCCTTGGTCTCGATGGTAAGGTTCTTGATCTTCTTTGCCAACTCAGGATACTTGAAGAGATATCGCAGCAGTAGGTGGACCTTGCTCGATTGCAAGACTGGGGCCAGACAAAGTGCCTCATGTGCAACACGTGCGAGGTGACGACAGGTAAGAGCCAGGTTCAGAAGACGAGGAACATGATGAACGTTCTTAGCATCGCCAACAAGATGCGCAGTAATCTGCATTTGCAACTCTGCGGGAAGGCCTAGTAAGCCAGACTGTGTGACCATCCTGGAGATCTTCAACACACCCTATTTCGCATCGACTTGAACACTGCTCAGTATTCGAACGACTAAACTGGTAGGTTGAGTTGAGTATCTGGCGTGGCGGAGGTGGAAACAGTCTCTAGCAAACCGTTTGCCCTGGCTTGTTTGTACATTTGCAGTCAAAGCGGCTGTGCCTGCAATAAGTGAATCCGTAACGAGTGAAAACCCTTACTTCAAACCAGGTCTCATGACAATAAAGGGGACGATCCTCTTGGGCAAACGTTCGGAACAAATATTGCATTGTGTGTTGGTCTGAGCAGCTTGCTCAGCACAGGTCGACAGCAATTCTTCAGATGACACCCAATCATTATAGCACCTCATCTCAATGCGGCTCACCATCTGTGTGGAAAACTGCTCCACTTTCGAGCTTCAAATCTGTCACATAGCGAGAGACTACTTCCAAGTCGTTGCACGCACGGGCAGCAAACACGATCTTAGGCCTTTGTGACATTGTACCCTTGAGACACCCAGATATTGTTGCTCAAACACTCGGGTGGCATTTATCGACATCATGACAGACTGCAAAGAAAACACCATAATACAATGCTGATTATTCAGTATGTATTCATTCACCCATGCATAACACGGCGCCTAGTACTTCCCACTCTCATTAACCAGCCCCTTGTCCTCGTTCTCCTTCTTACTCCTCTGGCTCCACTCAGGCGCCTCATCAATGCCATCCTCCTCCTCCTTATCCCCAATCTCCTTGGTCTTATGCACGCTCGTTGGCAAATGCTCGCCCGGTGCGTACACAGTAATCAGCTCCAGCGGCGCATCGCCCTTTGTAACGAACTGGTGCTGCGTTCCCGCAGGGACAACGACGACGTCGCCGGCTTTGACTTCTTGGTCTTTGCCTGCGACAGTGGCTAGCCCGCGGCCGGATGTGAACATGAGGATTTGGTCGACGGTGTGCACCTTTCAATGATCAGCATATGACAGTTTCGGGAATGGCAAGATGGCAGCTTATGAGAGAGTACAACGTACCTCGTCGCCGATGTCTCCACCAACGGGGACCTCCATAGCGACAATCTGGCTGTAAAGTCCCGTGTGCAACACCGTCCTAAAGTCTCCGAATTCTCTTCTGCTGCTCAGCAGTCCCGCGAAATGCACCATCTCGTGCTTTGGCGGCTCATCCTTGCGGTTTCCGGCCTTCTTGTATGCATCCATTCTGGCTGTCGTCGTGGAAAGATATTTTGTCGAGGTGAGGGTGGTTGGCCTTGATGATCGAAGCAGGGAAGCCGTGAGTCGTGCAGTCTTGAACATTGAGGTTATGAAGTTTATCAGGGAGATTTGGGTGTATATGTAGGCGTTCGCGATCTCAATGCCATCTGATGATGCTTGTCGCTATTACGCAACGCGTCGCGGTCTAGGTGCATGACGTCAGTATGCGACACTTGCGGTGCGGTCGAGATTGATTCTGTGCTGTTCGATTGTTGCTCAGCAATTTGATTAGGCTGGCTTATGCGATGCTGACTGAGGGGTTTGATGACTGGGTAAGAGTCGTACCTCGGTGTCGCTGCGGGTGCGGTGGGCTAGTGGGCGCTAGTGTTGCTCGATGAGGATGTCGAGCTGTCGGACCTGGAGGTCGAAGGTCGTTTTGGCATGTGGATGGAGTGCAGAAAGTCTGAAAGATGCAGACGCTGAGAGTAGTGTCTGGAGGTTGCGCAGCAATTGGTTTGCTGCAATAGCGAGGAGTTGCTTCCGTAGGAGCTATTCATGGCAAAGGAGCCACACGAAGACATGATGAGAGAGTGGTTTGATGGATACAATAACTTGGTGGTTGAATGATGTGAATAGATGCTGAGATTATTGAGGCTTAATGTACATATTTCTAGTTCTCGCAATGCGAGTTTGTGCTACAATGTGATGTGATGCTACCTCAAAACGCCGTCACCATCACCGTTTGGTGTTCTGATGTTCGTTTAGCATCGCGTGAGCGACCAAAAAGTCACACCACGTCCATGTCATCCAAGGTCATGCAGCCACCCGCCGTGCCCCCCACTTCAGATCCAGGATCCAACTGCGTCTGCACGGGATGACGGTCGGCAAGTCTCCGAATGGCCCATGACATCTACCCCGAGTTCGTGAATGTTGTTGTTGCAACGCAGCTCATTTTCGCCGCATACGCACTGCGGACTTTGGAGGCTCACGTCGTGATGTCTGGCCTCTTTCTAGGGCCTAAAACATCTTGTAGTCTTCATCTAGACCCTGTTCTGGCTCGCCTGCTCTTCTGTCTCGTTTTCCAGCTCCCGCTCAATCTCCTCTTCCTCGGTAGGACCAGGGCCCCTGATTTTCTTGGTATCAACTTCACCTCCGCTCATCTGCCACTCCATGAGTTTACTGAAAGCGCCTTCGGGGTTAGAAGAAAGCTCCTTGTATGTCCCCTCTTCTGCAACCTGACCATCGGAGTTGATGCAGATGATGCGGTCTGAGCGCTTGATGGTAGATAAACGATGCGCAATACTGATTGTGGTATTGTTCTCGGCCAGCAGTTTGCCAAGGGCCTGATTGACAAGGGTTTCGGACTCGGCGTCCAGTGCACTGGTAGCTTCATCGAGAATGAGGATGTCTGGCTTCTTGATGAGCGCACGTGCAATAGCGATACGCTGCTTCTGACCACCAGAGAGCTGCGTGCCACGTGCACCAACGTGGGTCTCAAGGCCGTCAGGCTGTTTTACGTTAGCTACGATATGTGGAGAAGGAATGTTGCACTTACGAAATCGCTGATGAACTGGCAGTTGGCCTTGCGGGCTGCTGCCACGATCTCAGCACGGGTTGCCTGAGAAGCACCATATGCAATGTTCTCTGCAATGGTTCCGGAGAACAGCACAGGTTCCTGTCCGACAAAACCAATCTTCCTCCTCAGCTGCTTGGCATTGAGTGTGGTAATGTCGCGTCCATCGATGGTAATTGTTCCTGCAGTGGGTACGTAGAAGCGCAGCAACAGACTTGCAACTGTGGACTTTCCAGCACCACTAGGTGCGACAATTGCGACATTTGTGCCCTGTTCGATCTTGAAGTTGATGTCTTTGAAGATGCCGACTGCTGGTCTTGTTGGGTAGGCAAAAGAGACGTTCTTGAACTCAATCGGTCCGCGTGCAGACCTCACAGGCTCGCCCTTCGTTGGCGAAATGGTGGGCTCGCGATCCTGAAGTTCGAAGAGACGGCTGGCGGCACCAACACCCTTCATCATCTCGCCATAGAAGCCAGACAAGCCTACCATGCTCGAACCAGCATAGGCGGTGTACATGAGGAAGGACGAGAGTTCACCGATTGAGATGACTCCGTTCTTGACCATGCCACCTCCAACGTACAGGATAGCAATGATTGTCAGGTTGCCCATCAGTCCAGTACTGCCGTAGAAACCTGCAGCAACCACAGCCTCCTTCTTTCCAAGCGCGAATATCCTCTTGATTTGACGGTTGTAGCGTGCAGCTTCTTGCATCTCTCCAACGAAGGCTTGACTAGTTCTAACATTGCCAAGGCGTTCTTCGGCGATCTTTGTAAGGGTACCAAGATTCTTCTGGATCTTGCGACTCAACGTTCGCAGCGATCGACCGGAGATGAAGGCAACTACAGCAACAGGTGGTCCAATCAATGCAAGGATACCGGTAAGCTTGAGACTGACGTAACCCATCATGGCAAATCCAGCAGCGCCGCTGACCAGCGAACGAAGACCATCAGATAAGTTCTGCGTAATACTCTTTCCAACGATGATCGTATCTGAGCCGAGGCGGGAGATGAGATCACCAACACGGTTTGCGTCGAAGAATTCGGCGTTCTGAACGAAGGTCTTGCGGTACAGCTGGGATCGCAGGCGAGCGACGATGCGTTCACCAACAATGCGTAGAATGACGATACGACCGAAATTGGCCGCAGCACCCGCGCAGAGTACTGAAGCCAACGCAATGTAGAACGTTGTCATGTCCATGCCAAACAGAAGACCGTCGGTCTTCTCGGCTTGGGTAGCAGCATCCAGAATCCGACCGATTGAGAAAGGAATCGACATAGAGATGGCTGATGAGAACAGGAGGAAGACGAACGCCCATGAGAGGGTACCCATCTCTGGCCTAGCGATCTTGATCAGCCGCCAGATCTCGCCCATGCCGCCTGCCTTTGAGTTTCCTTCTTTACTCAACTTTGCGCTCAGGTTGACCTGTCGCGCTGCCGTTGCCTTCTCTGACTTGGCAAAGCCCTGAGACTCCTCAGGCTCTCCGTCGTTCTCTTCAAGATCTACAGCGCCCTTCTCCTCCATCTCCTTCTTGTAGGATTTGCGCTGTTTTGCCGGTGTCTTGACCTGAGCTTCAGCCAGAATCCTCGATGCCGTGAACATGCGCGCAGGCTGCTGGAAGGCATTGCGACGTGTGGTGCCTGCTGGCGCGAATCGTGAGGCGCCGGAGGAGGGGAATAGTGATGACGCACACCAGCTCGCGCATTGTGCTTGTTGAGTTTTGGCAATGTGTGCGGGTGTCGGCTTCGTAGCGAATGCTCTTGAAAGCACTGATATGGGCGAGCTTGTCGTCATGCGCAGCTGTATAGAGGAGAACAGAGCTCCGCTCCCGGGGCCATGCCAGGCCTTGGCCGCGAAAGCCGCTGTTCCGCGCATTGTGTCGCGGGGCAGACGGACTGTCTACCTGGAACTGATTCTGAATGGGCTCACTATGGAAGCATTCGACATGGCGGTAGATTGGCTGTAAGGGCGATGACAGCTCGGTGCTAGACAGCTCCTGAGAAAAGTTCCGCCTCGGTGGTGACGAAAGGATTCTGGGAGATCGAGCGCGGGCCACGTGAGGCTCCGATTGGTAAAGATCCAAATGGCGCGAGATTACCAACTTAAACGCGTCAACACTATTATGCGAGTGGATTGCTTCGAAAACGGCAGTGCTCCAAAAGTCGCCTGAACAAACGAGTGGTGTCACGACGTCACTCATACCCGTAGTCAAGCTTTGTGGCTCCCCCACGCGCCACGCTCCACTGATCGAACTGTGGGTGATAGAGATGCAGCATCAACACGACACAACACCATAGCTTCATGAGCTGTGTGTAGTGATCAAGCGTTTGCCATGTGCTGCAGAGGTGGATTTGAATATGCGTTCCAATTGTCGAATTAGGTGGCCAGCGGGCACAGCCACCTGTACTATGTATGACTCCGCGGTGAATGCTCAGATCGACTCATGTGCCAGAAGGCAGGAGCGGCCATGTATATGCTGTAGATTGTGCTTACCGTTCCTCTCAATAATAATGAGGTACCTGATCGACGAATTCTACGAAACATGCCGTCAAAACAGCCAGCAGCTATCCACCTTGAAGGTGCCACCCTGGAGGGCGGCGGGCAACTGTTACGCATCGCCCTTGGACTATCCAGCCTCACCAAGAAGCCTGTCAGCATCACCAACATACGAGGCAAGCGTTCTGCCGGCGGCGGTCTGAAAGCACAACATCTAACTTCCATGCTATGGCTCGGCCAAGCCTGTAACGCGCGCATCAGCGGCGCAGGACTAAGAAGCAAGGAAATCACATTTACACCTAACCCATTACCTTCGATACACCAAGACATCACAGTAGGCCATGTCAGCATCAGTCAAAGCACACCAGGCAGCATTAACCTCGTCCTCCAAGCGGTCCTGCCATACCTACTGTTCTCTGGCGCACAAGATCCAATTCAGCTACGCATCACTGGAGGCACCAACGTGTCAAACTCGCCGTCGTACGACTATGTCGAGCAAGTTCTCATTCCCATGCTCTCCATCGTTGGTGTGCCATCCATAACAACCTCATGCCACTCCCGCGGCTGGTCCACTGGAAGCACACGCCTGGGCAGCGTAACATTCACCGTCACTCCGCTCACAACCACACTCCCGGCTTTCCAGCTCACGGACAGAGGAATTGTTAAGAGCATACGAGCAACTGTCGTCGCACCGCGAGATAGTGAGCAAGGCTTCCGCGACAATCTGGATTTGATGTTCGAGAAACGACTCGCGCGCATCTTTAGTGGAACAGAGAATCCGGAGATCCATGTCACGTTCGAAGACTCGCATCATGAGAAACGGTACTACCTCCTCCTCGTAGCCACGACCTCCACTGGCCTGAAACTCGGACGCGATTGGCTGTACGATCGTGGAGTCCGAACTGGGAAGACCACTCAAGTCATCCCAAATATCGTGCGAAAGGTCTCTGATGACTTGATTACGGAGATAGAGCATGGCGGCTGTGTGGACGAGTGGATGATGGATCAGCTGGTCGTCTTTCAAGCACTTGCCAAGGGGAAGAGTCGAGTGAATAGGGGGAGAAGAGGAGGAAGAAAGGTGGAAACAAGTCTGCATGCGCAGACAGCGATGTGGGTTGCTGAGAGGATTATTGATGTTAAGTTCGATGGAGAGGGAGGATGTGAAGGTATGGGATTTAGTCCGGGAAGTGAGCAGGGCGATGTGGAAGAGTCAGCGTTAGTTGAGGGAGTGAGCAAGCTGGAAGTGTCAACTTGATACTGTGTCGGTGGTATGCAACGGCAGTGTAATTGATGGTTACGGGAGAAATCCAGCAAGTCTACTCTAACCCACGACCAGCGCAAATACTCCCATCGCGCTCACGCGCACGCCACACGCACGCTAACTCTCCGAACAAACCTCCACCCACTCCTCGAGACTCATCCCCGGCCTCCAATCTCTCGGTGCCTCCTCCCTCGTAACCACCGACCCCACTCCATCATTCTCAAACCTCATCGCCGGCACACGCATATACCTCCTCCTCATCTCCTTACTAATCACCCACTCCTTCCCTTCACTCAAGTCTCTGACATCATCAGCGATCTTGAATCCAGAACGGCGTTTGCTGTCGCCTTTGAGGTATCCCCACTGCCTGTCATTATCTGGGTTCTCAGAAATGCCCCCGTGGATCTCATTGTGGTAGAAGAAGGAATTCAAAAGTCAGACTTCGCCTGCTGAGCCGCTGTTCGAGCGATTGATCATAACGCCGAGGACATAGTTGGAGTCATCCAGACTGTTGATGAGTGTGCGGTTGAGCTCTCGTTTAACGGCGTGACCGTAGTGTGGAACTGGGCCAAGTTGGGGCATCTCCCTTTTTCCATAAGATTGTCATTCACGGATGGCATGGAGGTGCCAAACACGACTTCCGGCTTGGAGCACATCTCGCAAGACCACATCATGCATCTTTTACAAGCGCTCTGCGCCATTGTAATGATCACTCATCCGCCACTACAAAACATACCTGAAATGCTTCGCCTGTAAATCCGTCTGATCCTTGAATCCATCTTGGATGGCCTGCTCATCTTCGCCAGCGCCATACTTCTTGTCTCGTTTCTTGTTCTCCCACCACATGTATTGTCTCAAAAACAAAACAATGACAAACATACCACAATAGCAAACGATCAACCCAGTGAGCGCCGAGAAATACCTTGGCTTCTCCTTTGCGAAGAAGATGTTCGCTCCAGCGATGTTGCCGGCGGCATAGAATACAAACCACAGACCGTTTGCAGTGCTGCGCTTGGTGTGGCCGGCGATGTTACTGGTGAGCAGGTTCCAGGATAGGATAACGGGCGCGCCGATGATGTACTGCAGCCATGTGCATCCGACGAGGCTCCAGCGCTCTGAGAGAGGGGTGAGCCGAATGCCGAGGAGTCCGCCGAGAGGTGGCAGGCAGATGAAGGCTAGGATTAGACAGCGCGTGTCTTTGAAGTATCCTGCAGCCAAACCACACAGTGGAATGACTACAAACTCGATTGCGCCGGTGGGAAGTTGCAGGAGTGTGGCGTAGATTCCGCTGAATCCGAAGCCGCGGATCAGCGAAGAGGCGAAGTTCGACACACCGCCATTTACGACACCACAACCCAGTCCGATAAGCATCAAACAGTGGACTTTGATATCCATCAATGCCTCCAGCGCCTGACTTGTCTGGAACTGTTTCGTCTTGACGCCGATCATGTTGCTCGCAATCCGATCAATCGCAACAATGCGCTGCTTGTGTGTGAGAAACTTCGCCGTTGCAGGACTATCCGGCATAGTCCAAAGGAAGACCCACGCCCAGACGAAATTCACCAGGCCAATGACTAGGAAGATGAGCTGCCACGTCGTAATCAGCGGACTGTGAGCATGACCTAGCCCGTATCCAAGGAGCGCGCCAATCATAGTCGCCATACCGTTGAACGCGAGGAAGACGCACATTCGCAGCGGTTGCTCGGAGCGCGTGTAGAACATGGAGACGATGTTCATGATGGCTGGAGAGATGGAGGCTTCAAACATGCCAAGCAAGAAGCGGAGGACTAGCATGCCGGCATAGTTCTTAGCTGCGACGTGGCAGCAGAGTAGGATTGACCAGGTGAGGATCATAGTGCCAGTGTACTTCGAGACGGGCAGTCGTTGAATCAAGTAGTTTGCTGGCAGCGCCCAGAAGAGGTAGCCGAAGTTGAAGATGGCTGCTACCCAGGAATAGCGTTGGCCTTCGAGACCGATATCGGGGATTAAGGTGTAGGCGGACGCGTAGTTGAGGGAGAGTTTGTCAAGGAATTGGATGGTGTATGTCATGCAGATCTGGAGGTGTTAGTCTTGTGTGAGATTATCTGAGGGAGGAGGGAAGGCTACCATTGGCATGATGACCCAGTCAATCTTTCGCAAAACAATCTTTCTTTCGGCATCTAGCTCTTCTTGCGTGTACTGTCGGACTTCCAGATACAGCTCTGCTCCAATATCGCGCATTTGCTTTTCCGCAGCCAATTGGCCTTCATCGATGCTGGGCGCAGTTGCAACTGGCGAGATGCCATCTTTTTTCTCTTCTGACATCTTGATGTGTGTTGACGTTCGACTCTGGCAAGTTGCGTTGGAGAAGTTGAGGTTCAACCTGGAGGTTGCCGAGGAGTAGCATGCACGTCGACCCCGAGTTTGTGTGAACCGTTACACCGACTAGAGTGACGTCCGAAGCAGTGAGTCGCGGGGGTCTTTCGCATCTTATACCGGTAACCTTGTGAGTCGACTGCCCACTCTTGGCATGTTGTATCAACGGCTGTGCATACGGCTATCATCGTATCGTTCTGGGGAGTGCTTATCGCGGTTCGCCAAGTTTGACCTATCATTACCGCATGTTGGTGTAGCATGCATGCAGTTGACGTTGTCGATCCTCCGGATGGTCGAATTGGGTAATTCCCGGCTCCACATGCCCTGGCTGGCGTAGCCGGCGTTTACTAGAGGATATCATTAGCCGCAATCTTCAGCTTCGAAGTATCTCTCTATCTGTGTTGAGCCTCGTAGTAGTCAGCAGAAGGCTTGCAGCTAGTCGCGGCGGGCCCGAAGACAAATGCACAACTAGATACGCGCATGAATGTTTGTATTGGGTATTGTGGTTCTGCGACTGCATCTGAAGACTAAGGCAAGTACTGCAAAGGCATTGCCAAAGTCTAGGATGCTTGACTTCGATAGACTATCGCCAAAGGCCGTATGCGCCTGTTGTGTATTTCCAAAGCTTGACAGTACCGTCTTCACTGCCTGTCGCATACAGCTTGCCATCAGGCGAGAAACTCGCTGACCAGACAGGACCGTGGTGACCCTTGTTTGTCTCCAACTCTTTTTCCTCATCGAAATCCCAAAGCCTGACCCAAGTGTCGTTCTGGTTGCTACCACCAGTGATGAACTTGCGCGCGCCGCTGTGCAGCGCTACACTTGCGATCTCGTATGGCGTCTTGATGGTCTTGATCAGCGATCCTGGCTGGAGGCTGTTGAAGAAGTAGACGCTGTTTCCAGCGGCCACACTCAGTACGCCGTCCGGAGAGGTGTTATCCAACTCGCAGGTGCCTACTACGCCCTCAACAGCATACTCGCCAATCATCAATTGTGTTCGCAGATCCCACCATCTGATCTTCTTGTCCTCTGCAGCCGTGATCAAGATGTTTGGGTCTGATGTCCAGACGATCGACTTGATGGTACCGGCGTGTACGCCTGCGCCAATCTCATAGCTCGGCGCTGACTCACCCTGCGAAAGATCGAAGATGCGCAACTTCTTCTCCATGCCTCCGGTCGCCAGAATCTGCGGATTCGGTTGGTTGGGGAATGCGACGGCGCGAACGATGTGGTTATGCGAAAGAGTATGGAGGGCCTCGCCTGTGTGCGTGTCCCATACTTTTCTAGAAGACGTCAGTAGAACTCTTTGGTGCCAGTCACAGAGACATACGCAGAGAAGTCAGCAGAGGCAGTTGCTGCGAGCGAAGCATCTGAAGAAAGCCTCGCTTGCCAGACTGCGCCCTTGTGACCCAAAAAGGTTCCTATCCAGTCGCCAGTCACGCCATCGCGCAGCATAGGGTTGCCGTCCTTGCATGCTGAGATAATGTAGAACTGGTCTTCGTCCACGATTGAAGAAAAGTGGATGTGGGGGACGGGCCGCGAGTGCCCGTGGCAGGTGAGGGGCACGACTTTGGTGGTCTCAGGCATATTTGTAAGAAATGAATGTCGGTCGCGTCTACAAGAAGATGTCGACGTATGCAGTGGAGTCTGTCGAAGACAGCGGAAAGTTTCGTGGACAAGTCTTGCGGGCGGTGAGGCTAGGAAGGACGTGTGATCTACGGCAGGAAATCGTGGTTATGCGCTGGCGCGGTACTGATACAGCGAGGTTGCGACAACAGCAAGTTGAGCGGATACAAGGCAAGGTAATGAAAAGCGAAGAAGATGAGAGAGTCGTTACGGGTCGTGAAGTCGTAAAAAGCGGTTTGCGCTACAAGACGAAATGTCGCAAGGGACCCTTTCGAGGGGTAGCATGAAACGCCCCGCTAAACCTGCATTAGCGCCAGAGCTACCACCTTCACCTGACGTCGTGCTCATTGTTAAGCCATCCCAATGAACAAACATGGTCAATTTCGAGATCATTCTTGAAGCGACTCATATGCACTCTTTTTGACCATGGCCGTGTTCTCGACCCACTTTGTTCGTTCGTTAAATATGTCTTCACTGTCGAGACTGCCACACGCTTCGATATGTTACCACACTACATTGCTTTTGAGTCGATCGTTGTAACGTCCCCTGCCCGTAAGCGAGAAACGCCCCTCCACCGAGATAGACCAACCGTCCAGGCAGCTCAACCTTTCCCACCCGCATCTATAGGACTGTAGTTAATGTTCATCTGTCCTATGGGCCACTTCTCTTTCGCATTTCGTATTGCAACAGGAAAAATACAGCCGTTTTGATCTTGCCGGCGATCAACTTGCGCACTGCATCGAAGACCGCTCTACCTTCTGACTCTGCTGTGGCGCCGTCGTCAACAATCTTTTCATTTCTAAAGTGCTAGACTGGTAACCCTAGCCTAGATGCACAGTACCCCAGGTCGCAAAGACGATCAGGCGTTGGATGTGTGTAGTCCGAGGCTATCCCCGTGTTAGGGGCACCTGCCCTTAGCGCTATGCGTTTTGGCGAGCGTATTATATTTCACCCTATCCTAGAATCAGCTTAATGCGTGGCGTCCTTCTAGAGGCGTCGGCAAGCACCCTGTGGTACAGCCACGTTCAGAACGCGCCATCTCTTGCTCGCCTGGCATACTGGATGAGCTATACAGACACCGAGTGCAGTCACGCCGTGCTGTCTAGTCCAATCGCAGTAAGTATGAGAGTTAATCCAGTCACTCGTCTGTGTCAAGCACAACACATACAGCACGTCAATAATCTAGATGTCAAGTCGTCATGCTAAGGCTTCACATGACAACAGACACCTCCACATAATTCTCCTAACGACCTCTGCAGCATCGTGCAACCTGGATGCTCGTCGCCGTTCTGGTGACCCTTGATACAATAACGAGAAAGACGAGACTGCCTGGTGACTATTCTTCCGCAACGAACAGATACGAAAAGGTGCCAGGTCAATACTACACGTCAATATGCATCCACCCATCGATTGATCACCTCAATAGGCATACGCCCCCATCCCTCCACCCACTGCTTCTCACACTGGTTTCCTGTACAGCTTGGCATGAAGTCCTTTGTCACGTGCCGTCGAATCCAGGGCCAGGCATGCTCTGATGCGTTGACCTCTGGTGAATGACCAGGCCACCACAGGCGCTCAATGTGATGTAGGGTCAAATAATCACGAGCAATACGTGATTTGTGAGCTGGAGCACCATCTTGGAGTAGTATACATTTAACTCCTTTCTTTTTGAGTGAATTGATCCATGGGGTGACCTCCTTGAGTGCGCCTTCATGCACGTTCCATATCTCCCTCCTCCAAATCGAAACACGACACTTCGCCGTGCAGATATACACATTCCACCGCCCACTTCCAAACACCAGCATGCTCCTCACCCAGGTGTACCTCACATCCGTCTAGCAATACCCGTATCTTCTGCAGCGCAGACTGAGCGAGACCAGTGGCCTTGCACTTGTGCGCCACCATGAGCACTCTCGCGTGGAATTCAAGGTTTGCTTTTGCTACGTCAGCGTTGTAGTACGGATCAGTTGGTGAGGCGTAACGGCCGACATAGCAAAATTCTAGGCGCGGTTCTACAGCTGCTGGGTCGGAGTTTGGTAGGACTAGGTGGTGGCTCTGTATAACAGATATTATCAGTCAATGAGTCCGAATTGTCAAATACGAGGAAGGCAACTTACGTTATACTTAGGATCATTGAGAACGTTCGCAAACCAAGGACTCGCGCAACACAGCACTTTCGGATGACCTCCAATGCGGTAGGAACCATGCGATCCGCAGAGGAGGGTTATGTCACTAGACTTGAGGTCTTTGTATAATGCCAGGTGCGGCGGGTTTGGAGGGGGTGTGCCGAACGGTGGTATAGGAAACTGCCTCTCAGATCTACTAGACCTTGGAGGCGAGCTTACCTTCATTGTGCGCGCCATGTAGCGTTTGAGATTGACAAAATAATTGTTGGTGTGTTTTCTTACGGTGTGAGCAGTTGGTCAGATGGGGGTGGGGTGGAGTATATGTATTGGCTTTGTGTCTTCGGAACGTGAGACTTGGTGCTCGTATTGTGTGAGTACGATGATGATGGCGATTGTGCATGGCGAAGGTTCCAGACAGGATGCAGATTCTAAAGTGTTCATTGTGAGGGATGCGAGACTTTGGGAGAAAGAGGGTCGAATCACCGCTGAGCGTCGAAGATCGAGAAAACGAGGTATTAACAAAGTTGCGTGAGGTAATCTGCAACCCATCCATGAACTCCGAGCCGCGTCCAGGTATTCCGGACTTGTCAAAAGTCATGCATATCCCCTCCCCGAAAAAGTCATGATGTATCGTCTCTTTTCGCAATCCTCTCTAACAGCCAACCTAGTATCCAGTCGAACCAGGCGCCTTGTCGTCCTTCTTCAAGCTGAGCAACAGTTCCCTGAAGCGCGCCTTCTCGCTTCCTGATGCTCCACCCTTTGTGCCCTTGCCGCTAAGGTCGACCAACTTAGCAATGCGCTCCCAGCTAGTTCCACCCGCAGTTGTGTCGTCTCGGTTGGCAAGGAACTCTTCGGCCTCTTTCCGTGTCTTGGCGATCTCCTTGTCCTTCTTGTTGTTGTAGTTATCGTAGAAGTCGTCAATGTTCTGCTGCGCCTCTTGGATGGTCTTGCTCTTGCGCTCGGCGGAGACCTCATCGCGGTGCTGGATCTGGAGGTCGCGGCGCTCGCGCCATTCTCGGATCACATCCGGCTCTGGCGAGTCTGATCGCTGGGGTGTGAACGAAGGTGCGGGCTGACCAGGGAGGAAGGGGAGCGTGGACCCTGTGATTGTGCCGCCAGGGGCCATGTGCTGATTCCGTCAGATCCATTCGAGCGATAGGGATACATTCGATTGCATAGTCTCTCTCCAGTGCTGCCAGCCGTCGTCACATGCCTGGCGCATCGAGGCTAGGTGCAGCGCATGCTTACCTCGTTGGTTGTGTCAATCGCAGGGAAGGAGCTCTCGAAGCCGCTCATCTCCTGTGAGCCAACGTTGGCCTGGCCGCCGAAGTCTTCACCAAGCAGGTCGTCATCACCGTCCTCGACTGTTGCCAGCTTGTCGTTTTCTGAAGCAAACTGATCCGCATCATCGCCGAGAATTGCGCGCTCACGGGAGAGGAAGTCGTCACCGGCATCATCGCCAAGGGCATCGAAGTTGGTAGCATCGCCACGGGCTTCGCTCTGACCTGGGATAGTTCAGCATCAAGCTGGAGCTCATTTGGGGGTCCAATAGTGGAGCCTACCAGCGTCGAACTCGTCTAATGAGGGAAATCGATCCGCCATATTGGATGTGATGTGTGTGCAAGATTACTGGGAGGGAGAGATGGCGGGGAAGACAGCAATTGATTGTTTACGTCGCTGGTCGATAGTTGCGCTCACTGACCGCATAGGAGAGCACCCTTGGCGTCTGGCAATCGCGGAGGCCCGGACACGTATCGCCGACTTTAGCTCGCCCCTAGCGCCCGCAGCTTCACCTTGAGCTTCCTCACATCAAACCCATCAACCACACGTCATCAGGGCATTTGTGCAGCAGACACAGGCAGTTGTTGCAGGCTGGAAAGGTGCACTTAAGCTTCTACACGGCACAAGCTATCATCAGAGTGTCCTGTTTGTAAACGTGCTCGCGTGAGCGCCTGGTTACAGTAGTGATTATTGTCAACGCGTGATACCCTCAGCATGGCCTTCACAGAGGACAGCCTCAAGGCGAAGCTATCGTCGCTCAACGAGACGCAAGATTCCATCTCCACAGTCGGCCAGTGGATCCTCTTTCACAGGTAAAGCAACTCTTCTATACAGGGCATCCTTGGTCGCGCCCACGGAGTGAACGAGCAGTTTGCCCACATCCACAGTGCAAGCACCCACAAGTCACATCATCACACTCGCGAAGCATTGCTGATCCAATGACTGTACAGACGACATGCCGAACGCATTGCAGCAGTATGGCTACAGCGTATGAAAGAATCACCACCGAACAAGAAGCTAGTTCTGATCTACCTCGCCAATGGTTAGTTGGGACCCATTGTCAACTGTTTTGACACATCAGCAAGCTTACATTTGAGCAGAAATCACCCAGACCTCGAAGATGCGCAAGAAGGAGGAGTTCCTCCGAGCATACGAACCCATCATCGTCGAAGCCACGACAGTAGCTTACAAAGGTTCACCCCACGATATCCAAAACAAGGTCAGAAGAGTCGTTGAGGTCTGGCGACAGCGACAGATTTTCAATCAGGCCACCCAGCAGGGTATCGAGAAGGCGATGAATGACATTGACTCGTCAAAATCAGTCGGTCGTAAACCAGCCCTTGGTGGAAGTCTGTTCTCAAGCTCGACAGTCCCGGCTGAGCTCACACCAGTTGCTCCTCTAGCAACATCGGTCAACAAGGCAGATCTTACAGCAAAGCCAGCAGTAGCATCAGCGAATCAAGAATATGAGAAGGTCACCAACCCCAACTACACTATTCCTTCGGCGCCTGTACACGCCGCCGGACTATCAACACTCGTAAAGAAGCTTGCAGTAGCCGAAGGCGCAGTCGCGGAGAGCATCAAAGCGCGTCAAGCGCTCATTGCCGGTCTCGAGAACCTCCTCGCAACCAACAAGTCGAAGCTCGAGCAAGACCAAGCCCAAGTCATCGACCTCAAGACCCGCAAAGACGCCATAGAAAGTCGCAAGCGCCAAGTCGAAGACGCCATTCTGCAAGGCCTCTCAGCCATCGAAACGAACAGGATCTCCGCTGCCCCCCTTACCGTCGCAACAACCTCGCCCCCCGGCCAGGACCGCCCTCAAGTCGAAGAGCTCACTCCCCCGCCCATGGAATCTTTCACTCCCCTCGGCTCACCACAGCAAGCACCCGTCCAAGCCATCGAGCCCGTCCCAGACATTGGCGACGACGTGATGCCCGAACCCGTCTCGAACCCGATCATCCCCGAGACCGCGCCTGCGCCCGGAAACACCACAACATTGCCCGGCTTCGCAACGACCATGGGCGACACCAACGTGCCGCACGACCTGCTGAAGAGCTTGCAGCATGCACGGCCAGGGCAGGAAGGGGGCGTGTATGGACAGCATTCGTATGAGACGGCGGTGAAGAAGAGGAAGATGAGTAACCAGGTTGAGGATGAGTATGCGGCGTTTGCGGGGGATGGGGATATGGATGGGATTGATAACAATTTGGGAGAGCTGATTTAGGAGGTCAGATGTGCGGCGCTGGAAGTGGCCGAGCTGTATCGCGCTTGAGGGGTATGTCAAGGCTTGACTGGTGTATAGATGTGAGTAAGCAGCAGGCTTGTTACTGAAGGATATGTAAAGTCATGCCATGCGTGATTTGTAGATATCATTATCTCGATATTGTACAATGAACATTGGTAGTATATGCCCCAATCGATCCTCTCATTCAGTCATCCATCCACTAGTCTAAGCCGGGTCACCCGTGTCCGGGTCCGTTGCTTCCTCCCTCACCTTATCCCCCGGCATCCTTCTACTCCTCTCAATCTCCTCAAACGTCCTCTGCCCCTCCTCAGTCGTCGCATCAATAACACCCTGCTCCACACTCAACATCCCCCCTTCACCCAACTTCTCCACCACCTCCTCTGCCTCCTCGACACTCATCTTCGCCAAAACCTTGTTAATCTCCTCCAGCTTGCCCGTCTCCAGGGCTCGTTGCAAGCCTGGTGGAAACGTCTCGAAGATGCCGCGCGCCATGATCTCGATCTCGCGCTCGCGCGGGTCTTCGGCCGTCGACTTCTCGGGCGGGACTTGGATGTTGATTGTGGTGCCTGGGTCGACGGCGTGGAGTTGGATTTGCTCGACGCCCTCAGCTCCCGCGGGGTTCTCGGCGCGCTCTTTGAGGATCTCAGCGGCGCGCGTCTTGATCCTGTGATAGGTCTGATCTACATCATCGTTGAACATTTTGCTCGCCTGGTGGTCCTTGGACTGTATGCGCTTGAAGAACAATTCCACGCCCTGGCGCCCACCGAGTTGTCGGCAGTACTGCAGCAGCAGGCCTTGGTGCACGCATTGCCGGGCGTGTTTGGGCTTGCCGTCGAGTTCGGAGTTGAAGGCCTCGACGAGCAGGCCGTCGGTTTCGGATTCTTTTAGAATCTCAGAGTGTTGCATGAGGAATTGGAGGCAGGCGTACCAGTCACCTGCTTTTATGGCGGCGAACTTCTTGGCGAGCGGGGAAGCTTCGACGTTGTCGTCGTCGGCGGCGGCGGTGCCTTCTTCGATGTCGGCGTCTGCGCCCGAGTCGCCTGTGTCGGTGCGTGTGGCTTCAGGGCGCTTGGGGGCATTGAGCAGTTCGACAGTTTCTGTTTTCGATGTGGATGAGGATGCTGTGGCGGGCTTCTTCTGGTCCCCCTTCATAACGGCGGAGTGGCTGAAGCCTTCCTTGATGTCGTCGCTTGTGATGTGCCTCTTCTCTTCCTTCTCGAGCTCTGCCAGCTTCGCGAGTAACTGCTTCTGGAGGTCCTCTACTCGCTCCTTCTCCTTGTGTAGTCCTGCAATGAACTGATCGTACCGCGAATCCGTGCTCTTGCTTGCGTCGATTTCCTTCTTCACAATGTCCACCATGCTGGCCATCATCTGGGGATATGTAGGCTTGTCCTTGATGTGCTCATGCACGCCCTCAGGTGGTGGCGGTGGTGCGTTCTCCTGCATGTCCAGCATGCTCTCCATCATCGCCTGAAATACCAGTTGGTCTTCGTTTGCTCCATCTGCGAGCTTATCCTTATGTGACTTCAAGGCTGTGAGTAGGCGGTCGATGCGCGTGGTGAGGCCATCGTTGATTATGCGCTCGTACTTGAGTGTCTTGATTTGGTGTCGCCTGTGGTCACGCTCTTGGTGAATCTGGGCCTGCTTTGCGCGAATGAAGGACTTCTTGTCGACGTTTGGGTGCACTTCGATGTCGCTGTCATCTGAGAGCTCGAGAGCATCCTACAGTCGTCAGTAGCTGTGAGAGAAAGGAAGTTGTGTTATTAAACGCACCCATTTGCTGTAGTTGATCACCATGTTGTCTGATCTCTTCTATGTGTGGTGTATGGCTGATATGTGGCGCTGTTCAAGGCTGCACACTGTTTGGAGGACTTCGCGGGGTCTGGTGGGATGTTCAAGCAAGTGGGGCACTTCCGCGAGAAGCTTCGAGCCGCTTTAGCACAGCTCTATCATCATTCTTACAACCACCGTCATCAGCTCTTGCACCCAAACATGATGGGGTTCTGATACTGTTGGGTAAATACCATCAGTCCAGCAGCCCGTTGATACACGATGGATGCCTCTTGCGCCTGTGGCGCCGTTAGATTCACAATACCCACCCCAGCACCTCTCATGCTCTACCACTGTCGCTGCCTCGATTGTTGCAAACAGTCAGCAAGCGCCTTTGGCACCGCTGCCATATTTCCCTTTTTTCGGCTTCCTGATAATGACTTGACCACCCAACGATGCTTCTTCTGCAGAGGCTGTGGCAGCCGGATTATGCATATGTACATTCTTGACCAAGGAAGTCCGGATGCTGTAACTATCAAAGGAGGTCTGATCGAGGACCTGGACTGGACAGGGGGAACCGAGCTGTTCTGCAGAAGCGCGGTTGTGCCGCTCCCTGAAGGAGCAGAGAGGTTTGAGGCAGAGCCCACCGACTGATCGTTCACATTAGGGACATGCAGGAAGGCATCTGGAACAAGGAAGCGCAATCCAAAAGTCTCGAATAGGAGGACCTCTACCAGGCGCTCTGAAACACTCAGGTTGCGGCCTTTGCAAGCAAGATTGAGCGAGTTTGCGTGCTTTTACATCCGTTCGCGCAATGAGTAGAAGATATATCAAGACCCATCCTCGTCCATCACAGCTCAGCATCGACACGTCGGCTATCAACCTTCAGTCGCGCCTCCATAGCAGACCTCGACTGATGAGGTCTGCCTGCAAATATTGGCCGAGACCTTCTTTTGCAGTGCAATCAGGCCGACCCTGCACTCGCTGACGCCGCCGGAACCACGACTCACGTTTTCCCAGGTATCAAACAGCAGGATTGCACGCTTGTGATCACTGCCAATTACTGCTGTCATCGCCAGCATTACATGGGGCGGCATCCGATATGAAGTCAATCTATTCTCCGGCACAGCACCCGGTAGTCTCTAGACGAGATCACGTGGGATCTACGAACTGAGACGTCTTCCAAGCATTGAGGGAAAAACACCAATGAAAGCCGGCTAAGGATGCTCCTGCCACGAGCCACGTGCTGTTTCACGACTCTACCATGTTTCAGTTCCAGCCGCTGTCAAGATCGTTTCGGTCTGTCGGTCAACCCCACACGCACTGATTGCAGCTGCCATAGACAGTCTCGCTTCCGGAACCCGGGACAGCACAGAGACAGCTCGATGCAGCTTACAGTCTCTTGTCACGGAGCTTGTGTTCGGACGCTTGGACGACTTGTGGGGATACCAAGAAGCATCTGCCGTTAGCGCGTTTCGACCAATCTAACCGCTGTCCTTCATGATCTCCAGCAGGCATTGCCATCATGGAAGTTTCAAACAGCGTGGTACACGGCGTTGACTTGACTCCTGGAATAAAAAGATGAACACTATAAAGTTGACAGTCTCGCGCAATCTATTTCGGCTCTCTAGGTCATCCAGTACCGAAGCATCGCATTCATTCGTTTCTTCTTAAGCTTTCCCAGCTTATATTCATTCGCTTCTTCACTCGCTACCAATTCTTCATACGCCGGATCGTACATTTGCCCACACTTTCACAATGAAGTACATTGCTGCTGCTCTCGCCTTCGCCACGGCCGTTGCCGGTCACGGCTATGTCAACAACGCCACCATCGGCAACAAGGCCTACACCTTCTACCAACCTTACCAGGACCCGTACACGAGCCCTGTTCCCCAGCGTATCTCCCGTGAGATCCAGGGCAACGGCCCGGTCCAGGATGTAACCTCTGCCGATCTTCAGTGCGGTGGCTACACCGAGGGTGGCATCGTTGGCTCGAAGCCTGCTGCGCTTCACGCTGAGGTTGCTGCTGGCTCCGAAGTCGACCTCTACTGGACCCTCTGGCCCGATAGCCACGTTGGTCCCACCGTCACCTACATGGCCAAGTGCCCTGATGCTGGTTGCAACAACTACATGCCCAACAACACGTACAGTTCCCCTCAACACGCACTACAATTCTATCTTTACTAACAGCACTGCAGCGCCGTCTGGTTCAAGGTACAGCAAACCGGCCGCACCGGCACCTCCAACACCTGGGGCGCCACTCCCCTCATGAAGGCCGGCGGCGTCGTCACCTACACGGTCCCCAGCTGCATCCCCTCCGGCAACTACCTCGTTCGCCACGAGATCATCGCGCTGCACGCCGCTTACTCTTACCCCGGTGCCCAGTTCTACCCTGGCTGCCATCAGCTCAAGGTCACCGGTGGCGGCAGCAAGACCCCAACTGGTCTCGTTGCTTTCCCTGGTGCTTATAAGGGAACTGATGCTGGTATCACTTACGATGCGTACAAAGCCCAGACTTACACTGTTCCTGGACCGGCTCTGTTCACTTGCTAGATGTAGTATGTGAAGGTTGATGCATGAGAGAAGTTGAGCTTCATTGTAGATATTTGCTTCGTACACTCCTATTGCCATGAATGCGATGTATGCATCTGCCATGATTCTTTCCATTTTTGCTGTGCATGTCTGTGCGTGCTCCTGCCAAGTTATTCTTGTTACTCCAACCACGACTTACAAACATGATCAAACACCATCTCAAGAGTGCTGGGACCGAACAGCCAACCACGTACAGCACATCAGTCAGATGTGCAGAAACAGAGCCAGCAACGTACCAAGGCATGAGCAGAAGTTCGAGCGGATGCTCTATGGGTTGATAGCCGATGGTTAGTGAGCAGCGACCTGCGACCAGGTGCAAACAGAAGTCGCTAACACAGCATAGTGGGATCAAACATGTCAAAAAGTCACTGACCTTCAACAAGACCTCATCTGAACTTCAAGAGCCAATGTGCCTTCGAAACACTCAGTTCACTGCATACAGGCGGTTTCCAGTTCCCATAAATATGCCTCTGTCCTCAGCCCACGAGCATCGAATCGCCTCGAAACGCCCAGCATTACCACAAGAGGATCTCAGCCGCAATCATGTCGTCCAACGAATCTTCTTCTGACGGCAAGAGCAACGCAGTTGCGCAGATGGACGATGCCAACGATCATGTTCAAGATGAGGTACAGACCCAGCAATCACCGCCTCACGCAAGGTCCCACTTGGATATCCTAGATCACTTCAACGCCAATTTGGGCTTGATCAATAGGCTCGCCCCGAACTTTTCAGCATGTCATCACTGACGCAGTTTTTAGGTGATCGACAATCAAGCGCTCTTCGATGTAGTCATCTGGTACGGCGACGGAGACGGAGACGTTTTGCGTGGCCATCGTGTAGCCCTTGCAAGTGCCTCCTTCTAGTCAAGAACGCATTTGAGCCTGGTTTCGCCGTAAGCAAACACTTTTCATTGCACCATGAGAAATATCTAACATACGGTAGGAAGCAACATTATCGACCATCACACGTCATGGCGACAAGCCAGAGGCACTACGGACTATGCTGACGGCATGCTACATGCCTGGCTTCAAGTATGTGGTTAATTGCAACGTGACTTCACATTGCTTCACATCTTAGTCTAAGTCGTAGTAGACAAGTATGATGCGCCTCACATCAAGTACTGGGCTTCAACTTACGCCATCTCGCATCTAACAGCATTTCTGGACCATATTCAAGCTGAACCAAAAAAGGCTAAGGCCCCGTTGCAGAAGCTCCTGGCCAGCACAACCGCCACTGTGTACGATGCCACTGGTCATGTCGCAGAATCCGATTTGCTGCGGTGTGGGATCCTCAAGCTCGTTCTCAATCATCCTGTCACGACTCCCTGGGTCAACCCAGCATCCTTGCATGGGAAGTTACACGCATCACTGATCTAATTCCAGCCTTCGGGCGGGACATGTTCGTTAGAATGGCCACAATGACAGCTGTATTTTCAGAAGTCTCGAACATCCAGGTCGTTGAGATGACAAAGTGCCCTGACTGCGGGTTTCAGCGTTGGATGGCGCGAGGCGATGTCGGCGGAAAGTGTGGAGGATGCGGCTTTGCGCGAAACTGGAAAGACCGTGTGGTGAGGAAGATGTACCGGACTCCACTATACTCATATCCACGTCCTCAGGCCCAGATTCACGCCCCTCCGCGTCCCTGAGAGATATAGCCACCATCGGTGGAATAAGCTGCACACAGCTATGGCGACAGGGCGATCGAAAAGAGTGAACAGATCGTCGTTGGTAGGGACTGCATTCAGAAGAGGACGGACTGGTAAGAAAGGGACTAGGGAATTTGGAAGTGATCGAGTAGCCCTACTCTGCGGGCTTATATATTGCTGTCACATACCCCTCAATACGTAGATTACGACTACAATGCATACTTAGAAGTCTTCCTGTATATGTCCGCTTGATTTTGGTTTACATTCTGCATTGTTAGCTCATCTTTGCTAGTATAACAATTATTATCTGTTCTCTTCCCATGCTTTCTTCTGTTTGCGTGGAGAAAACAATAATCGGTGTTTCGGTATCTATGGTGTTGACTTCAGGAATGGAGTAGTGAAAGCATGTTGCAGGAGGAACGTTAAATTGAGAGGGTATAGTTCACTGATGAGTTCTGTTTGCTGCGACAGTGAGAAGCCTAAGCGTGCTACGAGGTCGTTCACCAATACAAGACCACCATATGCTATGTCATGACAATCGTGAAAGAGAAGAAGGGGATATCAGTCTAATGCTAAGGAGGGAACAATCGGTTCGACAAATGACGATCACGACTCAGACTCCTTGGTGCGCATAAGCAGATCCTGCTTGTTCTCGTCGTGTGTCTCGACCGCTGTCGCCGGGTCGGACTCCTTGTCTTTTGTGGGAACGGTGTCCTCCTTGACATTGGCAGTCTCTGCCATGTCGTCCTGAACGGCGGAGGTGTCCTCGACCTTGGGTGTGTTGAAGCGCACCTTGCGATCGGCGGTTTGCGAGATTCTCCTAAGCTCATTGACGAACGACTCGCCCCACCAGGCACTGGTGTACTTCCTGACGTACTTCGACAGCTTCTGGTAGTTGAGATTGCGCTGCTCGTCGCCCATGGTGACGGCGTCGTGGATGGAATCGGCCAGTTCCTCTGTGTTCCAGGGGTTGACGATCAAGCTGCCGTTCAAGCTCTGTGCGGCACCGGTGAACTCGGACAAGATCATGACGCCGTGGCGCTTCTCTTGTGTTGCAATGTACTCGTAGGACACCAAGTTCATGCCGTCTCTTGTCGAGGAAACAAGGCAGACATCGGAAACGGAGTAGAGAGCGATCAGCTCGTCGAATGAGACCGACTTGTGCATGAAGTGAATCGGCATGAACTCGACGGTGCCGAACTTGCCGTTGATGCGGCCGACCAACTCGTTGACGACGGCGCGGAGGTTCTGGTACTCCTCGACGTCTTGTCGAGAGGGAACGGCGACTTGTACGAGGACGACCTTGCCGATCCACTCAGGGTGCTCGGTGAGGAAGACTTCAAGAGCATGCAGCTTCTGCGGTACACCCTTGATGTAATCCAGACGGTCAACACCGACAATGAGCTTGACGCCTTGAAACTTCTTCTCAAGCGCTGCGATACGCTCCTGGACCTTGGGCTTCTGCAGGCCCTCGTCGAACTTCTCGGGGTCGATACCGATAGGGAAAGCGCCGACCGTAACGACCTTGCCCTGGAACTCGACACCGTTCGGTGTTGTAGCAAGACCCCTACCAGAGTTAGTATATGCGTCGAACTCTTTGTGTGGACATACTTACAGTATACGCGAGCAACTGCTCAGGAAGTGACGAGCGTAGTCGTATGTGTGGAACCCAATCAAGTCGCAGTGGAGTACACCAAGCAGGATCTCATTACGGACGGGAAGAATGCGGTAGATCTCGGAAGAGGGGAAGGGTGTGTGGAGGAAGAAGCCAATCTTGACGTTCTTCTTAGTGTTACCGATCTCTTCGCGCAGCATGGCAGGCATAAGCATCAGGTGGTAGTCATGGACCCAGACCATATCGTTGTCCTGAACGTCCTTTGCTACAGCCTTTGCAAACAAGCGATTGGCCTCGGTGTATCCCTCCCATGCCGACTCGTCGAAGGTGATCTCACCGGGGTGGTAGTGGAAGAGCGGCCACATGATGGCGTCTGTGGGCGGACGTTAGCTTTGCTGAACTATCCAAATACTTGTTCCATGGTGCACTGACTTGAGAAGCCGTTGTAGTGACGGTCTGCGAGCTCGTCGTCGAGCATGATGGGTACAGCGTTGTACTCGCTCTTAAGCTGATCCTTGAGGCCTGTAACCTCATCGTCTGGGACTTCTAGGCCGGGCCAACCATACCACTGGAAAGTGGTGGTTTTTGACAGACCACTCAGACCACTGACCAGTCCTCCCGAGGACATGGACATCTCGTACTTGCCCTCATCTGCGCGTTTGATGGTGATGGGCAGACGGTTGGAGACAAGGAGGAGGCGGCCCTCGTTCTGCTTCTCCCTCACCAGCTTCGTAGGTGTGTCCGACGACATCGTTGTGTTTGGTATATATGGCGTTCGAGGTGAGGAGGGGCGTCTAGGTTAGATGGCCGGGGGGGGGGGGGATGACGCTGCGTTCACGAGGTGGGTGTCACACGGTGTTAAGCAGTGAACGACTGTAGAGCGCAGACAGGCGTTGTTCAGCGTCGATCGCGGAGGTTTTAGGTGATAGAGGCCACACGGAGGAGGAAGTTTTCCGTGAAGCGCGAGGGTGACGAAAGAATGATTTTGGTTGTAGGAGGGACCCGCTCGACACAAGGAAGTGGGTTCCAGCAGAATCGACGATTCGCCAGAAGAACAACCAAGGCAGACTGCAGAGCGCACTGCTGCCAGAGAGGGAAAAAGACTAGGGTGGTCTAATATTGGAGGAGCTCAGAGGGTGCCAACGAATATTTGGCGGATTGTTGAAGAAACGGCAGAGGGTAGAGCGCAAACTTGCAAAATAGCTGTGACGTCGGTTGAGCTCCCCGCGGTGGGCTCAGACCAAGTAACTTCACATGGGGGCGGTGAGGGGACCAGGTGAGCCAGTCCGCTCTTTTCATTTATCCACTACGAGTGCACAGGGCCCTATGGTAAAGCAAACCTTGGACTTTCGAATGCGAATGCGCAATTGTATTCGGCCCTGTTATGTCTGGTAGCACAGTGGCTTGTGATGCACGCAATTGGGCGACCCCCGCGGCGCTAGAGTGAAGCTGTTGGGCGTTCCTGCCCTAAGTCCCCCGAGGCAGGCGCTAAGTCAAGTCAACCGTCATCGCAGCGCGTCGCGTCGAAGGCAAACAACACTTGATATCACTGCGGTCACGCACAAAATGTCTGATACCGAGCAGCCTTCAGAAGCAGCCATCTTGAAGAAGCTCCAGGATGTTGTTGTCTCGTTGCACAAGTCTGGCAATACAAATGACTTGACCGTCAAGCGCGTGCGAACGCGTGCGGAGGAGTCTCTTGGCCTACCAGCTGGCCTTCTCAAAGGCGCTGACTGGAAGCAGAGGAGCCAAGATGCAATCATGGAGGCAGTTGTGGGTACATGTACTGATTTCGACAGCGAATATATCTAACAACAACAACACAGGACAAGTATTGCGGCGATGAACCTGAGCCGGAGCCAGTGAAGCCTGCACCGAAAACCTCAAAACCCAAAGCGCCCACCAAGAAAGTCGAATCGAAAGCTCAAAGCAAGCAAGGCGCCAAACGGAAGGCAGCAGCACCGAAGAAGCAGCCACAGAAGCGACGGAAGACTGCATCTTCTGAGGATGAGCTGTCAGACGAGCTCTCTGACGCTGAGAGCGAACCTGCGGATAAGCCAGCTCAAAGAGCAAAGAACGTTATAGAGGAAGACTCGGACGAGGAAGAAGCGGCGCCAAAGAAGCCCACAAAGAAGGCAAAACCAGTTGTGGAGGACGAAGGCGACAGTGACGCCGAGCCTGCGACAACACCGGCGAAGAAAGCAAAGACGCCACCTCCAGCAGATGAGGGTGCCGTCTCAGAGAGCGAGCTGTCGAGTCTGCTCGACGAGTCGCCTGTTAAGAACAAGCGGCAGAAGAAAGCACCGGCTGCGAAGAAGGAGCCAGCGAAACCGAAAGCCAAGGCTACGAGCAAAGCCGCTGACGACCCAGATCAGGCTGAGATCAAGCGACTACAAAGCTGGCTGGTCAAGTGTGGCATTCGCAAAGTCTGGTCAAAAGAGCTTGCCAAGTTCGACACATCAAAGGAGAAGATTAGACACCTCAAACGAATGCTATCAGATGCTGGCATGGACGGCAGGTTCTCGGATGAGAAGGCAGCAAAGATCAAGGAGAGGCGCGAATTTGCCAAAGATCTTGAGGCCATCCAAGAAGGTGAAGCTTCTTGGGGCACAAGTGAAGACACTGGTGGCAGGCCAAGACGCAGGGCTGCTGCTCGACCTGTGCCTGTTCAGAAGATCGAGTTCAGTGATGACGATGAGGAGAGTGAGGGAAACAAGGACGACGCAGATGAGTCCAGCGAGGATGACCAAGACGACGATGACGAAGACGATGGCGAGGGCCCCTCTGAAGATGGTGGCGGTGATGATAGCGCTGCAGACGATTCAGAGTAGGAACGTCTAACATCTAGCAGATCTGTATTCGTTTACCATTGTTCAGCTGAATACCCCAATACGCTCAATAGACACACGCCATCTCCCCTAGAAAGTCTCCAAATCATTGGCTGGCACGTTCTTGCAGTCTTGCTATCGTGGGCGTTGGTGTGGGCTGGCGGCTCTTTCCAGGTTTCCGTTGGCGCCTAAATGTCAGCTTGAACGCACCTGCGTTCCCGTACCTCGACAACGACACCTGCACGTGTCACCAAACACACTGAACTCAAAGAACGGGATGACGACTGCAAGGACACGAACGTTCCTGGCTTCCAGGAATCAAGAGGCTGGATCACGCAACAACTTCCAGGCGGCAGAGGAGTATACCGATATTCCACGTTCGGTACTTTGTTCAAGATGCTTGGATATCTTTTCGCAGCCCAAGCATAAAGTATGAGGACGAGGCGCGCATCGACTTATCCTACTACAGTTTCATCGAAACAGCCAAGTCTTGCCAGGTGTGTGTTGCGCTACACAAGCATGGCCTTTGTGAGCGAGCGCAGAGCATCCTCGTGGTCACTATGCTACGATCCTGAGTCGCAGATGTTCGTTTTGTATTAACTGATGTGTTCCCAACACTTTCAGGTCTCGCCAAACGCAAAGATCGGCAAGGAGATGACGAGTGGAATCCTATACATGAGATGGTCCTGCGAATTCTTGCTGATGTTGATATTGAAGGCCAGGTCAGACTTAACTTAGTCTTCAGAGCAAACCTGGATGATGATGATGATGCCGAGAAACTCAAACCACTCAACCTGGGTTCGGTTATATGGAAAGACGCCGCCCATAACAGGTCGATGTGGGCCTTAGATGGGTCGATCAACTGCTTCGAACCGCAGCCAATGTTGCCAGTATCGAGATATGGGGTCTATCTTCGAACTCGACGAGAACGACCAAAAACTTCGCTACACACTCGATCTGACCGGCACACCATCCTGGCCGAGACTTGGGCGTCTCGTCCTCTATCACCTTATCCTAGACTTTGACGGCTTCACTGCGTGCCTTTACACCTACCGACACACCCTTGAGATCGTACAACTCTAGGAGGTTGGTCTCAACTGTGGTAGTTTGCGCGAGGCCACCACCATCCTTCTTATCATTCCCAAACTCCGGGGATCGAGCGCCGAGACGCAGTTGGTTAGTTCCATCAATACTAGAGGTCAGGAGAGCGGCTTGTTGTGGACGGATCACACCTATCAAGGGAAGCTGAAGGAAGACGACCCCTCCCTTCAATCCGCTCTCTTTGCTCTTTGGAGCGAGTTTCGTACAGTGTCTCGGGAGCATTCCATTATCGTATCCGAAGACGGTACGCTGTATCGCTATCAAGTGGACCTGCGAAAGGCAGTCGCAGCCGCAGAGGGATCAGTGGTATATCGCGATGGATTGTGGTACCCTACAAACAGTCAAGAAGGCGAATTTTCGCTCGACCAAGCACTCGAGCCTACGGTTTACTAATGTATAGCGCATGTATGCTTACACTACAAATATAGCAAACATCCACAAATGAAATATATAACTTCGTTCTCACAGTATGGATACTCCCTACCAAGAACGTCCCACCTTCCTTCAGACCTGACAGATCGTGTTTCTGACCCTTCTGCTAGAATACTATGTCCATCCTTCACTCTGCTTGCAACAAACAAACTCGCCACTTACAAGAAGCGACCACTCCACATATCCCTATACTTGCAGTCAAAGATCGCGATGTCAAACTCCTCCCCTCTTGCCGCTCTCTGCGACCACTGCACCGCGCCCGCAACACTCCCCTGCAGCACCAACTGCGGCGACATGCGCTATTGCACGCCAACCTGCTCCTCCCTCCACGTACCCTCCCACCTCGCAATCTGCACCGCATTCCGCGCCCAAGAAGCCCGTCCATCTGGATATCCTGATCAGGAGTTGCACTACCGTGCCAATTTCCTCCTCAAAGACACTGACCAACTCAGATTTGTATGGTTGAAGTATCATCAAAATTCGACATTCAAACTTGTTGCGGTATCAATCGGTCCGTACGGGGCCTGATTGCTGCTGCTCGGACTATTCTGAACTAGCATGTTTCAGGACAGGTATATGTTGTCTTCTCCTAGCTAGATAGCAGCTCAGCACAATATTCCATCGTGTTCAACAAGCGGTTGACGCCGCTACAAAACTGGACCAAGTACGCTCTGATGAGTTGATACAGGGTCCTTGTGAGAAAAACAGGATCAAGAGACCAGGATGCGAGAACCAGTGGCTTGAGATCGTGGGGAGAAGTAGTGTGAGTCCTGATCCAGGGCAGGATAATATGGCGTTGGCGAGGGTGTTGGAGTGGGAGGGGAATGGGGCGTGGCGAGGGAATGTGCTTGTTAGAGGGTTTGTCCAGGAGGATTTTGCGATGGCTGAGGGGGTTGATGAGGAGGATGAGGAGGATGAGGAGGGGCGGAGGGAGAGAGTGCGGGCGCCGGTGGATTTGGGGACCGGGGATTTGGAGCCTTTGGTTTGGTACTTTAGAGGCGACTGATATCTTGCTGAGGTTTTGATACGTAGATGTGATGATTGTGGACGGATGGGTTATCTTATGGTATCTAGACTATGATGCGTACAAGTTGATAATCGCTAAATCGAGGAGTGTTTGCCTAGTGGCATCTATGATGTAAGGGGTCTATCGAAAGTCGTGCGGAACGTTATGGTTACTGAGACTCTCAGGTTGACTCAGAGTCGGTTCTCCTCTTGCAGTGGCGGAAGGCAGCGAATGGAGGGAAGAAGAAGCCCGGGTGGAAGAGGGTGAGGCAGACGCACGCAATGCCAATCATCCTAATGTTATCAGCAATGTGAACTTAATGCAAATTGGTATGGAATGGACTTACATTCCGTCGAGCAACAAGAACTCCTTCTCATTACGCATCAAGGGGTTGCCCCAACCACCGGCCATCTCTGGCAGACGGTAGATGCAACGGATGAGCACAGTGAGGTATGACAGACTAACAACAAGACCGAACAGCTTGACCTTGCCAAGTGAGACGGTACCCTGCTCCTTGCTGAGCTGGTAGTTGCTTTTCTCGTTCACCTGGCCCTTCAAAGGGGCGCCCTTGCGGTATCGCCAGATGTACAGGAGGACGAGCAGACCACAGCCAGCCATAGTCGCAACTTGGAACGCAATACCAGCGATGATAAGGTTATTTCCAGCGTCGAGTAGTTTGATGTTGCTGTTTCCACCTGATGCAGCGATGCCTCCACCACAAGCCTGCAGAACAATTGATCCAATATCGCAGCCGATGAAGACCCAGGGGTACAGACGCGGCTTGAGCGGGGAGTATTGTGGCCCACAGTATAGCACAAAGTGCTTTAGTGTCAGGTAGATGGCGGCGGCTACCAGTGAAGGACCGAGAATCAGGCAGACAATCTGCAGGCGGAATCCAGAGTCACTCCATGGGTTGTCGTTCATGAGAATGCGTCCTGCGTAGCCAGCTGTCTCGAGAAGCGTTCCAATACCGAGTGCGATCGTGTATGTCCATGTTTTTGTCCAGACGCCAATGACCAAGGAGGCAAGGCAGCACAGTCCGAAGAGGGCGAGGAAGAATGCGTTGATGCTCAAGATAGGATAGTAGCCGTATGTTGTTGCGATGGCGGGACATTGAGGTGTGACTTCTGTGCATTGTCTAAAATTTCCGCGAGGCCTGCCCTCTGCTGCGAATGCGAGGGTGGTAAGGCCGGCAAGTATGGCGAGCGTAGTGAGACGTTTGGAACCCATGATGGGCGTTCAATCAAGGTGAACCGGGCTACAGATCTAGTGTGAAATTTGGGGACGATGGATCAAGGGCTTCACGAAACGTGGAAAATCTCCTGGGGGTTGCACTGCTTTTCAATACCATATGATGAATTGTAGCCAAACGTCTTTCATTCGCTTAGACTAGTACTTGCCGTGTTGGCTGTATCGGTTAGAGATGATACTCGTTCTCGCTCCCAGCTCCTTCTGATTGGTGCGCAATCGTATCTGACTGTGTCGCTTGCGACAGAACACAGGGAATTGGCTTGGCTCTGTCTTCTTGGCCCGCGGAGTCCCGATGCTGGCGGCATATCGGAGACAAGTCTTCATGATGTCTGAAAGGTTGAACGACTTTCGCCGACCTTCGAGCGCTGTTGCAAGAAAGATGTCAAGGTTTGGAAGAGATGAACGTTGCTGGCTAATGAGATACAGTTCCATGGATGTGGCAGCGGTCCAGACAAGTTCTGGAATAGCGGGAACTCTGCGCGTTTAGTGTGCGATTCTCAACCTTGATTGGATCTGCAGCACGCAACTTTTAATCCTTTCCACCTTCCCTCAGTGGTTCATAAATACACAATAGTTGCTCCCGAAGAGACTCATGCAATGTCTCTGCCTATCAGGAGATTGATGGTGTTTGTCTGAGGCGCGTGACGGTCATGTACCGACAGGAGGCGTCACGTGGGCCTGGTCTCGATTGCCGTTCTCGGAAGCGGGGTTTCGTGGATCAGCTAGGAACTGGAGATAACATCAAGATAGCACATTGCAGTCCTTGACTTACCCTTTCACAGCGTGGCCCTGGAAAGCCCTTCCTGTTCGCTATAGGCCTCGACTTTACTTCCCAAGGCGTTGCTATGGCACCTTCTCCAACCGAAGTCGATTACGAGCAACAACCACTTCGGACCCGGCTCCCGAAGGTTTCAGACCGTGCTGAAGACTCGAAGCACAGATTTTCGAAGAGTCGCAATGGCATGTTCGTCTTCGTCTGTTCTTTGAAAGCCAATTTGCGCTTCGTTTGCTATGTAATTGACAACAACTGACTCCTTGAGTTCACAGGATGCGTAACGTGCAAGTCACGGAGAGTGAAGTGCGATGAGACAAAGCCGACATGCAATCAATGTGCTCGCCGCCGCATAGAATGCGGCGGCTATAGGATGGATGTCAGATTCAAGACAGCAAGAGAGCCGAAGAAGAACAGCGCAATTGTCAAGAGCCTGGGACAGTCTATGTTCCAAGCAAATCGACCCAGGGCAGCTAGTAGAGGGTCTCAGAACTCTCGAGGTGGTAATGTGGCCGCTGCACCTGTTATCGACCCTGGAGGCACAAATCAGTTCCAAGTTCAAACCACAGCACCTGGTCGATCGCATTCCGAGGATATGATGGACCTTACCTTTCTCGACCCAGACGTGTTGACATCCCGAAATTTGCCAACACCACAGTCTTTGGAGCTGCTGAACATGCCTGATGTCAACCTTCACACCTCACCACCTTTCTTACAAAATGATGATCTACTCAATCCCAACTTCCCTTTACAAGGGCTAGGTCAGCTGTCTGCTGAAGTCAATGCACAGTCGTATGCGCAGGACTACGGGCCGCCATTCTGGAACATCAACTACTTCCTGGAAGATTATGTGAACTCGCTGCTTACCACACCGATCATGCCAGCAGATCTGGGTGCATCTGTCGAAGATGACCCTGCAAACCCCCAAGTTTCAGAGGGTGAGAGGGAAAAGATAACCATGCTGTTTCTCAAGACGACTTGTCATAATCTGTCGATCGAAGAAGATTCTGATAAAAACCCTTGGAAAACTGTTATCTGGCCCATGGCACAGCAATATCCGGCATTGTACCATGCTCTTGCGGCTTTAACCTGCTTCCACACCAGCAAGGCGCAGCCCCAGCTACGGATTGATGGCCAACGACATCTACATACCAGCGCGCATCTACTCTCTATAGGTATCAACAAAAGCGAAATCCCCTTGGATGCGGCATTGGCAGCAACACTAGCGTTAGGATTCGCTGAAACCTGGGATAGCGAGTCAGCAGCAACTGGCATGGCCCATATTACCGGCGCAGGCATATTGCTGCAGCAAATGCTCTCGAATCGGACTACTGGGACCTGCACACGAGAAGAGGAGGCGCGACTTGAGTTCTTGTACAACACTTGGACCTACATGGATGTAATTGCCAGGTTCACATGCCTAGACCTGTGCCCGCCGGTTCCTGAAAGCCTCGTGGCTGCCACTGTCGGACGCTTGGATCTCAGCACCTCGAAGCTCGACCCATTGATGGGCTACGCTACCTCTTTCTTCCCGATCATGAGACGTGTTGCGGATCTGATATGCAAGGTCAGGGTCAAGAATGCACCCCGAAACTCGCCAGTCATCATATCTCAGGCGCTCGAGCTGAAACGAATCATCGAGGACTGGGTACCACCTATCGACCTTGAGACGATCGAGGACCACTCGCAACTTATGACGGACGCCATCCAGACTGCCGAGGCTTATCGATGGTCGACTCTCAGCCTCCTGTATCAGGCAGTACCAGAACTTCCGAACTTGACGTCCTACGGAGAGCTTGCGCAAAAGATTCTGGTCTATCTCGCAACCATCCCACTCTCCTCGCCTACAATCATCGTACACATTCTCCCGCTCATCATAGCTGGCAACGACGCCGTAGAAGAGGAGGACAGGGACTTCGTAAGGGACAGATGGAGAGCCATGTCCAAACGCCTCGTCACCGGCATCGTCGAACGCGCTCTTGAAATTACCGAAGAAGTCTGGAAGCGAAGAGACGATTATTTTGTCGCACGTGGTATTCCACGCATGCCCGAGGATGCCATGCAGGAGGGCATCAGCCCCACGAATAATGTGAACTACGGCACCGGCTCCGGAGCCGGCTCACCCAGCTCGGGAGGCTACCCTGTGACTGCGAATCAGGCTAGACCGCCAAGTCGCAAGGTCAATACGTTCCCGATATCTGCTGCATTCAAGAAGGGCGTTGATACTATCACAAGATCTGGGAGCATTGATTATACAGTACGGGGGAGTCTGCATTGGCTGGGCGTCATGAAGGACTGGCAATGGCAAGGTAAGATACTCTCAAATTCTATTGGAACATTACTGACAGCGATTGTCGTTCTCCTTGGTTGAGTTCATGCATAGGGAAGCCACAAGCATCGTCTCAATACAGCATGCTGCCCACGGTCTTTGCGTTACATTCGTCGAGCGCATTGCATGCGTCCTATTCAAAGCGCTTCTCATAACCACGTGCATCCACTGTTACAATATTGTGTCAAAGAATACACGTACTAATAGGTGTTCCTTCCCAAGCCAGTAATACTACGTCCAATCCTCTTGTCGACGTTGCGATTGACCTGCAGAATCTGTGAAATCTGTATCATACTCTTGGCAAGGGCCAGTGACGAAACCGATGAGGCTGATACTGTAAGGCTGGTGAGGCTGAATATACGAGTCTCCACCATAGCGCTAGTCAAAGCCCCTTATCGATACCCCACTATGACGCCAGACTGCCTGTAAAAGTTGAGGCTTCTTACAACCCAACAACAAACTCTAGCTTAATTCCAAGCTGAACACTGCGACCCTTCACATACTAGCATTTGCGGCATCTTTCACAGATCTATTCACCATGGCTCAACCCAGGCCTCTGAACGTGCACCTCCAGTCCCTCATCTCAGGGTACCCAAACCGGACAGCACTGATCCAAGAAGTCATTCCAGCGCTGCTCCGCACATTACCAGACATTGCACAAGCGCTCCAAAAAACCTCGGTTTCTCGAGCTGGAAGTGCAAACTCCTTTGGTGATGACCAGCTGAACGTCGACGTCCTGGCGGAAAACCTCATCCGCGAAGCGATTTCCAAGGTCCCATCGATAGCTACTGCGAGTAGTGAAGAAGACCCAGTCGAGAAGCGAGCCTACCTTGGAGACGTCAAATCTGACGAGCAGTACACCGTAGCTTTTGATCCTCTGGACGGCAGCAGTATCATCGGCCCGAACTGGACCGTCGGCACCATAATCGGGATCTGGGACGGTGCGTCCGCGCTGTCCTCCACCTCAACACCTCGCGAGAAGCAAATCGCCTCCATCCTCGGCGTTCTCGGACCGCGAACAACGGCCGTCATTGCACTGCGTATGCCAGGAACCGAGGGGACCTGCTTCGAAGTCAACTTCACGGGGGGAAATATCGAAGTCATCCGACCAAACGTCAAACTCTCCTCCACCCCGAAAACCCGCTACTTCGCACCTGCGAACTTGCGCTCAGCGGCTGAGAACCCGAAGTATCTGGAGTTGATCAACCACTACATTGCGCAGAAATACACGCTCCGCTACTCTGGCGGCTTGGTACCGGACATCTTCCACGCCCTCGTCAAGGGACACGGGATATACACGTCCCCGGTCACGGAGAAGAGTCCGGCGAAGTTACGCAGGCTGTACGAGCTCGCGCCGATTGCGCTGCTGGTTGAGTGTGTGGGGGGTGTAGCGCTGGATTCTACGGATGGGACGCGTGTACTAGATAGGGCCGTGAGGGATACGGATGAGAGGGGAGGGTTGGTATGCGGGAATGCGTCGGATGTGGAGTTTGTTCGGGAGAGGTTGCTGGGGCAGTAAATTGGAGATGACAATGGGGGAGAAGGGAAGGCGGAGCGAATACCGCGAAATCGTACGAATATGGATCACATAAGGCACATGGAGGTAGATTCGCGCACTGGTGTAGTGAGTTCCCGCTTCATTCATTACCGACTCGCTCTACAAACCTCTCATCGCTTTCCCCTCATAATGTGGCAATTAGTTCGCAAATCGTTTATTATGCCCTCTGTTGCATCCTCCCGTCGTGCCTCCTCAACCTCCTGCTGCCCGTCCTCCACAAATTATCGCTTGCCTTCAATTTTCGCCGATAACATCGGTATACTGTTGTCGGTCTGATTGTGTTGGTATGGGACGGCCAGATGGGAGAGAGGATCGCCAAGGTGCTCGCATACAACGGTGATGAACCCCGGCAGTTTTGGTCTGTCGATCGAGCTCTGCTCCAATGCCCCAATTCTATACTGGAGTTCATCACCATTGTATGCGAGCACCTTGGCTATTCTCCTCCCATCTGGCCGTTGTTGTTGTTGACAGCGGCACCAGTTACACACCTATGCGCACCATCACTGGTTACAGTGAAAGATATGGGAGGGGTTGCTCTCACGTTTCTTCTGATGTGAGTCCGATTGTGAACTCATAATTATCAGCTACGACGCCCGGACAAGGGAAGCTGGTACCGACAACTGTCGATGAGTTTGGCTCTGTAGTCTCCTTTCTAATCAAGGTTCTCTGGTGGACGCGTATGTTTCGGGGGTTGCCGCTGGGGGCCCTGCAGTTGAGGTGGCGGTCTGCCCTGATGGTTGTGGTTGCACTGACTGTGCGCGCTTGCTCGACGCGTCCGCTTGCCTGGCCTTCCAGCCACTGCTTCCTCTGCTTCCTCTAGTGCTTGTTGCTAGGTGTCCTGAGCCTGATCAGATGCTTCGGCTTCCGACTCTTGTGGGCTCATCACTTGGATGCTCGATCAGGCCGGTATCAGGGCTGTATTGTACCGAGACGGGTACTGCACGCGCAGAGTCGGCAAAAGCAAGTCCTCTTGCATAATCACGATGAGATTGTAGTACCGGGGAAGACGGATACCATGCTGCTGTTGCAGGACGTTTGCTTGCTTTCAATTTGCATGCATGTTTCAGTGTTAGCCATGAAGGCATGGCGCTACGACTTACTTTGTGTAACTGTACTCATGCTCATGCTACACATCACTTCCTCACTTTCTCAACCCCAATTGCCCAAAAGGCTCCAAATATTGTTATCGAACTCGATATCCAAACATTTCGATTAGAAATTATGTACATCGCATCCTCCACATCTTCTCAAATTTGTCTTGTCAACATCTAACCAGACACCTAACAATCCAAGCGAAGGTGGCGCGTCAGAACACATGCGTCTATCCACATCAATATTGCTCATCCAATGGTATCTTTTGCAATCCTAGACAGGACCCGCTCCAACCGAAGAAAAGAAAGGAAAAGGAAATGTGCATAAGTGTATGTGTGAACAGGGTAATCAAAATCGTAAAAGTGGTCTGCAATCTACTGCATATCGTCCCGGCCCGGGGAAGACGGACGGTAGCATCCGCCGATGATGGCAGATGCGCGAACGAATGAGGTAACCGATCGGGTAGAGTTTGCAGAGGATGATGACCGCTTGTGTACCCGGGCGCGAAGGTTATCTCGCCGTGGAATACTACAAACGATTAGCATTGCCTCGCAACCTAGTCATTGATTCCGAAGACCCGCCTAAGGCCCTGGAATTTCTTCTTCTTGCCTGTCCTGCCGAAGCTTACGGATCGACCTTGTGCATCAAGCACGGGAGAGGTAGCAGTAGAGAACTGGCTCGACTGTCTCTTGCCGAAGCGTGGTCTGCCTGCAACGCCGTCTGAGCTCATGGGGCGCTGTTCACCCGTAATAGGCGGAGGTGGTGCAAGAGGCCAATCAGGGGTTGAGCGGCGTTGGAGCTTGGGTGATCTAGGAGATTGCTTGACCTGCGGTGAAGCTGTGACTGCTTGTGGAGAGGCGCCGAGCTCCTTGTCTTCGTCTTCACCAATAGGTGTCAAGGGCCCACCGACCTCGCTCTTACGTGGCTGTGGGGGTAAAGGAATATCTAATGTCGGTGATGAGGGTTGTGGTACCTGCGAAGTCTGCGTAGGAGCAGGCGCTGGTGCGACGGGTGTCTTCTTCTTCTTGCCCATACCAAAGAAGCCTCGTTTCTCCTTAGTGGCCGGCGATGACGGAGCGTGCTTACTGTCGCGTAACGATCCGGCAGCTAAGGCAGTGCCCTGTGCAGCTGGGGCGCCGTTAGTATGCCCATTGGTAACACCAGTGTTGGTGACAGCTGACGTCGATGGCCTCGTCACTTCGGCCTCCTCTTCGAGATCTGTTGAATCGCCGTCTTCCTCCCCAGCCTTGCGTGGGATGCCTCGCACGGGAGCTAGACCAGGGGGCAGCTCGTATGGCTCCGGCTCGGAGTCAGAGTCCTCAAAACGACTTGTGAAACGGCTTGGCCGGTCATCATCTTCGTCACTGGAGTCGGCAAAGCGGCTCTTAAAAGCGCTTGACTTGGCTGGAGCCGGTGCCCTGCCCTTCGACTGCTTGCCGAGTGTAGTCGGTTTCGGCATGGACTTGGGGCTGGGTAACGATGGGATGGGCGGCTCGTCCTTGGGCTTCTTGCGGAACCGTCCTGCTGGCGACAAGGACCTGATGCTAAACCTAGACGACTTTACAGGTTCAGGTGAGGATGGCCGCATAGACTGGCGGAAGTTGGCCTGAGACGCTCTGGGGGGCGAGATAGATCGAACTTGAGCTGGGGCTGGCGCGGAAGCTCTCATAGTAGAACCTGTAGGTCCGCCTCTCATGGAAGTCCTGGCAAAGCCGCCGCCGTTGTTTCGACGGGCGCGACTGCGCTGGAAGCTGCTTGCTGACGCATCCGAATCGCTGTCGTAAGTAGGTGCAGGGGCGGCCATCGTTTTCTTGGGAGCGGTAGCTGGCAGGCTCTGTGGTCGAGCCTTGGAAGCAGCTACAGCGGCTGGAATGTGCTTCTTCTGCAGTGCACCCCTCGAAGCCTTCGTGTCAACAGGTGCACTCTGGCGTGATGCGGCAAGGGCCATGTTGGTTGCAGGTGCGGCATTGCCACGCATGCTGGTGCGCATCTGAGGCGCAGCTCTCGGTCCAGGGCTTGCATTTCCACGCATTGTAGATCTCATCTGTGACTGACCTGAGGATGCATCGCTGGGAGCAGCACCCCGCATGCTCATCCTCATTTGGGGCACACCGGAGCTTGCTGCTAGTGCAGGTGTTGGTGATGGTGTGGTCTTCTTGAGAGCAGACTTGAGAGGCTTGTTTGGTGTCTGCGAAGGCTGAGAAGACACGGACGCCCTTGGCGGTGCCTCTGACATCGACACCCGTGGCGTGGACTCTGCAACAGGTCTTGATGCTGCCTGCACCGCGGGTTTGCGCTCTTTGCGAAGCTCCTCCTCTTGCACTGGGGCTTGTAGTACACGAGCAGCAACGTTCTCCGCATGCGTATGGGTCTGCGCAGAAGGTGCGTCGACGTGATCTCTGAGTCGGTTGACGCCACTCCAGTGCGCTCTTGCAGCCTCCCAATCACTTGTAGATGTGTCCACAGACTGATCTTTGGCGAGGGGCGAAGTGCCACCCTTGGACTGAGGAGTTGGGCTCTCGGTGACGCTCTTATCGGCCCACTTGGAAGCCACCAAGCCAGGGCTTGATCCAACCACCGGGCTTGATCCAACCACTGGGCTTTCAACGATTGCGTTGATGCTGCCAAAGCCACCCTCCATATCAGAAATGTCCTCGTAGGCGTCACTGTACACGCTGCTGTCGTCATCGGTGGTATCGCCGTCATGACCGGTGCTGCTGGGCGGCTCGTTGAGTTGTTGCTGCATCGAAGCGGGGGTCTCGATCGGTGCGAACTGCACAGGTGCATACGCCGTTGTAGCAGACGGTTTCTCTTCTTGATCATTCCAGCCACCAGGAGCCGACATGCTCTGGAACTGTGGCTCAGAGTGCTCATATGGACTCGGTGTTGCTGGCAGGACTGCGATGTTAGGCACTTCAACGACCTGTTCAGAGATGGCTGGTAATGTAGAGGGTTGCTCTGCCGTTGGCTTCGTCAAAGACTTCGGTTCAGGAACGGGTAAGGACTGCGATGTCGTCGCTGGGTCGGCGTGTTTGCGTACACTGGATTCACCATCCGTTGAATAATTGGAGTCGGATACATAGCCACTGCCCTCGACCGAAGTGACCTGTGGCGGCAGAGGGTCATGGGCAGTTGTGTTCTTTGAGGCGAAGTCCTGAGCAACCACGTGGCCCAGTCCAAGGTCGGTAGATGCTTCCCATGGCTCCCCCACAGATGCCACTGATGCTGACATAGGTGTGGACACAGTCTCGGTGACCTTCTGAGGCACGTCGTCTTCAGCGCGGTGTCGAGTCTTGTCGCGGACGCTTCCGAAAGATGGCAAAGCTGGGCGGGGCTTCATGAAGTCTTCGAACTCGTCTTCGGTCTTGGCAGCAGCTGGGGTTGGCTTGTATGGTGTTGGGCCTGCAGGCGAAACTGGCATCTCCATATCTCCATACGCAGCATGACCGGCAATAGTAGGCTCCTGTTCAAAACTGACTCGTACTGTTTTCTTCTTCTTCCCGTAGCCACTCTCAGATGCAGTGTCAGACGCGTTGCTGGAAGCCGCTTTGCTGTAGCCACGTCCTGCCGGTCCAAGGGGCGAGTTGCTGCGCCTAGAGACTGAAGGCGATGACTTGAGAGCAGATTTGGCAGGAGACACGGAGCGAGGCAAAGGCTCGTGCTTTAAGCCAGCTAGCACACTCGTGTTCGGGGCAAAAGTAGCGTGGCGGGCTGGGCTGAGGGAAGCATGTCGTTCTGTTCTGACATTGTCGTGAACCTGTTCGACGCGTGCATTGGATGTCGTATTGGTCGGCGCGCCGATGGGTGGGTACGAGCTGTCCTGATTCGGTGCAAACTGCGGTGACAGTTGGCTCTCGGGCTGTTGACTGGTGCTGGGTTGAACGATCTCTATAGGGATAAAGTCCACTGGCTTGATATCAGCATTCGCGTAATCTTCCGAGTGCTGTCTTGCGAGGGTTGCTCCAGAGCTTGGCTGCGACGATAGAGGTGTCATTGGGCGGTCTTCGAATCTTCGTGTCTCCGCAGTGTTGAGCTTGGGCAGCAGTGGTTGCGCCACCGAGCGAGGAGGTGACTGCTCTGGCTGCACAGAGTAACGGAGAGGGCTCGGTGTGCGGCCGCGACCAGATTGCATTGGCGCAGATGATTGGAGGTGCTGAGAGACGTAGTGCTGGGCAGGCTCTTCTGGCAGCTCGTGCTGTTCGCGATGTATGTCCATAGCGTCTTGCTTGTGGATGAAGGTCCTCGTTGAAGGGTCGTAGACGGCATCGGGCGATTTGGGGTCTACAGGCCGCGGCGGTTGCGTTCTTGCTGGAAGGAAAGACCTCGACTGTACAGCTGTGCCCGACGGCTTTGCACGCATGCTGCCACTCGAAAGTCGCGTGCCCTCTTGTCCTTGCTGCACATAGTGGGTGCTCACAGGACGGTTGGCCGCGTTCTGCACTGACTGTGCTGTGTTGTTGAGGTAGGCATTGCTGACGCCTCCTGCTGACTTCGGTCGTGGTGTAGATGCCATGCGCTGGACCGCCTCCTGGTTGACGACGGGTCCGCCGAACCACCCATGGCTGCTCGAAGGTCCGCCACTCGTTGTTGGAAGCCCTGGAGACATTGGACGCGAAAAGTTGACCGACTGTCTCTGGTCCTGTCCCTCCTCTGAGACTTGGGCGAGCGGACTTCCCACGCGCTGTATCCGGTTCACTGACGGCCCAGAGCCCCTATCCAAGCTGACGCCTCTGCCTCCACCTCGTTGCGTCGGCGATCCTCCACGGTAGACGGGCTCGAGACTGGATGCACGTCGATGTACGCTGCCACCGGATCCAGGGATATTTGGAGGAACAGCGGGAACAGGCGGAATGACGGGGCTGCCTCTGCCAGGCGACGAGTTGCGGAAGGAGCGCTCGGTCATAGATCCTGAGCTCGATTGGCGACGGAGGTCCTGTGGTCTCTGGCTGCCCTGCGATGACGTCGAGCCGCGGCGCACCATGCGCTTGGTTACCAGTTCACCGACAGGGGTAGGGCTCGTGGCATGTGAGCGCAGAGCGGCGGCGGCGGCAGCATTGGAGAGGTTCGCATCAGAGGCCTGGTGTCTAACAAAGGCCTTGGTGGCTGCGAGCGATGCAGACGCGCTCGGGGGCGGCGCTGATCTTTGGGGCTGCATCGCGGGCGGCGGTTAGCATCGCGTCGCTGCGGTGGTGGTGATCAGAAGACATGATCGCGGCGCTCTTACCGGATTGGAGACTGCTCTCCTGCGTTTGGAGAACATGGTTGTGGTGGCTAATTAGAAATTACTGGCAGGCGCGACTGCTCTGCATCGCCTGTCTGTGGAATGCTCGGAGGTGTGAATGTTTTGCGCGCAGTGACGTATGCGCCAGAACAGCAAAGAGAGCGTTGGGCCAGCGCACAAACAGACGTGGTGACACGGCAGCAGAGGGATTGAGGGAGTACAGAGCAGTATGGGCCTCGCAAAGGATGCGTTGAGGCTGCGCCAGGAGTAGGATGTTTATTTAGTTGGCAGAACGCGGCCGTGAGATGCTTTGATCGTCACCATCCGTGTCCACTAACTGTCTAGAGCGGAGGACCGTGAGGCCTTGGCTCCACGGTGATGCAGCCCTCAAACACCTGCGCCAGGAGGATTCGCTGCATCTGCGGAAACAAGCTCAAACAGAGCATCGTCTCATCCAGAGCAGCGTGTTCACGATTCAGTGGTTGTTCAAGCGTCTGCCTGTTCAGGCGTCGAGGGTACCGCTGCTGCCAAACGCGGAAGGAGTTGCTCGACTTCGAAACATCCAGCTACATTTTGGGCATCACTCACTCTTGCCGCCACACCTCAGACACTCAACTGTCAGAACCACTTTGCGATCCCACTGGAATTCCCCTTCAGCTCAACCTTTTGCATTGTTTACTATTCAGCTTCTCGCAGCATGAATCAAGCCTTTCGTGGCCTCGGCGACACAGCGACACACAGACCCTGATTTGCAGGTTGCAGCGAACCATAGTGACCCGCTTTGATCTACCAGAACCACCGACGCCTCGAGTGGACTCGCTAAGAAGAGGCTAGTACATCATGACGTAGCCTTTTGCGATTCCCAGTTCCCAGATCCAGTTTTCCAGGCACGCTTTGACGGAGCTGTGACAGAGCTTTGACAGATCGACTTGTGGCTGTGATGGTGTTGACAACTTCAAGGTCAGGATGCAACGACACGCGATACGATACAATTGGTATTTGCTATGGGGTGGAATAGACAATGTGCTACAAATTCCAGCACGCATGATACCATGAAGTTCGATTTGGCCTCGACAATGCGACTGTGCAACCACGTGCACAGTCTGTGACGAGATGTCTACATTGCAACCCTGGTAAAGATGACTTACAAAACCCTCCTACAGCTGTGCCTCCATTTAAGCTTTTCCGAGGCTAGGCGGATATATAGCCGATGCACATCACACCCCGCACATGCAAGCCCGAGATCGTGGCTCAATCAACGTTGACAGATCTACAAACACGACTACCAACTAATGCCATTGCAAAGGTGAAGCAAGACTTACAGAAAGGTACATACAATACTACTTGCCATCAAAGTGCTAAACTTCAAACACCTTCACCATGTATTCCTCAACCGACCTGCCACCACTGCCACTACCTTCCGGAGTAACCGAGAACTATGTTCATTGCCCATCAAATGGCCTCACATTTCACATCCTGGAGGCAGGATATACACCGCAGCGCGACCGACCTCTGGTCATCTTGATCCATGGATATCCCGAGCTCGCCTTCTCATGGAGGAAGATTATGGGCCCGCTTGCTAATGCAGGCTACTATGTCGTTGCCTTCGACCAACGAGGATATGGACGTACCGCAGGCTGGGACAACTCGCCTTTCGGTAAAACTGATATGTCTCAGTTCACGTTGACCACGATTGTTCGCGACGTCGTTACCCTTGTCCATGCCCTGGGCTACCGTGAGGTCAACTGCATCACGGGACACGACTTTGGCGCCGTCACCGCAAGTCTGAGTGCTCTCATCCGTCCAGATCTGTTCAAGAGCTGCATCATGATGAGCCATCCCTTCAAAGCGCCAGCAGCTCTGCCCTTCAATCTTCGTAACGGAGACGAGCCGCCCGCAGCACCAGTCGACATACAAGCAGAGCTCGCCAAGCTACCAGAACCGAGAAAACACTACAAGTGGTACAACAGCACCAGCGAAGCTGGCCCTCAATGGAACAACCCTCCTCAAGGCATGCAAGCGTACTTGCGAGGCTACTTGCACGTTAAGTCCGCCGATTGGAGCAACAACAACCCTTCGGCGCTCAAGGAGTGGTCTGCAGAAGAACTAGCGAAGATGCCTTACTACTACATTATGCCGCTCAACAAATCAATGCCAGACACCATCGCCGACATGATGAAGACCGAAGACGCATCTGCGACCAAGCGCTGGATGCCTGATGATGACCTAGGTGTCTACGTTCAAGAGTGGTCGAGAACTGGCTTCCAGGGTGGACTCAACTTTTACCGCACGACGACAGACCCGGCCAAAAAGAAGGATCTCGAACTGTTCGCTGGCAAGAAGATTGAATGCCCAAGTATCTTTATCTCTGGAAAGCAAGATTGGGGCAACTACCAGGAACCTGGAGCCATTGAAGACTACCCAAAGTCTTGTTCTGATTTCCGAGGTGCCAGGTTCATCGATGGCGCAGGTCACTGGCCGCAGCAGGAACAGCCGGAGAAGGTCGTTAAAGAGATGTTGCAGTTTCTTGGCAACCTCTGATCTCGCGTCCGCCCTTGGTTTGAGGCACGGGCTGGTCCTCGAGATCGTCTTCCGTTTGCGTACATGAAACACACCTTCGTTCATCATCATCAGCCCACCACCAATTGTGATGACAGCTGCAATTGAGCTACGAGATGTAGTCTCTGGTACAACTTCTGGGATCTTTCAACACAGTAGTGACCGTGGTTACCGGCAAGGCTGTGCCAAAACTGTTACTTTCACCTCGTAAGTCATTCCTGCGACGAGAGTGATGTCATCGCATGCCAATTCACTGCCGCGGACCGAGAATCGTAAATGTTGTGGGTCAATGCTTCACTACCATGCATTGTGTACGCACAGTCATCATGATCGACCCCCAAAGCTTCTCACAAGTCCATCCCGTTGAATATTTCGACAATTTCCTCCACAAAGTCTCGTCCCCAACGCCTTGACGCTCGATCGCTTTCAACCACCATGCGGGGTCTTGGTGGTAGATAATGCGCACGTTCACTCCGATCCAATAATCAACGCCCTGCAATACTTCCGCAAAATCTTCCACAATGTCTACATTTCTGCAGCCTGCTATTTCAAATAGCGATGGCCATTTTCTCAGCCGGTCTGAGCAATGTGCTGTCATGGATCCATCTAGTGAGCAGCCAGCCTATCCAGAGCGCGCGGACACGACGTGAAACTGACAATACTTTCGACTCAGCATCGACTTTTGATTCACAAGACTGGAGGAAAGGCTTTGGTACATCAACTTTGGAGCTACAGCTTAGTGAAGATAAATCGAGTCCACCGCCGCGCCCACCGACTGGAGCAGTAGACGAGAAAGCATGTCCAACACACGAGCGAGTCGCTTCTGGACGACGGCGGCGCTTCTGTCTCCATTGGCTGACAGCATATCGAGTATTGATATCTAGTGTCATCATGATCAACCTTGGAGTCTGGGTCTCCCAGATGGTCGTCAATACCGCAGTGGAGACGCCCCTGACAGCCACAGCTGCCAACATCATGGCTGCCGTTCTGTTACGACAAGAGGAGGTCATTAACTTCAGCTTCAAGCTCGTCTCCCATCTTCCTCCGACCCTCCCACTCTCTTTACGTAAGGCCATTGGCGATTTTCACCACTATGGCGGGTTACACATCGGATGCGCACTGTCAGCGCTGCTCTGGTACATCATGTTCACTGGTCTGAACACTGTTCGGGTGCTCAACTTCTTGCAGCTAGGCAACATGACCACATCACTCTACATTGACATCGTTTTAGCGTACACCGCCCTGCTTGCCATTCTCATAGTCTGCTTAACAGCAATTCCCCGATTCCGAGTACGTTTCCACAACACTTTCGAAGCAACGCATCGCTTCGGCGGATGGGCCGCATTACTCGTTCTATGGGTCCACGCCGGCATCACCACTCTGACCCCAGACGCCGTCACGCCACTCTACGCTCACCCTTCAACATGGATGCTAGCCATCACAGCCCTCCTCATCATCCTCCCCTGGCTACGCATCCGCCGCGTCCCCATCACAGCTCACCCAATCTCCGCTCGCGAAGTCCAACTTACCTTCCCCTACACATCGATGCCCTACACAAGCACAATCCGGACCTCAGTCGCGCCTCTGACAGAATGGCACGCCTTCGCCACGATACCTGTTACAGACACAACTGCAAAAATCATCATCTCCCGCGCCGGTGACTGGACAGCCTCCATCATCTCCTGCCCGCCAACACAACTCTGGGTCCGCCACCCTCCCACACTCAACTTCCTCACCTTCGCGCCACTGTTCAATTCGCTATTGCTCATCGCAACGGGCGCTGGCATCGGCCCCATGCTCAGCCTCCTCGCCTCTCCCGCTGTCACACACATGCGCGCCCAGGGCCGGAAAGTGAAAGTCATGTGGTGCGCGTACGACCCCTACGCACCGCACTGGGCGTTTGTGCTCGATGCGGTGTGGGAGGTGGATAAGGAGGCGCGGGTGTGGGATAGTAAGGTAGGAAGACCGGATGTCGCGTCTGAGGCGCGGTATTTGGCTATGAGCGAAGGTATTGAGACGGTGATGGTTGTTAGTAATCCGAAGGTTACGAAGGACGTGGTGGATGAGTGTAAGATCGCTGGGTTGGCGGCGTATGGGGCTGTGTATGATTCCTGAGCGGTGGGTTTGGGATGACGAGATGTTGGGAGAGCCCGCTCTGGAACGGAGCTGCATACGACTTGACGACGCCGGACGATATTGAGTCTATTATAACAGAGTTGTTTGTGGACACAACCGTTCTGGTGCAAAGAAGGGATGGGAATGATCTTTTTCGAAGGCATGAAGATGCCACGACGACGGAATATCAAGGACGGGACTGTATACGGGACGGTATATTGGATGCTTTGGTGAAACCTTCACGGTTATCATCTTATTGATACTGTATATACAAAATGCTGCATTTTTTCTTTTTGAAAATTAGACGCGTGGTTGGTGTAGAACGGATAGGGTGTACACCAGGAATGTGTTATACACAAAGATCCCAGCGAACGGCATCGACTGCGGCAACAGTTGAGGAGTACTGCTACGTTACGAATCTCACATGAATAATTTTCTTTGATTTTTTTGCATGCCCAGAAGTCATAGGGAACGTGAACGACAGCTTTCGTCTCAGATGCCGTGAAGCTCCTGGGTTCCTCTACCAGTCTGCGATCCACCCGTGATTGCAAGTAGAGAAAGCCTCACGCCAAGACAGAAATAGCAAAGTGTGGTATATTTGAGGCTATTATTGACAATGGTGTCGCCGCCACTAGCTTACGCGCCAAGGTTGACGCACGAGGACATGAGGGTGCGGTACATAGTACGCTGATGGCGCCCAGCTAATAGGAGCTCGCCCGCCATGAGCCTCTCCGTCTCTTTACCGCAGTGACATGCAGCAGAAGCACTGTGATCATTGTAGCTTTGCGAGACGTCTCGCTGAAGTAGAATCAAATAGGTAAGAAGGGAGGAAATCATGTTAAAAGACCGAAAAAGCATGGGTGTTGTATAGATCAAAGGGAAGACGCTTGTTGATGGATGGATGGATTACTATTACCTCTCTCGATCTGTACCCTCTCGACAGCAGCAATACAATCAACATACACAAACCCCAAATCAGCGCCTAAGAAGGGGATATACAACATCCACATCGGACCAGTTGTTACACCTTTCTCCACATAGCTCCCACACTCGCAATCTTACAACATATAAGCAGCAAATCCAGCAACAAGCGCCAAAGCACCAGAGACCGCAGTCTTGCCAGCCGCACCAGTGAACTGCGCAGGCTGGCCCGTCGAAGTCCTCGTTCCATTTCCACTGCCACTGCCGCTTCCACTTCCCGCGCCCATACCACTTCCCGATCCAGACTCAGATCCCGATCCAGACTGCGCAGGCGGCCCATACCCAGGCGCACTAACAACACTGGGCTTCGTCGCGTTCTTACCCGCCTCACAGCTGGGCACGGGGGCATTGGAGCGCGTCACAGTGACATCCGGGGCAGGACCGGTGGGACATCCTGCTTTGGCTGTAATCGTGGTAGTGACTGAGCCAGCAGGGACAGAGGCCTTGGACGAGCCAGCAGGGGTGTTGGATGCGGGGGTGCTGGAGGCAGGCTTGGATGCAGAGGGGGTGGCAGACGAGGGGATGGTCTGGAAGTAAGACGATGGGCAGGAACCGGGATGCGCGGGGTTGCAGCCGCCGGGGATCGAGGTCGGGGCTGGGGTTGAGACGGGGGCGGCGGAGTATTGGCTGTTGTGTGTTAGTATGTCGTTGATGGATCGCACCCTGGGGAAAGTAGGGGAGTGATTAAGAAGCGTGATGTGATGGACGGAGGAATGAAGAGTGTGGATGGGGTGAAGGAAGTTGGCGTCATTTGAAGGCAGATGCAGGAGAGAAGGTATAAGGCGTGAGTTTTGACTTACGCAGACACACCAGCCGCGAGCGCAACAGCGCCGATGAGGGAGAAGGACTTCATGACGATGATTTTGAGATTGACGTAGCAAACTTTAGGGGTAATAGGGGACTGTAGAATGAGTGGCTTCAAAAGACTTGACTTAAAAGCGAAAGCAAGATAGCACCGTGAGTTGTTATACCGATCGACGCCACACCATGGTCCCTTAATCCCCCCTCCCGACTCTAGACAGCAGCCTTCTCGCTCAAGTCTGAATTCATTGCGTTCGCCGCTTCTACGCCGCGAATATCGATGATCAGTCAGGTGCAGTTGCCGCTTTCAAACAAGGTAGCACGCAGCCAACTGTATCTTCGGCAATTCAACTTACCGTTCTCTTGCCCTGTGCGACTACAGAAATTATCCAAATCAGTAAGATGAGCAAGGCAAGTGCCGTCTCGTGGTGTGTCGTAGTGTTGTTGTAGGAGCTCGCGCCCGGAACGTTCATGTTCCATCCAGCCCACTAGACACTTTCGAGGATGGCATTCCACACCAGCCCCAGTTTCGAAACGATCGACCAATTAGAATGTTGTTTCTCCTGACCCTACCGCGCGTTAGTGCTCGACGTCACCGCGCAAAATACATTTTTATTCGGAAGCGAGCGTTCCGTGGTACAGGAGCGTTCATCCTTTGCGGGGAACGGGCGAGGCTGCTCACCTCTAGACTACCTTTTCGAGGGCCATTACAAATTTCCCTTTCCGGACTAAGATGGGCGCTGCGCTTGAAAGCGGGATCTTATTCATAATAGGGCGATACTAGAAATTATGATGAGGCCGCCGGAAGCACAGGGTACCGCACTATTGCAGGTCGTTGCTAGAAGCAGTAAGAATATTGATGGATGTGGACTGGCGACGAGTGCGTGGAAGAGAGGCAAGCCATCTGCTCGTAGGACCACGGGTCGAGAGCCGTTGTATAAGTAAAGATGAAATCTCCTTGTGTATCGTTATCATCAGGCAACTTAACAGTCTTCAGCTTCACTCACGTTCTCGACCTTTATATTCTTTTAGGCCCATACCTCACACTTCCTTCCATCACAATGAAGTCCACTTTCGCTGTCGCTGCCCTGGCTGCTGTTGCCTCCGCCGCTCCTACCAAGCGTGCTACTGGCCCTACCGATGATGTTATCCTCAACTACGCTCTGACCCTCGAGCACCTCGAGAACACCTTCTACCGCCAGGGTCTTGCCAACTTCACTGAGGCTGACTTTAAGGCTGCTGGCTTCGACTCCGAGGTCTACAACCGCATCAAGACCATCGGCTCTGATGAGGCTCAGCACGTCAGCTTCCTGTCTGGTGCCCTGACCGCCGCTGGCGCAAAGCCCGTCAAGGAGTGCACCTACGCCTTCGGTGTCACCAGTGTTCAGTCCTTCCTTGCCACCGCCTCCGTCCTTGAGGGCGTTGGTGTCAGCGCCTACCTCGGTGCCGCTGCCGACATCATGTCGAAAACCTACCTCACAGCTGCTGGCTCCATCCTGACCGTTGAGGCCCGCCACAGCGCCTACGTCCGCAGCGTCAACAAGCAGAGCCCCTTCCCCCAGCCCTTCGATGCTCCCCTCTCTTACAACGAGGTCTACACCCTCGCTGCTGGATTCATCAAGAGCTGCCCCTCTGAAAACCCTCCTCTTCCCGTCAAGGCTTTCCCCAGCCTGTCTGCTTCCAGCAAGGACACCCCCATCAAGACTGGCTCGACTGTTCTGCTCACCACCTCCGGCTACAAGATTGAGGGTACCGTCTACGCTGCTTTCATCGCCGTTACCGGCCCCACCTTCGTCGAGGCCAAGGCTGTCAACGGTGGCTACGACGTCGTTGTCCCCAAGGGTTTCGCCGGCCAGAGCTACGTCGTCCTCACCAGTTGCAACACTGCCGCTACTGACGACACCATCCTCGCTGGCCCTGCTGTTGTTGAGATCTCCTCTTAAAGCTTGATTGTGGTGTTGGAAGATTAGCGATTGTCAGTACGACTGTTCTCGTTCCCAAGAGGGCTGCGATGTATATACTTCTTATTACTTATTTGTAATGTTTGATATCAAAATCGATACCGCATCTTCAAATCCTCTTCATCTCGATATGTGCATTTGCGATTTCTCGTGAACTGATGGACGTTGGATGAGACGGTGAGCTAGATACGTATACTCAGGCAGCGGCTACCGGCACGGTAATGTGCTGGCGTGTGGAGGCTGGTGATCTGCGTTCAGCTCAGAGGAATTGACTTGGCTGGTCTGCCCGCGAGCTCGGTCTTCGGTTTCCGTGCAGTCGATGTGACAGGGACCTAGAGGTGTTGTTGTCGTTGTTGTTGTTGTTGTTGTTGTTGTTGTTGTTGTTGTTGTTGTTGTTGTTGTTGTTGTTGTTGTTGTTGTTGTTCGCAGTGCCTTTGCTGGCGACCGTTGCCTTTGTGTACAGCTACTGGCAGCGAAGGCAAGGCCGAGCAGCTCCGTCTGGCGCACAAGGTTGAGAGTTTGGAAGCAGTGATAGTATTGAGGTATAAAACGAATGGAGAGACACTGGATGCACGTTGGCACCATCGTAACAAGAGAGATACCTTACCATGCTGCGCACGGTATCGACTTACTCCAGCGCAGCGTGCCAGTATGCCCATTCTCAAAAAAAAAAATTTTTTTTGCGCAAAATAAACTATAGAATTGTGGAGGTCGTGGCTAATGTCAGCGAGTCGTCATGCAGATGTGTTTCTGTCAGCAACGGTGAGGTGAAGTCAGGGCTTGAGGTCAGCTGTGAGTCTGAGCTGGTTATGGTGTAGTGTGGATGGAGAACCCGTTACAGTTGAAGGTTGACAAATTTGTTCGTGGGCATAGTGGCCAGGAAGGAGCGCCTTGGGTTCTGGACAGGCAGCTGCGATACGGTGCTAGACGGTAGGCGGGGGCAATGTCGTGACTATCCTGTGGAGCAGGTGCAGGAGCAGGTGCGCCCTTACCAGCCAATAACAACCACAAACATCGAACAGCTCTGGAGCGTAACTCACACCCTCTGGAGCGTCGAACGCGCACTCATTTCCAGCACTTTTCCGATACCTTCGAACACCTTGTCTTCCGCTACCCGATGCACGCAATGTTGGTCTGTGACCTTCAGGTGGCTGCGATGGCTGGGCTGTTGTACCTGTGTACCTTCCACGTCTGTCAGCCGGTACATCTTGGCCTGCAGGGCGTCTTACACGATGTCCGATGAATGTCTTACCTTGCATCTGTACATATGCACGACATGAAGCCAAGAGTGTGCCTGTGAGACGAGACCCTGCAGCGACATCAGAAGCTGTGAGATTCGCCCCTGTGAGATTATCGGTGCTTGCCAAAATGTATGGTCTTCCCTGAATATGGCTCGCTACTGAAGTCCTCTACATCATACAGAAGCGAAGGCTTCCGAGTGGCTATTGATTGTCTGGTTGACAGTAGTGACAGCTTGGTAGACACCATGCAGGGCATCAACGTTGGTAATAGCCACTCACAAGCCTGTCCGCACGACTATACCATGGTGCAGATGTACTGTTTGCATCACTGTTCCAAGTTCAAGGGGGTTTGTACATTTTGATAAGCATTATATACCTTGCGTCGATGTGCAGCTCGCGGGGTACAGCAAATGTCTAAGGTCGAGACCTTGCGCTGCAAATTGCGAGTCGAAGAAGTGCGCGTCCTTGGTGAAGTTTTTACGCGTAGTCGGTGGCTTTGTCGGTGTGTTCTGCTGAGTAGTGGGTCCAGCGTCGGAAAGGTACGCGTCACAGTCGAAGTGCTACGCGGCCCGGGTGAAGAGGTGTATATCTTTGCATTCGTATCCATGCACATTATGCGCTTCGGTTGCTATCTACCTACACAATCCACCGCTACGATACCTGCATCATAGCATGCCTCCATCGAATCTATGCCACGTACATCATCACCAACGACACCGCGGCTGCCTCGTATCATATACACAACCCTATCCTCCACTTGCCGCCTATTGTGTCAAACGAACCACCAATGCTAAACGCCATAACGCAAGAGACCAGTCATGCTTGTGTATTCCTGAAACAGATTCGCCAAAGATGGAAACGTGCGGGTAACGTCGCCGCCAACATGTCAAAAACTTTCGTACCGATACGCCGCCGAACGCCGAGCTATCATGCAGAGCCGAGTGCTCAATGAATGTGAGTCGCTAAATTATCGAACGCCGAAGCGAAAACTACTCGAAGGTTGGCAGCGCTGCGCCGTCGCAGTCGGGAATCTTAAGCCCGGGCTTGAGGTTGCGGTCTACGTCCATGAGACCCCACTTGTCTTCCCACTCTTTCCCGTCCTCGTTGTAGCGGACTTTCCATGGTTCGTCGAATGCCGAGAACCTTTAATGATGTCAGTATGTGCATGTCAACGTCTGCTGCACGATGCTACTTACCAGAAATACTCAGTCTGATTCTTCAAACTGGGACAAACCCAGTCTTCCATGAACTGGTTCATCTCGTCAATGCCAGCGACGGATCCGTTGGTACACGTGGCAGCTCCACCGCAGTTGGTACCGCCGCCTGACGGCCAGCCGACCTCAGCAATGACTTGCTTGATGTCCGTGTTGCTGGCTGTCAATGCGACGTCATTGGTCTGCCAGAAATTCCACGTCCAAGCTGCAGCCTTCTCGACTACAGTACCGGAAAAGAAAGGATGAACGTTGGACATGACAATGTCGACCTTGGTGGCCATGTCGGCAGTCCAGTTGTCACCAAGGTCAGCCATGGCGACTGGCAAGTCGCACTTGTGGCTGGTGATGTTTTGCCTGAAGATGGTGACCTGGTCAATCAGCTGGGTTGCTGTAAGGTCCTCACGGTAAAGCACTTCGTTGCCGATAATGATGCCTTTGAAGTAGTCGCAGCCATACTCGTCGAGAATGTCCCAAGTCTGGGCGATTTGGCGTTTGTTGGTTGAGTTGTCGCTGTCGAGCCAGACACCGAGCCAGATCTTCATGTCCGTCAACTCAAGACGCTGGATGGCGTGAATGACCATCTGAGTTTGGTTGCAGTCGGTTCCATAAAGTCTGATAGCGTTGGTCAATTGCGACATAACAGCGACATCGCGGGTGATGTTGTTCTGCGAAGGTGGCACCGTGACGCACTCCGGCCTTTGCGCGTTCAGAGGGGTGTAGTCCATTCCAGGGAAGACCTTGTGCAGGTTCGCGTTGTTCATAAGCGCCTTGATCTCACTGGAATCCTTGCTGAGATCGTCTTTGTTGTCGTTTTCAACATCTCCAGCGCTGACAGCGCCGTGTTGACCATCGTGGCCGCCGCCCTTGTTGAGCAGAGCACCAAGCACGCCACCGAGGATGGCACCAAGCATAATGACAGCGATAATAGCGATTGCAATCCACATCCGCTTCTTGCGCTTCGCGTGGTCACGCTTCAGCCATTCTGACTTCTCGGCTAGCAGCTCAGGGTGGCTTCCAATGTGGCTTCCACTGCCATTGGCACTCCCAGCACCGTTAATGTTGGAGACCGCGTTGTACTTGCCGCTTCCATCGCGACTGACAGCGTATGCACCGGCAGCAGCAGCAGCTCCTGCCCCAGCTCCTGCGACACCGCCTGCAATCGACGACCCTGGCGAGCCATTCCTGCTGCCGTCTCTTGATGCACCAAATCCAGGTACGAGAGATCGACGCTTGGCCTGCGGTGTCTCTGGTCCCATGCCCCAGTCGTCGTCGTCGGCGAGTTCGTGGGGGTTGATCTGGCCCATGGCGTGGGCGTTGTTCATCGGGGTAGTGGAGTAGCGGTTGTACGGGTTGTCGGTGAAGGGAGCACTGTGCGGCGGGGAGTTCATGCTGTGTAGTGAGTGGTTGCTTGCGTACAAGCCTGCGCCGGCAAGAGGTACTTGCGAGCCGTATGACCGGTTCGAGTACATGGATCGCGGCGGCATGCCTCCGTCGTGGGCATGCTGGTCGGTGAAGGGCGTTGCGTTGGGGCTCCGGCTGGGAACGCCGAGTGGTTCTCCTCGCGGTTCGCTGCCGGGCGTCGACAGGTCGGAATAGTTGTTGGGGTCCTGCTGGAACGACGGTCGCTGCGGCTGGAAGTGCTGGCTGTCTGCGTGCATGCCAACGGGCACGCGGTGGGCGGGCGGAGGCGGCGGGAATTCCTCGTCAGGGCCGTCGACCGGCGAGGGGTCGCCCTGTTGGCCCAGGAAGGGCTGCTCTGACTGCGGGTGTGCCATTGCGACGGGTGATGGTGTGCACGGCGGCCGCAGAGCGTGATGGTGCTGCGGAGGGTGGCAGAGCAGAGGCGGGCAGGCCTGGTTGTCGAGGTAAACGGCGACGCGCCGCTCGAGGGTGGGTCGCTCTCAAGCGGGCTCTGGGCAGTCTTAGTGTTTGCGGAAGCGTTCGACGGGCGGGATCCGTTGTGGTAGTGTTGGGGCAGCAAGCAGGCAGGGCAGCAGGCAGGGCAGCAGGCAGGCAGGCAGGCAGGCAGGGCAGCGCTGTTCCCGGCGGGCGATGAATAGAGGGATGGTGATGAATGCGGCAGCAGCGTCGGGGTTGTTGGAGAGTGGAGAGAGCCGCACCACCAGCTTTTCCAAGGTTGCAGCACAGGACGCAGCAGGCTAAGGACGCGGCTGGTGCAGAGGCTGACAGTGGACAGCCGATTGTCTTGGAAACGAGCCAACGCCTCCCAGTGCCTCCGTCCCTGCACGCTACGGGGGTCCCAAGCCCGTTCGGTCATTGGTCCTGGAGATAACTGCGTCATGCCCAGCCTGGCGATAGCAGTGTGGGGGCTGCCAGCCTCTTCCCGTCTCAACATTCAGCCTGCAGATGACGTGCATGCGCTTGCGAAAATGCATTCTTCTTCGCAAAGAATTGATGCGCGCTCTTTCACTGTAAACTCTTCTTCATGACCCCCTTTCAAGACACTCACACCCTGCCGTCAGCTTGCGTCGCCCGCTCCCCGCCATCCCGGTTCGAGCGGCACCCTGGCTCGCACACCCGCTGCTTGTGAACTGATCAAGGAAGTTGGCCCACACCCCTCTCTGCAAGGCCCAACGGCTGGCCTCAACCGCAATTTCTCCTATCCATTGAATATTTACTTGCGGCTCCTGCTCCACACCACGCTGCCTATCTCGTCTGCACAGCAAGAAGTCTTCTTGCGAGATCAAGAGCCGTTTTCGCAGGCCTCAGCGCGGAGTGTGCCGCGTTGATAGCCACTCTGCAGCCAGCACGCCTCGCACTCTCGTAAAACAGCCTCCAATACGCACGAGAGCGAGCGGCGCTCACCACAGCCTCTCCAGCTTCGTAACTACGCAGCGATCGTCTGCTCTTTGTTCTCGCTGCTATTCTTGCGACGTCTGCAACCTCTCTCTTGTGTCGCCATGTCGTCGTCCCAGGGTCTTTGTTCAACCTTGATGCGAGATCTGCCCACGGTGGTGAAACACGACACCACCGATCATCGTAGGACAGGGGGAGTGCTTGAAACATGCTGTACGCCTTGCCAGTCGACGCCAAGCAGCCAGCATCGAGTCATTGAGGCATGCATCTTTCGAACAGTGTAAACATGGAGCTGTAGCTGAGGCTTCCAAGGGTTGTCTTGCTCTTCAGCCGTAACACTGATGGTTTGCATAGATACTATTTTTATGCTGCTGCTGCTGCTGCCGTTGCCAAGAGTACAGCCGCGCTAAGCTCAAGGTCCGCGACTGGCTTCCTAATCTGGACCCACACCAAAACTCCCACACCATCGTACATATTCATGACATTGTCACGGCAGCCAAGCTGTACGTAGAATCGAAGTGTTCAAGCTGAGTCAACAGCCTCCCATGTCGACTCTCGCAGTTTTTGACGACGTCGTCTCATCTCGTAGTGCAGCCTTGACGTCCAACACCACATCGTGCTCATCCATGCATCCTGAAGGGCGCCAACAAACCGGAGAAGGGCGAGGCGAATCCGCTCTGTCTGAGCAGCCGCCCTTCAAGTAACATAAGACGAGGCCCATTTAACACAAACCATGCGCTCACCAATCTACCTCACAGTACCTCCCAGACATGACAAATTCGAGCGGACAACCCAATGCCAACAGCGTACACGATCATCTCATACACGCAGCATCCTCAGCAGGCGACGCTGCAGCAATCACTACACTCGTCGCTGACTCTCCAACTGACCTTGAGCTTCGAGATCCAGACTCGTGCACACCACTACTTCTTGCCGTCTATGCCAACAAACCGGATGCCGTACGTGCTCTGCTTGCAGCGGGAGCAGACTCTAGCTCGAAAGGGGGCAGAGTGGGCAATTCTGGGGTTGGCCGTGACTGCGACGCCATCACTACAGCAGCTCTGTTTGGGTGCGAGGAGGTCCTCAAAATCCTGTTGGAAGAGGAGTGGAATGTCGAAGTCACAACTAGGGCGTTCGTGGACGCTGCCGGTTTGGGCAGATACAAAAGCGTTCGCACCATCTTAAAGCGTCTACAAGAGAAGGGAAAATCGTTTTCAGACGCGAGTCCCCTTGAAGGTATCAGAGCAGCTATAGAGAAGGCGGCGAGGTGCTGGCATGATCAGACTGTACACCTGCTTTTTGCATGAGGTTGAAGGTTTTCCAGATGTCCAGAGAGAGGAGGATTGCTCGGCCCTTCAGCGTGCTCTTTGGCGTACGATGAACGAAGCCTTCGAAGGCTCATGGCACTCGGACTGCAATGATGGTTGTCGAAGAAAAGCAGCACGAGACAACCAGCTCAGAGTCGTGAAGGACTTGGTCGCTGTAGGCGCTAGCCTCGATGAGTATGATGTCTGGGTAGCTTTGGGCAACCAGAACAATATGATGCAGGAGTACGGGATCACAAAAGATCTCGGGCTAGTTCTTCTCAAGCCATGGCACAGACACCACGACCAAGAACTGCAACGGATACAGTGCACTCGAAATCGCTGCTGGCGATGAAGACGACGACCCTGCTCTTGTCAAAGCCCTTGTCGCTGCGAGTGACAGGACAAATTTTGTCGACAAGTACAAGACGGCAGCTCTGCACCACGTTCGATAACACAACATCGCTCAAGTACTGATCGAAAATGGTGCAGATATCCACAGCAAAGATCAGAGCGGCTTCACACCATTGATCAGCGCAGTGGGTCAAGGTGTGCGATGGGCAAGCGAGCCGAAAATTCAGCTTGAAGTCTGTCGACTCCTCGTATCTCAGGGTGCGGATCCCACTATAACCACCTTCAATGACTTCACTGCCTTGCACGCTGCAGTGGAGCGCCACGACACAGCATTAGTGGTGTACGTGCTGGATATCGGCGCAGATGTAAACGCCGTCGCTGCGCATGGAGGCTCTGCCTTGAGTGCTGCGTGTCGATCGGCTGCCTATCTGTACGAAGACATACATGTCTGCGGTGTCTACAACGTAGAGCCAGAGCAGGCTCGAAAGACCGCGGCTTTTCGGACACTGGAAGTCTTGCTCGAGCGTGGCGCTGACACCAACCCCAGGCACGAGGATATGCGTACGCCTCTGCTCGAAGCTCTGTTTCCATTCGAAGGTTACTCCACAAGAACCCAAATGGAAGGAAGTGGCTTAGAGTGGCTTCTCTGGAAGGGCACGAGTGAAGGGGTTTGTGAGGTCATTGTTGAGCTCTGGAATTGGCTGGTACGAAGAGGCGCTGATCCGAATGCTCAAGACGTGAGTAGTCTTATTAATTTCGACAAGTACAGTATTGATGCCGAGGGTGTTGTGAGTCTGAGGCAGAAGCACAAGCTGGACAGATCCTCACTTTGACCACCTGGGCGGCAGAGGCCGCATCATCAGAGGAAGTACAAACGGGATAACAGAGGCGGATACAGAAAGGGCAGCGTTATCTAAAAGAGCACTCCGGACCTTCTCTGTTGAGTAGCAGAAGAAAGCAGGCATCAACCGACTGAAATCGCCGTAGTCCTCAGGAAACTCTATCAGACTTCGAATAATGTGCAGATTGGCATCGAATACTCCCCGTATGTATGTTTCTCCAGATAGTGCAACCCTACAGGAACCCCCTGGCAGATACCCGCTTAGGACTCCAACTCTACAACCACATAAGCCACAGTCTTTACCCATCCGCACCATCATCCCACTCATGCCACACCACCGGCGATATATCCTCCCCTCCATACGCCGTCCCGCCGAAGTCGAGATACCCCCTTGCCCCAGAATATGGGATCGAAGCTATCTCCTCATACTCACCCATCACCCACACGCTCTGCATGCCCATGATCATATGCTGCAGAATATGACAATGCAGCATCCAGCACTATGCATTATCAGTTGTCTGGAAGAGGAGACGCGGAGGAGAACGGAGGAGGGACTTACCCCGGCATCCTGGACCCGGAGACGCCAGCAGCGCCACCCTGCTGGCTGCGCTGGCGTGCCTTTTGCTGCGTAGCGGTAGAGGTTCGTCGTGTCCCTCAGCACCGGAGTGTAGTCTTTCAGTTTCGCTTCGTTGGCAGCGGCGTCGTACGTTTCGTTGCCGCTGCCGCAGTCGTAGTAATGCCCGCCGTGCATGTGGAAGGGGTGGTAATCCACGCCGCCGTTGCCGTTTACAGTGCTCCCGGTGTTTTCAAGGATGATTTCGAGGACTTCGCCGATCTTGGCTGGCCAGGCGAGAGTGAGCGGGTCCCATCCACCGTTTGATAGCGCGGCGGTGTAGTGAGGCATCGCCGCCGGCCCGTTCTTGTAGATGTCGACGAGGTAGGGAGGCGCGTTGTAGGATTTATCCTCAGTCCAGTTTAGCCCTTCTAATTGCCATATGATGGTTGATTGGATGAGTTGTTGGTTCGTGATGTGGACTCTCCTCGTCACTTCGTTTGCGCTGGGAAACCCGTTAGGGACGAGGGGCTCGAGTGCGTACTCGAGGAAACTATGCGTCTCATTCGATAACTGCAAGGGCGCGATGGCGGGTGCAGTGGTGATGGTCGGGGAAGCAGAGGAGTAGCGTAGGACCCCGAAGCCGGTGTATACGCTTGGTCGGTCTTTGGTTTCGAATTGAATTATCCAGTCCGATTTCCCGCTTAGCTCGCTCAGCTCGTCGAGAGATTTCGTGGTGAGGAGGACGTCGAAGCGCTGCCCGGATGTTATTTGCATGTGTCCCACGCGGTGGGGTTTCGTGTAGTGGCCGTCTGCGGCGATGACGGACAGTTTGGAGTGGTCTTCGATGCCGAAGGATACCATGCTGATTGCTGATGCGCCGATAAAGCGTAGGCGGTAGGTTTTGTCTGGATCGACATCGATGACTGGCATTGTACAGCCGGGTTTGCCTGCAGTCTCGCCGGTTGCGACTCCCACGCCATTGAGTAGGACTGCGTTGACCTCGCCACTCCACACAAAAGGCGTAGCGGTTAGACCGTGCTCAATCACATCATCAGTCTTATTGTAGTAGTCTTGTAGGAAGATGATGCGTTCTTCGTCATACTTGTATGGTGGCTCGGCAGCGTCTTCGATGAGCAGTGGACCTGCGGCAGTCATGGCTTGGACGCCGATGTGCGAGTGGTAGAAGTACGTCCCAGAGTCTTCTAGTTCGGGGTGGATTTCGTAGTCGAAGCATTGGTGGGGTGCGATGGGCCACTGAGAGACTGGGGAGCCGTCGCTGAAGGGGGCGGTGCGTTGGGAGAGGCCATGCCACTGCTGTGAGATGTCAGTAATGTATACATCAATGAGGGAATCGGGACTCGTAAGACCATAGTGGTATTGTAAGCGTCCATATCATTGCAGACACGCACCCAGCTTGTCTTGCCTGGTGGAAGGCGAAGCGTTGGGCCTGGTGATGTGCCATTGACTAGGACTGACATACGGTGTTGACATGCTGCTGTATGATTCTCGTACGTCACAAGAAGGTAGAAGTCTGGTATGAAGGTTGAGTCGTGGCAGTGGAGGTGGGTATTGTCTGACTCAGCCGTTCCATTGGTGGCCACAGCGGTGGATGCTAGCAACAGCAAGGAAAGAAAGGACCACAACATTCTGAATAGTATCTTGATGATCGAGTATCCCTAGAGGATAGATCTTGAGAGTTCCCACTACCCCAGATTATATATGTGGTTTCGGCCCTTGTGTTTCACGCCGCCCAACAGCCGCCGGATCCGTGTGGAAGGCTGACAGGTAACACGAACATAAGCTGCAGATCCTCATGTGTAACATATATGCACTACTTCTTGTGGCTTGTGCAGGTGGCTTATATGGTAGTTTTGCCTCATTTTAATTGCCGTGAATAAGGGAACGCAGTCTGCTCTTCCTAATTGCCCAGCAACAAGCAACTTCGACCGTCTTCATTGTTTTGTAAGGTCGGTCATGTCTTCAATACAACGTGTCGTGTAAGTTGAATTGATCTTTGTAGTTAGATGATGTTGCAATCTGGTACTCTTTTCTCTCCGGCGGAGCATATCCCGTGGCCCAAACAGCGGAAGTCGGTTTTTGGTGTCGTATATCGGCACAGCTAGTGTGCAGCGCCATGATAGTGCTTCATATTGACCAAGGATAGTGAATCGGAGCAGCAATCCTCGACTGCCATGCAATGGGGCTTGCGGGGTAGTGGTGCTTCAGCCCGCACAGGTCGCACATGGCACCAGCGCCGGTTCGTCTATGCTCATCATCTTCTCTCCTCAGGTCGGAAGTCTGCCCGATAGCAAGACCTTCTCCATCGAAATAACTGGAGACCGCTCTTGAGTCTGCTACTAATCCCTTGTACGCTTCAGTTGTACCGTCTCGAAGAATGGGTTCTCACTCTCCACCTCTTCTCCTGTTGCCACCATGGTCCTGTCCGTGTCCCACTTATACAGCCCTCCCTTCTCCGAAATCTTGATGGCCATCCCCCGATCCTCTGCGCTCATCGTGCAAACCCACTTGTGCACTTTCCAGTCCTCCTTTTGACACTCTGCTGAGCAGTACGCTGCTGTGCCACACCTTCCGCAGCGATTCAGCGACTTTGTGGCAGAGGTTGTGCTGCATGTGGTGCATTTGTTGAGATCGAGAGATCGATACAACAAGTGTGGCGACATGGGGATGCCGTCGCCGAAGATGTCCATAGGTGCGTACTCGACGTGAAATGTATGTTTGACGCCTTTGCCTGCTTCCCAGCTCTTGTCCTTCATCGTTTCTTGCACCCACCTATCCCCAAGTCTCTCGATCATCTCAGGGATTTTCACGTCTTTCTCGCCCAGCATGCTCTCCTTCGCATTTGGCACCCACTGTCCCCTCTTGAACTTCCCGTCTGAAGATAAAGCGACGTTGTATGTCAACATAACTTTCCAATTCTCGCCGCTAGAGTCAAGCGTGCCGAACGTGATCTGGCTCCCTACTCTTCCAATCTCCAGTTTCTTCGCTTCTGTGCCAGGATTGGACGGCGGTATGGTGACGGTCCATGTCAGGCTGAACCATGCATCTAAGTCCAGGAAGGCGACGAGAGCTGTGGGACACCATAGATAGAGGATAGTAGCTATACCGTGTGGAACTGACGCAGATTTTCGAATTCCCTCCTGTTCTGCGCTGAAAGAATCTTCTCTGAAGATGCTGAGGGGATCTCCATCTAGTGTCAAGGGGACATCGGGGTAATCTGGAAGCCGGAAATCTGGAAGACCGGTGAAATATAGAATCATATTAACTGTGTGTGTGTTGATTGTAGCTTAGGTGACGAGCGTTTCCCGAACAGAAGGTGTTTGTGGGTGGGGCGGGTTGACGACGTGTGATTGGCGGAGCACAACGGGCCCTGACTTCCTCTTACCACGTACCGACGTCGACTCTTACTACACCGCTCGCGATTTTTGAGATTGCACGTACAGGACGATGAATACGATACGAGCCAAACGACGCCTTCGCGTCACGCCTATGAAGGCGCTCAACCAGCTCGACGTCAGTATCAGACCTATACACTAGCTCTGAACTATACACTAACTCTGAATTATACACTCACTCCACATCTAGTACACAGGCATTTTGAATGCATTTAGATCGTAATGCCACGAGTTGATACTCTCCTGATCATACACACACTCCGGTACAGTCGAGTCGTTGCCATAGACTGGTCTCAGCGGCCACAAACAAATTTGCTGGTTCTGGCCCTTATTCGCTCCCAATAGCACAGTCGCGTTGAGAGTACCCGGCGCCTTCTCGTTCTCAACCCAGTCAATGAGCTGCGTCATAACCGTCTGCGGCCACCCGCCATTCTGCTGATAACTATTCGGACTACAATGCGCAGCCCCAGGTACCAAGAAGAAGCGATAAAAGTCTTGCAACTTAGCGGTCGACTTGTTGTAACTCAGCTCCGGGTACATGATCGATCTGACAGACTCCCAATAATGTACGGAACTGGCTGCAGGAATGCTGTTGTCGCTCTCGCCATGAATGTGCAGAATCTTGCCGCCGCTTGCTTCGAAGCGCGACAGATCTGGCGAGGTTGTTTGAAGGGAGTCTTCGTACGTTTGCCAGAGATCGTACATCCACTCCTTCAGCGTGTTGTACGTCACGCCGTCGAGACTAGCCAGCGTGGATGTATTCTGCAGCCAGATATACCGCGTTACGAACTCGCCGCCCAAGCCAGAGATACTGAGTTCCCACTCGCCAGTCGCGTTGTTATACTTTGTTTGCGCGTCGGCGAAGGTCGCGGCCGGCTGGTAGGAGAAGTATGCCTGTCGACCTTGCGAGTCGTGAAGCCCGTCAATGATGGTTTGCGCGACTACTGTCGCTTTGGCCGACACTGTGCCGTTTTGCGCAGGTATAGGTTGGCCGCTGCCTGAGCCGAAAGGGTTTCCGCCTCCTACCTTTGCGGGGCAGTAGTAAGGGAGGCCGATCGTGGAGGTGACGTTGAAGTGCAGTTTGCAGAGGTCTGAGCGTGCAACGACACCGTCGGTTTTGCCGTCCAGAGGATCGCAGAATTTGATCGTGGCATTTGCGATGGCGTCGAGTTCGCAGGGTGGGGGGAAGTAGTCCAGTGTCTTTTCTACGACGTTGCTGTAGAGATGCTGGATTTGCTGGTGTGCGTAGCGGAATGCGGGAGCGCTTACACTTGCGCCATCGAGCTCTTCGAAGCGTTGGATTTGACTCCAGCCCTCGCGACCGCCTTCAGAGCAGCCTTGGTAGTAGGCGTAGAGCTTTGTGGTGTTCTGCATGGCCATGAGGTTTTTGGTGAACTGCTTGCCGAGCACTGTCATCTCGTGGATGGCCTGGTAGCCAAACATATAAGCATTCTCCCAGTTGACAGTTCCATTGGCTAGAAGGAAGTGGACATCCTCCTGGGTAGTGAAGCTGCCGAATCCGCCATCTGTTAGTCCGCCAACAGCGCCAATGCTGACGCCTCCAGTCACCGACGTGGCTCCGGAGTTGATGGCTAGACCTCCTCCGCCCGTGGCGAGGAAGCGGTTATTGAAGGCGGACGGGTCAGGAGCGAAGTATGCGACGTTGACAAGATCGTTACGGCCATCATGGGTGTACGAGAACGTGATGTTGCAGTAGGCGACGTTGGCGTCGGGGTAGAAGACTTGGTTGCTGAGGGTGTAGTTTGAGGTGAGGGTGGTAATGACAGACGCTGGGTCGATTGTGATTCCTAGGTACGTGCCGGCTGCAGGTAGCTTGGACGCAGCGTAGGAAGTGGTGCAGAGATCTTTCAGAGAAAGCGAAGTGACTGTCGAGGCCAGCGACCCCACAAAAAGTTGAGTGCGCATCGTCGAGCAGGCGAGATATAGAAAGAAAAAAGATTGAGGTAACAACTGACTCTTGTATACTGCTCCCAAATCCTTTTCTGTGCTCCGATCCCGTCGTCCAGAAGGGTCCGATTCGCCTTCAGGGATTCAGATCCTGCTGTATCACAAGGTAGTCTAACGCACATCGTCACTTCCCGGTGAAACATTTGACCCCGACAACCCATTTTCCCACGCCTATTGGAAGTTAATTCAGTTCCCCTTAATCTAAGTTCGGTTTTGCGGGGGAGGGATGGAAGGTGCTGCAGGGTTCTATCGTCAGTATGTGCCGGATAAGATATTATCCGCATGCGTTACCGCCGAGAACGGCCTACTTGTTACCACCGAAGAACGGCCTACTTACCCACAAGGGAAGGTTACTGTCTGTTGCACTGTTGCTATGGAATACTTCTCGGCCCTATTCAGTATCTCATAGGAATCTGCCATTGGTTCTAGTGTTGCCGAAACGCTCGGACGCAGAAGTTACGCATCCTCATTCTGACGGTAATCCCTGTAGGTCTTCAGTCTTAAGCAGAGAGCAGGCTGCTAGAGGTAAAATCACCTCTAGTCTTTTTTATGCTTATCAGCTAGCCAAAGCTTCATAGAGCCACCCTGCACACATCCCGAACTTCAGAAACTTGGGACGTTTGTGCCCGGTTTTCTCTACAATGAAAGCGACGGAAAGATTCTGTTCTTCCAGTCAGAGCTCGGTGAGGCAAAGCGTCAGTATACATACGTCTCCCATTTTGCTCTCTGTTCGGGTCCGGCCTCCGAATCTACTTTGATTGTTGCGCGTCGCCGCTGACATGACACTATAAATCGTTTGCGAAATGTACGGACCCTCCCGAATTTTGGCACAGTGACTGTATGTACCACAGTATAGCATGCAGGGCACATACGTGAGTGGTTATTTGTCTTGGTGCCCTAAAGTATCCCACGTTCTGCCCTGCGTCCTGTCACCCAGACTGTCACCCAGACTGTCACCCAGACTGTCACCCACCCTATCAACCAACCTTAGCTAGCCACTCGGAAGCTCTCGTCCACCTGTGACGTATGCTTGATGATATTGAGCCAAAATCCAGGGGGTTCGTACATTTTGCAAGGCACCGTACTGTGTATACAGAAGGACGCTTATCTAGAGAGAATAGCATCAAATGTGGTGACAGCGTTGAGGTGGTAGCCTCCTGCGTGCAAGGGCATACACGAATGTGTGAACGTCTTCATTAAACATTACTATTCGTATTTCCTATAACCTTCCTTCCCTATGCCAGCAGGCTAAACTGAAGCCATAGTAATGTCATCGAGGAGGGTGTAAGATGCAGAGCCCTCGGTGCTCAAACTGCACTTGTACTGAAATCTCAGAGTGACATCGAACGAGGTCGGTGTGAAGCGCGCGGATGTATACGTTTTCCAGTAGGAATCCTGGTTCATATAAGTCGTTATGTCACGGCTGAATATACGGACATCGTTCGCATTAGCCTCTAGTGTGCAGCCGACGTTTTCGAAATTCTGATATGGGTTGAGGTTGAATTTTACAGCGTATGGCCTGGTTGTGTCGAGGATGGCGGTGATCTTCTGGTACAAGTTTGATTTGGGATATGACGCACGTTCCTGATGAAATGTGACCTTAATACTAGAAGGTCTAACAGAATTGAGTACTTACATATAATTGGATCCATAGTGCGCGGCAGGCTGATACTTCACAAGATAGACACTGTCGTTCGAAACTGTCCAAGGAGGAGCAATGCCCAGAGAGCCAGTGTTCACCTCGAAGCTAGGGTTCCACTAAGTTGGTACCGCTGTTGACTGAGTCGCATGTTGCAAGATTAGTCGAAGTAGAGGTTGCGGATGAACTGCTGGTGGTGGTGGTCGAGGAGACGAACGTGCTGCTAGAGACTGTGGTAGAGGAGGCAGAAGCCGTGACCGAGGAGGAAATAGCGACGTTGCTAGACGCCGCAGATGCGGAAGGTGAGCTAGTGGCAGATGAAGATGGGATAATGCTACTAGATTGCACAGAAGCAGTGACGATATAGACCACTATTTCACGTCAGCACAGTAACTTTCTTGTAAGAATTAGCACCCTCAGGCATACCGTTGCCGTTGTCGTTGATGCTGGCAGCATTCTTTGTGCCCTTGAGATAGCAAGGGCCAGCTCCCTTGCCACCAACGAATGAAGCAGCTGCACACTTTGTGTTAGTTGCACAAGCTTGTGTACAGGCCTCGAGACTCTCTGAATATTGGTTGTCAGAGTCGTTTCCGTAGAAGTCCACTCCGCAGGTCAAGGTCAAGGTACGAGAGCTATCCGTGTATGAGCAACCGTCGTTCTCGGGGCAGGTAAAGCTCGCAGGGCAAATCTGCTGGGTGCCGATCATGGTGGATGTCACCGTCTCGCGAGAAGTAACAGCAACACCGATGACATTCGCACCAACGTTGTCAGTATATGGTCTTTGTCTTTGACTCGAGTCCGTACTTTGCCTGGGCAGCGTTGAGGATTCTCTTCATGTAGCAATTCTGACCCACATAACTTGCTACAACGCAGTCAGTGGTAGCAGAGCAGGCATTTATACAGGCCGCCAGGGTAGAGGTCTATAGTCGTCAAACGCTTGTAACAAAACCGATGAGTAGGCATATCTCACCTGTGCCAGCTGCAGATCTCCTCCATAGTAGTCTGTCGCACAGCTGACTTGGAGGGAAACTCCATTCACTGTCAAAGAACACTGATCCTCCTGGGGGCAGGTAGGTAATTCAGGGCAGATGGTTGCTGTAGCTCAAAGCGCGAGCGCTGCAGCTTGGAGAAATGCGGGTACCATCTGTAAGCAGCGACTGGAAACAATGCGAGACCAAGGAAGTGTGGTGACAAGAGTAGAGAGCAGAGACCTCCTGGGCATTTGATGGTTTATATAGAAATTCGAAGAGTCTCTCAATTATACTATGCCGATGCGGCATTCATAGTAAGGCTGATACGAGTGAGGTCGGCAGTGTGCTTGTCTTGCACATGCGTCTGGGCTTGTAGTAGCCAGATTTCTTGTGGGGTTTCAGCTACGTCCTCTCAGCCTCAACGTGTCCCACCGGTTGTGGTTGGACTGCCTCGAAAGGTCGCGTTGACATGAGTAACGCTCGATGGTAGACAAGGTTTTTTGAGTCTTCACTTGCTGAGTTGCTGGGCAGATCGTTTCGAAGGTACGTTATCCTGGGCGACCTTCTGGCTGAAGACAACATTTAGATCTGTACTGGATCGTGAGTCGCAAAGCCGCATCTTGGAGGTACGTAAGTTATCTGCAATGACAATTTCGATCAAGCATATGTTTTATCAGGCTTTTGCAGCCTCGATAGTGCAAGCCATCCTGCCCTTCCTGGAAGTACGCTCTCACGCTTTCAAAAAGTTTAATTGGCCACCCCGCGATTGATCTGGTTAGTCGTTACCCTTGTGTGGAGGTGCGGGTGATTTAGCGTTGACTGATGAGGCTCAGTCCAGAGGAGCAGCCGTGCTGGCTGCATCTAGGCTTGCCATTCAAAAAAAGGCAGAGACGCCATGTTGGGCACGTACATCTCCCTGAAGCCACTTTCATACATGCATGAGTATCCCGATGGCGAGGCGAGTATGTTGCGCTTCTATGGGGAGTGTGGTGTCTGGTATGCTCCTGATGGCGCTCTGGGAAAACAGCGTGTCCGAGTCAGAAACCGGACACCTCGGGAGACCGCGTATCGATAAGAGGGGCTCCTCGGCGATCGAAAACGTCTATAACGCCTCGGTGTGGTAGTGCATTTTGGAGACGACTAGGCGTGGTTATGGTCGGTTTGTGTAGGAGTGTTGTGGGAGCGGAGGAACAGATTCGCAGTGTGTCATGGCGTTACTTTGGTGGAGCACCTTCCTTTTCCAGCAATCCCCCACCAGTTGTTGCGGAGCCGATAGGACAACAGCGCAGCAGCGCAACACGCCCTGCGCCCTGTGAGTACCATCGATATAGGTGAACCAGGTCAAGACAATTGCCACTACGTTTGAATCACAAAATTCTGCAAAAATGACTACCTCGTTCGACATCTCAAAAGCGCGTGAGCGCTTCCCCGCATTGCAGCAGGACCAAGTATTCCTCGACAACGCCGGAGGCAGCCAGGCATTAGGAGATGTGATTGATTCGTGAGTTCATAAGTATTTTGAAAGAAAGCGTTTTGCTAATGCGATGTTAGAATCACCCAGTATCTGTCTAAGACCAACGTTCAGCTCGGGGCATCATACCACACAGGAACGCAGTCGAACACTAAGTATGAAGAGGGATATCAGGCAGCTGCAAAATACATCAACGCAGGTCGTGATGAGATTGGTATGTACAACAGGCTTATCGATGTCGTGAGATGTCGATGTTAACTGCCTGCAGTACTTGGAGCTTCCACGACTCAACTGTTCATGAACCTGTCCAGCGCCATAATACTCAATGAAGGCGATGAGATCATCCTGTCAAAGATGGACCACGAGACCAATGTAAAGCCGTGGCTGTTCATGGCCGAGCGTCTCAAGCTGAAAGTGACATGGTGGCACTCAGATAAGCCTGAGCTGAAGCTCACTGCAGAGAACCTGAAGCCACTCCTCTCACCGAAAGTCAAATTCGTAGCCTGCACGCATGTCTCGAATGTTCTTGGCTCGATACATGATGTCAGGTCAATTGCAGATACTGTGCACGAGGTGGGTGCATTATTCTGCGTGGATGGTGTGAGCTTTGCCCCGCACAGGAGAGTCAATGTTAAGGCGCTTGGTGTTGATTTCTACTCCTTCTCGTGGTACAAGGTACGTGACTTTGCTCTTCAATTCTTCATTCGTGCTCATCAACATAGGTATACGGTCCCCACATTGCCGTACTATACGCCAACAACTCCGCACAACAGTACGTGAAGCCTATGGCGCACTTCTTCAACCCCACAAAGACCCTCGAAGACAAGCTCGGCTTCGCAGCCTCAAACTACGAAGGTGTTCAGGCGATTCCCGAGATTGTCAAGTACCTCGAGGGCTCTGATGAAGCGATCACTGAGCACGAGGGCAAACTTCAGAAGATCCTGCTCGACTTCCTGAACTCCCGAGACGACGTCACTGTCCTTGGATCGACATCTGCCGACTCGAGGGAGCGGGTGCCGACTATCTCGTTTGTTGTAGAGGGGATCAGCCCGAAGACAATCGTGGTGGAAGCTGAGAAGATTTCGAACTACGGCTTCAGGTGGGGTCACTTCTACTCGAAGCGATTGTGCGATGAGATTCTGAAGGTTGGTCCGGAAGGTGTCACTAGAGTCTCAATGGTGCACTACAACACCGAAGAGGAGATTCATGGTCTCGTCGATGTGCTGAAGAAGGTATTGCCGTAGTTTTGAGCTGCACACAGATACTAAGGCTGGTGCTGAGTTACAATAAATCAGGCAACCCTTAAGATGATATAAGCTTACCGTTGCATAGTGAAACTGTCAATTTTGAATATCGGTGGTGTGTGCTGAGCCGCATGGTGCTACACAGCCCCTACGGAACGGAAGAAAGCCTTCGGTCCGTTCCGCTGAGTGAGGAGTACACCTCCACATATAAGGTCAGGTAGTCGCCCGATTGCCAGAAGAGACAACACTGAACCAAACATCAACCCACCCTTGCATTCAGAGCAATAAGATATACCAGTCGAAATGGCTCCCTTCAAAGTCGCCGTGTACCTCTACCCTTCAGCGGATATTCTGGACTTCAGCGGCCCAACCGAAATCTACAGCATGCGGCCTGCATCCGGAGAAGCCATTTTCGAAATCAAGACATTCGGACACCACGAGCGCGTCTCATCAGAGAGCGGCACCATGGTCTACGTTCCCAATGGTACGTTTCAGCAGCTCGAGGCCGACATCGAAGACTACGACATACTCGTCATACCAGGTGCACACTTCGAGGTCATCGACAAACTTCTCCCCTCAAAAGAAGGTAAGGAGCTCGCAGCTCTCCTTCGCAAGTTCACAAGCTTGCCGCCACGCAAAGAAGTTGGGACACGCATCTTGCAGTCTGTCTGCACGGGCTCAATCATCCTTGCGGCATCGGGCGTGTTGGCTGATCGAACAATAACCACGCATCATATGGGTTTCGAGATGTTGAAGAAGACGGCCGATGAGGCGGCAGGTGGAGATTCGAAGGTGAACGTGGTGAGGAAGAGATGGGTCGATGCCGGTACGACTGAAGCTGGTGTGCGAATCATCAATGCGGCAGGCGTCAGCTCTGGCATTGATACGAGTCTTTGGATCTACGAGCAGCTTGCAGGAAAGGAGCAGGCAGACTTCGTAGCTGAGCTTGCGGAGTTCGAGCGTAGAGGTGAGGCTTGGGGTGTATGATGTCAGCGCTAGATGTTCAGGAAGTCATCAGCCGGCGACTGAGCAATGTCTGTACCAGCGGCGATGGTTCCCAGCTTGTATCTGAAACACACGACAATAGACAATACAACGCTTCAGATATGACCTCAAGATGTAGAGACAGAAGTTGTTGCCTGAGCCGAAGAGTAAGGCAGGGACGAACGGGGCACTAACCACAAGTTCGTCTAGCGGTATGGGTCGATTGGCAAATCAGGACGCCACGTCGCGCTCTCGCTCTCGCACTCGAACCGCATCTCACTCCACAGCAAAATCCATCGACATTTGCAGGGGCGTTCGCGTATCTCGATATGCCGAGGCTGGGTTCCAAGAAGAGTCGTCATGGGTGTGTGCAATGCAAGGCGAGACGTGTAAAGGTACGGACAGCTCGCCTATTTCTCAGACATCCTATTCACTCCCTTTAGTGCGATGAGAATCGGCCATGCGGTGCATGTGTGAGATATCGTGTCGAGTGCAGTCTGCTGAGTACCTCGGTAGCAAATCGCGCGCATACAGTGTCACAGACGCCATCGGCAGGCTCACCACATGCAAGCACGCCAGGCACACCCAATGGGCCCTTTGTGTCACCCGGACGTTCAGCAGCTGAATTTGTCAAACATCATCAAGCGGCTGTCCATTACTATGATTCAATTCTTACACCTCCGGAAGTTACATCTGGAGAATGGATGCAAGACCTGGAGCTGATGCACCACTACACGGCACATGCTCACATGACTATGCCTGGTCTTGAGATCGCGAAACAAATCTGGGGTTTCGCTGTACCGCAAGAAGGCTTCAAGCACCCACACCTCATGCATAGTATCCTGTCTTTCTCGGCCAACCATCTTGCTTACATCAACATGTCGAGAGCTTCATACTACCACGTGCTCGCTTCGACTCATCAGTCAGCAGCCCTGACAGGTCTGAATAGGGCTCTTGCAGACCTCGGACCCGCAAACTGCCATGCTCTTTTTGCCTCAGCATCTTTGACCATCATGAATGCATTCGCGGACGCTCGAACGTACAGCACGGAAGTTTTGATCGAGATCTTCCAGCTTCTTCGCGGAATGTCCTTCGTCCTCAACACCGCTGTGCCATGGATCGAGAACGGACCCTTCGCCGCCATCATTCGACCGAGCAATGGTGACCAGCTGAACAAGCCGTCCGCATTGCTGTCATCGTTCCTAGTCGAGGTCCAGGCGGCGAGCTATCCTTCACCGACCGAGTCGGCAGAAAGTCAAGCCAGCCGTATAAAAGCAGCAGAACAACTGCGGCAGGCATTGCAGTATAGCATAGATACGTCAGGCCATCCAACTCTGCGAGCGGCAATGACTTGGCCTACAACTCTCGAGACGGACTTCCTGGAATTGCTGAAGGAAGGGTCAGATCCTAAAGTCCGAGAATTGATGAAACTGTACTGCCGGCTTCTTGAGTTCGCCAGCTCGGAATGGTGGTTTATCTCGGGATGGAGAGGTATATCATCGCGTGTTTGACAGGGCTGTAAAGGTTCAGGCCTACTACATCGGAGCAGCTGGCTGCCCTTGATCGATGATTTGTTCCTGGGCACAGCGCTACGGTGCTGATCTCAGCTGCGAGTCTCAGGTCTCAGTTCTCGGCTGTCTGCCATCCGGACAAGCGGGCGGATTGGACCGCAAGGAAGCCATCGATCTCTCTCACCAAGCAAATGCAAGCACGCTCTGGAAGTGAGAGGCACTTGATGACACGGCCACAGCGCTTCTGTGGTTGCAAGCGACGCTCTTTGATAGCATCAAGGCATGTCCTTATTGACGCTCAGGACTGCTCATGAGAAGCCGGTCTCGAGAAGGTGGATCGTTGGGAAGAGGCTATCATCTACAACTGCAAGTCTGGTCCTCAGCCTTTACGTATCGAGGACACTGACTGTTGTTAGTCACGGGGAGGACTGAGTCAACAAACCAGGAAAGATGCGGCCAATAGGAGCAGCTTCGGTGTCCGGTGATGAAAGTATGGAGCCTGTTGGGTGAGCGCGGGTCACAGAGAGTGCAGTCACCTTTCCACCTATGCCGCCTTGCCCGGATCGACTATCTACGTTCTCCAGAATCCATTGGAGAGACTTCCGACGAAGTCCAGTATCTCACAATATTCACTACTCGGTGTACACGCCGACGAATACCTCCAGGCTCAGGTATTTGGAAGACAAATGTCGTGTTCAAGGGTCGAACCAACGATGTAAACGAAAGCTGAAAGAGAGGTCGGGCCGGAAGGAGCGGGGAAGCCGATAAGCAAAAGCCGTGGCCCTGGTCGGCAAACCTCAAAGACCGGGTTCTCGCAACTTGTCAACGATGTGGGATGGATCATGGAACTGCCCACGCTCGCGCAATCCCCACAGCAATCTGTGCCTGACGCGCAGAAAACGAGCACGCACGAAGATGACTCGTCCAAGGCCAAGCGGGCCCACCAGGCCTGTCTGAACTGTCGCAAGCGGAAAAGCCGGTGCTTGCTGTGAGTTCCCGCGACCGTGGGATTGCGCAACATCAATGTACTGACTGCCTCCAGAGATGAGCAGGGCACCATCCCATGCCTGCGATGCAGGCGCGACGGCCTTGAATGCGTCCTGGGCGGCAGCAACCGCGGTGGACGACGCGTGCGCAAGAAGCGCATCGACGAGACGAACCCAGGACTGCCCTCGCTGACGGCCACCAGGCCTGAAGACGGCAGCTTCCACACGCTCGGGAACTTGGGGACATGGTCGCACGATGCGGGTGCGCAGCAGCAACAACAGTACGGCGACAACCCCCACGCCACGGGCTCCGACTCTTCGAACACCGACGAGCTGCCATTCAACAACCTCCAGAACCCCTCAGATGCGTTAGGTATTCTGGCGAGAGTCGCAGGTGAGACGAGCTCGAACGAGGAGAACAACAATGGCAACAATGGCAACAATGGCAACAATGCTGGAGCTGGGGCAGGATTGGGAGCGGCAGGCGGGAGTTTAGCCATGCATGCGCCGCCGCTGTCCTTCTCGTACCCCCTGCTAGACCGCGGCATACTCACGGTGCACTCGCTATGCCAGCTGCTGGTGCGCTACCAGCAGAACTACCACCCTTACTACCCATTGGCGCCTGCACATGCCTTCGACACAACGCGTCTGTCTGATATGGTCAGGCAAGAACCGCACCTCCTGACTGCTCTTCTTCTGATCGCCTCGAAAGACCTCATCAACGAACCGCACATATATGAAGCATGCACCGAACACATGAAGTCCCTCGTAGCCAACCTCGCTGCAGGAGGAGACGCAGGTATCGAAGCTGTAGAAGCATTGCTTTTGCTAGCCGAATGGGCACCTTATACACAAAGAGGGTCAGGCAAAGTAGGCAAAGGTGAAGAAGACAAGGAGTCCTGGATGCATGTCGGGATTGCGCTTCGAATTGCCTACTTCCTCGCACTTGACAAGTACTCCTTCCGCTTCGTCGATCAAGGAAAAGATCCCAACCACAACCGTAAACGCTTGATATGGACTGCCGCATACGTGTCTGATCGACACATCAGCATAAGAATAGGCAAGGCATTCTGGAGTCGCGGACCAGGCCCGCTTACCACATTACGACGAGAAGACTACCCCAGCTTGATCCCCAAATCGCCCAACGAGGAAGACTATGCTTCGATATTTCAAGCCAATCTCGAACTAACTCAGCTCTTCTCCAACGTCCACGACACTTTGTACAGCAACCCGGGCGCCTCATTCCGCAGCAACATGAGTGGAAGCTACATCAAATTTATCGACGATTTCCGCTCCGCAATCTACGGCTGGAAGAGCGTCTGGGGCACATTGACCTGCTCTCCACCGCTGAAGGCATGTTTGCTAATGTCGTACGATTATCTTCGCCTATACACAAATGCATTCGCTTTCCAAGCCACCGTCCTCCGCGCGCTTCCCTCCGCAAATTCCTCGGCCGATGCCCACCACGCCACATCGACCCTCGGAGGCCCTCAGGCTCCTCAGAGAGTCTTCGTAAACAACGTCGGCGCAGTCGGCGACGCGCGCTTCATCTACGAAGGCCTCGACGCCGCAAAAGCCATCCTGACAACCGTGAACAACTTCGTTTCCCCCGAAACCAGCCTGCGCTTCATGCCGCTGCGGTACTACCTTTACCTCGTGCACGCGGGTGTGTTCCTATACCGCGCGCGCTGCACGGGCGTCATCTCGGGGGACGAGGATAGAGCGATCCGCGCCATGATCAATGAGACGGTGAGTAGATTGCAGCGCAGCGCCGTGGGCGTGGAGACTGGGATACAACACCCGGGTAGTCGGTATAGTCAGCTGCTGAAACTGCTCTGGGCGAAGGTGCCGCGCAAAGACAAGAGCTCGAGATCTGCGTTCAGACATCCAGGGACCAGCGTTGCGAGTAACCCTGTGGATCAGAATGGATTCCCCGTTCCTCCCAGCACGAGCACGACTGCGCAGAGTCCGCGGACGAGTTCGGTGGGGACGGGAGAGAGTCCGGCGCTGACGGAGCAGATGGGCGATTTTGGCTGGACGGATTTAGGCGCGGTTAGTGACTTCGCGATGCATGGGAACAATGGAATACCGGCGGATGAGAGTGCGCTGTGGAATGGGTTTTTGCCGCTGGATATGGGGTGGAGTGCTAATGGGTTTAGTCTTGATGGGGTCGGGTGGGATGGAAATGCTAATGACTTGGGTATGCTGTTTTGATCTTGTATATAGGCTTGGCAAGGATGGTGAAAAGGTGTCATTTTGTGCTTCGGCAATTGGTTGGGCGCATGGAATTGTAGCCTTCTGATGACTTGTAATCTGACAAAAAGTGGGCAGGCATGTATTGTTTGGCACTTGTATCAATGTCATCAATGTCACCACTGGAGATCTCGTGTTCGAAAGTGAGTCTTTCAATATTGAATGTGCTTGATATGCGCCTACCAGTTGCTGCTCGAGTCTAGTACTGTACAGCATTTACACCTTCCCCTCACCATGAGTCTCGCGCAGCGTGTTCGAATCCACGTTAGCACCATGAGCCGCATCCGCGTGCGCATCCTGAAGATTGTCCTCCAGGTCATCGACAATACCCGTGACTTTTGTCACGATGATGGCGGCGAAAGTGTCGCAACTGACGTTGACCATGGTGCGGAAACGGTCCAAGAACCAGTCGATGGCTACAACAACGGCGTACATGCCGGTGACGGGGACGTTGATTGAGCCTAAGCACGTCAGTATTTAATTGATTAAGGCTTGTTATTGGGGGGGGGGGACTTACCGCAGATCATGACTACAAGCACCAAACTCGAGCTGGGGATGGGTGTTGTGCCGATCGAGGCGAGTGTCGAAAGGAGGACAACGACGATGTAATCGGCCGCGTTGAGAGTGATGCCTTGCGTCGCAGCTAGGAACACAACCACAATGGGAAAGTAGATAGCTGTGCCATCCATGTTGATCAAACAACCCAACGGCACCGCGAATTTGGTAACAGTGACAGGCACACCCTGCGCCAACACACAGCGAATAGTTACCGGCAGCGTCGCCGCACTCGATGCAGTACCCCACGCTGTGATCCAGGCCGGGCTGCAGCGCATCCACATCGTGTAAGGGTTTTTCCTCGTGAAAGCGAAGAAGATAATCGGGACGATGATGAAGAGATGCAGAACCATGCCGCACAGGGTACCGCCGATAAGGATACCGAGGTTGACCCCGATTTCCGCGATGTCCAGACGGAAAAGGTTGGGCATGATGAGGAAGAAGACACCGACCGGTGCAAGGTAGATCAGCACTGTGATGATCTTCATGATGATCTGCTCGATTTCTTCAATTGCGCGGATCAGTGCACTGCCGGGCTTGATGCAGTATCCCAGCACCACGGCGGTGACGAGTACAGCTAGAAGAGAGTCTGTGGCCATGGCGTTGATGACGTTGTTGGGGACCAAGGAGTAGAACATGTCACCGACGACTTCGTAGATTTCGAAGGCTTCACGCTCGTTGAGGGTTTCTTGGTCTGCTTCGTCGACTTGCAGTTGCTCGCCGCTGACGACAGTCATGAGTTTCGACCAAACCAGACCGACGAGCAGACAGGAATGCGCAACAGCAATCACAGTGGTGATCACGTAGTAGCCGATAGTCCAACGGGCGAGTTTACCGGCCTTGCCGCCACCTTGGGTCATGGTGCGGAGGCGCTGAATGGCCATGATCATTGCTGTTACAATCATGGGGAGGACTGTAGGAGTTAGGCGACATCCTGACGTAGAGGGTATCAGGATCACTGACCAACAGCTCTCAGGGCGCGCAACCAGAGCTGACCGGGAATGGCGAGAAGTGCAACAGCTGCATCTGGGATATCTGAGACTTGGGTAGTCACAATCAGGCCGATGGCGATGGCGAGTAACGCAGCAGCGATGATTTGCAGCACCGATCCTGGTGTGATGAACTTCTGCCACAGCGTCTTCTTCTTCTCGGGCATTTCCTCTGCGTAGGTTGGCTGAGGTGAGAGGTTGGAGGGGGAGCTCGTGGAAGAGGTCTCTTGGACGACCCTGCCGTCCTTAATTCCGTCAATTTCACCCATGGTTGGCGGTCTTGTCGAATGTTGAGGGGTACAGATTCGATGATGCTTGCACACAGAGCAGGACCGTCAGGGTTCGACCGATCCCTTCATGTGCTCGCGTGCCAGGAGCATCTTATACACCAGGTCACGGTCCACAACATCACCGCACGGCTGCGCCGTGGCAAGCCAGAGATAACAGAAGCTCTGCTGTACCATGCTTCTAGCGGCAGACCTGTCGATAGCGTCGAAATCAGCCTTCCGTTCTCTCATGCACCACAAGTTCTCTTGGGAGGCATTGGCGTCTTTGGCATCTACATCGCTAGAGGAAGGTTGAGAGGTTTTGACATTCCGACTTCCGCCTTGTCGTCTTCATGCCTCTTGACTCAGCACTCGATTAGGTGAAAATCGGCAACTCGGAACGGTATGCCAAGTGAACAAAGTCTTCTGCACAGTCGACAACGTCCTCTCCGCTGACAGGACAGATCTTCATTGGCGCGTACATGACGAGAGGGTGCGCACGGAGCTGTTGGATGACCTTGAGGCGGAGAGGGACAAACCTCTGCTCATTCTTCGCGTGTCCGATAGGCTCAGCTAGTGGCTCAGGTGGCTTGGCTGGGTGCGTCTGTGGCTGCGGCGCCTCTCACGTTTGCCGAAAGGGCTTGCATGGCTTGTACCGGTGAAGGCTGGTGGTACAAGACGTTGAGCCGAAGCGTGCAGTTGTGGCTCGGTGTGGTATTGAGGGGGGGTCGATCGAGCGGCAACCTGTTGCCGACGGAGAAGGGACTAGGGAATCACGTGCACATTGCAACATTGGCAGTAACAACTTCCGAAAATCAATATCTCGCTCGCGCGAGTCTTTGTATGTTTTCAAGCCACTTTTAGCATAAGCATCCAATGTTTCACGTCTTCAAAAGAACATGATGAGGGCGTCATAAGTACTTTTCGAAGCTAGAGATGTGGTTCGGTTTCACCCTGATCTATCCCAAGCTTTCCCATCTCCACGCCTATGTGCAGTCGCTTCCACCGTAGACGAAGGTACCGTCCGAGTCCTCGCAACCGCATGTGCCATCATCAGGGCTCTTGATGCAGCCAGCGCCCTCACCAGACTCCTCACCATCATCGCTCCAGAAGAAGGTCCACTTGTCGCTGTCGCTCTTCATCGTTGTGCCGGGTTCGCATGTGTATGCCTCGCATGTGCCGTATGGGTAGCCGTAGTTGCCATCGTACTGGTGGTCCTGGGTGAAGACAGCGAAGGTCTGGGTGCCGGAGACACGGGTGTTGTGGCTGCACTCGGCGGCCTGGATGGCCTTTGAGGTCTTGGTCACTGCGTGGATGTTAGTTGTGAAGTTCTCAGAGGCAAAGAGATAAGCAAGACGCACCCGAGCAGCTAGGGCTGGAAGGGTATTTGCCCTTTGTGTTGGAGGTGGCAGGGTCAAGAGTGGCGGTCACGGCGACGGCGAGGGTGAGGGCGGTGATGATGGACTTGGCGAACATTTTGAGGTTTGGTAACGACTGTTATGCTAACGAGTGAATTGAGAAGATGTTGAGGAGTGCTTCTGGTGCTATCTAATACGGTTTCCAGAGCGCCATCCTCCCTCTTATACGTTATGTCCCAAGGGTCTCGACTTCCGTCTCTTTATCCGCATCTCCCGAAATATGGGGTCAGGACGACTTGATCCACAAGCATGTCCAGAAGTACGCGTTGCTTGTCATGCTTGTTTGGTGTTCGGAAATTATCCGTTTCAATTATCGACGTTTCAAAACATGGATAACACGGAGCACAGCTGTCACAAGTGGAGCTGAGATGCAACCGTGCATTAGCAACAACGCACCACCTCACCAATCTTATAGTGGCGGTGACGAGGGCGTGTTTCGTAAGGTGATGCGTGGCGTGCATGTTCGCCATTCTTGAGAATGACTCGTAGCTTGGATTCGGTCCGGCCCGTGTTCTAACAGCTACGTCAACATCCTGCTCTTACATGTTGGAAAGATATTGAAGAGAAATAGAATCTCCAGTCCCGGATCATTTGATACGACAACAGCACAGCAACAAGGTCATACAGGTCAAGCTTCTCTTTCGACTAAGCAGCTCTTTAATATCGACAATGGCCTCAATTCTTAACAAAAGTACCATTCGGCTTAACAAAGATCCAATCAAATAAACCCATATGCAACTCACTCATGTCGTCTAGGCTCTGCCTCTTCGGCTCGCCGGTCTGATTACCCTGTCGACAGTTCTGCAACACGAAAAGAGCCCATTCAATGACACGTCGAAACTCAACCGTAGCTGTACCCGTCCCGACCATACCTTAATCCCTCCAGAAGGCGGCCTCATGACGCAAGTACTCGAGAATCTCGATTGTGATCTCAAACCCGAATGCATCGTTTTGCGCGTTGTTAATCCAGTGGTTTCCACTAACTCGGCGATCTCGGCGTGTGTCAGGATGTAGCACCTAGGCTTTCCAATTGCTGGCGATAAAGGGTGGTCAGGCCAACTACCCGGGCACACACCTGGGTGACAACTCTGCCAAAGGACTTTGAGGTGGAGACGGAGGTTGTTGATTTGCGCCAGGTAAGACCATAGATGCGGTGGGTGCAACTGCGGTTGGAGCTGGAGCTGGAGCTGGATTTGGAGGCGGAGCCGGCGCATCTGCAAGAATTGCAGCTATATGCTTAGGTCTTCTCTTTGTCCAAATCATGAATAGCTTCACTCGCTTCCTATTCTATCGCGTCTGAATCTCACCACCGTTCGCAGGCGGTGTAATGCCTTTTACAGATTAGCGAACTCTCGCATTGTGTGCACATCATACCTACATAACTCAAGGATCTCGGTCTTCCAGTCTCTGATCATCTGCAGGAAGACGTTTCTGTCAGCCGGTCTAGTAAGCGTATTGTAAATTGCTTCATCTGTTGCATCTAGGCTGTGGTAAGTGAGACGGCCAGGGTCACCGACTAGATCTTTAAACGGGCGTACTTGGGCTGCCATTCTGTGAATGGCCAGGAGATGAACCTTGTACTCGTGATACCTGCAGATATCCAGAATATATGTCCACGAGAAGCAGTGAATATGGGCTCCTTCTTAACAAAGGTATGAGAAACGTATTATCCGTTGATACATACTTGTCAGCCTGGACCTTCACCACGTCCTTCTCACAGTGTAGAAAACACCACGCAGGTAGTACTAATACATAACGATTCTGCTCACTTCTCCCCATTGACAATACTTTTGTTTGATCACACAGCTCAATGAGCTAAACAGAACTCGACAAAGGTCCCTTGTTCTGTACTTCATTGTCTGTTATACTCGAACTGCTCCTATACCATTGAGCGTTACACCAGGCGCTGCAATTATTGCAAGACACTAGTTAATCGCGATCAGAAAAAGACCAAATATCGATGGACGGTGGATAGGGGAAGAGACGTGTAGGGATTGATATGTTGGTATTGGAGAGAAAACATACGCATAGATGTAAAGAAATTACACGTGCTTACCACGTATTTACTGTATTCATGCAGCGAGAGCAGACTCAACCTTTTTGAAACGCACCAGTGGGCTTGACAAATATCCAGTCGTACATACCTTGATGCAGGGTCGACTTATTTGCGAGTGCCGGACTTCTTGGCTCTGCAGGCTTACCGTTCAGTGAACAATTTCCAAGCAGCCATCGACCCCAGTCAACCGCATGCTGGAAGGTATCTCTCGCTCGCTGCGAAATGTTTGGTCCGGCCCACTCCCAAAAATCGGCATTGATGTTATCCAGAATCCGTAGTTTGGCAGCAGCTGACATGGCTTCATCTATTGGTCCCTCTTCAATGTCGTCCCCCTTTAAAACGTAGCATTTACCAGCGTCTTGGTCAAGACGCTTGCGTAGGCAGCTGACGAGGTGTTTTGCAGCACAGTCTTCGGCATTCTCGAGGTCTTCTGGTTGAACAAGGTACTCGTCGATGGCGTCTACGATCTCATCCTGGGCAGCAGGGTCCGGGTTCAGATTGGAGCTATTCCACGTATTGACAAGCTGATCGTACTGAGCTCGTGCAGTGCCGGTAAGATCAATCTTGGAGCGCTTTCGAGTTGGGGAATACACTTGCCCTAAATCGAACTTAGCTGCCACATCAGGAATAGCGGAAGGGTAAACTTGGAGATGCTCGACGATATCCCTCTTCCGCTTGTTCCTCACTTCCGTCCCATTGACCAGGTCGTGTCGTCTGAGCTCAACATAGATAGTGTTCCTCAGCTCAGACAGATTGGGACGGAGTGCGGGATTATGCTTAAGCATTTGTTCTACGATCCTGTACAGCTCTGGACTGCAGTAGTCAGTGGTTCTCTCAATCTTGGCCTGGAAGTGACTTTCCTGCGTATCAGCCTGCAGGTCGGGCCACTTAGACTCCATACCTAAAGTGCTGACTTGGAGGTCTGGTTTGTGTGCGAATATCATCTGGTGGGCTATTAGACCAAGACCCCATATGTCCGTCTTCTCAGTAACCGGCCACTGATGAGGCGCGTAAGCAGGATTGATCTGAGTGTTGTCGCCATCACCCATCAAAGCTTCACTGGAGCGTTCCTAATTCCTGATCAGTCATGGAACAGCAAGCTGCGCAGGGTGGCCCGAACTTACCGGAGGATGCCAACCAGGTGTACCAACAAACCTCGGACCTTTTACATCGGTCAGTTGATTCTTCAACTGGTCATTATTGACGCAAGAAAGATCAAAATCTCCAAGTACCGGTTTAGGATACGATGGGTAATCCTGGTTTGACTTCAAGAGCATGACGTTCTCGCTCTTGATATCGAGGTGAAGGATAGGCATCCATGGATCAGATGGCAGTTTTTCGTCGTCACCAGAACTGGGCATCGCATCTTGCTGCTCGCATGGTATCGGGCACCTCCCATCGTGAAGTGCACTCAACGCCTCTGTTAGTTCACGCAGTGTATACCAAATAAAATGCTCGTTGATTTGCCTACAGTTTTGTTAGTCATGTGACCTACCAACAACTATGACACTCACCTGTTTTTTTCCTTGTGATCCTCAATCAGTTTCGCAAGATCACCATAATCAGCAAATTCTTGGTAGAGGAAAACAGTGTGTTGCATACCCGCTCTGCGGCTCAAATATCTTGAGCCATGTCCTTTGCATTGCAGCATGTGACTGCATCGCGTCGTCGCTATGAGATCGTTGATTTGGATTTCGCGCTTTACCTGGTCTTCTTCCAAGTGCGACACCTCTAGACACTTGACTGCAAGTTGCTGGAAATGCCGTTAGCGGCTTAGCATTGCTGTCTTGTTTCGATCTTACCTCTTCGATGACTCTGTCTGCATTAAGGCGCACGAACCTGTAGACGGATTTGTATGCGGGCTCATCCTGGAAAGGTACACTAGCGAACCTCCATGGCGCGTTGAACTGATCCTCGATAAAACGCAACTGACCGTGGGTTGGAGACAAAGGCGTACCGGTTTGTGGGTCATTGTTGTTAGCAAACCTAGGAGACAATTCGGCCAGTGGACTTTGGAGTGGTGAGACTGCAGGCCCGACCGTTGAAGTAACAGCTCCTGCTGGAGCTTGGGGCGGAGCCGGGATTGGGGTAAGCCCTGCGTACACGCCGACAGGCGCTGCTGATGGGATGATGACAACAGCTCGCGGCGCTCCCGATGACACTGCCCGTAGAGCTGCATTGAGCCTTGAGGGCTTTTTTATACGATAACCGCGCGTGTTCCATCTCTTTGCGATAGCTCGACCATTCCCTGGAGGTGCTTCCGCTAAGAACTGGTCAGTGTATGACTAAACAGCCAACTACTTCTGCATACCTTGTCTCACAGCTGCATTCAGCCAATGTGTGATCATTTCTAGAAATCTGTTCCTATCAGTCTTGGTAGTCAGTGTATCAAAGACGCCTTGGTCAACTGCATCTAGACTGTGGTAGACCGCCTGGCCATTGACATCGAAAATGCGAGGGAGAACTGGGTATGCCATTCCGATAGCTTGTAGTAAGAAAACATGGGTATGTTACCTTCTCAGGAAGTATCGAGAAACTACAACGTGAACAAATAACACTTGGAGTGTAGCGAACAAAGACAGAACATCCCATTGTCGCTGGTACATGAGCTTTGTCGGCTTGAGAAAGTCATTACGAATAACAAACCTTTGCGTGGCTTGGAGCTTCGTTATTCGCTTTGTTCGAGGTAGGACGGAAGGCCAATATTAATAGATCGCATCACGTGTTGAACGACGTTTTTTCGGCGCATCTCCCAAGATAGCCAAGCACCTGAGTCATCCAAAGCAGCTATACTTGAGCGAAAGCATCGTTGGCGACGCCGCTGCTCTTACGGCGTGGTGGGTTCTAGTCTCATTTGCGTAAGGTCTCAAATACTGCCAATTGGTGAAATCTGTCAATTATGAGGCATCATAGAATGTAGTATGAAGGCACTGTCCCCAAGGACTCGGCCACGTGTGGAGCTGTGATGCAAAATTCGGCTTGATGACTAAAGTCTGATATGATGGTGTACGGCGCTCTGGGCAAGAAAGGGTGCGATCATGACTTGGGTTTACGCGGATGTAGAAGTAATATAATTGCATGCATCGTCGGAAATCAGGTTTGCCTGATATTGATAGTGACGATACGAAGAACGGTTGTAGATAGAAGTGTGAGCTACGTGTTCGCCAGCGGTCCGTTGCGGTGTTTGCCAGCGGGTCATTTGTTGCAGTAAATGCAATAAGTGAAGGTGTAACCGCGCAGGGCAGTAAGTCAGGGGTAACCGCGCGAAGCAGTAAAATCAGTATATTCTGTTGTGTTGTTGTTCAGTGTTCTGTCTCTCACTCGACCCCCAGCGGGGTCTGTTTACATGACGTATCTGTCGTTCAGACAGAAAGTGCTATTGGAACAGGCAAGAGCACTGCACCAGCACACGTGGCAGACATGACCGCTTCACTCCATAAACCGTCACATCATTGCAGTGTTTGCCAGCGGGTCATTGCAGTGTTTGCCAGCGGTCCGCTGCACTGATTGTCCAGCTCATTCGGTTAGTTTAGTTTGCTTCCCCATCTTTTCACTGCTATTCCCTTCTACTATATAGTCCCGATCGATCCTCGCCATAGCTCACAAGACAACCATCTCAACTCAACCATCTCAACTTAACCATCTCAACTCAACCATCTCAACTCAACCATCTCAACCCTTCCACGGGTTATGAGCTGTCTCTCTTCAACGAGCTAGCGACCCAGTGCACTCAGCAGTTACCGGGTGTCATTTTGGGAGCTTGCGACGTTGTCGGAGTAGCCTTTCCGCAGCCACCATTGTAGCTACCGGTATCCGTCCGATCTCGCAGAGCTACCTCACATTGAGCCAGAATCCTCCTACAACAACATCACGTCGCAGCAAGCATGGCTCCATTTGACGCCTCTGCCATGCCGGCGCTCGACAAGCGTGGTACTAACTTGTGGCGATGGGAAGCAGCGTTCAAGCGATTTGCCCAAGCCAATGCCTGCGACGATCTACTCAGCGGAGTATTGACTGAACCTATTGTTGTACCTCTCGTCTATGATGATGAACCTACCACAACGGGAACCTCAGCTATCCCAGATCAAGCTACGCTGAGGGCAGTCGTGGCGCAAGTTCGCGCCGACAACAGCTACAGGCAGGGGACTTACCGACGAGAACTGGCAGCACTGAACAGTTGGAAGCAATCTAACGTGGCGCTCCAACTTGCTATCCTCAACACCGTCCCCCGAGACATATATGAAGGCGTACGGCACTTACCCATCGACCAGCAGTACAAGGCTATCGTTGCCCGCTTTCGCAAGAGCGGCGTTGCCGAGGAGTGTACTATCTGGGGCAACTTCTTTAGTCTCCGAGCACACCACTGCCCTACGACAGCGGTGTTTACCGACCAATTCAAGGCAGGACTTGCAAAAATTGATAACATGAACTTCACTATCTCTGAAAAGTGTAAGGCATACCAGTTTATCCTTGCCGTACAGGATGCGTACCCAGAGTATGCCCGCAATCGACGCGCAGACCTCCGCCGCAACGTTATCCCCAAGGTTGATCAAATGTGCAACGAGATCAACTATAAGGCTCGTTGCGATGACCCAGTCAAGGCTGCCTATGCCACAATGAAGCAGAAGACAGATAACAACAAACCTGGGGGTGGAGGTTACAACCACGACAACCCTTAAAGTCGCAGCCACCACAACAACAATAACGGTTATCGCAAAGGCAGCGGCGACAACCAGAAGCCATTTCATTCTACTGACCATTCCCGGAGACCCAAGTGTGAGCGCTGCGGTCACCCACATGCTGGTGCTGGCGACAACTGCTGGTACACCTTCCCAGAGAAGGCACCACCGGAATGGCGTGAGCGTAATGCTGACAGGATTAAGAGCAAATCGCAGAGGACTGGCGCAAACGCAGCTGTTTTCAGCCTCAATACTGCCATGAACACCTTTAGTTTTGCCACAGTACGACTCTCCAACAACGTCCTACACAAGGCCAATGACGGCGCGTACCACGATCGTCTCACCCTTGACACTGGCAGCACTGATCACGTCTGTAATGACTACAGTAAGTTCGTTAAGTTGGAAAATAATCCCAGCTACCACGCGGTTATCAACACTGGGGCTGGTCCGATTCTGTCACGGTTTGGGGTGCTCCTGTCTGTTGTACCTCACCTCCATGAGAGTGACTGCCACGCCACACTAGCGTTGTTTACAGCTACTCACCTATATATAATGTTCGTAACTTCACCTAACACAACCCCAGTACAATCTTCAAATTCTTCCCTTTGCGTACAGTTCTTCACTGAACTCTGACAGATTCACATCACCCGTAAAGGTACGATTGCAGTCATGATTGCCACCTCCAGTGGCACTCTCCACAAGGTAACCTTCAACGACGCTCTCTACGCGCCGGACATGTCTCAGTCCTGTCGCGCTCCAAACTCAAGTCCAAGAACCTCTACTATCACGGCTGGCATGACGCCCTCTTTCTGATGCCTGATGACGTGGAGATCGCTTTTACGCCGGAGATTGATAAGATACCTACGAGACTGAAGCAGCTCAGGCGTTTGCTTTCGCAGCAGTCCACTCTACAAAACGCAGCTCTATCTTAACGCCTACGCGCAATGTCACTCTCTGTGAGCTCCATGAGCTGTTTGGCCGTGCCAACGTCTCTAAGTTGCGAGAGTTAGTCAATAGTACCACTGGTTTACGTCTCACTAACACTGACTCCTTCTCATATGAGGTGTGTTTGCTGAACAGGCCCCAGAAGCAGGTCTCGCGACACTCTCCGCTCAACGAGCTTACTCCATCGCGTACACGTTGACATCGTTGATCTCGTGACGCCCTTCGGCATCAACGGTGAGCAATACTGGATAATCTACACCGACGACTTCTCTCTCTATCGATGGATGGACGTTGTGGACTCTAAGGCAACCATCAAAGGTGCGTTTTTGCGGTACCTTGACCGCATGGAGACGCAGCACGGTGTATGTGTCGCCATTATCCACACAGACAACGACACTACGCTTATCAACAAGACCACGCGGCGCTCTGTTGAGTCCAAAGGTACAGTCTTTGAGCCGTCAACCCCATACACAGCGCATCAGAATGGTGTAGCAGAGTCCAGCAATCGACTAGCCGGGTCACGCTCCCGTTGCATGGTCAACGTGGCACCACACATCCCGAAGACTATGTGGCCGTACGCATCACGTTACGCTATCGACCTTCTCAACCATACTCTCTCCTCGGCGCCCCCAGACGGTAGGACCCCACGGCAGTTGTTACTTGAACACATGCAGGTTCTTAACCCAGTGTCTAATTTGAGCACTCTCCGCACCTATGGGGAGGCTGGCTACGTCTATACGCCCGCTTAACGCCGTCCAACTGGCGCCAAGTTTGACCAACGCGCCATAAAAATGTACTTTGTCGGTCGTAAGGGCTCCCGGATCTACTTCATGTGGGACCCTGTCAACGACAAGGTAATCTGTACCAGCTCAGTCACTTGGTCCAGCGACAACCTCGGGACAGTCAAGGCTGACACACAGCTCCCGCCTGTCAACAGTGATGCCGAGAAGCCTGTCTTGATAACGTTCAGACCGCTAAGTCTACCTATCATTCCTCCACCACACAACCTACCTCCAGACGATCTGCACGAGCCCGGTCAAGAACCTGGGGGTGGGGAAATTGAACAACCTGGGGGTTGAAGATGACAGTCATGACGACGACGCGCCCGAGATAGGCGGCGCGGACTTCGCTGCTGACAAGGTTGCTGACAATGACAATCTCCCAATCGACCCGGCAGTTCCAACAACACAACAACCGCCTACTCTGTGAGCCTGTCGTCCCCAGGCAGCGCGACACCTGAACATCTCAGCCAACGTTGAGGGCCGCAACATCATCGACGGTCCCCGGAAGCGACGTCCTACAGAGGAAATGGTTGCCGCAATCGCTCTTTACAACCCATATATCCCAGTTGCTCTCGCACGATGTTTTGCAACAGCAATCGCGCAAGCTCCATCGGCTACGCCGCTCCAGTTTCCGCCCGAGCTGGTCAACGGCAAGCAAACCCGCCAACACGTCTACTCCAAGGACTGGCTCCTCGCTGAGGCGGAGGAGTACAAATCTCACAATGATAACGGGACGTGGGGCATCGTTATCATCCTCCCACCAGGTATGTGAGCACTGCCAACGAAGTGGGTGTACAAGTACAAGCTCAAGGACAATGGTGCTCTTGAGCGGTTTAAGGCACGCCTCGTCGTCTGCAGCAATCGCGAGGACGTTGACCTGTGACGTGAAACCTATGCAGCAGTCGCCCACGCTACAACACTCAAAGTTCTACTCGCTCTGGTCGCCGCCCTTGACCTGGAGTACGACCAAGCTGACGTCGTCATCGCTTTCCTCAATGGGCTCATGGATAGCGACGAGATTGTCTACATTTGTCTACCAGATGGTCGCCTGGCCAAGCTCCGCAAGGCCTTGTATGGTCTCCGTCGCTCCCCACGACTCTGGTATGAGGAGCTCTCCCGCTTCCTCACCTCGATCGGTTTCCACCCACTCGAGGCTGACCAGTGCGTCTTTGCCAACGACAACGAATCCATCATCATGGCCTACGTTGATGGCATTGTTTTCATCACCCAGACTCGCTCTCAAATGGAGGAGCTGAAGTCCCGCGTCTACGACAAGTACAAGTGTCGTGACCTGGGCCCTATCGCTCATTACTTAGATATCCGTGTGCATCGCAATCGTTCTAAGCGAGCTATTCAGTCCCATGACCCACCTGGGCAATTTCCTCCTGTTCCTGTCCCAAGCCACAACCATACCTACGCCGGTTCGCAACGTCCTTCATCTTTGATCATCGGATCAGTCATCAGATCATCACTGTGGCCCGAGAAATCTTCCTTCCCTAATCAGATGGCGCATCACGGTTACGCCCAAACCATAAGTGGAAGGTCGACTGGCCAACCCCGCGCTTTCCCCGTCAGTAGGACCTCCAAGATGCACCGAAACACCGCAAGTCGAAACACAACCACGTTAATGCGTGACCACTCAGAAAGCCTCAGTGCTTGATTAATCTTATCTAGTTCAAGCTCATGCCTGTTCCGGAGATGCTCCTGGCCACGCCATTATACATCCCGGTCGATCACCGCAATCCTGCATAAATGCCCTTCTAGATTCAGCCTTATCATAGACAATATATTAAAGAGTTGAAATACCAAGACGACGGGCTTCTGAACTTCCTGGTGTAGCCTTGGTGCCGGCGGCAGTCAAGTCGAGTATGGCAGGTGCGATGAATGCACTATAGACGACTCCTGAAGCCGGACGCACGATGGAGACGGTAGGTGGGAATTGCTACTCGTATATAAAGCAGGTCTTGGGGCCACTATCGTTATTCTCACCAGCTACCCTTCTTAAACATCTCAGACAGTCTTTGACATGAAGCTCCTCGGCGTTACCCTCGCTTCCCTAGGGCTTGCCTCCGCCGCTTCGGTTTCGAACAAGCAGAAGGTCAGCTACGATGAATGGAAGGTCTTCCGTGTCAACGGACCCTCCAACACAGCCAAGTTTCAAGAAGTTGTGAACAAGCTACAACTCGATGTGTGGAAGGGCAAGCCATCCTCCGGCGATGTCGTCGATGTCTCGGTTGCGCCTGAACAGCTTGCAGCGTTCGAGGCCTCTACCAAAGACTTCGAGACCAAGCTCATGCACGAGAACTTGGGTGCATCCATCGCCGACGAGAACACCTTCTCGGTATATGCTGGTGAGTACTTCAGACCCCAGTATTGAATATCACTAAGCAAACAAGCCGGCGCTGTGCCCAATGCCACCTGGTTCAACTCGTACCACTCTCTCGCTGATCACTATCAGTGGATCACCGACCTTGCCGCTGCATACCCCTCGAACTCTGAGGTCATCTCTGCAGGCAAGTCATTGGAGGGTCGCGACATCAAGGGCATTCACATTTGGGGCAGCGGAGGTAAGGGTTCCCAGAAGGCTGTCGTTTGGCACAGCACTGTGCACGCGCGAGAATGGATCACCACCATGGTCAACGAGTACGCTGCATACCAGCTGCTGACATCCACCGACGCCACAACCGCCGCCTTCAAGAACAAGTACGACTTCTACATCTTCCCTGTCGTCAACCCTGACGGCTTCTACTTCTCGCAGAACAGCAACCGCCTGTGGCGCAAGAACCGTCAGACCACCCCCACGGCCAGCTGCATCGGTCGCGACATCAACAGGAACTGGCCTCACAAGTCCTGGAACCAGGCCCAGGGTGCCAGTACCTCTCCCTGCGACGAAGATTACAAGGGCCCTTCTGCTGGTGATGGTGTCGAGACCAAGGCGCTAAAGGCTCAGCTCGACAGCCTCGCTGCAGGCAAGGGTATCCAGCTCTACATGGACATCCATTCGTACTCCCAGCTCTGGATGTACCCCTACGGATACACTTGCTCTGGCACACTCCCCAACTCGGCCACATATGCTAGCCTGACCAAGGGCGCTATTGCTGCTGTCAAGGCTGTTCACGGCACCACTTTCACCGGTGGCCCTATCTGCAACACCATCTACCAGGTTAGCGGTGACAGTGTCGATTACGCGCTTGAGAACGCCGGAACGAAATACTCAATGACTGTTGAGCTTCGCGACACTGGCAACTACGGTTTCGTTCTGCCTGCAAACCAGATTCTGCCTAGTGGTGAGGAGATGTGGGCTGGTCTTGCTTACCTGTTGAAGAACATGACCTAAGCACCTACTTGTAGGGAGTATGTAGCAAAGAAAGGTACGAAAAGTCTGTTCATGAACTTTGGTCCTAAGAATTACCATTCCACTGATAGTCTATGGGATTTCTCATGCTGTTGACCGAATTGCTGTGTATGTTCCGCTCTCCCATTCTCTTGCGCTCAAATGTCATTCTCGCCGTTTCCAAATTTGCATATCGGCCTAATAGTCTGAAGCTTGTCTTGTTGCAGATCCCATTTGCCATACCCAGACACACTAGCACCTATATCCTCGTGGTGCAGCTAACTTCCAGGTACTACTTAGCTGCAGTAGTAAGAGTGAGCACCCTTGGCATCGAAGAAATCAGCGCCCGCTCCGCCCCAATAGATGATGTTGCCCTAGCAGTCGTTGTCACTACTCACAAGTCAGCTTCACACTCATCTATCGAAACCCTTCCACATCATCGAACAGGGACACAGTGTAGGACTTACTTGGACATCACACAAACGCCACAGTACTGGTTGGTGCAGCTACCGTATTACTCGCCCTCGGGGAGCGTATTGCACTTGTTCGCGGGGACGGAGGTGCGCAACTCGCGCAGTCGACCGGTTCCTGCGAGGACGCACTTGCCGTAGTAGTTGCCTCGCGGAGAGGCCTGGGTCGAGTGCGCGAGGACTTAGGAGTTGTTGGCGGGCTCAGTAGGGGCGGCCTTGACGGAGGTGGTGAGGCCGGTGAGGGCGAAGATGGTGGGGAGGTACTTCATTGAGGATGTGTTGTGTTCGCCATGAAAGACTTTGTGTCTTGATGATGCTGGAGTAATAACTTGGGATTGAGAAGATGTGGAGAGCAGTAGAAGAGAGGAGGAAGGGCAAATGGGTTTGGTCTATATATTCGTACTAGCCGCTCACTCGCCGTACGAGAGGAGTGAAACGGTACGAAAAGGTGGAAGCCATTTGTTCGAAGCCCGAAGGAACACAGCTTCACTTGACCGCACAGTCACCTCTGTAAAGCGTCATCATTCGTACAGTTATGACTGTGGTTCCATGTGCAGAGCTCGATCCCTGAGGGCTTTGTTGACATTGTCTTAGATGACTACAAGCGGAATGACAACATCATAGGGGACTGCACAGTTTCACCACAACACAGGAGTCGACGCATGTGAGTTCTCCAATTTCGCATTTGCTGTTTTAAATTCTGCAATGCTGAACTCTGCCAGTCTGGCCGCTTGAACGACAGTGTTTATCCAGCACCGACAATGGAGCAGGTTCCCTAGCGCTAGCCTATCCCACGACGTAAGACGTATGGTGTTCAACTCATCCAACTCGACCATCACACCCGTCTTTATATGCAGAAGTAGCTACGAGCTCCCTGCCCACCAAACTCAGAACCAGGACCACCCCACTGAAGAATATCGCCCTGGCAGTCATCGTCCCTGCACCACATCAGCATCACATCCCTCCAGCAACACCATCACTCGTATTCACTTACTTGAAGATCATGCAGAGACTGCAGATCTGGTTGGTGCAAGTGCTGAGGCGCACTTCCTTGCCAAACGTGGTGCACTTGTAGGCCTTGCCATCAGACTTGTTGGCAGAGTTGCGCAGTGGGATCTGGGCGTTGCCTCCTATCTGTGGGCCTGGAAAGGTGTCGCATTTGCCGCAGCTGCCCTCAACGAGGGAAGGAGCGGCGGCGGTGAGCGTGGTGAGGCTAGCGATGGCTAGGAGTGTGGTGAGGTTTTTCATTGTGGGTTGGGAGCTGGAGGAAGCCAGGTCTTGCGGTTGCTGTGGTAGCGGTGTGAAGAATTTGGGGGTTGTGAAAGTGTTGACGATGGTAGGAAGGTGCGATGGGCTTGGTGGGAGGAAAGAGCAAGCGAAAGCGGAAATTGCCTGCAAGGTCACGAGTCGCTTGCCTTTCACTTCACCGTCAGTAGTGGACAGCATCGATATTCATTCTCGAGATTGTCACAATCTCAACCAGTCATTCACTTTCACTGGCTGCATGGACCTTCGCGCCCATGCAGAAGTAGGTACGGGCTTTCCTGGCATAGAAAGGATGTTTTGAGCTTGAAATCCAACTACTGTGCGCAGAAATAGCTACCAAGCTCCTCCGAGTCGAAGGATGGAGCGCCCAATGCAACCCAGGTGAAGTCAAGGTCCTTGCAATCGTTGCGTCTACTTTACATTAGCATCAAACACCTCCAGCCTCCATCTCTACACGAGTCCACCTACTCGAAGAACATGCAGATGTTGCAGTGGAAGTTGGTGCACATGCCCGTGCCCCGGCTGGGACACTTCTGGAAGGTAGTGCACTTGCTAGAATTCGTTCGCAGCTCTTGACAGCGCCTCCCCGTAGCGGTCCTGGAATGGGGTCGCAGTGGCCGCAGAGGATGTTGGGCTGACCTTGAGGAGCCGGGCGGGCGGGGACGGAGACGCTTGCGAAAGCGATGATGGTGGTCAGGTACTTCATCATAATGTTGATAATAGCTCTTGTATCTGGGTATCGGTGTCTGTGAGTAGGTCGAGTATTAGAAATGGAGCAGGTAGGGTGAACAAAAACAAATTGTGATTTCAGAGGAACGGCGCAGTCACAGTATGAGTGAGGTGGAAGAAAAGGTAGAGGCAGAAGTATTGAAGCGATACAAAGAGACTTGCATAATGAAACCATCGAATTATTACTTTTGACGTCTATAGACGTGACGGTCTACGAATGTGACGTACCCGAGGCGCCGAGGACATGGGCGTGCTCTTCTCCAACTTTTTCTCTTACAGTATATGTACTTTATGTCATTGACACTCTGCATTGTGAACTCAAGATCGTGCGGCATCTGAGAAGACGGTGCAGGCTGCTCAGTAGCAAGGCCAGTGGCAGAAACGACCGCACAAGACAGTAGGCTGACGGAAGCCGCCAGTGGTAAGGCTGATGGAGCAGGTCTGCCAATTGCAAGAGTGGTCGCAGGCAGCGCCCTGCCAGGCGCAGTTCTGTGAAGTTGTTAGAATGTGTATGCACACTCGATGAAAGCGCGCTTGAGAGACCTACTGCCTTGCAGTAGTCGTTGTGGCGGATACAAGGCGAGCAGATATTGTACCAGGGGGCGGTGAGGTCGGCGGTCACGCCTTCGTTGACATCCATGTCCTGCAAAAGAGTCAGTTTGGGTGTTCTAAGGTTTACTTCAGTGAAAGGGTAGTCCATACCTGGTTGTTGGTTGCAGCAGAGACCTCAGCGGCAGAAACCTCGAAACCGGAGATCACCCGCGTAGCATCGTCAACAGAACCAGCATTGGAAGAAGCCCATGTGCAGGTGGGAACAGGGTCATTGGTACAGGACTCGGACGCGCCGCAGCCCATGAGGACTTCCCAACGGCCGTTCTTGCACGCAAAGACTGCGCCGCCAGGGTTGCCACCACCACACTGGAGACTGCCCTCCTTACAGGCGCTGTTGGCGGGAGAGCCAAGCGTAACGGCGAGGAAGCTCGCGAAAGCGAAGAGGCTATCGGTGATCTTCATAGTGGATGCGAAGAGCCTGGTAGCGAACGTCAGCGTAAGGCGGGGTAGATTGGAGGAAAGTGAGCGCGGAAAGACAAAGAATACTGAGCAGAAAATTCTGCTGTATATACAGTAAACGCGCAGCAGGCTCACCGTCGAGTCGCAGCGGGCAAAGCCGGTACCGCAGGCGGTCCGTTGGCTGTGGTGCAGCTTTTTATCGTGGGCTCTCCTTCACTTCGGGATCGACAGTGCCTTGGACGCATGCAGCTGGACGCAGGGAGCTTCGTTCTTCTACGGTGTTCAGAGGAATCGAAGCGGAGCTGGAGTGACGATGCAGATGGTTTGATGAACAAACTTCAAGTATGCGGCGTGATAAGAGTGGAACCAACTGGTACGTCTACCGCATGACACTGCGAAAGCCTGCGGACGAGGAACAAATGCCTGTTCCAAAGTTGATCAACCGGTGCAGGCCAGATGTGGTTAGTAAAGAGATAATGAGGTACATTTAATCATTATTTTCTGTATAGTGCTTGAGAACTCTGGGCTCCGCTCACTGTAATTCGAACCTTCCTATCGGACTGTCTGGCGCAGGCTTCTGGTCCCTGAAATACGGTTTCTCGCAGTCCAGCTCTTGCATACTCTGGCTATCGAGTTCTCTCACTGGCCCTGCCCCAGGTAGCTCATGCGTTGTATTTCCCCCTCCAAGTTCATAACGTATACCTGATGCGTCCAACTCTTCGCCCAACGTCGAGGTGCTGTGGGTCTTCGTCTCTTCAGGCATAGCAGCAGCAACTTGTTGTGCCTTGTTGCGTGAGCGCTGACGGAGAAACAACAATGCTGTAGTCGTCAAGATTACACTAATAAGGACGACCATTGCGACGGCAATACCGATTATAGCACCAGTGGAGAGGTCCGATTTGTTGTCTTTGCTATTGTTGCCGCCACCCGATGTGCCGCTTGTAGCCACGGATGGTGCCGGTCCAGCTGTGTACGATGGATACTTTGATACTGTGGACGATATGGTCGGGTCTGTGCTGTTGGCTGTACAATCATAGTGTCCGTACAATTGGTCCTGGACACTCAGCCAGTTGCAGAAGCTGAGGATGTCCACGGTCGAATCTGCCCTGAGCGCTCCATTGATAGATGTTAAATGGGGCATTGTGATGTTTGAGAAGGGCCCGCTCAGTCTGGCATAGCCATCGATGGTTTCAAGCTTGTCAAAGTTCAACGATCGATCGTTGTTGCCGTTGGTTGCCAGACTGCCGTAGATCCCCGTCAATTGCGAAACGTCCAGATTGGTCAATGCTGTGTTGATCGAGATTTGGTACGAACTACCAGCGCTAATCTTATCGTACGGGAAGCTGAAGTCGGTGAGCTTCATGTTGGCAGCGATGGTCAGGGTTGTCGCTACGGGCCATTTTAGCCAATCCATGTTCTCAAGGGCCGTGTTGATGATACTGATATCGTTGACGTCATGCTTGAGGGCTCCAGTCGCAATCTCGCATCCTTTCAGAGAAGTGAGTCCAGTGAAGTCCAGCTTCGAGAAATTCGTAAGTGCGGGCAGCGTAAGGGTGGTCAGCTTGGGAAGGTTGTTCAGTATCAACGCCGAAACCGACTCCAGTGTTGTTGACGATATTGATAGGACACTGTCCGAGTCGGCGATATTGAATGTTCCCGTGACTGTTTTCAGGCCGTCGAGTGTGATATCCTCGATCCCCTTCCCTGCGACCGAGACGTTTCCGGTGAATGTCGTACATTGATTAAGCGTAGTGACGTCGTCTGAACTGTTGATTGCGAAAGAGCCTGAGCAATCTACAGGTGAATTCAAAGATTAACATATGGCACGAATTGAGTGTCGCAAAAGGTGTAACCTACCAGCAGCAGCTCCCACACTACATGCCCAGCAACACAAGAAAAGGGGGAGCCATTGTACAACGAGTCTCATAGTATAGCCCAAAGATCTCTTAGAAACATCCGTATTACTTCATTACATATAAAAAGCCAGGTGAACGAGTGACAGCTGCGGCGACAATGGCGAACGCAGGTGGAGTGGAAGGATCGAGGAAATGGAAGCCTGAGCAGATTGACGCTCGTGGGGCCGCCGAGCCTAACCACGAGCGAACCCACAACGCGTGGTTTCGAAACTGCAGTCATCGCACGCACTCCTATACGATCGTTGAACTTCGTATTCGCGAGGCTGTCCAACCAGAGTTGCGATTGCCGTTAAAGGATCTACAAATACGAGGCTGTCAGTCATGCCGTTCCGGGCAATGGCTGTTCAACACGTCCTCAATGTCAACAACTGAGCCACAGTTCGGCGTAAACAAACCGTTGATAGGGGCAGTGACCTAAACTGCAAAGTTCGTCTGGGCTAGTGGTCGTGAACTGGAGCCTTTGAAAAGTGACATGTAAACTCATGCAAGTAAGAACGTTCGTTGTTAATTTTTCGGCGAACCACTGCTCGGCTCGCTTGGATAAAAGCTGACCGAACCTGCCCGCGAGTCGAAATCCAATGCAATCCATGGGCATCTGCTCGACCGCAGCGAAGAAACAAGATGGAGGTCATAATGATGAAGTGCATTGCCGTCGCAACAATCTAACAGCCACAATGCTCTTGCATGGTGCTGATTGGAAAGTAACGTGATGTGACCTCCATCTCGTCAACGACGAGGCTTGACTGCCACTACCTTGAGTTATCAACCTAATCGTAACAGAAGAATGAAGCCACAGTTCAAACGAATTTAATGTCGCCCGCCGCTTTGCGCTCTTGTGCAGAAGACTTTAGTAATGCAATGGGCGTAGCCGATTACACGCTTATGCCGCTTCGCTCAGCCTTCTGCACTACAGCAGGCTGAGCCGAGCAGGTAAAGTGCTGTCAACCTTTCAACCTGTCTTCCAATTGCTGAAAAGTGCTCTCCACACATTTGCGCTCAGGACCATTCAATAAACTTGTTTCGTTTTCGAATTATCTCCAAGGATGTGTTCCGCGAGGTGTTCCGGTCTGTGAAGAGATGGGCGTCGACGGTGTGGTACAGATACTACTACCTCTACTTGAAGTGGAAGAACAGCCTCTTCTACGCTGTGGACCACATTCTATCTGAAAATGATGTTTATTCGTCACCTCCACTCTCTGGTAAGCAGTTTCGCCTCGTTACACTGCTACCAGGCCAAGCCGAAGACCGTATCGCGTGCGTTCTGGGAATCGAGTGTTTGAGCTCAGCTCGAGTCTACGAGGCACTGTCTTATGTCTGGGGCGAAAATCTTTACGAGAAACCAGTTCTTGTGAATCGATGCTCATTTGAGTTCACAGCGAACCTGTACTAAGTCTTGTTGCAACTACGTAACGCATCCTGGCCATGTACTTTGTGGGTTGACGCGATATTACACTGTTTGAACCTATCTGATATTTGGCTGCAGCAAAGAAGAACGCGATGAGCAGGTGCGCCAAATGAGGTCCATCTATGCAAGTCCTACGCGTTTGCTTATATGGCTTGGGATATGTGATCATTGGGGGACGCTTGCTAGTATGGGAAGTGGCCAACCAGATGTTATGAAACTAATGCAGCAAGACTGGTTTACCAAAGTTTGGACGAAAAAAGAGGTCGCTTTCGTCTCGAAAGACCCAACTGTTCTCCTAGGGGAAGCAACACTCTCCTGGAAAACCTTAGTATCCCAAGCACAACTGCCATCTCAGGCTCCAGACAGTCTTTTAGGGGACATAGATCCATACAGTGACCGTCATCTCAGTTCCAACACGGACACATCCCGACTTTTTGGCCTCAACGAAACGAAGCTACGATATGCTGCAGGCACATCAATGCCACTACTTCCCCTTCTTTACCTCACTAGGGATGCCCAGGTGTCAGATCCTCGCGACAAGATTTTTTTGCCCTCTTGGGTCTGTCAACGTCACCTACGATAAGCAACCTGGTATCAGACTACCACATGAGCGTCGAAGAGATCTCTGTAAACACGATTGTGCATCTTCTCAACGCGGAAAAGAACTTGCGATCACTCATTAGCTGAAGCGAAGTTACAAGGCCGCTGCCTTCTTAGGTGCCTGATTGGACCTCCTCAAGATTGGACTTTGTGTCAGTGCAATTCGTCAGTCCTCTTAGCCCGGCATTCTTCTCCGCGTCTGGACAGACGAACATCGTGGCAAATACAAGTGGCTCGCCACTGGGCCATTTGCAGTCGAGTGAACTTCTTGTCGACACCGTGAAGATTGTTACCACGAGACATTGGCGGGGTATCAATGACTCTCAATTCAGCACAAGCAAGCACGAAGTACGGACTGGAGTCGACGTCTATGATCTTCTGTATAGATCTGAGCCCCTCAAAACCATCATAGCTGCTGGCTTCGTTGGCGATAAAATAGATGCTATGGACGCAAGACAATACTTTCCTTGCCAAGTTCAATCTACTTGGAGAAAACCCGATCATACAGGTGCCAAGCCAACGTGATGAAGGGATGATGTGTGTTCGTTACTTCTATTGGTTTGATAGGTATAGGGCCAAAAAGTATGAAGTTTGCGTCTGCTACTGTCTAACCTGGGAACGCGGTTGCGATACTCTATGGCGGCGAAGTCGCGTTCATCCTACGACTTCATGGTTTATGGTACCAGCTCATTGGCGAGTGCTATGTGTCGGATACTATGAGGGGCCAGTTCATACACCCCTGGAAGAAGCACCAGAGCCAAGCTGGTTGTCCTTAGAAACAAGGTTTCGAGCTCCGACGACACCTCCTGCAAAAGCTTTGCGTATATCTATCAGGCGTAAATACCTCGGAGGTATACAAGTTGAGCATGCGCCCACGGGAGAGCATCACAGATGGTTTCAAAAATACACGCAACCTCACTTGTTTGCACGCTCTGCACTGTCACAACTTGTGCCATACGCTCTTACCTTCGAGACCTGCGCATACAAGTATTCCATAAAGCTCTGCCTAATCACAGCAACTTCTGGGATTTAGCCGATCATTGCTTTCGAGGAGTGCATTCTCGAGCCGCACCTCAACGCGTTTCAGATGCGTCCTTTGAATGCAACAACGTCAACTCCACGACGCGTCTAGAGCCAACCTTCTGTTCATTCTACATTCCCTAAGAACGATAATGCTTCTCCTATTATTATGCTCCATTTTGGACCATACCCTCCCGCAACGCCCCAACATTGCCTCCTTCACTGTGCTCCTCCCGGACACGGGATATTCAGATGCTGCATCTTTTTTTATCTCAGAGGTTTCTTCAGCTCAGACGGAGACTACAACGATCAAATTGACCCAGGACGGCCTCCCATGATGCCCGCTGGATACCCTTGGATCCTGCCGGACGGGTCTTGCAGCCTTTGTGGAGTGCGTGAGGGTAATGCACGTTTCTCTGTTCAAGTCGTCAATGCACCATATCAGCTGACGGTACAGAAATCGTAAAGGGAAACCGGGAAACTTTGGAGCTGCTGGTATGGAAGGACCACAAAGATCTTTTGTGCTCATAGACTACTTTTGTACACACCGCGAACTGGGTATCAAAACACTACGCTAATCAATCCTTCAAAACCTTGTTGCACCATCCTATCGGCTCTGTTTTGGTCTCTTCTGCTTTCGCCGTTCCCGCTATCGAACATCATATGCTAACTCGCTCGAAGCTGCATGGTTGTTAATAGCCCCAAGTCCCTTGCATTGACCACCACCCAATGTCTGAGGTGACCAAATTTGCTGGCACGTGGCATGTGTTGACGTTGCGCTTCTTGGTGGTTGTGTGGCTCAGACCGTTCTCAACTTCATCCGTCCTTCTGGGCACCCCAAACAATCGATTCCATCAGCGCATACGGCGAAGAGTCCAAATCCAAACCTAGCAACGGACTTTGCGAAAACACATTCCCATCACCGTTCGTAAGCGCCGCATTGATATCATCCGCGGTAAACGTATTCATCGTCGGACTCGCCTGACTCCCACCAGACTCGCTCATCTTCCTATTTAAACTCGTAGTGATGCGCAATAGTCGCTCGAGCGCCGATACGGAGCGTGTGATCGGCGTCGCGAGCTCGTTAGGGTCGACGTCCTTGGTGAAGTCACCCAGCACTTGTATGATATTCTGGAGTAGACCGCGAGCTCGCTCGTTGCGGTTGTGTTCGCCCAGGATACCGAGGAGGAGTGCGCAGCTGAGGGATCGATGGAGGGCGGCCCATGAGCGGGTTGCGAATGGTGTCATGTTTTGTAGGCCCAGGAAGGCTTCGACGGTGTTCGTTATGCTATCGATGCAGGTCTTTCGTAGTGTTTTTGAGAGGTCGAGACCGGCTGTTGTGGGGCTGATGGCTGGTCGACATAGTTCGGATGTAATGTATGAGATGTGGAGGTATAACGCCCAATGCTCCAGCTGATCGCGCATCGAGCGGCATCTTCGTGAGTCCTTCAGGTAATCTGCCGCGTCGACCATGATCTCCTGGAGTTCGTTGCGATGCTCGGTGATCCTAATCAGGGCGTCGTGGGAGGTCTGAGGTTTCTGGCGTTCGCGGACAATGTCGAGACCAACTTTGCATAAGCGGTACATGCTCTCGACATATGTTCGGGTTCCAGGCGCTGTGTGATTGCTGAGAGGAACGGTATGGTCGATGGTGGTAGTCGAAGATGCCCTATCATACGACACAGACAGTAGCGAGTCCTGCCACAGTAGCGCCCACCAAACTTTGCTCCGGAGTACCCTCTGCTGCACAGGCGTCGATGAGGGGCACATGCGGTGCAGACCGAGTGTTTGTGAAAGTCGAACCGTCAGACCCATCAGACTCCATGCAACGCCAGCGTTCATGTTGTTCGAGATGACATTCCCAAGGATCAGGAGCGTTTGTATGTTTTCGATGTTCGCGTGCGAGAGGAAGTTCGTAAATCGTAAGCATTCGAAACTGCAGCAGATGTAGACCTGTGATGTGAGCTCCCTTTCTCTCCGTGATAGTGTCGAGCACTGGCATCCTGAGGCCAAGATGGCAAAGACTAGTCCAATCCAGTGGAAGTCTTTTCCGTATATTTGCTGATCTGTCACCCCGGTGCCACTTTGTGAGCTCGCGCGGTTGATGAGGAAGAGCAGGAGGTCGGACTCAACGCCCTCGATGTCCGCAACGGCGGGATACACGGCGTGTGCGGTTTCGCGGTAAAAACGGAAGAAGCTGAGACATTCAGAGTCGCTTGGCAAGGCGTTTGCCAGCTCTGTAGCGCGGGATATCGATCCATGTGGTAGTCCCCAGAGGTCGACAAAGGGATATGTAGCGCTCTCGTTGTCCAACCCAAAGATAGGCAGCATGCTCTTCTTGCCCAGTAGGTCTTGCAAGCCTGGCGCCCATTGCGAATCTCCTCCTCGACCCAATTGCATGACTAACGCGGGCACGGAGCTGGGTCCGATATGAATCGTCTGGCCGGTGATATCGTTGCGCGTGTGGATTCCCTGCGTACGAACGTGACTATGTTCGCCATCGATGGGCGCCGAGGCAGCCAGAGGCGTGGAGGTCGAGGGTGAGAAGCCGTTGATTGGCGGTGCCACTTCTTGGACACTGCTTATCGAGTTCTTCAGCTCGGTGAGTGACTTCTCAGCCGTCTGTAACTTTGCGCAGATGCGCTCCCAGTCCTGCTGCTGTCAGCCAAGTTCCATTTTGTCTTGTGCTATATCAGGCGCACCTCACGTGGCAATGTGACCGTCCCACCATGTACGTGGACCAATCCATTGACGTTGAAGTCGTGCCCGTTCTGGCCCAGTCCCATGCTTATCCTCTTCGCAGGCGGGTGCAACTCGCTCGGGGGGTGGTAAGTGCATAGCTCTGGATGTTCGCGGACGACGCATGTTTTGCATGGTACTGTCTGATCGCATTTGACTTTTCGTTGTCGACATGGGTAGCAGGCCTGGTGAGGCAGTCAGTTCGAGTCCATCCCGGGGTTGCAGCTGCTGTTCAGCTATATCCTCCAACACGCCGGATCCCATAGCCCAACACGGTAAATTCTGAGACGTCTTCTCGCCCAGCTCTTGCTTCCTTCTCCCCCCGCAAGCATGACGAACGCGCATGACTGCGTACCTTGTATTCCCGCGCCTTCCGTTTCCTCCGAAGGATTTCGTCGACGTCTGCACGTGGTGGGGTGTCCATCATGTCCGACATGAAGGACGACGGCGCATGCGACTGCGACTGCGACTGTTGTGTCTTGTCATCCATTTTCCGCGGCGAGAGAGTTGACGATGGGTCACTTCGCGCGTAGGTTAACTCGGTTTCGGGTGGATTCCCGTCCGCCTAGCGCTGGTAGATCATTCGCTAGTCACGGGGATAGGAAGCTTACCGTTGACTTCGAGAACGCCTCGATTAGAAGATCTTGCGTTTAGAACAAGATTTCCTAATCAGTGGAAAGCTTCATGCCTTTGTCTGACTCTTCGATTATGGCCGGTGGATATTTGAGTATCGTATGCGTAAAGATTCTGTTATGGCTTGCGCAAATTGCGATTCCAAGGCTGACGATGCTCGTGCACTGCGGGAACAATGGCCCTCGAGCCTCTGCACCTCACCATCACACGATCCCAGCACGAACCTCAAAAAAACCAACGAGTAACCCTAACAGCAAATCCCAGTCCTTGCAAAACTCAGCTCTGAACATACCACATGCAGTAAGTTCCAAACAGCGTGGGAAGTAGCACTTAGTAGTGTTACACAAGGCCCGCCACCAGCGTCCTTAGAAGCACGCTATCGCTGTGAACCTGCCGGATCCAGCAACTTTACCAACAATGCATTAGTCGCGGCTTCGAGAACCTAGTCAGCACCCTGCATTAACGCAATGGATACGAAGACGTGGCTTTGATGGCAGGCTTTGCTTGTCAGATGTTCTCGCTTTCAGATTGTCTCGCGGTCTTGGCACTGTGGTCACCGCCGACATGTCATGACACTAGGACTTGGTAGTACTTGATCAGGAATGGGTAGAATGTGAAACACGCAGATTATCATTCAGAGTTGACTTCTACTTCCATGTTGTATAGGTATCGAACGCTTCAAACGGCCCAAAACAATATTATCAGCGCGCCCAAATATTGCGCAAGTCCTAATCCACCACCACGCATCTCAATTACCCAGAAAGATTTTTATAATCGCTCAAGCCACCTGCTTCTCGCCCTTATTCTCTTCATCCTCGCTGTACGCGTAGTGTGAGTGCGCACGAATCCTCGCGCCATAGAAGAAGAACACAAACGGAATCGCGCAGCAAGCCAGACCAATGAAAGCCAGCAGCGAGCTAGCCCACTGATCACCAAGGCGGTGGTACATCTGGTTGGTGAACAAGACGACAGCGGCACCCCAGAAAGACCGGAGGAAAGTCTTCGCAGCCAGTGCAGACGCCGCTTGGTGCTGGTACGAGTCGACGAGGTAGTTGTTCGCCGAGTTGTACAGGAAAATGAATCCAAAACCGACAGGGAAACCACCGAACGCTGGACCCGCCCAGTGGAGGTCAGAGTAGCTTGTCCATGCGAAGATGAAGAGCCCGATGGGGATGAGCCAACACGACACCATCATGGGGTAGAGACGAGCTTCGGCGGGTGGGTGGCCGTTGTGCTTGTTGACTAGCTTTATGTAGTGCTTGTTGACGAAGGGTGCACAAGCTGCGCTCATCAAGACACCGACGATCAGGGGGATGAACATCAGACCAGTGCTGCTGGCCGAGTAGCCCTTGCCCTGTTGGTAGACGATGGGGTAGGCGACGAAGAACATGTACAGCAAGCCGTAGAGGACCGACATGTACAGGGAAATAAAGAAGACGATGAGTTCGCGGAAGAGCAGTTGGAAGGGTCGAACAAGGAACAAGGTGAGACGCTGGCTGAAAGGACGAGTGTCGATGTCCTGCTCAGTGACATACTTCTCATCGCCGGTTTCCTTGCGCATCTTCTTGGCTCGCTTGGCAAGCAGTGTAGGAGTGTATGTCTCAGGAACAGTGAAGGTAATGAGGATCCAAACGACACCGCTGAGAATGAGCTGGATCCAGTAAAGCCATCGCCAGCCCTTGGCATCACCAAGGAAGCCACCAACGAGGGGACCGACACCAGGACCAATGAAAGGAGCGGCTGAGAAGGCGGCCATGGGTACACCTCGCTCTTCGTTCTTCCAGAGATCGGCCAGTGTTCCACCGACAAGAGACATGGGCGCGGAGAAGGCAACACCAGCAATAAAACGGGTGACTAGGAGGGTACCAATGTTTTGCGCGACGGCTCCGGGGATGGTGAAGACCACGGCGAAGAATAGTGTGACTCCATAGATTGGTCGACGACCCCAGATTTCGGAAAAGGGAGCAAAAGCCATGGGACCGACACCGAAGCCGATGACGAACAAGCTGATGGTGAGAAGTGAGACTTCCTCACTGACATTGAAGGTCTCGGAGACACCCTCGAGGTCAGCAGTGATAACGGCAGAGTTGAATGCGACGACGAAACAGGTGATGGCTACACACATTGTGCACCACCACTTGTATGCTTTCGACCAGTTCTTTGGGTTCTCTGGGTCGTCGACTTTCCAGGTAACTAGCTCGTATCGCTCGATCTTGCCCGTCTTGTTCGTGTGGATCCTTGAGATCTGACCATCGATGGTCTCTTGAGTATACTCTTCCAGATTGGCCTCGTTGCTGAGCGTTCGGATCGGAAGGTTGACTATTTCTGCGCCATCGTGTGTTGGCTCGCGTACGAGACGTTGGGACTTCTCATGCTCCACATGGGTATGGTCTGACGCGCTGGAGTCTGATGATGTTCGTGTGGGGTTCGCTGGTGAGGCAAAGTCCCTCGTCATGGGTTGTACGATTCCTTCTGTAGCCATGGTAGGCTTTCTTTAAGTAGTTATTTTCAACTAAGCTTCTTAATTCCAAGATGCCAGTTGAATAGTCAATGAAGGCTTATTAAACCACGCAGTCTTGATGTATGTAATAATGACTGGTCCGAGGAGTGTGTCCAGATAAGGGTTTCGTGGTGATCTGCGACAAGGGCAGGGCAAGAGTGATGAAATGCTGATTGCGCTCAAAGGCTGAAGACTGGCTGTGATCTGCATGATGGGGGAGGGGCCTTCGAGTCTTATACAAAGTACGGACAGTCAAACTTTGCAAGGAGCACGATAAGAAAATAGAAATTGAAGACTCCTGACGGAGTTCGCTCGGATTCAACTTCACATTAAATGTCGAATGTTTTGCTCATGGAAGCTTACCGCAGACTAGTACGTATCGGGGATGGTGCACTTGCCTTTCTCGGCGAGTGGCCTAGGAGATAATTCGGGCGGCGACCCCGTGAGAAAACGATTTTCGAGAACTCCCCAACATCAGCGGGATCTTTTGATACTCGCCCCACTGTTCTCAGGTGGTTTTCGAATGAAACGACGCAGGGTCCGGCTTTCTCGCCTGCGCACTTCTTCCCGGTTGTATGTATGACGTCAAGATGCCGATTCGTATGATAGGGATGCTGCAGAAGGTTGTTACCTCGAGGTTGATCCGCAACAATTGCATGAAAGAGGTAGAAAATGTCGTTATCGGCGCGTCCTTTGCAAATATCTGACAAGGACACAGTCAAGCAATATCTGTAAGAGGCATGTGATGCACCATTTCAGCTCGCAAGCTTTGGCAGTGAGGAAATCGGTCGGGCCTTCAATGTTCGCAACACTGAGCCCTTGTCTCTTCTCTTACGCGGCACTCTTCAAACGATGAGATGGGACCCTCAGACGTTGAGCTTGATGTTCGCCGACCTGAACCTATGCTCAATGATCCCTCACGCGTGCTATAGTTGCAGTCGTAACGAGTTGGCGCGTGCGGGCAAGAGCTGTAAAAGTGGACCGCCACGTGCAATTGAATGTCGCCCTGAAGAAGTCGATGTGGTCGCGACCTGAACGCAAGCGCAAACGCGTGGTTGGGTCGGCCGAGCGTCATGAATCGCGCTTATGGTCTAGAGCCCTATGAGGTCCAGGCTCGGCCGGTGTTTGAAGAACGAACAGTCGGTCAGACTGGTGTGGAGGTTTTGTTTCCTGTGCTGCCTTTGCTTGTGACCACCACGCTCGTGGAATGACGAGCACAAAGTGGCAGTCACATTGCTAGAGACCATGCTGTAGTGTTTTATCTGTTAGCAACCAGAACCTTTCGCTACCTTCTAAGCTTAGCAGCCATGTCTCTCGACCATGAACTACACCAATCAGCAACGTTCAAAGGACTATGTGAGAAGCACTGCATTGCCTGGGCGAGGCTTGCTGGACTCAGATCATGCCGGCTTTACGGAATCACAGCCTTGCCATGTTCGCCGCGGGATTTTCAGACAAAACAAAAATATTGTCAGACCTTCGCAATCGATCTCTTCGTTGTGACACTACAGTCATGCAAGCCCATGCAGGCTGCCAGCCGAGTGTGAGGGTCATATATTGCGGCCCGAACATCTCCTGCGCACATCGACGATGCAGCTGGGGCCGAACTCGCTGAAGCTGAGTACAGTGTACACGTTGATGCTTGGTCTTATGAAGCGCTGAAGACAAGACAAGCTCATAGGAGTCAATGTTATACGCATTGTTGTGCAGGGAGTCAAGTCGGTTCTTGAGGCTAGTTCATTGCTGAGAGGTTCCTAGACGACCTTTGCGGTTGCGCTTTTCATACCGGGGGCTCCAGAACCCATACGGAGCTAATATGAGTGCGAACAAGTGGCTTGATAGAAATTTGTAGGAGGGCAGCCTCGCTTGAGAGAACTGGTGATACGAGATGCGGATGCTCGCACGAGCAATCGGCCTGGCGGCGCTTGTTGTCGCGAAGAGCAGAGTAGATGCGATAGCCACAATCTATCTATGGAGATCTTGAGGCGCACTAAAGGAGAGTGAGCCGAAGGAGGCACGTTCCTTCCGTTTGGCCCGCTGTCGTTGCCGTTCAGTCGAAGTGGACCTCCCCCACTTCGGAACTAATCGAGCAATCACGACCAACACGGTGCCCAGAGGCAGACGGCAGACGCGCTTCCCAGAGTCCAATTGTTTGCGCTCTCGTGTTTGAATTATCGCATTGTGCTGCTATCGTTACCACACTCGAGCAACACGCTCTCGCCAGGCCCATCTTCCTCCAAGGCTGACACCACATCTCCCGATCAGCCTGCAACCTCGTCCCTCGCCATCAACAGCCCACCCGGACCGCTGGGTCATCATCAAGCTCTCAGTGCTCACTTACGGCCCGCCATTGGTCGGAAGCCTGCTGTGCCGTAGGAGGCTTGCTCTATCGAGGCCCCATCCGGCGTCATCAACAGAAGGCAGAAGAAGCAGGCAATCTGCGCCCTCTGCAGCGCGCAGTGCATTCAGCGTGCACTACTGGCTCCTGTTTCAGCTGGCAGGACGCGGTCACGACCAGGACCGGCCTTGAGGAATTTCTGCTGAGGCGTGTCACGGTAGCAGCTTCTATTAATCCGCTGGAGCCGTGTTCGAGATGGGTAAGTGCTAAGAACCCCTCCAACCCGTAAATTCCCCTCCCTCTTGCACCATCACAGTGCTCTCTCTAACTCATCTTGACACCTTTCCTGCTGACCTTTACCCCTCCAGACGACAATTACCGACCCAGTGAAACTGTGAGTACAACATGCCTCTTTACCCATTATTCCCGTATGCCCAGGCACGAGGGTGGCGTGAGCAGAAGCCTGAACTTTTAGGTGTCATGAGTAGGTCTGAGCCATGGTGAGAGGCCTGATTCGAACTCACCTCAAGTTCTCACAAGCCATTCTTCCACGGTTCGCACTCGTGGGGAAGTCATGGCACGTGACGCCGGCACCTGCCGCGCTTGTCCACTCGAGAGCTCCGACCAACCGTGGCTCACTCACCTTGCGACCTCAACCATCCAGCCTCATCGAACGTGCACAATACCCATCTTGTCGCCATTCCCCTCGTCGCCATTCGTCACATCGCAGCTGCTTAATTGTTGCAACCATGTCGTACGAAACTGACAACTATGACCAGCGCGACCGCTCTCCTCGCAGACGATCCCGCTCACCGCGACGCTCCAGACGATCATACTCCCCTCGCAGCCGCTCACGCAGCCGAGACGACTATCGCCGCAGTGAACGTCGTTCGCGATCCCCGACGGGCGGTGCACAGGGAGCAGGAAGTTATCAGTCATACGGAGCTAGCCGCGGAGGAGCGCCTCGTTCGACGGAAAACAAGGACAACATGATGCAAAGCATCCGCGACTCTTCTCAGCAGGATCGCCGCGTCTACGTGGGCAATCTTTCTTACGATGTCAAGTGGCATCACCTGAAGGATTTCATGCGACAAGGTACGGTTGCCTGGTTATTGGGATAGGTCGCGTGCTAACGCGTGCGTAGCTGGCGAGGTTCTCTTCGCCGATGTCTTACTGCTACCGAACGGAATGTCAAAGGTAATAATTGATGGCTGGTCTTGATCGTGAGAAGGATGGAGGTTGACTGGCTTTTGCTTGGGTGTAGGGCTGTGGCATCGTGGAATATGCAACTCGGGAGCAGGCTCAGAACGCCGTGGCGACGCTCAGCAACCAGAACCTAATGGGTCGGCTCGTATACGTTCGCGAAGATCGAGAGGCCGAGCCTCGCTTCACCAACCCCGGTTCCTCTCGCGGAGGTTTCGAAGGCGGCATGGGAGGCCGTGGCGGATTCCAGGGTGGTTTTGGTGGTCCCCCAGGAGGTGCGCCTGGAGCTGGTGGCAGGCAGGTCTATGTTGCCAACGTTTGTACCCCACACATTGCTATTGACGAATACAGGACATGTGGCTAACATGGACAATTAGCTACCCTACAACGTTGGCTGGCAAGATCTGAAGGACCTCTTCCGCCAAGCTGCCCACACCGGTTCCGTTCTCCGCGCGGATGTTCACATCGCTCCGGATGGTCGACCAAAGGGCTCTGGTATTGTTGCCTTCGAGACCGTAGATGACGCCAGGAACGCTATCACTCAGTTCAACGGCTACGAATGGCAGGGCCGCAACCTAGAGGTTCGCGAAGACCGCTTTGCTGGTAACACTGGCTTCGGTGGACGCGGCGGTTTCGGAGGCCGTGGTGGCTTCGCTGGAGGCTTCGGTGCTCGTGGAGGTTTCGGCGGTCGCGGCGGCTTCGGTGGCGGCTTTGGAGGACGTGGAGGATTTGGAGGTGGCTTCGGTGGTCCTGGTGGACCGCCTGGAGGACCAGGTTTCGATCCCAACGGTCCGTCCAACCCACCGAACCCCTTCACCGACTTCGCTGCTTCAGGCGGCGAGCCCAGCAACCTCATCTTCGTCCGCAATCTGCCTTGGTCTACCAGCAACGAGGATCTTGTTGAACTCTTTACCACGATTGGCAAAGTAACACGCGCCGAGATCCAATACGAGCCCAACGGCCGTTCTCGTGGAACCGGTGTCGTCGAGTTCGAGCAGAGCGCAGACGCTGAAACCGCTATTGGTACGTATTCATCCTCAACTTTATGTTCTGATGCTAAGATTTCCGCAGCCAAGTTCACAGGGTACCAGTACGGTGGCAGGCCTCTTGGGCTGTCATACGTGAAGTACACCAACCAGAACAACGGCGATGTTATGGAGGGTACCGAGCACACCGGCGGCTTGACCCAGGACCAGATCATGTAAAGCTGCTTTCAAACGAGTTTGTTTGCCTGCTCAGTTGCGGGCTTGTTCATGTTAGGGACATCTTTCATACTTATCCTGCTCCTCTCTTTGAGACTGCCACGCAGAGAGGACTATATGTGCTCTCATGAAGGGTCATTTGGCGGACGGCAAAATTTCCTACTGTATTCTAAACTGCGAACTATCGAGTAGGTCGGACTTAACCATACCTTCATGACTTCGAACTTCGTGTGCATCATGCCATTTCTAATCTCCTTTCTCGGATGTTTGCTCTAAGCCTGCTACAGAAGGCGCATCATCCATTCGTACACTGCCCACTGTACGGCGTTGACAATAAAAGCTCGTACACTACAGATGCCTAGTCCTCGAAAGAAAACGCCTGCGCCATCAGTCTGGTATGCATGTCTTGCGATCTGTATGGTACTCAACTGCATTCTCCGTCCTTCCGCATGGAGCAATGTCTGTTGCTCGCTTCTTCGTACAGGCTCTGGCTGTAGCACCTGCGTTTGTACTCTTGTCTTGATCACATCCATTGGGAAGATAGATACCCATGTGATAATCCCAGCAAACCCTCCACACATCAGCACCTTGAAAGCCGTTTCTCTATCCGTATCGTCCGGAGAGCTCCACGCCTGCTTACTCCACTCGTAGGACCAGAAACTATCATCGTCAGCCATGACGCTCAGTAAGCTCCAATGTACAACTTACTAGAACCCATATCCTACCGCGTCCCGTATGCTTGTTATCCCTCCGCCATAGTAAAGCCCTCTAATACCATCTTTTGCCCATATCTGCTTCGCTATCGACCACGACGTCGCATTTATCTCTGTCGACACTTGCGCGCGGCACTTTATAAGCTCCGTCGGCGCAGACACGACAAAGGACGCAAACCCTCCCGTCGCGCCAGCAAGGAAGACTTTTGCGAACGAGTTTGGGGTCGCGGGAGAGTCACCAAGGAGTGTGAGCGTGCGGTTGTAGGTCATGAAGAGGAGGGCATTGAGCGCGCCGTAGCCGAGGATAGGTGCTGTTGCGCCTATGCTGAGTGTTTGCGATTAGCTTACAATTGCTTCTCAAACACCTCTAGATCCGTCGGAGACAGCTGTTGTACCTTTGACCAACGTCCCGGCATTCTCAAACTGCCCCCTAAAGCTCCTCGGTGCAACTACCGCTGTCGATGTACCTCTCACATCCTGCACAGAAGAGGACCCAGCTTGGAGTCGCGTCTTCACGAGATCGAGTGGGTTGCCGATGATGATGCCTACGGCGCCGGAGACATAGCCGGCCCAGAAGTCTGCGGACATGGCGGCAATGGCATGGAGAAGATGGGGAATTTCATATGGAGGGGTACTTTGGCAATGGAGGAATGTGGGGCATAGGGCTGAGGGATATCCGAGGCTTGGGAATGATAGTTGCTGGGTCGACTGGGAAGTGGGTTCGCGAGATTCATTGTTTTGCTGGAGTGGGAGATGAGGTGTGGAGATGCTTGAGGTTAGTGAATTCAGTCAGTCATGCAAGCAAGCTGTTGATGATGGGCAAGTGTGCCTCAGCTCAGTTTCTGTGTACAACGTCACGCAGACATGGCCATGGAGCCTTGAAAACTCTCGTTGCAGTCATAGATAGCCCGCTGGTACATATGGCAAGGCGTAGAGCAAGATGCAGTGAATACATGAGTCGACTAATCAACACTCCTCGTAAGGAGCAAGATGTGATGCTCGACAGCTTCAAGTGTCTGCGGTGAGCGATGACGCCGATTCGCCAACTCACCGCTGGCTTCATCGACGTCAGGGTCCATCAGGTGCAGCGCCGCCATCTGTCACCAGATCGATGACGCTTGAGCTTGCCGGTGCCGTCCGCTTCGAGATCTATCAAGCTGTCTGAAGCTGTCATCTTTCAGCCAGATCTTGGGCCGCAAGTGGCGATCCGGATGGATCACCTTCCAGCACAGACCATTGAGGCTGAGGCCTGAGTCCACGACAATCAACCTGACCCCCGCCGCCACCGAAGCTCTACTACCAAACACTCTCGCAACTCTCACTGCTTCTGCATTCTTTGTTCTTTCTCTCACACTGGCTTTCAGAGGTACACATGCCTGTCTGAGACAGCAGTCTTCTAGCATTGTCACGTTGATTCAATCATGCGCGTGCAATTCACACTACTGTTTCGAGACAAGTTACAAGGTACGTTTGCACCTGCGCCGCTCTTGCCTGAGACATCCACCACAACAGCTTGAATGCCTAGTATAGGCTGCTGTGCCCTGATCTATAGCTGTGTTCAAGCTCTCGCACATTCGCCGCAGTGCTACGCTGCCGTGCTCGCCAACTCTGCGGCTCCCAGAGCTAACAGCTCCCAGTACTATTCACAATCTAGCCTTCGGCTTTCCTAATACACACCTGCCCCCGATCACGATTAACCAGTCGTGAGCGACGTTCAACCACCAATGCCTTCTCAACCTACCGCTAAAGGCTGGGACTTCGGCTCCGTCTTCGACCTCATCGATTCTTCAGACGTACACGATGTCGGCTCTCCCAAGCTCGAGACACGCACCCCTCTCGTCAGACCGAGCCTAGCAGCTCCAGATGGCGGCATACGTTTAGGCAGCTTTGTGAAGCTGTTTGAAGATCTCGGCATAGCAGACGATGCACCGCTGCCTCCGCTGTCACTGTCGCCTTCGGACCCAGATTCCGGCATTAGCAACGCTGGCGATGCGCTGCTACCTTCTCCACAATTCGAGCAAGACACAAACCTATCTGAGCCTACCACAGGCACCGACGATACACGGGTCGTGTTGACTAAGAAGCAACGCAAGCGAGCCCGTCAGCAGGTCGAGAAGGAGCACGAACAGAAGCTGCAGGAACAGAAACTGCAAGCACAAAAACACCAAGGAAAGGGACCGTTCAAGGAGGCCCAACGCAAGCAGCTGCAGAAACAGCTTGAATGCGTCTTTGGAGCGAGATCCACTGCAGCTCCACCTGCACCGAGCCTGCCACCCAAGGTCCCGGAGATCGAGCAGACCCCATCGAAAAAGTCTCGCAGTCGCTCCCCATCGAAGCAGCTACCTACTGATGCGCTCACTAAGCCGGCTCTGTCCGACTCATCTATCAGAACATCTCGACCGACATCTCCTGTGAAGCAGATTCATGCTCAGTCGCGTTCCAACGTGGGAGCTAAGATCAGACCCGCTACTCCTGTTCCTGTGGTTGAGACACCCCCAGTTACCTCACCACAGAAGAAGAAGAATCGAGAGACACCGGCGCCTGTCGAGTCACAGCGTCCTACTCTCAACCAGCGAGTGAGCTCTACTACGCAGGTAGCAACACCACAAACACAACCTGTACAGAACCATACGCAAAACACACGACCAGTCACACCTACTCCGTTCGAGTATAGTGCAGGCCACGGTCTCGTGCCGCGAACCGTTCGTCCTGTTACCCTTCCACGATCTTCGCAGCCTGCCGTGATTGCACAGCCTTCGACACCGACACCTGTTGTCGTTGCCACTTCCACTCCCGCACGAAACTTCACCACCCCTTACAGCGCCCCTGAGGCAATCACGATCAGGCCATCGGTCGAACGACACATTCACTTCCATACCAAACTTCTCAACACTTTCCCCGAGGATACAAAATACATTGTTGCACCTCGGCAGTTGGTCAATGAGAAGACTATGGCTGAAGGCATACACATCTTCGTCGATGCGTCCAACATCATGATCGGATTCAAGGACATACTACGTAAGTACGGGATACGTCAACACGATATGGCTTTCGACAGCCTTGCTCTACTTCTGGAACGCCGTCGACCAGTCGCAAAGCGCGTCTTCGCCGGATCACACCGCGAGGCCAACCCTCTACCACAAATCAAGAAGCTTGTCGAGACCTCCAAGGCGGTGGGATACGAGAGCATCCTACAAGAACAAGTCTTCATAAGCAGAGACGACTCCGAGAAGAAGAAATTCTTCGACGATGTCAAGAGACTGGGCTGGCACAAGGCTCAACAATTACGCTCTGGCAGCGGCAGCGACTCTGAAACGGGTCCGCCGGCTCCAAAGACTCTCTCCGCCCCGAGATGGGTGGAGCAGGGTGTCGACGAGATTCTTCACTTGAAGATGTGCCAGAGCATACTTGATACCGATGTGCCGAGCACGATGGTGCTTGCGACTGGCGACGGTGCCGAGGCAGAGATGTCGGATGGCTTCCTTGCTCATGTCGAGCGTGCGCTTAAGCGGGGCTGGAAGATCGAATTGATCAGCTGGAGACAGCAGCTCAACGGAGGATACAGGAATAAGAAGTTTAGGGCTAAGTGGGCTGAGCAGTTCAAGATTATTGAGCTAGACGAGTTTGTGGAGGATTTGATTGATACCGCGTAGTTGGCTTTGGAGTGACTGAGGTCCTGCTATGTTGAGCATATACGAATCATGGCAGGCGTTTGGTTGTTGTTTGTTTCAATGCGTTTTGGTGTAGGGTTTTGGTTTTCGAGCATAGCATGCATATGGTGGCATCACGATGGATGTCTTCACGATAGCGACGGTCTGCAGCATTGTCATCATGAGCACATTCATTCATATTTGTCAACTTAACTTGCGTTACTCTTCAAATGCATTCAGTCCATCACCTTCATTATTGGTATCTTTCCTCACGCAGTCGTCCAACATAGTGCCGATCCGGCCCCTGCCACCACGATGTGTCGGCATGTTTTCGTAAATTGCACATCGGCCGTGCAGCGGCAGAGCATGAGTTCGCATACACGCACGTCCCTCTTTGCAATCCAAACACGATGAAAAGATACGGGAGGGCTGAGCACGGAATACGGGTGGTTACGCTGGCGCGGGTCTCGCCAGCGTATTCCAACGTGCTCGCGTCGCTGGGATGTGAAACGCGAACTGGACTGCACGTCGTGTACCGCAACGCTGGTGCATGTGAGGAGGCTGATTCGCTGTTTGGGAGCGACGAGGCGTTGTTTTGGGGGGATTGGGGGGATTGGGGGGATTGTTGGGGGACATGGATGGGCATTATTAGTGCGACTCTGTGACAATGCTGTGCCTCAGGCACCATTGTTACTCTTGTGCTTGTGTGAGTGGTAGTAGCAGGCTAGAACAAAGGTAGAGTCAGGGTGTCTAATTGCGATGTGCAGACCCTTTCTTCAGTTGCCCGTCTAGGCTTGCGCGCTTTGTACGAGAGAAATATCGAAATCTACGAAAATCTTCTGATCGCGGACAGTTCGTGCGAGGACGAAAGATAGACGCGGGTAATTTGCGGGTCGGACGAAAAGGAGCGAGTCGCGATGCAAAGGAAATTAACCTGGTGAGAGGTGAGACTTTTCAGCGCCAAGACGCCGGCAGACTACTCTAGCGCTCGCTGGTTTTGCTGGCTGGCTTACGGACAGCGGCACGCGGATCGTGCGAGATGCCGAGCGCCTAACCTGACCACCGGTGATTCGTTGCTTGGGCGATGCGATTGGACGACAGCCTTTTTCACTAGGTTGGCGTTACGCAGAGCGGGTGGTTTGTCAGGAAATGTTTGGATGCGGGCTGCGAGTGACAGTGTTTGGGGAGCTGCGTGCTTGTTTTGTGTGCAGATGGGGCTGGGGGCAGTGAGACGTGATCGCTGCGGCGACTGCAAGGCTGATGCTTACACAGCGACCGACAGGCGACAGGAAACGGTTGTCAGCATGCATCAAGGCCTGAAACTACTATCAAGGATGCTGTTGCTGCGGTTGATTGACGTAGGGAAGCCCTTTCACGGTTTGATGTGGTCACGGTATGGTGACGTGTATGCGAGCTAGGAAAAGCCAGTTTTCTTGCTCTGGTGAAAGCCTCTGGCGAAGGCGTCTGGTTTGAGCGGTCTTGGGAGACTTGCTCGCATTCGGAAACATGCAAAACGCGGTGCGACGTTGAAACGTGAGCGCGATGGCTGTCAAGGTCGCCCAGAAGGGCTCCTCGCGTGAGCAGTGGAATGCGAGCAGTGCGCCTATCAGCGCTATCTTTATTGATATGGTCGCGGACGCTTTCAAGCATCGTCCCCAGCGACTCCAGCACAGCGCAGTAGCCAAAGCATAGAAGCATCACGGCATCACGATTCGCAGCAAGGAACGTCTCTTCGCACGACTGGCGCCCGTCGCGTGGATGCCACTGCGTAGGGAGTAAACGAGATTGAGGATTGGGGGCGCCTTGCCGCAGTCCGTTAGCGCTCGACGCCAATTTGCACCCCCGGCGCCGTAAGCCTCAGCATCCGCCAGCTTCCACGGCTCTAATAGCTGCGCTCCTCCTGTTCCGCCGCTTCCCAGGCTTGCTGGCTCTCTCCATCCTCACCAAAGATCCTCGCGCCCTCGATCCTCCGCCGCCGCCCGCCTGAGTCCCAGCATCCCTCGGTCGTGTGCTGCCTCGCCGCTTCCTCTGCGCCCCAGACACAAACACTTGCGCCTCACCCCCGGCCAGGCACCACCAAACATTTTGCTAGCCAACATTTTGCTACCGCCACCACCAGCTGCCCACCGCCAGACCGCCCAGCATGCTCTCGCCTACGAAAGTCGCAGGCCTCTCTGCATACATCCCCCACCGCGTGCGCCGGAAGTGGAGGGCTACCAAGTCGCGGATACACAGTCGCCAGTCGGTGACGTCGTCAATCGCCTCCCTCGAGACCTCGTGGTCGCCCTCGGACACAATAAAGGCGCTGCGCACCCATCCTTGGAGCATATACGACGCACAGTACCTGTTTCTGGCGATTGTCGCCATCTTCTCGCTGTCGGTCAGCGAGGCGCCCGGCCCGTTTGCGAAGACGTTTGCTGCGACTGCGCTCTTGACTGGTATTCTGGTGCCCGTCACCCGACAGTTCTTGCTACCATTGCTTCCAACACTAACATGGCTGTTCCTATTCAATAGCTGCAAGTACGTCATTCCCATGCTTGCTTTTCGTCCGATCTTGGTTTGCTTGGCAAAGCTGAGGTCGGATCGGGCGGCAACACCATGATTCACGACTTCGAATGCTAACACGCACCCCCAGATATGTTTCGCCCGAATACCGCCCTGCCATCTGGGTCCGCGTCCTACCTGCGCTTGAGAACATCCTCTACGGCGCCAACCTAAGCAACATCATCTCTGCTCACCAGCACACCGTTCTCGATGTGCTCGCGTGGTTCCCCTATGGACTTGTCCACTACGTGTCCCCAGTCATTGTCTGCGGATGCATGTTCATTTGGGGACCTCCCGGCACGCTGCCTACCTTCGCCCGCGCGTTCGGTTACATGAACATTACAGCCGTCCTGATCCAGCTTGTCTTCCCCTGCTCTCCACCTTGGTACGAGAACACCTACGGGTTGGCACCTGCCAATTACTCGATTCACGGCGATGCAGCGGGATTGAAGGCTATGGACAGGATCCTTGGCTTCGACATGTACACCTCCGCATTCCAGGCTTCGCCTGTGGTCTTTGGTGCATTCCCTTCTTTGCACTCTGGATGGGCGACACTGGAGACACTATTCATGGGACACGTCTTCCCCAGACTGTTCCCTGTCTACGTGTTCTACACCATGTGGCTGTGGTGGTCGACAATGTACCTTCAGCATCACTACGCTGTTGATCTGGTTGCTGGCAGTCTTCGTAAGTCAGCTCAAATCGAATCTTGACCATTTGTACTAACGTATCATCAGTCGCCGGTGTCTGCTACTTCTTCGGCCGTGCCAACTTCCTTCCCCGCATCCAGCCTGACAAGGAGTTCCGCTGGGACTACGACTACGTCGAGATTGGCGACCCTCAGGACGGCGCTGGCTACAGCATGCTCGACATCTACGAGGAGTTCCAGCCTCAGTCTGACTCTGATGACTGGGCCAGCGGCTCTTCTTCGTCCTACTCGACTGGCGGCCGCAGCCCCGTGGGCGCACGCTCACCTACCGACGACTCTCAGAGCCTTTGGGATGGCGACACAGTTGCATCTGACACCGAGTCCTCTAAGCACTGAGAATCTGTACCTCAACACCTCCGCCCTCCTCAAACACATTCCTACGATCGCCCACCACCACCTCCCAGTGACGGCCTTCACGATTTATGCATAACAACGGAGTTTTGTTTTTGCTAGCATTTCAGCGACACCATCGATTGAATCACATAGCATAGACCTCGGGAGAACGAACGCATCTGCACATCAGCACGCAGATTGCATGTATTGCACGTTCTGCATCCGGACACCCCCACAGCAACCCCTTTTGTTTCGCTGTGGATGATTGTTAGCCTTTGCACTGTTTCAGTAACATTTTTTGGCCCCTTTTCGAGATGGGGGCGGGGGAGACGATACCCAAGTCGGTCGCTATCTATACGAGAAAAGTATGAGCAACCTGCTTTGTACTTGTACACATTCGCTTCAGCTCCGGCCGCCGAGTTTCAGATTCTTTGGGCGGCTGGTGGCTGTATAGGGGGTTTGATGAAGTGAATGGATGGATGATAGGATGTACGGTGCATGTCAGGAGATGGAGGAGGATGGAATGTGCGAGGGACGTTAGATCAGATGGGCCTTCGCTGAAGGGTCTGGCTGAGGTCCTGAGTACGGTAATCATTATTAGTGTAATGCTTAATCGAATGCCATGGTCATGAATCTATCTCAAGCGATCTAAGAAAACTACACGTCCTGTGAGCAACTTGAGGCATCTCATTCTGTGTAGTACTGACCTGTCATAAATCTCCGCACCTGTATCATACTATTCACTTAGAGCTAATGATGTACTACTGTCCTGTTAGATCCCGCCGCGAAGTCTTTGGTGCAAACGAGTACTTTTTCTTCATTCCGCTTCAGGTAGGGGTTTCCTGTACCAATACCTACTTGGCCAACTCGATTGTCTTCGCAGGTCCATCTCCACAGCGGACGCGAATCCTGACTAGTGCTCCGCAGCCACGCTGTCCCACCTGACGTATCAGATGATTCGTACTGGACATGTACTACCATCGATCTTGACTCCACCCAAATGCTTTGGAACTCCAATGGATCGTTGCTCTTCAGTCGGTCCTTTCTTGATCATCTCAAGCACGGCTTGTATATTAAGTGGTGGGTTGTAAGATCGACATATAGCAGTTATCAGGTCCAAAATGCGCGCCTCCTCCAGAACAACTTCTTGCGCCGTCGATGCTACATCGGATTTGGATTTAGGTTCTATCAGATAAGAGCTCGCTGAGTTGAAAGTGCTGTCAGTTAACTAGACTCAATTCAGGTGGGTATTCGCTTGAATCCGAGGAGGTGCGTCAATCGCAACGTGGTGGCTCCAGTCATTGAGTCGATGGAGGCATCAAACAATGGGCGATGCTGGTTGCATGGGCTGACCCAAGTGTCGAGGCGCAATTTAAAATACTGGTCGAGGTACACTATTGTCTCAAATAAGGCCTTGCCAGATCCCGGTATTGCCACTGCGGACCGTCAAGATTCACGAGATGTGCATTCTGGCATCCACGTTGGGTAAGGACGGCGTATATTCACACCAACTGCACCAAAGAATGAGATGTGTTTGAGCACGAACATTGAGTAGGCAAAACCTCCAATGGGAAAGTGCTGAAATGACAGTGTGTAGTCTGGAATGGAAAGATCATCATCCGCGAGCAATGCCATGATGACAAAGATCCTGTCCTTTCGTTCTGATGCATCGCAATGAGATGTCAAGGCGGCTTGGATGAAGGCATCCGGCGAGGCAGTAGATTCGTAGTCCAGAGTTCCAGACCCAAAATTTTGGAACCAGTGCGCGGCAGTGCCGTCGAAGTGAGAAGACAATCGTTTCGTGGTCAGCGCATCTGCTCGGAAATCGACATATCCTACTCGAATGACTGCCTCCCTGCAAGCAACAGTTCCTGTATAACCCACACACGGCTGAAGTATGTTCGTTGTAGTAGGGTTGCTAATGTGATTCTCTTAGGATCAGACAATCCTCATCGCTGGGGACATCTTCGCGTGGGGCTAGCACATCTATCTGATCCAGTGGCAGATATTGCGGGTATTTGCTTGGCTTGTAGACGATTTCAGAACCCAGATATACGATCGCACGAGAAACAATCTTGGTACGTTTGTCGCATGGCTCCTACCTGTGCGGTCCGTTTTCCCAGGTGTATCTGATTAATACATACAGATACCGTTAATCCAAAGCACACGGATGCCCCTCTGTGGTTGCACGAATCGCAGCATCGAATGACAATTCCGAGTCCGAAGGAAATGTCCCAGAAGGGGCCGAAGAAGACAGGCTGACATCGTGTACTATCTTGATCCTCGCCGCCCCAGGTGTATGAATGAGGTGTTCTATGGCCGGTGAAGAGCTGCTCATACCCGTCATGCAGGACAACGGTGAGGGATAGCAAACAACCTCACCAGGCACCTATACAATGAGCTCCTCCATGGTCATCACCATCTCCCACGTCATCACATTATCGCCTCATCGCACATTGCAAATCTTTCGCCGTCCTGCCCTATCATGAACCTACGACGATGACAATTTTCCTTCGTTTTAGGTTTAGATTTGGAGTTTGGTTTAACCTTGATTGTATTTAGATATGCAGCTGGCCTGCCTTCTTCACCAGGTAAGGCGAGGACTCCTTCACAGACACCTGCCTCCATGTTGGCCTTTCATCTCCTCCCTCAACCTGGGCAGAAGCAGCCTGCGCCCCCCCCCCAATCAAAGCATTCAAACAAACGAAACCACATGCAATGAGGTGACAGCATAGAACAGCTTTATACTTAGGTCGATTGTATCGATCGTAGACTTCTAGGTTAAGGTGAACTGGGCAGTCGTTTTCGGAGCTGGGCGCCATACAAACTGGACATATTAGTCCAGCACTTAGGCTCTCAGAGTAGATGTAGGTGTTCCGGGCATGGGCGTACAAGGACACATCGGTGTATTCCTCTTGCTATTCGGTTGAACTTGGCCAATTTGTATATGGAACTTCAGAAGGCTAACAAAGTTCCATCTGACCCCTCGGCTCGTCAGGCGGGAGTGTCAATGTTGACGGTATACTCTCCTCTTTCTCCAGGGGCTCGGCCAAAAGAAGGCACACACCACCACAAGCTTGACATCGCGGGGTCTGACTGTCGCCGTCCACTATCATATCCAGTGTGCGACAGGACGGTATGTGCCAGCGAGTCATGGTAAGTGAACAACGCTTTCACAGTGCTGGTGTTGACAGACTGCTCATCCTCAACCTGGAGGAAAGAACGGAGGAGGCAAGGCATGAATGCCATAACTGCGGCGAGATCAACAGCTGAACGATGATCTCAAATCGGCATGCACGTCTTTGATTGGCTCCTAGAAGAATGTATGAAGAATGTATGGATTTGGAGGACTCTGTGGTGTTGACACTGGTGATGCGGAGGTGGCTCAGAGTGACCGAAAGTTAGCCTTGTAACTTGGAGAGAGATGCTGTCGCAACTGGAAGCAGTCACCATAGACGGACATACATTTTTTCCAGGAAAGTGGGCAATCTCTCGAAAGCGCGGTCAAGGTCGCTCCTTCTCAGAAATTGACATAATCAAAAGATCACCCAAAACAATCGATCCAAGCCCACAAAAAAAAACCCAAGAGTGGAAAATTTGGTACTGATATCTTTACAAAGTCACAACAGCTTCGTTACCATTTGCTCTTGTGGTTTGTTGGTGCAAAAAGACGCTAGGGCCCGCCAACTCACTACTAGTCTTCCGCACCACCCAATCATGACACCAAAAAGACATCCGGGAATGCGAAAAAATAGCAAAAAGATGGACTCGCGGGGAATCGAACCCCGGACCACTCCCAGTCAGGATTCGAAGCACTATGTGCTTGCGAGATGCTAAGGGAGTATTATACCACTAAACCACGAGCCCTTAACTCATTTATGGTAATTGGAGATATTATTTTATTTATATAGTCAAAGTACTATCATGAGGCACCCTAGTTGTTCCATAACTAGCTTTCGAAATCATGCATTCTCTCTTCTCAAGAACGTCTTTCAGTAGAGTCTTTGGACGTTTTGTATTACACCCAGCGCACATAGGCACGTATCGTTACAGTCTCAAGACGTGTGTCTATTCTTGCACGGGAAAGTGGCGTAGTTGCATTGGGTTGATCATTGGATGAGAGCATCTTTCCCGAAATCCGGTTCTCAAGATCTTATTGAATTGCCTCGCCGATGCTTCCAATTATCGTATTGTGCAACTAAGGTTCAGAATACGTCTTATGGTTCTCGTTTCTTGCTTGTTGGGGCGCCAGAGAAAACTGCTGATTGAACACTGATGAGCTTTCAATACACAATCCGCAATGCGGTACACAGGCGCCCACGTCCAATGACGCCGCATACTTGGCAACATGGATACCAAGAGTTCTAGGCGGCGCTCGCGCCAGCAGTCAGCCACACAACGGTCGACTGCACCATTATCCTTGAAAACGGGTGGAGGAGAGCGCGTCGGGGCCGGGTCTTCTGCATCTCGAGTGGCAGGCTGTCGGCTAGATTCAACAGGTTCAAATCCTAGACAGACCCATTTCGTTGTTCGTTACTGGAGGTAAGCCTCGAAGCCCTATACGGGTTAGCGCGTCCACGTGCCAGCGCAGTCTGTTCGTGCGTCGACTCCACTCTTCCCAGCCATCCTTGACCTCAACCTCAACACCATCCACGCCCACCGAGGGGTCTCCTGACGCATTCGCACAACACCTACTCAAACCCTTTCGACAACCGATCGTACGCTTCTGTCTCTGCTACCACCCGTTACGCGTATCGAGTACTCGACTCAGGCCCATCATCCTTGCGAACTTCACAAGGCCTCTGGCGGTAAAGGCAGGCGACTCTGCTCTCGCACTGTGCGTCTGTCGGCTGCCATCAGCGGGGTGGGCTTCTGTTCGGGTACTAGGGTCGCGTACCCGGTGTCAGCAGTGGACGCGGCGCACTACACACAGAGTCAAGGCTGCTCGCAAAGCCTGGGCGGGCGGGTTCCCTTGCTGCACATTACGGCATTGACGAGTTCCATTGCTGCGATTGCTATAAGGGGGATTTGGTAAGCATATCAGTGTGTAGTTTGGATAGCTAATAGCATGAGCTTCAACCTTGGCTTTAAGGCGCTTGCTTATCCTGCGTCGAACCTCTCGGAGCCCACATTGCCATGTCAGTGTTCGGTAGCTTTTAGGTGTGACTCCGACGCCAACAAGGCGACCATCCTGCTCGTAGCCACAGTACCCACCGCCCATGCCAAACAAACCTTTGTTCTTCAGTACGATGCCGACAAGCTGTTGTCTGACGCTGTCAGCCTCAGCAACGGCAACAACCATGTCACACGGCCGCAGCTGGACGAGATCCTGCGGGACAAGGACAACAAACGCTCCGATATCAAGACACTCGCCCTGGGCGTGGAACAGCCGTGTCCTCTCTGGTGTCCGGATTTTCGATCTTTTGCTCATAGGCCTGGCTCTGAGCCTTTGTTCCGACAGTTTGTAGATCTTACCAAAGCAGCCACAATTCACATCGTCTTTGATTACAAGTATCTGCCCAAACAACACCAGGCCATGTTCAAGGCTTTTAGCAAGGCGGCGAAGGGCCTAGCTGGCTATCCAGTCGAAGGATTTCTTACTAAACTAGGGCTGAGAAAGGCGACCTGGGAGGTCTTCGGCCCCGTCGACGCCGTTGGGGCACCGCCTGCTTACGACAACTCTCGCAAAAGGTCAAGGCCGGGTGAGTTTAAAATACCCGTAGCCTAAACTAAGTAGCTAACGTGCGCAGTAAGCTCCACCTCACCCAGCCAGTCCCCGAAACGCTTTGCTCCCCAGTCACCTACCGAGTCGTACACATCCGAGAAGACGGTACCCTTGAGCTCGGCCACAGCCGAGGCTTTTGGAAGGGCACTCAGGGAAGCATCACCTGGGTTTGACTACCAGGCTGAGGCGATCAACGCCGCGGTCGGCAGACAGCTTCCTGCTTATCTCGACAAAGCCTTGCCGGCCCTGCTTCCAGACATCCTCCAAACACTCTTCACCGGTGCACCTTCAAGATCCAACCTCGGCACTCCCCACACCTCCTTCGACTCCTCTGGCAAGCCACCTCGAAAGCTGCCAAAGCTGACGCCTCTGGGCCATGCCCTGCTCCCCCACCTCAGAACGCATCTCGCCGACCAATTCCAGCAATACCAAACCCATCAACTCAAGCAGTTCCAGAAACTGCTTGACAGCCTCTGGGACTCTGCGGAAGGGACACGCGCTCACGAGACCGCCGAGATGATAGAGGAAATGGAGGAGCACAAAACCGACATGATGCTGCTAAAGGAAGACGCCATCAAGGATCTCTCGCGCGAAGTTGATGCCGTGTTCGAGAAGAATAAAGAGCAGGGGTGGGAGTGGAGCGATGCCCTTAGTGAGAGACTTGAGGGTGTGTTTGGGGAGATGTGCGATAGGATTGATAGGATGAAGAGGGTGAGGTTAAAGAAGATTGTTGCGTTTGAGGTAAGGAAGTATGAGCGGAGGAGGAAAGGCGTACCGAGGGGTGTGGGTAGAAGTCTGGTTAGGAGAAATCAGAAGCTCTTGGGGAGGAGGAGGGAGGCAGATGAGCTGGTGTGGTTTGACTGCTGACCGTTGTGTTGTGTTGAAGAAGTTGGGTTGCGAGCACGTTTAGGTATTTGCAAGACAGCCGGAATCACTGTTGTCGTACACAGGTCCACAGCCAACACTCTATCCAGCCAGCGTCACGCTCCCAGATATAGACTCTGAACGCCACCGGTTCAGTGTCGCTGTAGAAGACCCAGTGTCAGGATGGCCAAGCCCAAGAACTCGTGCCTGTGCTTCAACGCACATCTCCATCAGCGACAAAGCTTCCTGGTTGCGACTTTGCGACGACCTAAGAGTGAACGCGAGGTTGGCTATTGCCATCAGGGTGTCTGGATGATCATCTCCGAGCACCCTCTTCCTTGCCTCCATGACCCGTGTCTCTAGGGTCTCGGCGTCTGCAAAACGCCCTTGACTCCATAGCGCCGACCCAAGGTTGCTGACGCTGGTGAGCGTGTCGGGGTGCTCTGGCCCAAGCACCTTCTCATATCCTTCCAGCGCTCGTCGATGCATTGCTTCTGCCT